TTCGACGTGGCGGGCCACGAAGGAGCGATTCGCTCTGAGATCGCGCCTTTGAAGTCGGAGACCGTCTCTGGCTTGGCGTCGCTCATTGGCATCCCGCCTAATGCTTTGGAAGAGACTATCGCCGAGTACAATGCGGCTTGCACCGGCGATTACGCGCGTTTCGAAGCGGGCCGCCTAGATGGTCTGGCCACTGCCGCCGGCCTTGCGCCGGTGAAATCAAACTGGGCGCGCGCGCTCGACGCGCCGCCATTCTTCGCTTTCCCGATTGCCGGGGCGATTGCCTACACATTCGGTGGTGTCGCCACCGACGTCGAGGCGCGTGTGTTGAGCGCGCAGGGGCCGATCCCCGGTCTGTTCGCAGCAGGCGAGATTACAGGTCATTTCCACGGCACCGCGCCGAACGCGGTTGCGGTGATGCGCGCGCTGGTTTTCGGACGGGTCGCAGGAATGAATGCGATTGAAGCGTTCTCCTGGTCGTTTGGGGAGGATATGCTGCAGAGGGGTCCAGTCACGGAGGTCACGAGGGCGGGCGGTTGCATCCTCTGGAGGATATGCTGCAGAGGGGGTCGATCCACGGGGAGGGCGGCTATATCCTCTGGAGGATATGCTGCAGAGGGGGTCGATTGATTGATTAGGCGGCTATATCCTCTGGAGGATGCTGCAGAGGGGGTCAAGTCACGGGGGCAGCTGCAATCCTCTAGAAGACCTCCTGCGGAGGGGCCCAGGTCACGAGGCGAGGCGGGCGGCCCGACATCCTCTGGAGGAAGTTTTGCAGAGGGGATCAGCCACGAGGGCGAGCGGAGGATAGCCGCCGGACGTCTGCTCGTGACCTAGAGTTCCTCTGCAAGACACCCAGGCCAGAACTGAGAATTGAACTGCACTTACCTCTAGAGGATGTGCGAAGGAGGGCGATGACAATCAGTTACTGACATTTGATGAGCGCCAAATTGCTCAGCGTGGGCGCTTGCGAAGTTGAAAACTGATTTCGAGGATCAGAAGTTCGATAACGTCTTATGTCTACGGTCGCGCTAGCGGGACGCCCCGCTTCTTAGTGTAGCCTAGCGCGCTAAAATCTCGCGAAAAGCACGGATGCGACAGCTTTATCCGGACTCATGTTAGGTGTGGAGCCATCGGTGTCCACCGAAAACTCCCTTCGACGTCTATCTAGACGGTATTTGAAGAGGCACTGCTCGTCGAGATGTGCCAGCTCACCCGCAAGAGCTGCCAGCGGCAAGATGGCTATTCTCGACAGTCTCGCCGAAACATCTGGCGAGTGCTAGATCGGATTTGAGAGGCTTTGGCGCGGAGATCTGCCTGGCAAGCATCCAGCCTTGTTGATTCCCTAGCAATTCGATATGAGGTCTACCTACCAAGCCTTTTCCACTGAGATCACATGCACGTTACCGCGGTTAAGAAGAGTGATTGTCGGTGTCAGCATTGGAAAGATGATCACGTGGAGGAAGGTTTGTTACTGGATGCGGGAGAGGAAGGTGCGTTCATCGCTCGCCTCGTTGTGACACGCTCCTTCCTTCTTTCGCAGCAGTGGCGCTCATTACGATGACATAAACCGCAATCTCACAACACCAACCACATGCGACCTGACCAGACCACGCACACAGATCATAATCCTCATTGCTTAAAGCAACATTTCAACCCTCATGTTCATCTAGCTCCAGCTGGCGATGAACACTCTACCATCACCCACCTCACTCGCCAGTATGGCCGACCTTGACATGGTTGATCCCCGATGCACGTACAATGACCCGTAAGTCACTTCGCTGGTAGAGAGTGACATGTCGCTGACCGTGCATAGCTCGACACAACCGCTCGTCACGATTGAAATGGGTGGCTCTCGCTCCAAGCGGATGATGATCCAGAGGAACGTGCTTGTGCCTCGTTCGAAGTTTTTCACCAACTTCCTGGGCGACTCGCTCTTCATCAGCCTCCCAGAGCGCTTCGGAGAGTCAGTCGACGCTTTGGAATGCTACCTGGAGTACATGAACAGCGGCAAAATCGCCTCCACCATCCGATCGACCAGGAAGACATTCAACGCGCGCGGTGAGGAAGAGTACGCTCTTCTCTGCAAAACATACCTCTTCGCCGACGTCGTGGAGGAGGATGGATGCAAGGATGCAATCATGTCTGCGCTGCTCGCTGTGTACCAGGAGACAGAGGAAGATGGCTGCCACCGCCGCCCGTCAGCCGATCTGGTCAAGATGATGTACGCATCGACATCTCCTGGATCTCCACTGCGAAAGTTCCTCGTCGATGCCTTCATCTGGCACAACGCATCTGCCATGACGCATGCGCGCAACGGCCAGATTCCCGACGATCTCGTCGAATTCTTCAGCGACGTTCTCAATACTCTGCTACTCCAGAATGCCGCTGCTCGCCACGACGCCGGCATCCCCTCGGGCGTGCGCTGTTGCGACTATCACGTCCACGAAGACCCCGCAATGTGCACGACCAAGAAACGCAAGAGAGCGATTGCCGATGTCGGCATGGCAGCGATCCAAGAGACTGCGCACCAAGACGATCAGCAGGCTCTGACGATGACCACCAACACCATCATGCCGGCCCCCACCCCTGCAGCCACTCAACTCACGTCTTCGCAACCTCAGTCGTCGCCTGCTCCATTGGCACGTCTCGACACTGCTCAGCCAGCATCTTCTTCGACGCCAGCCCCCGAACATCCCAAACCCACCCTGTTCTTCACGCGCCATCACAGCCAGCCACTGTTCGGCCAAATCTCGTCGCCAACCCAGACCGTCAAAGCCGTTGATTCCACCGCCTCCCAGCCGCCGGCTGGCACAGGTTTTGGGCAGACCACTGACTCAAACGCAGGAACCGGCTTTGCGCGCTTCGAGAGCCCGGCGCATCTCCCGCCATCGTGGCAGAGATAAACGCTTCAGGTGCAGAAGCCCACCTGCACTCGACGAGTCTGTAGGAGTGTGGTGAGTGCGCAAGAAGCTGGATTTGATGAAGTTTGTCGATGACGAGGCATGGAAGGAAAAGTACTTACGGTGGTGTAAGGATTAGTATGAAGCTCGTTGACATGAGGCTCGTTGACATGGAGCTCGGCGATGGAAAGGCATGGAGAGAAGGATTGCAGCGCATGTAGTGCAGCTAAGTAGCAAACACCGTCATACAACTTCTCTCTCTATTCAATGTGGTATATAATGCAGGTTCAAGAGAGTTGTGCAAGACAAGGTGCAGTCCAAAGCAGCTTGCTTACTCACCAGCCAAGCCATTCGGCGCGCGGTGTGGAGGTCCGGCAGAAGCTGGACGCGCAACGTTCCCGACGGACCCATTCGCGGTGGGCGGAAGCAGATGGAGTGGCTTACGACATGCATGCACTCAACGTTGCCTGACCTCAGACTCCCCAGCCCGGAAGCTTCTCTCCTACACACCATCTCCAATGATTTGGCCGTCCTTGCCCAGATCTCCTGGCGATGGCAGGCAACCCCTTTCGTCGAACACCCTCAAGCCGCCTTGAGGATGAAGCTCAGGCCGCAGAGCCGGCGCCTGGTAAGCCATTGATGCCTGAGCGCTGGGGAATGTTGGAAACAATGTCTTCTGGCTAACATCCGCCGTAGCAGTGACTAGCAAGCGATCGAAGAAGAAGAAACGAGTCAAGATTGTGTCTCCCCCGCTCTCTCCCGAACCGCCTCGACGACTATCTGCAGGCCGTTTGTCGCCTCCTCCGCCTCCGCAAACTACCGACAGCTCCGAAGAGACCGACTCCACGGCTACGGCGGACTCGGATCTAGAGGAAGCGCTGCGAAACACCAGGCGGAACTCCGGTCCATTGCCTCCTCCCCCTCCTGCATCAGAAACGTCGAGCACAAAAGCGCCATCGAACCCATTTGCGCGAACATTGGCCACGAGCGAGGCTGCATATGGCTTGTCACAGACAGGTGGCGATGTAGAAAAGTCGAGACCACAGGACACTGAAGCTCAACGGCGAGCGAGCGCGGCCAGGGCGGCTCTCAATGTGGATGAGTTCAAGAACATTCTTCTGACTGGAAGCGCCACGCCATCGCCTCCTGTATCCACCGCATCGCAGGGGAATGTCAGCGGTACGGATGTGTCGACGTCTGGACAGTCTTTCTTCGACTCTTCCTATGACCTGCGCACCCCTAGAAGTTCTGATGATCGAATGGATTCGTTGGAATCCGCATCTTCAGATGATGATGACGACGACGATGACGAGCATTTCAACCCTGCGGACGATATGCCATCCCCGGGCCACGCACCCTTAGCTTCTGGTGTACGAGCCGCCGCAAAAGGACCGCAAACCGTTTCATTCGCGGACTTTGATGAGTCCATACCCGATCCGATTTCCATACCGCCAGCCTCAAGACACGCCGCCGATACGATGACGCCAGCTGCTCTAGTCAGATCCTCAAGTGATCTTAACAAGCCGCTTCCGGAACCGCCACGGAAAGCGCCGGAAGACACTCTGGCACAGTCGAAGAAAGCTCCACCCCCTCCACCAACATCACGACGAGCGGGGATCAACCGCAGCTCCACCTACTCAGAGGATAACCCGACACCACCACCAAAGCCCTCGCCATCAGCCGAGAAGGCAGTCATGTCTCCTCCACCGCCTCCACCATCCCGAAGACCTCGATCAATAGACCAATCCGAGACCCCATCAATCGAATCCCCACCAAGGAACGACCTCCCACCCCTCTCCCCAACAAATACCAAACCCATGCCCCCACCACCCCCGCCATCACGCAAAGACACCAAACGACCCATCACCCCGGGCCGCTCCCTCACGCAAACCAGCAACCCCCGCCCTGAAAGCACCTCCGCTCCGCCCGCCCCCCCCCCCCGCCGAGGCAACCGCAACAGCAACGACGCAGGCCAGCCGAGCCCCTCCTCCCGTCCCGCAAGCCTGAACGAGCCAGGTAGGAGGCGAAGCAGCGTGCCGAGCTTCGAGTCTCACCGCCCGATGTCCGTGTCGAGTTTGACGCAGACCGTGGAGGCTGATGAGGGGGAGGGTAGTGCGGGTGCTGCGGCGGCGGAACAGCCTTCGCGGGATATTCTGGCGGATATGAGTGCTTTTCAGGCGGAGATTGATGCGCTTATGGCGAGAACGGGGACAGGGTGAGACGGAGAGTAGCAGACAGATGTCGGAAGCGAGAAAGATAGTCATTATTAATTTAAACTCATACTACACCAAAGCCAGCTACCCACCCACGCAGAAACGATCAATGGCCGTCAGATTCATAACTTTGCCCTCAAGACCAAATCCCCATCCCAGCCTTCCACATCAACTGCAAGCCCCTCCCCGCCATCCGAAGCGGTGATTACCACCTCCTGACAATCGTCGTTCGCAACGCCGTTCGCGTACTGCACCACCACGAAATCAATCGGCTTCTCCCCCAGCACCACCATGGGCGCATGCCAGGTACCCGCGTTGTAGGTGACGGCTTGATCGCCGCGGGCAATGAAGGCCTGGATGTTGTTCAGATCGGGCATGCCAGGTCCTTGGCGCGGGGGAATGTGCGAAGTGGTTTCGGGCGGTGTTGGTGTCGTGATGGACGTGTGATCATTTGTGTAGAGGTTTGGTCGAGCGCCGAAGAGCTTTTCCCTTAGACTGCGCTTGCGCTGGGGTTCCGGGGGGAGATAGGGAGGCTGGCGGTCGCGAGAAGTCCGCTTGGAGGAGCCAGTGGAAGCCTGAAAAGAAGGAGAAGGAGAGGAGGGGAGAGTCGGAGCGACAATAACCAAATACCGCACACTGCTATCTCCCGCGCCGACGCCCAGGGGAATGAACGTCTGCGGGGTGAAGGGATGCCGTTCCAGGATGCTGACGGAAAAGACCGACTTTCCGCCCCGTTGCGCCAAACGCCGCGGCCGGCAGACAAACATGTTCATCACGCATCGTGCCTTTGCGCCACTCGTGCTGTGCGAAGAGTAAAAGTCGTGCATGAGCGTCACATCAAGCCATTTCGTAGCGGTGCCTTGGTTGGCGCTGACGCTCTGCGGGGGCGGAGTGGGTATGGTGGCGCCACTACTGAGCGGATTTTGAACCAGCCTTAGGAGGGTAGGAGTACTTTGCCTGAGGGTGGAAGCGCGGATGACTCGGCTCGAGGCTGATGCTGCTGTTGTTGTAGTTGTCGACGCCGGGCGCGCGGACGAAGTTGGCCTTGAGCCAGCTGCCGACGCCATGGTGGTGCTGGTGCGCCTCCTTGTGGTGCTCGTGCGGCACTTGGTGCGGAGTGGCGTCGGTGCTGTTGGTGGGATTGGTGGGGTCCGGGTGATGTTCGGCGTGGTCCTGGACTTGTTGGGCTTGAGTGTTGGCCATTGTGGAAGTGGAGGTTTGGGGGAGGTCGATGGATGTGGCGTGGGTGGAAAGTGGGGCGAAGCTTGCCGGCTTTGTTGAAGAATGAAGTGGCGCTGGGTTGTTGCTGATTGTAATGAGGACAGGCGAGATCTTATCAAGGTTTATTATGGGAGTAAATCTAATGGACAGGCCGGGCGCGAGTTTATATAGAAGAGATGTATTCAAGTAGCCAGCCGAGGCTGAGCGCGCATGATGTAGGTATTTGTGAGCAATGACATACATGGGAGGTGGTGATCCGACAAATGGTGACTAATCCCGCTTTCTCCCGCCTTCCGCTTGGAAATGGCCCGGCGCGTTCGCGGAAGTGCACGCGTCTTGCTTCCGCTTCCAGTCAACACCGCCGCCCATCTCTTTCCATCCCAACCATCATCACGGCGAAATGTGATTGGCATGACGCTGCCATCCGCAATGATCAGCAACACCCTCTGCTCAACGTCAGATGTCCCAACACCCTCCTCCAGTCCCGCCCACCGCCAGACTTCCACTCCACCCTCCTCTCCGCCAGGCTTCCCGTGGGACAGACAGCATGAATCTCCCGACGCGTCGGACGCCAAGCCCGCCATCCCCAGTGCCTTCTCACTCCTAGGCAAGCGGAAAGCCCTCGACGCGATCAGCGACAATGCGCGCCCCGCCAAGAAGTCCGCGACTGCCAAACCGGCGGAAGCGCGCGCATCTCTGACTCAGATGCACATCAGCATTGGCCAAGCTGTGCAGAAGCGGTGCAAGACATGCGGCATGGAGTACGTACCCTCGTCCGCCGAGGACAGGAAGCTGCACGACAAATACCATACTCAGCACACCCACGGCTTCGACGTCGGCAAGGACTTTGTCACCAAAGCTCCCGCCCATCTCGTCTTTCCTGGAGCGCGGCAGGGAGATGCGATCTGCGTCGTGGATTGCTACGCGCCGCATGCGCGGAAGCGGAAGGGACAGGCTGTGCTGGAGTTGGTGCAAAGAGAGCTGGGAGCCGTGCATATTCCGGAAGATGAGCTCTGGAACTCCAAATCGCCTGTCAACACCAGCACCGGAAAGTACAGGATGTACCTGTACATCCGAGACTCGAAATGCATTGGTCTGCTGTTAGCACAAAAAGTTCAGCGCGCCCATCGCGTGACGGAGCCAACTTTCACGCAACAGTGTGCCGGCGATGCAGGCAACGCTCGAATGACGGCGGCCGCAGCGCTCAAGGCGCGACAAGAGGCCCAGGCGAAACAGTTGGAACAACCCCTACAACTCTCCCGCGAAGACTTTTCGGCGAAAGTCGGAATCTCTCGCATCTGGACGTCGCCGACCTATCGCCGTCAAGATGTTGCCATGACTTTACTACACACAGGCTTGGAGGATAGTCGTCAATGCGCGGAGCGGCAGGAGATGTCTGCAGACGAATTACGAGAGCTACGAGACCACGACGAGGAGCGGCTCAGCAAGGATAGTGTGGCATTCAGCCAGCCAACCGCCGCCGGCACCAGACTGGCGAGGAGATGGTTTGGCCAGCCTTACGGATGGAAGGTCTACATCGATTGACATTCCCCAAACATCGAGATGTTCAGCTATACGCCGAATGAGAGAAGTCTCCAACGCAAGTCACATTTACTCTTTCACTGTCTAAACCGTCAGAGGCAAGTCATATCTCCACCCCACTCTTACCCCTGGTAATTCAAGATGGCAACATGATGCACCTCCGCCGCCTTCACCTGCGGCGTCCTCAAATGATGAATGTTATCCTTGAACGCCTGCGTCTGCCGCGCATCCAAATGCGCCTGCACCGTCTCCCACCCAATCACCAACACGTTCCCCTTCCCCTTCGCCCCATCCCGCTCAATCACCTCGTGCGTCTTCCCAAACGCCCACCCAAATATGTTCTGCCCGTCCTTCTGCAGCGCCTCGACGAGCTTCTTCGCCCCCGCAAACGAATCCTCCGGCGGCTCGTTGTCGTAGTAGAAGGTCGCAATTTCGGTGACGGGCGCGGACATGGCGGCCTTTGCGCCGCCCGCGGGCTCGAAGTCGACGTGCACGATTTGCGGGTCGCCGGTGAAGATGGTGGAGAAGGTCTTGACGAAGCTGGGGTAGGTGTCCGATGCCATGAACTTTTCGTGGTCCGATTTGGCATCCCAGTCTGCGCAATGCGAGTCTCGTTAGCATGTGGGAGCCTGAGGGCGAGGTCAGAGCGGTGGGCGGGACTTACTGATGAACAATTGCAAGTCTCCTGGATTCTCCACCGTCGTGCCGAATTGGAAGGTCTGCTGCCCGTCTTGCTGGGCGAGGACGTCGCCGCATTCTTTCAAAACGCCGGATGCTGCGTTGTTCGGGTCGCCGATCTCGCTGCCGGCTACCAGGTTGAGCGTGCAGATTTCGGTGGTTGGAGCCATTGCTAGGTCTGATGAATTAAGGATGGATGGAGATGTGGTTCGTCGCAAACACTGGAGTCAATCGGAAAGGAAGATGTCTGATGTATTTGCGAAGGGGTGAAGAAAGAAAAGATGGTGATGGAGTGGAGGGGCATGGAGGGGTAAAGCGAATGGCCGGGTCCCACTTCACTCGACCCCACACGACGACATCATCATCATCATCATCGCTCTGCAATCAATCGCGTCCAGCAACACCAACCTTTGACATCCAACTTGTTACGCACAAAATGTCCAAAGAGGACGACAACACCACGCGTCAAGCTCTGCTACGAGCCTCCAAGCCTCCGCCAAATGATTTGTTTGCAACTCTCATCACCGCAAACCACATCCTCCACTACCACAATGTAGTCGACGGTCAGCCAGAAGCCCATCCCAACCCTCATAGCTCCTCGCTAACTCGATCCATCAGCCTACGGCCACATATCCGTCCGCTCCCCCCAAGACCCCACAACCTTCTACCTCTCCAGATCCCTCGCGCCCGCTCTAGTCTCCTCTCGCGCAGACATAGAGCACTACAACATCTCCGACGCCTCCCCCGTCTCCACCGACAGTTCCACCGCACCAAAAGGCTACGTCGAACGCTTCATCCACTCCGAAATCTACAAAAAGTACCCCGGCGTGCACAGCGTCGTGCACAGCCACGCGGAAGCCGTGCTGCCCTTCAGCATAAGCAGTACGCCCCTGCGCCCCGTCTTCCACATGGGAGGCGTGATGGGCGGCAGCCCCGCGGTGCCGGTGTGGGATATTGCGGCGCATTACAAGGGCTCCGCGGACGAGGTGCAGGCGCTGCTGGTGGGTAATGAGCAGCTAGGCGCAGCGCTAGCGGCGGGCTTCAATGCCGCGCCTCCGGACCCTTCGTCGGGGATGATGGCCAAGGGCGTGGCGAAGGGGTATAATATCGTCAAAGGGCTGGTGACGAAGCAGGACTCCGATTTCCCTTCTAGTCCTACGGTTCTCATGCGCGGACACGGTTTCACGTGCGTGGGGACGCGAATCGAAGAGGCTGTCTATCGCGCTGTGTACACTGCTACAAACGCGCGGGTGCAGACTACCGCGCTGCTGATGCAAGGGACGTTCAATCTAGGATTGGTGGCGGAGGGGTTGGCGGGGAAGAAAGGGGAGGAGGGCGAGGCGAAGGGGCTGAAGGTGGAGGAGATTCGGTACTTGAGCGAGAGGGAATGTGGTGATTCGTGGAAGGCGTTGTCGGCGAATGCGGAGCGGCCTTGGAAGTTGTGGTGCGAGGAGGTGAAGGTGGGGGGTCTGTATAGGAATGAGCTGCTGGAGTGAGACGTTGGCTGGGTGTGACGGGTGTGACTGCTACGATGTATGACTATTGCACGATTGTGATGATGATACAGTATGAAGGGTAGGTCTGATGTAATATGACAGCCCAACCTGCTTCCCCTCCAGCCTTCCAATGATCCCATCCGGTCTATCTTCGAGTATGCATGCCCGCTTCATATCGCGGCATTAAGTAGAGATATGATACAAACCCCCCCAAAACGCCTCCCTCAATGAAAATCCAAAATCCAAACGCCGCCCACCCCTCACCGAGCGTACGCATTCGACGTCTTAGTATGGTTCGGATAGTACGTCGGCGTGAACGTCACATCCGCATAGTCCTCTGCAGAAGAAACATTCGCCGCGCCTGGCACGCCACTGTAGGTAGCAGCCGGCATGCTGAGCGGCGGCGGCGGGGCGCTCAAGTTGCCGGTGAAGTCTGCGAGGTTGAAGTCCGGGATGTTGAGATCGCCGGTGTTGAGCTCGACGGGGAAGTATTTGTTCCATTCGACCTGGAGTGGAGCATGTTAGTAGACGAGACGGGGGGTTGTATCAGACGTACCCAGTCGATGTCCTCCATTGCGCTCATTTGTGTGTCGGCACCGCTAGGTGCACCGACGCTTCCTGGGTGGCTGCCGCTTCCGCTCGTGTCTGATGTCTGCGTTGTCATGGGCGTGCTCCAGCCAGTTGGCGGCAGCATGGCGTCGATAGGCTGGCTCTCAACGGGATATTGTCCCCGCAACTCCGACGGGGCCTCCGTCAAGGGCGGCAGCGAAGTCGGACTAGTCGAATCATCGCGCTCCCACGCTCTCATCAACTGGTGCACCTGCGCTTCCATGGCCGCGGTGTTCTTGACCTTGCGCATCTGGTGGTAGATCTCCATGCGGTCGCGCAGGTCCGTCAGGACGAGCTCCGCCTTCTGCTTGGGCGACAGGTGCGCAGGGATTTCGAAGATGTAGTCGAGGCATTTCCAGATGCGCCCGGCTTCCTTGCGCATCGGGTATGCGTAGACTTCGGCCATGAGGAGGAGTGCGGCGTGGTATTGGTTGAGCGCGCCGCGGTACCACCAGAACCGAGAGAGCTCCGGCGTCGTTTCGAACTGGATCGAATTCTCCAGATTGGCCACGCCGGCCTCGATCAGTAATTGACGGAGACGATCGGGCATCGGCTGGGTTGTACTGAAGAGATAGCGGTGTAGCACCTGGATGAAGCCAGCGTTGGAACCGCTGTGCAGTATGAGCTTCCCAGCCAGCTGGTCTGGCACGTTTTCGTCAATCATCGGCAGGTAGAACTCGCACATTCGAGAGCGCGCCTTTTGAATCTTGACGACTGTCGAGGTGAGCGATTTCTTCCTCTTGTCGATTTGCACCATGTCGAACCAGATGGTGCGGCGCATCTGGAAAATTCTAGAGCGAAGAATATAGTCAGTCCATGGCTCCTACTAAACATAGCCAGTGAAGGTCAACACAACACTTCGACTTACTCTGCACGAATTCTAAACAAAGACATATCAGTCCAATAAGGCCTGTCTTCGGTAGGCGGCGATGACCGAAGAAGATCCACGTCATTGATGTTCAGCGGGAGTTTGGTGTCATAGTCATCGGGTCGGATCTGCGGTCGTGGACCAGTGGCGTCGCATGTCCGCATATCCAAATAACAAAGCTGGTGCCAGACCATACGCCGTACATGTGTTTCAATGGGAGTCATATTGTAGAAAGTGCCGTCTCGGTGGAGGCCCATGCATTCCGCGAGCCGAATGGCGGTGCCTACAAGGGCGGAGTGAGCTCGAGAGACCTCGGAGCGAACCAGCGGGATCAAATAGATGACGAAGGCTTGCATCGTGCCGACTTTGGTAGTGCGGAGGAAGTTGGCTCGCGCAAGGGTCATTTCCGTGCCGGTGCGCAACGAGTCCACCAGATTCGCTCTGGTCGTGCCGAATTGGCGTGTAACCTGCTCTTCGCTCATGCTCACGGCGGCCGAGAATATCACTGCGAATACAATGGCTTGTTGCGAAGGCACGGGTTCCGTCCCAGTGGCGATCTGACCCCAGAACAGAGCGTATTGAGACTCGAAAGTCGGCCGGTGGACAGCCCTCGCGATCGGGTGTACGGCGTGGAAGTATTGCGCGACTAGTTGGTCGGCTGCCACTTTGGAAGGCAGGTAATCAATCAGGGATGTGTTCATGTTGGTGCCGGGGAAGAAGAAGCTGGTGGTGGGGGCGATGTAGTCGGGACCTGGGCCAATGTAGCTCTTGGGGGATGCCATGAGCCGTGCATGCGCCTCCGGCCTCGAGGTAGAGCCGTCGGCGTTGCGCTGCGGAGGATGGGTTTCCCGCACCTCTTCCAGCGAATCGTTGAGTTCGTCGACGATCTTCGGCCGGATGAATCCCCCTATGCGCTCCGTAATGCGCATCCTGCCCATCTGCACGCCGAGGTCGATCAGTTCATCGTCCGCGTTCTCCTCATAGGCCGTGTCGAGCGAAGTCAGGGGCGTGGGCTCGAGCACATCATCGTCGTCGCCGGCGCCATCGTCATCATCGTCGCCACGGTCGGTGACGTGAAGTTGTGCGGCGTCTGTCAACGATGGCTTCACATCCTCGTTGCGCTTCTGCGCTTTGGCGGCTGCATCCGCGACCTGGGCCTCGAGGGATCGCTCGAGCGCACCCATCTTCTCCTTGAGGTCGGCGAGTTTCTGCTGGCTGTTGGGGTCGGTGCCCGGGGCGAGATACAAGCAGTCGCGCTTGTAGCGCGTGCAGTTGGTGCATGGCGCGAGCTTGTCGCACTTCAGCTTGCGCCGGCGACACTCGAGGCATGAAGCGATCACTCGATTGCGTCGGCGCACTCTTGATTGCGGACTGGCGGCCTTGCCGTCATCCGTTGCCTGAGCGCCGCGGAAGACGGACAGGCCGCCGCCACCCTCCCGCGGAGTGGTGCCAGTACTGCCCGCAGGCGCATACATCCAGTCATCCATGGTTGGAGAATGCGCGGAGGGCTGTTTATGCAAGTGGTCAAGGTATGTAGTTGCAGCTACCCTGCCCTGCATGCATGAAGCGATAAGGTCCGCTTGGTGGATGCATGCGGGCGCTGCGATCTTGATTAGTTAAGGTAAGATGTCGCGCCTCGGTTAGGCTACACCCAGCCACCGCGCTCGGAATAGACTCGGGCCCGGCCAATCAGCACCGGCTTCGGGCCTCCTTACGACGACCAGCGTCGGGCAGTTCACCAGCGACATCTGGCGGCTCAATCAAATGTTCCAGATCACACCCTGCGATGTATACACGGCTACAGGCGCGAGCATGGACATGTACAAGATGTCTGAAGCAGCAACGAATTGCCAAACGCCACCTCATAACCTCCCAATCATCGCGAGAGGCCACCGCCACCGCCGCCGCGCTCTCCGAAGACTTCCATCCCGTCTCCAAAGCCTCGACAAGCGTCAACCACGATGACCGGACCCTTCGCCAGATCTTCGACTCCTCCTCCTTCTGGAAAGACTTCTCCTCACGAGCAAAACCCAGGCATGGCGAACAATCCGCCGGTCTGTTCCAAAACCGCTACCTTACCCACGCCGAGGGCTTTCAGACGTTTGCGGAGACGACACTGCGGAAGTGTCAGAAGATTGTGCAGCGCGTACTCGCATGCGACAGTGTGGAGGGGTACAAGAGGATAGTGAAAGATCTCGACAGACTGAGTGATCTGCTATGTCGCGTCATCGATCTCAGCGACTTTGTTCGCGCCGTGCATCCCAATCCGAGGATCCAGTCAGCCGCCAGCCACGCATATTCGATGATGTTTGAGTATATGAATGTGCTCAATACGACCACGGGGCTCAATGACCAGCTGAAAAAGGCGGCGAGCATCTCTGAGGTCTACAATTCCTGGAGTGAAGAAGAACGCACCGTCGCCGCCATCCTGGAGAAGGACTTCTCCAAGTCCGCCATTGACTTCGCCGATACCGAACGACGAGCTTTCGTCGACATCTCCAATGAGATTGCGCAGGTCGGAACGGAATTCGTGGACCAGGGGGCACCTGCCATCCCCAGTCTAACATTCGACTCTAGTAGGCTGACAGGGATGGATCCGATAATTGTCCGTCAGCTCACTCGCTGGGGGACCGCTACCTTGCCGACTTCTGGAATGCCCGCTACACTTGCACTGCGCACTGTCGCAGATGCAGAGACGCGAAAGGAAGTCTACATAGCGCATCGCACATCTGCGCCGGAGAACCTGGCACGGCTGGAGATTCTACTCAAGCGAAGGGCAGAGTTGGCGCAAGTGAGTGGCTACGAGAGTTATGGCCATCTCACACTCGCCGACAAGATGGCCAAATCCCCCGAATCCGTCGTGTCGTTCCTCGATGCGCTGGCGAGGGATAATGCTCCTAGAGCTCGGGAGCGTACGCACGAGCTACTGGCTTTGAAGAAAGCGGATCCTCGAGCAGTAGGCGCAGACGGAGAGCTGCATGCATGGGATAGAGACTACTATACCTCGCAGCTCCTGAACTCCATGCGATCGAAGAAGAGGGAACCCGACTTTTTGAACGCCTACTTCTCTCTCGGTACGGTAATGCAAGGCCTTTCCAGGCTGTTTCACCGAGTATATGGCATCCGACTTGTCCCCAGGGAGCCGCTTCCGGGCGAGATGTGGAATCCCGACGTCCGCCGCCTGGACGTCATCGACGATCACGAAGGCCACATTGCCGTCATCTACTGCGACTTGTTCGAGCGGGAAGGAAAGAGTCCCAACCCCGCTCACTTCACTCTGCGCTGCTCACGCCGCATCGGCGAAGAAGAACTCCACGAAGCCGCCGAGCTAGTCTCGCAACCCGGATCCCCCTTTTCATCCATCGAACAGGCCGCAAACGAAGGCCTAGCAACGAACGTAAACCCACGAGACAACAACGCCCTCTACCAACTCCCCACCATCGCCCTCATCTGCGACTTCGCCGTCCCGCCCCCCAGCTCCAGCGGCCAGCCGCGCCCCGCGCTCCTCAGCTTCCGCGAAATGACCACCCTCTTCCACGAAATGGGCCACGCGCTGCACTCCATCTGCGGCCGCACGGCGCTCCAGAACGTCAGCGGCACGCGCTGCGCCACCGACTTCGCCGAGCTGCCGTCCGTGCTGATGGAAAACTTCGCCGCCGCTCCCGAAGTGCTGCGGCTCTTCGCAAGGCACTGGGAGACGGACGAGCCGCTCGATCCCGCTCGCGTGTTGGAGCGAGTGGAGTTCGACCGCAAGATGGCGAGTGCGGAAGTCGAGGGCCAAGTGCTGCTCGGCATGCTCGATCAGCAACTACACTCTGCACTCCCTTTGAGCTGGCGAGAAGGAGAGGTCGGGCAGAGCAGCAAGGTGTACCACGACGTGTGGCGCACGTTCTCCTCTATCCCCGAACCCGCGCAGACGAGCTGGCAGGGCTTTTTCGGCCATTTGTACGGGTATGGCGCGACGTACTACTCGTACCTTTTCGATCGCGCGATCGCGGGCAAGGTGTGGAGGGATCTCTTCCAGCGGCGGCCTGGTGGCGCTGTCGACCCTGAGGCTGGCCGGCTCTTCCGCGAAGAGGTTTTGCGCTGGGGTGGAGGCAGGGACGGGTGGAGATGTGTTGCCGGTGCTCTGAGGGATCAAGATGGAGTGCTGGCGAGGGGGGAGAAGGGGGCGATGGAGATGGTTGGCAGCTGGGGCGTGTATGACTGAGTTTGCCAGCTGTTCTACCGCTGTCAGGTTGAAGGCACGTCCCCGTGCTAGTTCCCTGGCACCCAGCTGTTTAAGTTACGTAGAGCGATGCTGAAGTCGCGGTGTGCTGTAAAGCTCTACAACGTTTTTCGTTTCTACCTCTCTAGCTCTAAACTGCGGTATAAGAGATGTGAATCGCCAAATCGCGGCACATGCTACTCGCTCAATTGTAAATGTGAGGGTATCCTACGCTCGAGTCTCCAATGAGTTCTGCGCCATACGCTGCTGCCCCATCTGCGCTGCTTCCCGCACCACCTGAAACCCATATCCCGTCATGGACTTCTCATACCGTCCCAGCTCGGCAGCAATACTTCCCTCACCGGCTGCAACCTTCTTCAAATGCCGAGCGAGGAGAGCACCATGCCGCATCGCGAGATTCGCCCCACGGCCGAGAGAGGGCGTCATTGAGTGAATTGAATCGCCCAGCAGAGTGACGTTTGTAGGCGAGTCAAGCGTGCTCGGGACGCTGGTGCGCATGCGGACAGTGAAGAAGGAGTCGGGGTCGGCGGCGCGAAGGAGGGGCGCTGCGTTGCCGCTCCATTCGTCGACGAGCCCTGCAGCGACATCTTGCAGCTCGGCTGATGGAACGCTGTGCACGTTTTCGGGGAAGTATTCGTGCCGGCCGCCGACGATGCACACGGCGTAGCTCTCTTGGGCGTGCATGGCGTTTTTCGTTGACAGCTTTTTGGCTGCCTCGTCTGGCAGCGTCGGAAAGATGACGGACCCCAGGCCTAGGAAGAGTTTTCGTTGATCGATGGCGATTAGGAAGATGTCCTCGAGCGCCTCTTTGGGACCCAACTCCCGAAGAGCAGAGAGAGGGAGTCGGCCGTAGATGGCGGTGATGCCGGCGTCCATTGTGGTGCATGTTGGGGCGCGTTGGCGACGGACGCGTGAGTTGACGCCGTCCGCGCCGACAACGACAGAGCCGATTGCGCTGGACCCGTCGGCGAAATGCACAGTGACTTTGTCCTCGCCAATGGTTTCATACCGTTCGAACTGCTTCCCGAATTGGATGTATTCGTCAAGGCCGGTAAGGAGGATTCGACGGAGGACGGCGCGGTCGACGTTCGCATGCACAGGTGTTGCTTCCGGATCAGTGGGGGGCCACATGCCGGTGCCCAGGTCATCTCGGGTCAGGAGACGCTTCACCACGCGCAGACTTTTGGGATCCATAATGCTGGTGTATGGCTCGGTCGAATACGACGTTTCCTTGAAGAGCGTCAGGAGCTCCGGGGGCAGGATTTCGTGCACGGTGTTGATGGCGTCTCCATCCAGGTGGAGACGGTAGCCTTGCGGCCTGTCGAAGGGCGTTTTGTCGCGCTCGAAGATCTCGAACGGGATGTTCGCTCGACGCAATGCTTGCGCAAGACTGAGGCCGCCGAGCCCGGCGCCGATGATGAGGACTTTCATACTTCTCGAAATTGTTCTTTTGGGTTGATGAATGCTGGCCAATTCGTTCTTCTCTGCAATGAATGGTTCTGTCGGGGATCCATTGGGACCAGCCGCGCCTTTTGTAGTCGCGCAAATACCTCATTGTGCTGCCTGTTCTTCGGAAGTTCGGGCCCTAGAGGCCTACCGGCGAAGGCATGTTGTAGAAGCTGAAAGATTAGCCCAAAGTGTAAGTGGTGTACGGGCAACGGTATGATGATGTATTAGGGCACGCCCGGCCGGTACGGTACGGGCAGGCCAACCGCGTCTGCAACGTGCTCAGCGGTCGGTGAGTTTTGGCGCCCTAAAGTCCATTCGCGGTCGCGTCCGAGGCGGATCCGAGGCTATTAGCCAGGCACGCCGGCTCGTTTCTGCGGGTGCCTGCGTCGGGGACGGCAACTGACGCGCCGAATGTTGCGGATGCCGTGCTCCATTTGCGGATACTCACTTGTAGCATATTACTGTAAGGTCCATGGAGGTCGGCGACGCGTGCCTGGCCGTCCTGGCCATGAAGAGTGTCGGTGCACGGACGCGGTGAATGCACCCGGTCGCCCTTGCCTCAGGAAGAGACAGTAACGGCTTATGTAACATCGTCAGGCTGGCTCTGCTGGACAACATCGCGTTTTCCACCCACACACCATCACACATCACCTCGCAGCGTGGTGGATTTTCCACCCACACGCGTCTTCATCAGTCTTTGACGACGCCTCATCACTCCTTCACACAATTTCATCACTCCTTCACTCACCACAATCGATTCACCACTGACCTCCCTCCACCATGCTGCGCTACGACCCCCTGTCGGGTCAAGTGTTCACCGAGAGGCTAGTCAAAACCCGTGATCGGCTCACAAACCCGTCAAGACCAGCGGAGGAGCGACGGACCCCTTATGAAATGCAACTCGAAGCCGAGCGCCTCAAGCATCTGGGCGTCGAATCCTTGCACGCAAAGGCAATGCGCAAACTGATCGTCAACGCGCGCAGTCTAACTCCAGACGCTCTGCGAGCCACGCCGGCCCCGATTACGATGCAGATCTGGAAAGAGATTATTCGAGAGTATGTTGGCCCTCTTGATCCCTCGTGTGAACTCACCATCGGGAGGCGCGTCAAACTAAAACCTTGCACTCCAGGAACCGTGTGACACTAGGCGTGTGGAACATCTTCACGAACAGCGGACACGCGGACAGCACGTTTGTCCACTCACCCAGACCGATGAGACTCGGTGGGCCACACGTCGTCGACACTTTCAGTGCAATCTCCAGCCCCAACTTCGCCTGGGTGACCACTCTCACCCTCGACAGCTTCCTCGGCACCGCCGCAGATCTAAACCAAGTCACGCGAATCGTCAATCTCCGCAGCCTGGAAATGCGGCACACCTCTCCTGAAACCGAGACTGCATTTGACGACGGCATTGTGGAGTATTGGGCCTTGCGCGCAGGACAGGCACTCGGCGAACCTTTTGCTGTCCTGCGGTCACTCATCATTGTCGGTGCACCAAACATCACGAAGTACTCCTTTCCCAGCTTCCAGCGCTTCCCTTCACTCCAAACCCTCGTCCTCTCGGAGACAGGCATTAAGCACAAACACCGCCACTTCGCCAGCAAATGCGACTGGCGCATCGATACCAAGTAAGCCATCTCTCTTCCCATGCCTGCGTCATCATCAAAACGAATGAATGCAGCGGCCCACGCGCCGCCTCTCAGCGAAAGCTAATATTCTCACACAGCGGGCCGTATGCTTCCATGGTGAAGGCGGGCATCACCAGCAGCCGGGGGAACCCCCGTGTCCACTTGTGTGACGTTACTCGAGACTACGTCTTCTCTCTCCGCTCTTCTTCTTTGTCGAAGGACTATAACGCCTCCGCGGCCCGCACCGACACTCTGCCATTGCTGAGCATGCACTTCTACGGCGGTCGCAATATGCAACGTATTGTGAAGACGGATCTGGAGGATGTCTTGTGCTTTGAAAGAAAAGAGGCAGGTGCGACTAACGAGGAGGAGGCAGATGAAGGGAATGACGAGGCTGGATTATTCTCGGTCAAGGGAGTGTTCGTGTTCAAAGGAAAGAAAATCAAATTCGAAGACGAATCGGAGGTCAAGGAGGTGAATGATGGGACAAAGGAGGTGGCCTTGCCCGTGTTCAAGAAAAGGAAGATCAGGTCTGGGAAGGAAAAAGAACTCGAGGGTGCGCTGGGTGCGATGCTCAGTGATGGTGTATCAGCAGGACTTGGGATCTTTCCCACGCGTGAAGGGTGATGATGATCATGAGCTTACGAAAATGATGATAGTAACGACGGTCGGCGAGGTTTGAAGCGAGGAACTGGACGACGAGCACAAAGACAAAGCTTTGGAGAAGGCCAATCAAGGCCAATCACCTTTGGTGCGTAAACTGATATCTTCCACTGCCCCTTCTCTCATGAGCCGCTGTGAATCCGGTGCACGCTCGAGCATTCACCAACGATGCGCGTGCACCGAATGCACCTTCATCCACCGCCGCAACGCCTCGAAATCAGCGCACTTGTGATGCACATTGAAGTCCGCCTTTCTACCGGTCGGCACGGACGGATCGTCCATGATGAACATCGGAGTCGTGTCCGCGTGACACATGAGGCTGAGTCGAAGGGTCTCGATGCAGTGGTCGGCGTGCATGCGAGCTTCGACGGGTCCATTGGATAGGTCGCCGGGTAGCGGCACAATGTCTTCGTGTCGGAGATACCAGTCGCGCCAGGTGTATTGTCGGATCAGGTTCTGTGGGTAATGTGAGCTGTTGGGCTTCATCGTCAATTGGAATAGAGGTACGCCTCACGAGACAATGGAGCTGGTGGAAGACTTCGGCCAGCGCAAAGTAGCCGCCTTCATCGCCGTTGACCGCGACAAAGGTCTGGCCGCCGGTTGCCGGCAGTGTGCGATTCAAACGACTGAATTTATCCTCCGGAATGCGGATTCCTCCGACTATCACCGTGCATGAGCATCTTCACTGCCGTTAGAACAATGAAACGACTCACCATTCCACAACTCGTCCCAGGCTGTTTCAAGCTCAGGCGTCGGAGGACCTCGATAGATTGAAGGATGGGCAAAGGGGTTCTCGAAATCGAATTCGGTATACTCGATCGCGTCGTTCAGGGGTGCTTGACATGAACCATGAGCACACTTGGAGGGGCATGGATGTGGTAAGAGCATGACGTACACCACACCGACAGTCTGCTGTGACATTCTTGGTCCGACGGTCTCTTGAGGACGTATGCCGCGAGAAGAACGGCGTACAATAATACGGTGACCACCACAAGAATCGCAGTCTTGGGATTCTGGAATGGCTTCCTGGCCAGAGTGGAGTTGCCGCTATGGTACTGTTAGCCATCTTGCGACTCGGCCCCCTCGGTGCTTGGTCGTATAAGCCATTGCGATTGCGAAGGACGATCCTCTTTCTCGTAGCTCATCGTGCTACACCATCGAAGAAGCTGTGAAGACTCAGTCTACAGCAATTGTCGAGGAAGCGTTGTGGAGGTGGGACTTGGTGCATGGCTGCCCTGCAATGCGCGATTCCATCTCTTACCCCTCCATGGCCCTACGATAGCATGTGTACCTGTACCGCAGCGATGGAAGCCATCTCGTTACGCGCGGAATCCAGTTTCCGCGCGATTCACTAACGCCCAAGCCTCGCGTTAGCCTTCCCAGTTGCCTCGCAGCCTAACCGCATATCGAAGGTGCGAGACACTGGAAGCTTGTTCTAACCTCTGCCTCATGCAACGACACGGCAGGCCTGCTTGTCTAGTCCAAAGGACTTCCTTCGCGAGCCGATGCATTTGCGCGATTTAGCAGGATGCGTGACGTAGCAAGTCCAAATACGTATTATGGAGGAATCCCCCCGCCCGAGCCTTGTGGGAGTGCAACGACAACAGCGGTGCTCGACGATACCCTTCGCTCCTCACACCGCACAACCTCCTTCCATTCAACCCTACCAGCAGTCTTGGTGATGCGACGCTTCCTCATCACGCTCGCCGCACTGGCGACCGCTTGTACGGCAGCTCTCGCAGCGCACGAAGCGAACGACATCAGCGTCCGACCCGGAAGGCGTCCAGAAATGGATAAATTCGAGCGCGCAGGGCCTCTCGGCGACGATCGCAGCAACGGACAACACCCCGAAATGGACAGAGTCGAGCGCGCAGTGCTCTTCGATGACCTCGTGGTCTCCAAACCTGGCTATGCTCCTCGCGGCCCCTACGCCAACGATGTCGCTGCTGCCGACCCCCACGCTGTCCTGGGCGAATGACGGCCTTGTCCGTGAAACGCTTCAGTGGTGGATGAAGCTGCAGCCCGCGCTAGGCTAATCTGCGGACCAGGACGCGAGAGGAAGGGATTGGCGGGTCATTGGAGAGCTGAACTGGTCAGGGATGTAGCAGACCTGGAGCTCATCTTCTCCGCGTGATGTAGCTGTATGCACAAGTAGTCATCGCTTCAGCAGAGCAACTGCGACTCAATCGCTGATCTCTCTCTAGACCAGGGGTGAGCAATCACCATATATAGAGCGACGTCCGCCCTCCTACCCTGCTGCATCCCGATCCCACTCACTCGCCTCCAGACAAGCTTCAGCTTCACACAACTTTTTCCACTGCCCAACTCCCCACGTCACTCGCAACAATGAAGGTCACCCTTGGCATCATGGTAGCCGCACTGGCCATCACGCAGGCAGCAGCGAACTGCTCCGAATACGTCGGCGTAAGTATCGACGATAAACCGCAATCGACAGCAGCGCACGGCACTAATGCGATCCCAGAAATGCATTGCCGGCAACCAATGCCAGTACAGCGTCGAAGGCAACCCAGTGGAGCCTTGTTCAGGAAGCAGCGGGCACGGCTCTGTAAGCGATCGTTCCAAACGCTCCCCCGGCGGCGTTTACAATCTGACACTGTGACAAAAGTGCGAGGGCAAGATTGGAGAGCCGTGTTACCAGTACTTTGGTTCCGACCTGGGCGTCGATAACACCTGCCTCTATGGCGGCACGTGGTGCCCCGGATGCAGCTATCCCAACAACTGCTGAGGGAGACGATCTGGCGTTGGATGATGTCGGAGAGTGGTTACTACTCACTCTAGTCGCTCCTTGTCTGCTGTAGTACGGTATCTTTCAATCAGGGCACGGTGACCAGTTGTGCAAGTTCACTTCTGCAACGGATCCTTTCGCTCTCAGACAATCGCAGTGTAGATTTTGAAGTGACTGGATAACCAGTTGGCATCGATCGAGTCGGCCGTAGTTGCAGCCCAGAGCCATCAAAGGCTTGATAGTCTTGCAGTCTCTGAACTGCAGAAGCCGGGGTTCCTTGTATCTTCCAGCGACAGATGTTGTAGGACCTTCTAGTCATTCCGGGACCTTCTAATCTGACAACAACCTTTTAGCAGTAGCAAAATTGAGCATTTGGAGCGACAAAAACTTCATGTGACTGTATAAAGGTTCATATCGGCACACATCTACTCTTTCTGGCCATAGAAAACCCCGCTTGGAGGTTCCAGCGCTCATAAATGCCATATTCGCCAACACTGAATTTCACTTTTGTCCACGCTCGTACGCCAAAGTGAGATTTAATGCTTTTGAAAACGGACTTCCCCGGCATCAAGACCAACATCATGAGGCTGTGAGGCATAACACCGTCTCTTTTTGGGTGGAGCCCTGAGCTCTTTACATGCATGCGGCGCCGTCGATGCCGATGACCTTGCCGTTGACCCACTCGCCGTCTTGCGAGGCGAGGAAGCAGACAACGCGGGCGATGTCGATGGGCTGGCCGACGCGGTTCATGGGGGACCAAGTAGCGGCGTACTGTTGGGTTTGTGTCAGTAACTTTTCCCCCCTGGTATCTGGCGTTGAAAGTCTCAACTCACCTCGTCGACCTGGTCGTTGGTCAACTTGTCACCGTTGGGGATGTACTCGCGGCACACAGCGTGGTACATGTCGGTCTTGATGCCGCCGGGGGCGACGCAGTTGACGGTGATCTTCTTGTCGCCGCAGTCGACGGCCATGCAGCGGACAAAGGTCTCGATCGCGCCCTTGGAGCCGGAGTAGACGGCGTGCTTGGGCACGCCCTTGGCCTGGCCGGTGATGGAGCCCATGAGGATGATGCGGCCGCCGACGCTCAGGTGCTTGTAGGCCTCGCGGGCGACGAAGAACTGGCCGCGGGTGTTGATGCGGAAGACGCGGTCAAACTCCTCCTCGGTGACGTCCTTGAGGTGGCCAAAGGACACGACGCCGGAGTTGGAGCAGACAATGTCGAGCTGGCCAAAGTGCTCGACGGACTCCTTGAACAGGCGAATGGTCTGGGCGACGTCGCCGACGTCAGCCTTGATGGCAATGGCCTCGCCGCCCTGCTTCTTGATCTGCTCGACAATCTGGTTGGCGGCCTCGATCGAGTTGGCGTAGTTGACGACGACCTTGGCTCCGCGGCGGGCCAGCTCGGTGGCCATTGCGGCGCCGATGCCACGACCGGAGCCGGTGACGAGGGCGACTTTGCCATCGAGGCGCGAGGTCTCGATGGCGGCAGGGGAGGGGGCAGCTTTGGGAGGCATGGTTGGAAGTGGTGTGGTGGGATGGATGTGGGTGGGTGGGTGGATGGAGGGGGAAACACGTGGGAGAGTGGAAGAGATGGAGATGTGGTGTGGGTGGATGGAAAGGGGGTGCAGTTCTTAAGGCGGTCTACACAAAAAAAGTGCACCCCACCAAAATTTCTGGTGATCGGAAAGGAGCTACCGAGGGGGACTTTCAGGGACAGTCGTAGGGCAACAGCGATGCGCGGCTCCACTTTTGCGCCCTCTTCGGGATTTACTTGACTCCGACCGCGTGCACACAATGTTCTGCTGCCGGGGCGTGGCAAAGAGCGAGGATCCATAGCCTGCGCCAAACCGTGACATACTGTACCGGTAATGTATCCTTGACGCGCTGTGCAGCAAAATAGACTATTGCCAATTCACCCCTCTTCGCCCAAAGAAATCAGGGTGAGTGCGCTAGACTTGGCCCGGTGGCAAACCTTAAATGCACAAATAGAAAACGAGACGGGAAGGCGCGTCCAACAATACTTCCACCTCCGTACTCGACCATATCCACCGCCCTGCCAAGCGACACGCCGAGTGCTCATGGTCAAGAGTTGTAGGCAGAATGCATCTGACGTTGTGTTGCCTGACTGTACCGAAGCCGCAGGAATTGCCATCATGCCATCAATACGAAGCTGGCCCTGGCGGCTCCAATTTAGCCTAAGATGTTGTCGCTGGATGGCCCTTAAACTGCGTGGCAATCATCAACTGAGCACCACAGTCGTCGCATGGATGCCGCAACACCTCGTCCGCCGTCCTTACAGTCCGTTCCGGAGGGACGTTGAAGCGGCCTGATGGCCTTCAATCCCCGTGTTAAGGTTTCGGACATTTGCTGGTGTAGCCTCGCCCGACTCCCGGCCGGGTCAAGACTCGAGTGTCTTCACGCCTTCCATCATCCGGATGAAGCACATGTCCCGCATTTCTCCTCTCTCGGGTGAACAATATCACTTTGAACGCCCATGGCTCCTCTCGCACACCTTTGCCTGCTGCCAACATCATACGTACTGTATGGATGGCCAGGCAAGGGACGCCCTTATGAGCCACTCCCGCTATCTAACACTGGCCCGGCTCCAAGTCCGAACAGCATCGGCACGGTCTTCGGGTGGCACACTATGGAGGCGGACATGATGATATCAGTGTGCACAAGTCCCTAGCTGGCAACGGAAAGGGCCATTGATTTTTATGCATTGTGGACACATGGCGTCGACCCCGGCAAAGCATGTCTCGGGAATCCACAGCATATACCGTAGGTTTGGACCACGGACGGACGAGTGAGGAGAACCGTCGGCCCTAGTCCGTACCTGAGACTCCCGTCTAGGCTTTCCTTTGTTTAAAGCCTCGCCTCTCCTTTTCAATTTACCCAGATTTCGTTTCATTCTTCTTCTGTGTCTGAGCGGTCAAGAGTAGACGAAGACAATGCAACCGAGCAGCAGAGCTCGTGCTAATAAATCACTCGAGAGCTCTGCTCCTTCCTTCAGCCCGGTCATGCGTCTCGCCACATCTCACCCTCCCTCCCACTCCCCAGAGAATGGGTAGGCTCTTTCACCCCTCCTACAGCACCGCCACACCGGAGAAGACACCGATTCTTCCCAAAAAATGTCATATCATCACATTAACTATCGTCGTCAACATCATAGCGATTATCGTATCCACCAGGATTTATCAATGAAAAAAGGCCGCTCATAGGCATCTCCGCCAACCGTCAAACGACAAACGAACAAGACCAACCATGGGGTGATGGACTTTCCAAATCCCCTCGGATGAACGGAGGGGGAGCCAGCACCGCAATGCACCTCCCACCTCACGGTCAGCCCGAAGCCAGCTTCTCCAACTTCCCTCTCACGCCCTCCGAAAACCTCGTCGCTGCCCCCTCATCGAGCACGTCAATGCAATGCAGCAGAATGGTATACGGGTGGTCAATCCCCATCTGTGACCCATCCGCCCTCGTCACGCACGGCACACCCTCGCGCTTTTGCAGATAGCGCACGATCAGCGCATGGTCCGCGGGCAGGTTGTCGATGGGGAACGCCGGGCCGGCGCCATCGTGGCGAGGTGAGGCGGACGGCGACCCGCCCGAGCGCACGAGGGCATCCGCCCACAACACCAGCGCGGCGCGGTACACGGCGGCCGCCCACCACGGCGGTCGGATGGCGCGGGGCATCATGCGCACCATGCGCAGCACCTGACCGCAGTGGTAGACGGCTTCCTCGACGTCGGCGACGCAGCGCTTGTGCGCGCGGAACAGCTGCGGCAGCGAAGTGATGTCGCAGCTTTCTCCGCGCGCGAGCCGCTCGATTTCCGGAAAGTCGGTGACGGCGTTGAGGCTGATGAGGTGGAAGATGATGAGGTTCGTTTGCATCGTTGGGCACAGGGCGTCGTGCTTGTTGACGTGGTGTTCAGCCAGTGCGAACCAGCGGCCGAGCAGGACTTGAACTTCGCGCATTCTCTCGCGCGCCGATATCTGCGACACGCCTTGCACGCTGTCTTTGCGCACTCCCGCCGCGGCGGTAGGTGACGATGCCGCCGTCCCCGAGTCGGGAAAGCAGCTCAAAAGTTGCGACAGTTGGGTCACCAGTGCTTGCAAAGGCGACAACAGCAGTCGCAGCTGCAGTGGCGTCATCTCCACGCCGCGAGCTAAGATGTCGTCGTCGAGGAAGCGAGTGAACAGCTCGCGCAGCGAAGGCGGCCGCACCCCCGATCCCACCGACGACCCACCGACGAACTCGTGCACGCGCTCAAACGTCGTCGACCACTCGCCATCGCTCTTCGCGAGCCACAACTGCTCCGCATCCGGCATCGGCGCCGTGCACTCCGTGACGGAAATCAGCGGCGGCATGTCGTTGAACAACGCCATCTCCTGATCGATCATGACGGAGCAGTATACAAGACGACTGCACTTCTCCGCCGTTATCCACTCCTTCCACAGCTGGTGGCGAGTGAACTGCTCGACAGGCGCGAGCGGCACATTATGATACGCCGCCAGCGCGCCCGAGTGCCGCAGCATGCTGAAGTACATGTTGCGCTGGCCCTTGGCAATGTCCATCTGCCACTTGTCGCCGCTCCACGCCGCTTGCACGGTGAAGAGGAGCGCGGCGTGCAGCACGAGCGGATCGCTGGCCATGGCGATGTTCTTCTCAATCAGGTCGAAGAGGCTGATGCGAGCTGCTTCCGTCAGCCCGCCGGTGAGCATGCGCGCTTCCACCGTGGCGCCTTGCGCGATCATCATCAGCACGAGAAGACTGGCTGCCCGGTCGTTGTAGCAGTGCAGCAACTCGTTGGCGTCGAGAGTGCCCATTCCCGTCAACGGGTAGTATCGCTCGAAGCAATTAGCATAGGAGCGAAGGAAGTACTCCAAGACTCGGGTGGGTGGCATGAGGACAAAGTTCGACGCGCCATCAGGAGTCATCAAGCCGCTAGCCGGAGGATGGGAACGCTGGCCTTCGCCGTGGATTTCGAGGGCTTTGTGGAGGAAGCTTTGCGTAATGGCCAACAGCTTGTCGCGGGAGCTCTCGTGCAATTGCATGACGATGAGGTGGTCGGGCCCGGCGAAGTCGGTTTCCCGCGGCGTCCAGGTGCCCCACCCGTGGTGATTCTTGAGTGTCTGCTCCAATCGTTCCAAATTGAGTCGTGCGGTTTTGGGACATGCGACCGGGACCAGGGTCCGGTTACACTGGAACGACGACCAGCAGTCGCGCGCGGCGATGATGGCCGTCATCTCGCCCGAAGCATCGCTCGTCGAAGAGCTGTCGGAATGCATCGAGGGCATCGAGTGAGTGGACAGATGTCGCTCTCGATCCTGGCTCATTCTTCCTGCCGATTGAGGGATCATCATATCATCGTACCCTTGCTCGACTTTCGGCGTCTCCTCCGGGCTGATGAGCGCAGGCACAACAAAGGGGCCATTGGCGAGGTTGGGCATAATGGTCAGCATGCCGTCGGCGGGAAGGCTGACGGCGGGAGCAAGAGAGAGCATTGTTGGGGCGTCGAACGCCGATTCCGGGCTGTGGTGCATTAGCATTTGCGGCTGCACCACTCCGTCGAAGCCGCCCATGGTCATGGGGATCTGGGTCCAGTCAAGCATAAAGTTCGGGGAGGAGGTCGCATCGGAGCTATTGGATGTTGGCCGCACAAAGTCTTCATAAACTGGCGTAGGGATGAAGCCATTGCCCGGCGTCTGCATCGACGACGGAGTCGCGATATGGACGGACTCGACGAATTGCCCTGGATTATTCTCCACGATCGGAAGAGGGGCAAGAGGTCGGTCTTCCTGGACGGTGGTGGCGACGTTTCTCGGCGTCGCTGGCTTCAGCGGAGGAGGCCGTGGTTGCGGCCTGGGCCCATTGTCCAGCTGCTGTGCCGCTGCACCCGGCTCAATGGATATCACCACCTCTTCTTCCGGCGCGGCATCCGCCCGAGCACCACCCTTTGTAGCCCTTCGTGTAGGGCGCAGCGTACACCTCAGATTCCTCCCCGCGCATCGACTGCACGGAAACTTCTTGTCACATTTTGTCTTGGTCTTCGCGCACTGGCGGGCGAGCAGAGTATAAGCATGTGTTCTCCTCCTGCATCTGGATGTGCGGGTCTTTTCTACTCACATTGCTGCATGCAATGGGTGTCCTCCCGGCCGACTTCGGTATCATACCATTCGCGGTCGGGATGATGTATTGGTTCTGGTCTTTGCCGTGGACGGTATAGTGTCTTTGCAAGAGGTCCCTTTGAATGTGAATTAGTCATGTCCACCAGCGATAAGGACGACGGGACTCGACGACGACGGCAACGAATGCGCAGGAAGTTGTTGTCGACCGAGGACTGGAATGAATCCGACGTACCGCCTCGCTATCTATGCGTTAGCACACGAAACGGAGATACTTATATCCTGTGTGATGACCTACCGAAGCTCATGTGGCAGGTGAAGCATTTGAACGGCTTCACGTTGGTATCTACTCAGGCAAGCGCAAATGGTCAGCGAAACGCCATTGATTGCAGGAGCTGTCCAGCGCAAAGGTCACGACTGCCAAGACAACGTACGAGTCAATATATGGCGTTCGAGATGTTCGTCTCTGGTAAAGGACTGGCCACAGTACGTGCAGAACACCATTTTGGCGCCCTCGGGTCCAGAAGCGACGGCGGCAGGGTTGGAGACGAGCGAGTGAGCATGCGAAGCAATAGAGGGAGGACGAATGGTCAGAGATGGAGCAATGAGAAACCACAACAAGGGTAGTCGACGTGAGCGAGCGGTCGGAGAATTCGACAAGAGGTCATAGAATTAGAGTCGACGCTATCCGGCATACCGGCGCAGGTGTCAGCGGAGGGCATGGCGTCAATGCTATGTAAGGCAATTACAAAACATCCGCAGGCGTGGCAGCCTAGTGTGGTTGGGCTGAGTTTCCTGGGCTGAAGTGCGGAGGCTGTGAAGCGTTGTCATCAGCCTAGCAGCTAGGGCTCGAGGATCGGCGGCGGGTACGATCGAAGGAAGATAGGGCCATCATCATCATCAGGCGTACTGGTAGCTGTTGTATGCAGCACTGCCGGCGACGCGAGACATGCCGCGGAAACTATTTTGGAGGGGGGAATAAGGGCACGCCGGCATCACGAGAGCAAGCGCAGGTGGGGATCGGGGACACGGGCAGGCATCGCGCAGGGTCCTGGGGGGTAGGGGTGGCGGGCGATAACCAGGCCTGGCCGCGTGAATGATCGCTGCACCATCGTGGGCTGACGTTGAGGACTTGCGAGGAAGGGGGGAAACACCATTGGCCGGGCAAGGATTGGGTGAGGGCGGGCATGCCAATGCAAGTCCCAAGGCGAGAAGCGAGGCGTCCTGTGCTGTCCATACGCTATCGTCATCATCATCGTCGTTTTCGGTCCCTGGCTTGCTGCACACCGGCGGGCATCCCGGAGCTGGATGCATGCATGTACATGCGGCGGGCAGGTAACGTTCGAGCCGTCGCCAACCTTATCCCTTTTTACCTTTTGCGGCCCTCGAATGGGGCGAGATTGGGCCGACCGTTTGCAGGGAGGCGCCGAGTGGGGTCATGCAAGGGTAGGCGTCATACACATCCCATACGGCTCTGCTGTCGCCATGTAGCATGTCCATCCTGGTCGACGACGCTCTTGGCCCCGGAATCTTCTACTGCCGACCAGATTGGGGGTAAAGATCGTCAGGCTACGACGACTTGCAGGCCTTGGTAGATCTTCGTGTTCGACTCATCACTTATCGGCGCGCGAGTTTGCCGCCACCGGGTGTCGAGGAATTGCGCGGCGTGACTTGCGATTGCCATTACGGGCAGGCGTGATGAGTAAAGTGGTCATCAACGACGCGCAACACCGCTGCCGTCCTGCCGGCCTCAACCATTCCTTCGCCGGATTACGTTAGCGGACAGCGTGCTTCTCAACCCAAACCCGCGCCCAGCGCGCCGAGTGCGGTATACAGCATGTACACAGTACAAACGCGCGCTCGAAGCAGCCTTTGGCGTAGCTGATTCGGGAACAGACTTTATGGGAATCGCCTTAGCTGCATCTGCACGTTGAGCTTGATTGCGAGGTAGCGTTGTTTATTTTCCTGCAAGGCCTGCAAGGGCTCGTACCGGTCAAGAGAAGCTCTCGTATTCCAGCTGCATGTCTCACGCCTCTCTATCATCGACGCTGCGAATTATATTCCACCGCCCACGAGGCTCCCGCGGCCGGCCGGGATCATACGGAGGAGCCTTTAGCCGTGGTTAGGCTCTGATGGAAGAATGGCGGTGTTCTTCGTGCGCTTCCATCCCGCCCTGGGCGCCCATTCCTACGGAACGCTCTAGGCTCGCCGACCAAGTTGGCGTGGCTTACCACATGGCCAGGGCAGATAGATCGGTACGCCGGTAAGAATTATTAATACGCTCCATTGTTTGGTCCGTTGGATTACTGCCTTCGTTCCTCGGGTTCGAATGCCGCGGGGCTGCTCCATCTTTCCTGCTTTTGGAATCACGATCAGCCCACGCCGAGGAGGGGTTTGGAAGCGAGGAGGGCGTTCGTATTCGCCCGCGGGCGTCCACGCCAGTTGTCCTCGCACAACGATTCGAGACAACACCCTGAGGGACAGTTCGATCAGCGACCCATCGTTCTGTATCGGGCATTTTGAGCCTCATGCGCATCGTGGGTGGTTGTGGTCGCCCGCCCCCGCCATGATCGTCGTCTGTCAATTACCAATCGATTGGCTTCGGCCGATAGCGACCGCGCATTCCCCACACAATCTTGCGGAGGCAGACGGCATGTGTCTTGATCGCGATTTGCTCTACGATAAGGGTCCTTCGCATTTGCACATCTTCAGATTGCAACTCGTCAGTGCGCCCGTGCTGGGCGCAGACATCCGCACGCCCGCAGCACCTATCTTTACATTGGCTTCGCCTATCATCGCCGCCGCCGCGCTGCCAACCAATGCCCAAGACTTTCGATCGCGCGAGACACAAGCCAGCCTTGTCGAGAACCCTTGTTGGCCAAGGAGCATGCTGCGCGTGCATGGTAGGTGTGCCACGGCCACCAGAGAGCGAGTGCTTTCCCCGCACTTCATTCCCTGCACTGTTGTACCGAAGTGCATGCTCGAGCAGCTAGATTGGCAATGATGAAACAGGTGAGGGAGGGGCATCACCATGCTTCTCGGAGGAATACAACCCTGCGCCGCAGCCCTGCATGAGCAAAGCACCTGCCCGTGGGAGCCGTGGTTGGAGCTGTGGTATTTCCCCGTTTGGCAGGTACTGCGATTCCCTCGACCGATCGCCATGGGACAACGAGGCCGGGGTAGCTCTCCTTGCTATCCAGACAATCTTGCCCGACCAGCCTCTATCTTTGGCTCTGAGAAGTTGTTGATCCCTTCCTGTAGGCAAGGCATATCCGCCACCCCTCTGGACGACCGGGGGGTGCAGTTTATCCAGCCACGCACAGACGTGAATGCATTGCGTGCTGCATGGCGTTCGACAGCCAGCCACGCCTGACCTTCGCTGCTGTCAATCGCAAAAGGAAAACACATCGAAGTCATGCGGACATCAAACGCAAACGTCGCTTGTGCGTCAGTGGCTTCTTCGCGCTCGTGCCGTAGCCTGCGAGTTGCTAAAACGTTACGCGAAAGGCATGTTATGACCTACGATCTCGAATCGTCGAATATCAGCCATGATTTCGTGTCATCGAATATCAGCCGATGATGTCAGATCATAGCCAAGGGCTTGGTATGTCTGTATGGGTGACACCATGCCGATTTGCAGACTCATTGGGATGCACGGCGCAGAGCACAGCCAGAAACAGCCATGGCCTTTTTGGCCCCTTCAACGGCGTGAGTGTGTGTTTGCTTCATTCGTTCCAATGCAGGGCTGAGCATCGCGCACGCCTTGCTGTCACTATGTGGTTGGTCGTGTACCGGAATTGCACCATTCAACAGAACACGAAATCGTTGCCTTCGCGCGCGGTTCGAGCGGTGCTCGTGCGTTGGCTACGCTCCTCTTACCTCCATTTGACAGTCTCGCTCGTCTCTATTGGTTTCCAAGAATGCATCGACGCTTCTCCCAATTCTGCTTCTTCTTCTTCTTCTCCTCCTTATCGCTCTGCGTCATCTGCGCGTCAGTGTCAGCGAAATCAGCGAACGATTGTGAGACGATCGCCCACGCTCTGCGCGACTGTCCAATCCAAGCCGCAGAAGTTGCAAATTCCAGATCGGTGTAGTCGAGGTCGAGCAACCTGCATGCGTTGCATGCATATGAGGTCTGACCGGCATGTTGGGACCGATGAGCCGTGCAACCCGATCGTTCTCCTCTCACATTCCGCTTTGCTTCTGTTCTCCTGTCATAGTCGACGGGATTGCTGTCGCGATCAGCAATTTTATAGTTGCAACAACTAAATCTAGGCGGTCGCGCTACGTTTCACGGCATCCGATGCGTATCCCCGCTCGCGCCGTCGTGTCGGATCTACGCGTTGGGCGGGAATGCTGCGCCGCCTGATCTATGATCCCTGTTCAGATCGATCTTGCGCATGAGGGAATGTTTTCACGGTTGCTTGCGCGCGCGGGTCATTGATGTGACGGCCTAGAGTCTGAGACTCGCCTGGTTTTGTGCCAATTGGTAAGGTACAGTGGTGGTGCTGACAACAATCGTCTGGGACGAGAACGCGAGCAGGCTGAGGAAGGATTGGAATACGACACTCGTGACTTATCACCGGGGAAGACAACAACCGAAGAATCAGGGATCGTGAGCGGCCTAGCACGCCGAGAAGCTGCATGAACGATCATGTTTCACAAGGGCTGTTGCAGAAGGTGATCCCGATGGGAATCGATCGCGGATGTCTACATGCCAGTACGACTTCCTATTGAGGCAATTGCGAGCTCAAATCCGGGTCAGAGTGACGCTGTGGAACATCCAAGTCGGGATGGCATGAGGACATAGTAGCTCGTGCTGTAATTACAGGCTTTAAAGCGTTGATCGATCATTGCTGGGCGAAAGTCAGCAGCGTGCAGCACAGTAGTCATCGCATCGATCAGAGCACACGGCACTCAGCTGAACCACACTGCGATGACGCTGTATGCAAAGTCCTGTAGCCTGAGGCTGGGGTTGGCTGACAGCCTTAACGTGCGACCCCGGCTCCCCACAGTATACACAGCCGCTCAGGATCGAAGGAGTCGGCGTTGGCATGTGTAGGCCATGTCGTCGAGATCGAGTCAGCGTAGCGCGAACGTTGACGGCGGTTGAACTTTGCAGGGGAGGCGGAAGACGGCAAACCCGCCAAGGGCCAGGGTCAATCTCAATCTCTGAAACTCCTTCGCCCGGCTTTGGCGGCGTGGAGCGGACAGTCCAATCACATGCCATGCGATTTTCGCGGCCCTGCATATGGATGAAAATATTGCATTTGCCACGGTGGAGATGTGAGCAGGAATCATGATGCCCGGAAGAACATTAGTCGAAGCTTTCGCACGTGGACACGCCGGTCGTGATTGCCTTGCTGGAGCCCGGCGAGAGCTTAATTTGAAATTCCCGGGAAAAGGGGCGGGCAGATCGCAAAACCAACCCGATGATTGACTTTTGCCGAACTGTTTCCGATGGGTTTTAGCACCGCGCACGCGCACAATTACTGGGGCCCTGGTTCGGCTTAACCCTTTCATCGCCCTGCTGGTCGCAACGCCTACTGGACTGTGTGGAAGGGGACACAACGGCTTCACCGAGCGCAATGCCTGCCCTGCTGTATACATATGCCTCATCCTGTGCAACGGACCGCGTGTGCGTCCCGTCTCACTCGGGGCCGAATGACTGATGATTCGGTCCCACATCAGCTGTTCGGCATCTCACACAGGCAGCAGCACCGGGCTGATGGACTCGCGTGCGACTCTGCCGGAAAGCCGGATGCTACCAAGGACTGTATGGAATCGTCTGCTGAGCCACGAGGAGCTACCTCTTGACGCGGGATGAAGTGCGCTTGAACACCATTTTTGCGTCATGCATACCAGTCTTGCATACCGCTGGCGTGCTTTTCCTGCTTCGCCTTGCTGCTGGCCTGGCTGCCTGCTGGCCTTGCTGCTAACCTTGCTGATGGCTTTACTGCTGACCTTGCCGCTTCTCAAGATTGCTTCTATGCAAGCAAGGAACCGGCACGAGCATTCCCCCGCTACCACGGACTGGGTGACACTGGCTATTGTACATACGCTGATTGCTCACGTGGGCGAACCTCTCGTGATGTGGGACCGTCAATCACCACGCGAGGCTGGTCACGTATCCAAGTTCCGTTACTGTGAGCACTTTTACCGCCCCACTGAGCGGCAGCATATCAAACATCCAGCGTACGATGGACTGGCTCGTCTCATTCTCGCCGTGCGTTCCGCGAGCATCACCGTACGCCCATCCTTCAGGCAGCGCAAGGCTCACACTGCCACATGTCGCATGCGGATCGCGATGAATGTGTGGCTGTTGTGATGCAGCGGGAGGGCGGGAAGGAGTCGACCCCCGGCGCACTGTGGATCCGTTGCCTCATCCAGTCGTCCAAAATAGCAGCACTTGGCGCCGCGGCCTCTCCTAAGAATAAAATTGCCAAACCGTTGCGGACCTTCAACAAGAAAATCGTTATCTGCTTACAGCATGTATACTCGGAGCGATGAGCCTATGAGGCGATGCTGGCATGATTTGTTGTTATTGTCGGCGCCGGTGTTCAGATGCGGTCTGGTTGGATCCGCGTGCATACTCTTGCCGTAGTGTCTCGTCAATCCCGGCTCCGTGCGCTCGCAGTGGACATAGGGCATCCCCGACGAGACCGCAGGGACGACCGCGACGAAAAGCGTGGATGGTCCGTCTCGCTCGTGTGTCTGTACGCCAAAGGCGCTGTCCGATGATGACTACTGTTGACGCCAAAATGATGAGCCGGCAAGAGGATGAGCCGGCTGGTCGAAAGCGGCAGGGCTGGTCATTGACTTCACGAGAAACACGGCGCTAGCGAGAAGACCCGAGATCTAGCGCCTTGCCCAATTTCAGCACCACTCTCCTCCCGAACTCCTTTTTGGGCGCGGGCGACACCAGTCCTGACGTCGGGCCCGGCGCGCCTGTCTGTGCTGCTGAACCATGTTTCCGCCCGGGGGCCATTCGGGGCGCCCCCCTGTCCATCAGCCTCTTTTTATATTGAAAGGCTCTTCCGTTTCAGACCACTCCTTCCCACACCCCATCCTGCTCCCCTACCGCCGACTCGCCATCGGCAATCCTCCTCCTTCACCACCACCCTCTTCTTCTTCCTTCTCCTCTTGCAATAGACTCTTACCCCGGTGTTCGAAGTGCTCTCTAGCCAGGAGCTCCTCGTTTCTTTCTTAATCCATCGCTCTTTATAGACTCCTTTTGCTACTGTCTACCCCCTTCGCCTCGTGTCTTGCCAACACGCCCGACAACAACAACAAACAACAACAGTACAACAACCCCCGATTCGACCCCTAATTTGCATTTGCACCGATTCGAGACGTGTTGAGCGCCGCATTGTCCTTTCCCTTACCCACCAGACCACTCTCGATCCGCAATCATGTCGAACGTACTCTTGTTCGGCGATCAAACCGCCGAGCAGTACCCCCTACTACACAAAATCGTCCTCCGAAAAGAAAATCCTCTGCTCCGGAACTTCGTGGAGCGCGTCTCCGTCATCTTGCGAGAAGAGACGAGATCACTACCGCGGAGTCAGCGGGATCTGATGCCCGACTTCCTGACCCTCAACGATCTCATCGAGGCATACTATCAGAAGGGCTCAAAGGTGGCAATGCTGGAAACGGTCTTGGTCACCATTGCTCAGCTCGGTCATTACATTGGATACTTCTCCGAAAACCCATCCGAGCTCCCTGCCGCGTCGAATGTTCGCGTTCTCGGGCTGTGTACCGGCCTCTTGGCCGCGTCTGCGGTGGTGTCGGCGAAGACGGTCGAAGAGCTTGTCCCTCTCTCTGTCGAGCTGGTTCGCGTTGCTTTCCGCTCCGGAGCCGTGGCTGACAGCGCTCGCAACATCTTGTCTCTCGTCGGAGAAGAGAAGGCACCGTGGTCGACGATTGTGACCGGCGCAACAGAACAGACTGCCAACGAGGCCTTGGCAGCCTTCCACAAAGAGAAGGGCATTGCATACTCCAATCAGGCGTACGTGTCTGCCGTGTCCACCATGGCCGTGACCATCTCTGGTCCGCCGTCCACCACCAAGCGCTTTTTCGAGGAATCTCCCGCGCTCAAGAACAACAACCGCGTTCCCATTCCGGTGTACGCTCCATACCACGCCGCACATCTCTACAGCCAGGCCGATTTCGATCGAATTCTGGCGGGCTCTGTCACGCGAGAGCTCAAGAAGCACCAGCCAGCTTCTCTGGTGCACTCCGCGGTGACTGGCAAGCCAATCGTGGCCGAAAACACCCTCGACCTCGCCGAAGAAGCCGTTTCGGAGATGCTGCAACAGCCCGTTCGCTGGGCGAACTTGCTGGAAGAGATTGTTTCCCAGGTTACATCCGGCAAAGCACCCGCCAAAATCTACGCGATCGGCGTCAGCAATGTTGCCAACAGCCTCGTCTCGGCCATCAGGGCTGGTGGCTTGAGCGAGGTTGTTGCCGTCGACTATACCACATGGACGGCGCCCGATACCGCCACCAACGGACGCACGCAAAACGACAAGGTCGCCATTGTTGGCATGGCCGGTCGTTTCCCCAGTGCCGCCAACCACGAGGCGCTTTGGGAGCTGCTCATGAAGGGCTTGGATGTGCACCGCAGAATTCCCGCGGATCGCTTTGATGCTGACGCGCATTGCGACCCGTCCGGAAAGGGCAAGAACAAGTCCCACACGCCCTTTGGATGCTTCATCGACGAGCCCGGTCTTTTTGATCCTCGTTTCTTCAACATGTCTCCGCGTGAGGCAGCTCAGACCGATCCAATGGGTCGTCTTGCGTTGGTCACTGCGTACGAGGCTCTGGAAATGAGCGGATACGTTCCCAACCGCACCCCCAGCACCAAGCTGAACCGCATTGGCACTTTCTACGGTCAGACTTCCGACGATTGGCGTGAAATCAACGCCGCGGAGAATGTCGATACCTACTTCATCACTGGTGGTGTGCGTGCCTTTGCTCCCGGCCGCATCAACTACTACTTCAAATTCTCCGGCCCGTCGTACTCCGTAGACACCGCTTGCTCGTCTTCCCTGGCCGCCATCCAGCTTGCCTGCACGTCCCTGTGGGCCGGCGACTGCGACACGGCCATTGCGGGCGGTCTCAACGTTCTGACCAACCCAGACATTTTCTCCGGTCTGTCCAAGGGCCAGTTCTTGTCCAAGACCGGCTCTTGCAAGACGTACGACAACGCCGCTGATGGATACTGCCGTGGCGACTCCTGTGGATCTGTTATCCTCAAGCGCTACGAGGATGCCATTGCGGACAAGGACAACATCTTGGGCTGCATTCTCGGTGCCGCGACCAACCACTCCGCTGAAGCCGTCTCCATCACTCACCCGCACGCCGGTGCGCAAGAGTTCCTCTACAAGAGAGTTCTTGCCAACGCTGGCATTGACGCCCACGAGGTCAGCTACGTGGAGATGCACGGTACTGGTACCCAGGCCGGAGACGGCATTGAAATGACCTCGGTCACCAATGTCTTCGCCCCTCGCCACCGCCAGCGCCGTCCTGAGCAGACTGTGCACCTTGGTGCCATCAAAGCCAACGTTGGTCACGCAGAGGCTGCCTCCGGCATCAACTCTCTCGTCAAGGTGCTCTTGATGATGAAGCACGGCAAGATCCCGGCCAACGTCGGTATCAAGGGCGAGATGAACAAGACTTTCCCTGCAGACCTGATCGACCGCAACGTCCACATTTCCCAGAAGGAAGTCCCATGGCCACGCAAGGGCGCCGCCAAGCGCAAGGTCTTCTTGAACAACTTCTCCGCTGCTGGTGGTAACACCGCCTTGCTCATCGAGGACGGACCTCTTCACGAAGCACCTACGGTCAAGGATCCTCGCAGCACTCTCCCCTTCACCGTGTCGGCTCGCAGCATTGCTTCGTTGAAGCGCAACATCAGCAATCTCCAGCAGTACATCGCCGACAACCCGTCCACCACTCTGACTTCGCTCTCGTACACTTTGGGCGCTCGTCGCATCCAGCACAACTACCGCGTGGCATTCCCGCTCGCGGACATTGCCAAGGTGTCTGATGCCCTCGAGGCGCAGGTCAAGGACTCGTACAGCCCGGTTCCCATGGTGCCCACCAAAGTAGCCTTCTGCTTCACTGGCCAAGGCTCGCAATACACTGGCCTTGGACAGATCCTGTACCAGGATTTGAAGAGCTTCCGCGATGACATTGACCAGCTTAACCATCTCGCCACCATTCAAGGTCTCCCATCCTTCCTCGAGCTCCTCGACGGCACTGATGTTCAGACCCTGTCTCCGGTGAAGGTCCAACTCGGCATGGCTTGTATCCAGGTCGCTCTCGCCCGCATGTGGGCCTCGTGGGGTGTCACCCCGGCCGCCGTCATCGGACACAGTCTCGGCGAGTACGCAGCCCTCCATGTTGCCGGGGTCATCTCCGCTTCCGACATGGTTCTCCTCGTTGGCCGCCGCGCCGAGCTTCTCGTCCAAGACTGCACTCCTCACACCCACGGCATGCTTGCTGTCAAGGGCAGCGCCGAGTCCATCCGCAACACTCTCGGCAACAAGATGACCGAGATTGCATGCATCAACGGACCCGAAGAGACCGTCCTGTGTGGCAGCGGAGAGGTCGTTGCCGCCGCAAGCGAGGCTTTGACTCAGAAGGGCTTCAAGGCCACCAAGCTCAATGTGCCGTTCGCCTTCCACTCTGCGCAGGTCGACCCCATCCTTGACCAGTTCAAGCGTGTGGCCTCCTCGGTCACCTTCAACAAGCCCTCGGTCCCCGTCCTGTCCCCGCTCCAAGGCGAGATCATCCGCGAGGCGGGCATCATCAACCCCGATTACCTTGCCCGCCACGCTCGCGAGACCGTCAACTTCTGGGCTGCCCTTACCAGCGGTCAGAAGGAGAAGGTCTTCGATGACAAGACGGCGTGGCTCGAGATTGGCGCTCACCCCGTGTGCTCCGGTATGGTCAAGGCCTCCATCGGCGCAACGGTCGCTGCTCCGTCGCTCCGGCGCGGCGAGGACGCGTGGAAGACCATCTCCACCAGCGTCTGCACTCTGTACACTGCTGGTGTGAACATCAACTTTGACGAGTTCCATCGGGAATTCAACGATGCTCAGGAGCTGCTCCCTCTTCCCACCTACAGCTTCGACAACAAGAAGTACTGGCTTGACTACCACAACAACTGGACCCTGACCAAGGGCGAGGAGCCCAAGGTCCGGGAAGTCATTGTCGAGAAGCAAGTTGCTGGGGCTCCAGCGGCCGCTCCTGCTGCGGAGCCTCCTGCCAAACGACTTTCCACCTCCTGCCAGAAGGTTGTCCTCGAGGACTTCAGCGCCAACAGCGGCCGATTGATCGTCCAGAGCAGTCTCGCGGATCCCAAGCTGTACCCAGTCGTTTGCGGCCACATGGTCAACAACGCCGCTCTTTGCCCGTCTTCGCTCTACGCTGATATGGCTTTGACTGTGGCGGACTACATCTGGAAGACTATGCGTCCTGGTGCCGAGGCGCCGGGCTACAACGTCTGCAATATGGAAGTGCCGAAGCCGCTCATTGCTCAGATCCCCCAACCACCTCTTGGGCAACATATCCAGGTGGAGGCGAATGCCGATCTCGAGAATGGTCAGCTCAAGTTGAACTTCCGCAGCGTTGATCCCAGCGGCAAGAAGCTTCAAGATCACGCCCACTGCACGGTTCGCTATGAGGAGAAGGAAGCGTGGACCACCGAGTGGGCCCGCTACAACTTCATGGTGAAGGCGCAGATGGAGATCTTGAACCAGAAGACCCTCACCGGCGGTGCGCACAAGGTGCAGCGCGGCATGGCCTACAAGCTCTTCAAGGCGCTTGTCAGCTACGACGACAAGTACCGTGCCATGGCCGAGGTCGTGCTGGACGGTCAAACTACCGAAGCCTCCGCCACGCTCGACTTCCCCACGAAGCCCGAGGACGGTGACTTTTACTGCCCGCCATACCACATCGACGGCTCCTGCCATATCTCTGGATTCATCGTGAACGCCAGCGATCTCCTCGACTCCGAGCAGAACGTCTACGTCTCGCACGGATGGGGCGCCATGAAGTTCTCGCGTCCTCTTACCGCCGGCATGAAGCTCAAGAACTACGTTCGCATGCAGCCGCAGCCAAACAACATTTCCAAGGGTGACGTCTACATCATGGAGGGCGACGAGATCATTGCCGTTTGCGAGGGCATCAAGTTCCAGCAGATCCCTCGCCGCGTCTTGAACACCTTCCTGCCGCCCAACAAGGCCTCTGCTGCCGTGTCCAGCCCTGCTCCGCGACAGCTTTCCGCCCCGGCACCCGTCAGTGCTCCTCTTGCTCCTGCCCCGTCCGCCCTCAAGCAGACCATGGTCCGCTCTCCTGCACCCGCTCCCATCAAGGTTATGCAGCCGCCGCCTGCCAAGGCTACCCTGGCCGCACCAAAGGCTGCGCCGAAGCAGAAGAAGACGGTGCAGAAGAAGTCGTCGTCGGGCGGTTTGCTTGGCAAGGTCATGAAGATCCTGGCAAGAGAGACCGAAGTCGACGAGAACGAGTTGGTCGACGACGCACACTTCGAGAACTTGGGTGTCGACTCTCTCCTCTCCCTCACCATCTCGGCCATCTTCCGAGAGGAGTTTGAGAGGGAGATCAGCTCGACCCTCTTCACCGACTACCCCACTGTTGGCGAGATGAAGAAGTACTTTGCCCAGTTCGACGGCGGTGCCACCAGCTCAGAGGAGGAGGAAGACTCGTCTGACGAAGACTCCATCCCGCCTACTGATCTGCCCACGCCCTACGAAGCAGCCTTCTCCACACCCGCCAGCTCTGCACCCAGCATAGCACCGAGTGACGATGGCAAGCCCGATTCACCCGATCGCGAGTCGCTCGGCGACGTTGGCGACGTCAGCATTGCCCGACACATCGTCGCTCAGGAGATGGGCGTCGATATCTCCGAGGTCACCGACGATGCCGAGCTGGCCGAGATGGGCATGGACTCGCTCATGAGCCTGACCATCCTCGGCGAGCTGCGCGAGAAGACGGGCATCGACCTTCCCTCCACCTTCCTGACCACCAACCCCACCATCAAGGACGTGGAAGACGCTCTCGGCATGCGCCCAAAAGCTAAGCCGGCGGCAGCCCCCAAGCCTGCTCCCGTCGTCGGCAAGTCTGCAGGCGGCCCCTTTGCCAAGAAGAACAATGATCTGCTCAAGAAGACTGATATGAACGAGGTGATTGCGCGCTTGGAGGCGCTCAACAACACCGACTTGAGCAAGTGGCCCAAGGCCAACTCCGTCCTTCTGCAGGGCAACCCGCGTGAAGCCAGCAAGAAGATTTTCTTCCTGCCTGACGGATCCGGTTCGGCGACCAGCTATGTCCAGATCCCCAACATTGGTCCGGACGTGTGCTGCTATGGCTTGAACTGCCCCTTCATGAAGGACCCGGAGCAATGGACGTGCAGTCTCGAAATCTCTGCCCTCATCTACCTGCAAGAGATGAAGAGACGGCAGCCCAAGGGCCCGTACATCGTCGGCGGTTGGTCCGCAGGTGGTGTCATCGCCTACGCCGTGCAGCAAGCGCTCCTCGCCGCCGGCGAGCAAGTAGAGAAGCTCCTACTTCTCGACTCGCCCTGCCCCGTAGACCTCGATCCCCTCCCCGCCCGCCTGCACATCTTCTTCAACCAAATCGGCCTGCTCGGACAAGGCGACGCAAGCAAGACGCCCAAGTGGCTGCTCCCGCATTTCGCCGCCGCCATCCGCAATCTCTCGGACTACAAGCCGAAGCCCAGCCTCAAGCCGGTGCCGACGTACTTTGTGTGGTGCCGAGAGGGCGTTGCTGGGAACCCTGGCGACCCTCGACCGCCGCCAGCGGAGGAGGAGGACCCGGCGCCGATGAGGTGGCTGCTGGATCACCGGACGGCATTCGATGCCAACGGTTGGGACCAGCTTACCGGAAACAGCCCGATGAAGTTTGGCGTTATGGGTGGCCATCACGTAAGTCGACTTCCCCTCGCACAATGATGTGAAACAATGATGTGAAACAATCTTGCTAACTTGCAAATACAGTTCTCAATGATGAAAGAGCCCCTTGCTGGGGACCTCGGAAACCTCATCAGAGAAGCCATTGACTGGAAACCGTAAAGTCAATCCAAACCCAGTCATCCAGCATTCCCGGCGTTTCTCCTCAACAGGCGGCTGGTCAGGCCATGGACACGCCTCGACTCCTCTCGACCGCCTTTGTCCGCCGTTGGCTACGGCGCCCAAACGGCATCAAGCAAGACTCGAAGCGCGGCCTCATGGCTCGCCCAGCTCGGACCTCGTGTACTCATTCACAACCTCCCGGGCATCTAATGGGCTTTCAAACGCATATGGGACGCGGGGGGCGTTTTCAGGGTGGTGACGGAAGAAAAGACGAGAACCCGCACCGCCACCCTTGTACAATCATTTTCCTTTTCCTCCATGGTTTCTGCTGGGACCGGGCTGCAAGCGTTTTTGGGCATTTACACAATTTTTCCTTCTCTCTCTTCTGACATCCCGCCTTCTACTCGAGACATCCGATCTTTGCATTTGGGATACGCCGTGTACTGTGGGATGGCTACCTGCTCGTATGTAGTATGTCTTAGCTGTAATGGGAGAAAAACACAATGGGATACGCTCTTTTCGAACTAATGCTCGTGTCCCTCTCCCCTCTCGTCTCCTCCCACCTCCGCCCGTCATCTCAGCACGTTATCGTCTCGAGCTTCCTTTCAAAACTCCCCCGGCTCATAAGACGCAAAGAGTTCACGCCACAACCCCCCATCCACCCCGTCGCAACCCGTCCACTCCGCCTCAGCCAGCCAGCCTCGCAGGCACGCCCACCGCAAAGCCCCCAAGTACCGCTGTATTGCATGCAGCCCAACCCGAATCGGGGGCGCGCGCAACAGAGCACGGCCGGCCGATCGTTCTCCCCGCACCAAACTCCGAAGATAAGGGCACTACAGTACTGTCTTTCCACTATTGGAATTTTGGCGAATGTGCATTGGGTGATGAGATAGATGCGATGCGGTCTTGCATTTGCATACAGCTGTACGTCCGCGTCGTTTTCAGCCGCACGCGTAACCGTATTTCTGACGCCGCTGATGCCGATGTCGATGTCGATGCCGATGCCGATGGGATGCAGGTGAGATGCGGTTTTGTAAGCCGTGCGGCTGATGTTTTGTTGGGGGGAGCGAACGCGGGTGAGGAGGGTGCGTTTGGGGGCGTGGAGGTTTTGATGGTGGATACGGTGATGGCAACGGGTGAGGCGAGGGGCATATTCTGGTTGGCCTGATGGGGGTTTGAATCGCTGGCATTACTGGTGCACGCGCGCGACGGGGTACTTTTGCGCATGTATTGCGTATGGTTGGCTCGATAACAGGGCGTTGCTGTAAGCTCTCCGAGGAAGAATGAAGATCTTGTTTACGACTATCAATGCGTGTTAGGACTAGGCGGAGTGAATGTGAGCTTCAATCAGCGTGATCTTCCCCTCCAACCAAGTCCTGCTGCCGCGCTGTCTGCTTGATTGTCTCTCTCGCCAACGCCGCCCCCTCTCGCTTGCCCCTGTCCACATCAACCAAGGACATAAGCGGAATGGGCAAAGCGATCAGCACTGCCAAAAACCAAAACGCGGGTCGGATATCGCCGGTGGCGTCGGTGATGGCGCCTACAATGGCGGGTCCAAACACACTACTCCCCTTATCGGTGATGGCGTAGAGGGCGTAGAAAGCCGCTTCGCTGCCCGGCGGGATGAGCTCGCCGTACAGACTGCGGCAGTAGCTGGACAGACCACCAAGGACGAGACCGTAGACTGCGCCGAGGGGATACATTTCCCACGGTTGCTGCAGACCGAAGGATCCAAGGCGTTGGATGGCGGGAATGTAGCCGAGGAGGCCGTAGAGGGGAATGAGTTCGAAGAGGCAGATGCAGGTGAGGATGGTTTGGCTGGGTTTGAGTTGGAGGAAGCGACTTGCTTTTGACCAGGTGAAGGCTCCTGCGATGCCGGAGATGGTGACGATGACGTTGATGAGCGCGAGGGCGGAAGAGTCCATTTCCAGCGTGGTTTTGGCGAACAATATGGCTGTGCCGGAGACGGTGGCTACTGCGTCGGAGATCATAAACCACGCGCCGAGGAAGAGAAGGACATCCTTGAGGCGTCGAGCACGGATGATTGTTCGGCCCAAGTTGGCCCATGAGAAGGTGAGGTAGGCGATGCATGTTCCGAACCGACTGCTTTTGCCAATGGCAAGTGGAGGCCCGGGCCGCGGTCGAAGCCAGAATGCTGCGGGAATGGTGAAGCTCAGCCACCAGGCGCCAATGAAGAAGAGTACCAATCGGAGAGAGAAGAGATTTGCACCCGTGGCTTTGAGGATGAGAACGGAGAGAATCTGCACAGTGACCGCCGCAATGTAGCCTATGGCGACGCCGTTGGATGAGATCCTGGTTGAAAGCTGCATTTGTGCAGAGGCAGCAGCGGGCATTGGCGCAATCCGCTCGTCTTGCCCCAGTAGCGATGCTGTAGGATCGATCACGTCTGATGCAGAAGGGTCTTCTGACTCCCGATAATCCGGATCCTATTCGCATTGTCAATTGAGCATCCTCGGCTAAACAGATGATGCCTATTGTGCACACATATTCCAGGGAACGAGAGGTGTAACATACCCGTAGAAGTTCCGAATAATCCAACCCTTGCGCATCAGCCGTGTGTGCACGTGGCGAAGCCGGGTGATGTCTCACGAGCAATGGCAAAAAGGAGTTTAACAAGACGAAACTTGCCCCAAAACACACGTTTCCAACCGTGGCCCATAGACTGCCTAGAAGGAATACGGCAGGAGTGACAGGCAGGAAGAGCATGGTAGCGATGGCCCCGACGATTGCGAATGTAAGCAGGAGTGTCTTCCTGTATCGGCCGTGATCGGCGGCGCCAGACATGGTGACGACGACGAGGGCCTGGAGCAGCACCGACAGCGAGAAGGTGTACATTGCGAAGGAAGCCGTGTTGATCTCATGGCCGAGGAGCTGAAAGACGCACTGAGAGCCACGGGCGTGGGGAGAGTCCTGGCGGAGAGCAAGAGGCGGCTGGATGCCGCGGGCCCGACATGGTTGGCTGTGGTCGTGAGCGAGGACTGCAGTGGCCGAGTCTCTGGCAAGGTCTTCTAGAATGATGGGGATAAAGGCGCCGAGGCCACACACCACAAAGACCTCGGCCGCGAAGGAATAGGTGTAGAAGCCGCGGAGTTCTTTGGGGGAAGTTGGGCGCGTGTCTTCGCCATCGTAAGCGGGGAGATTCAAATCCGTAGAGCCTTCGAGACTGCTGGGCGCCATGTCTGTATGGCTCCAAGATGACGAGTGCTCGTCATCGGCTTCGTAAGGCGATGAGTCGCGGGCATGTGTGGCGGAGGTGGATGGGGAGGGCGTGAGAGGGGGAGAGAGCAATGCTTGGAGGTGAGGTTGCGCTGGCCTCGCCATCGCAGCCAATCAATGGCCGGCAGCCTGCTGACTTCCCTTTCCGGACAATGCCAGACAACCGCCTCTCGTGTGAACATGAGGCATGGTCTTTCTGTCGAAGCCGCAGAGGATGACAAGAATCGAGGCTGGCCTTACCTTATATACCTCATCGCGCCGCCGCTCGGCGAGCGAGGCTAATATGAGTTGGGTAAGGCAGATGTGCGTGGCTAGCCGCGAGGGATCAACGCCTAGCTATAGCTTTGGCCAAACGGCGTATCGCTTGGGTCCTTGGACGATCAAACGGCAGTCTCAAGACAATGGCGCCACCGTTATTGTGCTTGGATGAGACAGAGACATGCCTTAGCATGCACTCTTGCACGCGAGAGATGGAGGTAGAGGAGCGACAGACGTGCGTGACATAAGGCTTGGCCAGCGCCAAGACTTCTGACCCGGAATCCTCTGCGGATCGCGCTGCTGGCCTGCGCATCACCAACCTCGCAGCCCTCCAACCCTCCCTCCCGCGTGTTTGCCCTCCCCGCCGTGTAACATCGACGCAACCTCCAACCACCCCTCCTCACACCTCAGTCGCAACGAGTGCCTTCGAGGCCTGCAGTTCTCGTTCCCCTTGCTCCCTCTCTCAACTCCAAACCATACTCCGCTCGCACACAAGCCTCACCCACTAGCCTGGCCGCCCACCTACGCTCTTCGCTTCCCCTCGCAGCGGCGCCCTCCTTAGCGCACCGCGTGAAACCGTTCCGCTCACAGACGACTGCGTCATCCTCCATCCGACACGCGCACAATACCACATTCCTTTCCCCCTCACAGTCGCTTAACACGGCCCTCCCTCACAGACTCAGATAGCGACGGCAAGCCAGACCACGAATACTTGCTCCTATTCTATACAACGGCGTCCGAATCCCGGCTTCAGCGGCGTGGAGGCGGAGGGGAGAAGTCGAGCTCAGTGGAGGGCGAAGGCAATGGTGCCGCGAGCGCTTAGATGCTCGGTGCGCTCGCCATGGAACAATTGAGCACAGCAGGCTCGCAAGAGCTGAAGAAAGATCGCAGCGAGGCGCAAGAGGAGGCAATGACTTCACAATCACCCCCCGTGCAGTCACACTCGGTCACACTCACGAATGGCGACCTACCTCACGCGCCGAACGGCATTGTGTCAAATGGCGCAGCGCAGCCGACGACCTCGCTCGCTTCCGTCAACGGCGATACTCTCAAGGGGACCCCGACCGATCGAGACCTCGTCCAGCCCCCTCCTCTAGATCAGTCATGGCGCCAGCACGACAGCAACAAAAGCCTTGGCCGGATGATCGAGCGTGTCGCGCAAAAGTGCTACAAAGATCTGAACTCCACCCTCACCAAAATGTCCGAGATCCCCGTCGAGCCTTCCGTCAGTCAACTAAACGGCATCATCCCGCATGCTGGAGAAGATACGGTCGAGGGCAGCTTGAAGAAGAAGCGCCTGCTACTGGAATTTGCGAAAGAGCAACGAGATGTCTTCATCAAGACGCTCGTGCTAACGGATTGGTGTAGGAATGAGGAGGATCAAAGCAGCTTGATCGATCTCAAAGTCTGGCAAGAGCAGCGGGGGAATGCGCAAGATAGTGCCATCCGGATGCTCGGGCAGACGAAGATGACGATGATCAACGCCAAGGTGCCTGCCCCAAATATCGAAGGAGCCATGGAACTCATGGCCACGGGAAAAGCCTCAGGGGTTCCAGACCTGGCGTACCTCCCTCCAAAGCGCCTCACCGCAAAGCAGCTGCTCAAGACTTTGCGCAACATGAACGTCATCCTGGCCACGCGATTGAACCTGCACGAAGACTTGCCGCCGCACTTTTCCGACTTCACCATCGCGGATGGGCGAGCAACATTCACCGTGCGCGATGAGTTCGAGGTCGATCTGTCTGTTGCAGATGAAGACCCAGCAACCCCGTTCTACTTCATCGACATCAGATTAGCCTTCACTCCTGCTTCCAACATTCTCAACGAGCAATTGCGAGGCTACTTGGAGCGGAAAGTCAATCAAGAGCTGGCCACCAAGGGTCTCAGAGGATGTTACGATTTCCTTCACGCCTTGGTCCTCACGCATAAGATCAACATCATGCGAAGTCAGGGAGCGGGGCTGATCCGCGGGAAATGGTTTGAGTGCATTCGGACTGAGAACATGAGACGAAGCTTCATTATCCAGTACTGGTCTGGCCGACCTGGAAAGAAGTCTTGGATCGAAATCGGCATCTCAAGTGGCAAGCAAGATGGCAAGGGGTCAAGACGTGCTGTGACTCCGCGAATCTCAGTGCGCTGGTTTCGCCACGGAGAGGAAATCAAGGACCACGGACTTGTCTTCGATTGGCGAGACCTAAACCTGGAACGGTGCCTTTCGATGGTAATCACGAAACACATTGACTGGATACTGCGCGATGTCGAGGAACGAATCCGCGACTCGGCAGCATCTACATCGCCTCCAAGCACAATGCTTGAGCAGTCAGAGGAATCGCCATTCTCGTCCGCACTCCTTCTAAAGCATCCGTCGTTGAAACAACCGCTTCACGTCCGCATTGAGCCAGTCACAGGCCGGTTCTCCATCACTCCTCCTTCGCTCCCCGCCGCCCACACCGAACACAGTCTCAATACAAACGCAAAGTCGGATGCAGCGAAAGCGTTGACATCCGTCATGGGCGCGGTCGCGCAAGAGAAAGTGCATAGACAGGCCATGTTGCTTGGGTGGAAGACAACGCCCAATCTCGCCAAACAGGATAATCTACCCAAGCTTTTCGGCCAGGCGGTACGACATATCAGCGTCTTCACCCCAAGTAGAGCGTGGGGAAATCGCTGGGCTCTGGTCGCTACATTCACTTCTGGTGGTGAGAAGTGGTGGGCTGTGTCGTTGGACGACAAGCGCGATGAGCAAAGTAAAGTTGTGGGGAGGGTGTTGATAAGCGCAGTGCCGGTCGGTCTTCCAAACTCACATGGAGACGAAGAGCCTATCTCAAGCGCTGTCCTCATGCGCATCGAAATGCTGGCAGTTGCGGAAGCGGCTTTCAGCGCTTTGACCAAGCAGTTGAAGGACATGAAGATTCCATTCACTTTGGAGAAGCTTGTTCAGGACTCCTCAGCTGGCGTAGGCGCGGCAACGAGCACCAGACCGACCGCAGCACTGCTTTTGCAGTTCTCGCCAATGATGAAAGCAACAGACAAGAAAGCCGGGAAGCCGTGGGCCGCCGAGCTGGTGCGCCTGACACATCATGGCATCATCAACGATTTCTCGGACGAAGATGCCAACGTGCGACATGATCTTCGCCTTACCTTGCAGCCTGGCAAGTTGGACCACCTCCGAGAATTCATCACCCATTCCGCCGACCGAGACGTCGCCATGAACGACACAGGCGGGCTAGCCCTCCGCTTCCGCACCGCCTTCGGCCAGCCCTTCGCAGCGCAGATCCAACAGCGCCTCCAGAGCGTGCACCGCCTAGACAACTACATCGCCACTCTCAAACGCTGCCGCTTCACCTGCGACCACGTCAGCTTATCGCGCCTGGGTTTCACCTACAACGAGTCCCCCAAACTCGCCGCCGAGCTCCTCTTCTCCAGCGACAAAGCGTCGCCCGTGCGGCTGAAGCTCGAGCCCTCGTCCAGCAATCCCCACCAACTCCTCCGCGTGCTCCTTGAACAGGATCTCAACGACAACGAAGCCAACAGGCTAGAAGGTGCGGGCTTCGCCACTTTCTGCTTCATGCTGAAATTCAGCCTGCCAGTTCTGCAAACCGTGCAGCGCTTACAATCCTCGCACCCCGCAAAACACACCCTGACCCTCCACCCACGAAGTTCCGCCTGGTATAGTCTGAAATACCTCGCTCCGCTCCCCGACATCGTCTTCCAGCTGCGCGCAAGGAAGAGAATCGAAAGTGGGGGCGCGAGAGTCATGAAGTGGCACGTTGAGCCCAGCGGCACTTCCTCTCCTTCTGCGAAGAAAGACATCGTGCCGCAAGAACTGAACACGGCGCTCAAGGAGCTGTGGAAGACCGATGGCGAGCACTGGGATGGCTTGGGTTCAGGCATCGTGGCTGATGCAGATGGAATCGGAACTGTGATTGAGAAGGTTGATGAACTTGTTCGCCGCTTCGAACGGCCGCCGGGTGAGGAGTCGAAGGCTGCTGCTGCCGCTGCTGTTGCTCCTTCTGCTGCTCCTGCGGTGGAGTCTAAAACCGAAGCACCGCCGACGCAGCCGTCTCAGAACCCTCAGTCGAGTCCTTCGAAGACGAAAGCGGCGGCAGCATCGAAGACGACTGTCAAGGCAGAACCCGACGTCATCATGCTGGATTAAGCTGGGCTGGATATGCGGGTGTGACAGGAGGGAGGGTCGAGGTATTAGCGACGGCGTTGGCCATCTGGACGATTTGCGTTCACTTTTCTTTTTTCGGGTGGACTTTTGTTTATTTTGCACTTATACCAAATGCGCACGGCTCTAGAACGGATGGCTGATCCGAAGGGGTTGCGCAGCGCGGAGGCTGTGGCCTTTCTTGCTTTACATGCGGCGGGTCGAATGTACGAGTGTAATGACGACGAGTGGCCAGATGGGGACATTAGGCAAGGCATAATAGAGGAAGCTCACGTATGCAAGTTGAGACCATCTCTCGCCTTTCTTCTGCCTGGGTATCTGTATCGACTCTGCGCTGGACAAGTATGGCTAAGAGGAACGCTGTGTCGTGAGACGGACTATGCATTTACCCATTTGGACTCGCTTTCTTCCCGTTTGACGCCGAGTCCGCGCCCTTTTCCTTTCGCCTTTCCGCTACATCCCAGTTGTACACGCGCGCGGTGGCGACTTCCATTGTCTGTCGGATTCGTTAGTACCCGCACGTCATGCCTTCGAAATGCGCGGCGAAGATTGGTCTCCAAAATGAAACGGAGAGGGAAATGGAACGTACGGTGATCTGCTCGCGCAAAAAATCCAAATCCTCTTCGCACGTCTCTAGACTCGTCTGCGCCGCGCTCAGCTTCGATTGCAGCAGTTCGAGCGCTTCCGGGAGGGTGTAGGAGAGCATGACGTTTGCCTGTCCCGCGCACATTAGTATCAGAATCAATCCGAATGAAATGTAAGGGAGGACCTACGCCAAGCCAAAGGTACACCTCTTCCGTCTGCGCAATCGCGGCTTTGGCGAAGAGGGTGTCGTTGAGTTCGAACGTTGCTTCCAAGGGTTCTGAATCGGTCTGATGTCCATGTCAATAAGTGATTTATGCGCCGATTGTCGCACTTAGGAAAAGCGACTGCCTACCGTCCGCCTCTGCAAAAACTCCACCGTCTCAAGCGTCTTCTGAATATCCGGGATTTTATCCTTCAGCCCAAGCGCGCGCCGCTCAGTATTGGCTTGCATGAATTGGTACTTACTATTCCGCACACCATCAGCAAAACAGACCATCAAAGCGAGTACAGGGGAGACGCACGAAATCATCTCCTGAAAGTTCTTGAGTGCGCCCTCGACTTCTGCGCGCGAGGCGACGTAGTCCTCCACGCGGTCGACGAAGGGCGCGTACGGGATTCCTCGCGGGTTGGTGGGGGCATCTTTGCTGCTGACGCTGGTTTGTTGTGAGGTGGCCATGGGGATGTGTTGGGTGGCCCGGACTCACTGGCAGGATGGAGGAGAGGTGAGGTGCGGTCGAGAGAGGGAAGTTCGTTAGGGCTTTGCTGAAGGGGATGCCTCAGGCATTAGAGACGTTCAAACATTTCATGTGTGGTTTTTTTTTTTAAAACGACTCGCAGCTATTGATCACGGCATGCATTTACAGATAAAAGTCCGTGGTGAAACCAGAGAGTGCTTGATTGTCCATTACAATGATCATTTCGTCACACCTCGCCCCAACTCCTCGCTAAAGCTGTCACGTCTTGCGCGACGTGCAACAGATATCAAGCATGCCATCGCGATAATGCTCCATCACGAAAGCACATCAGACAGGCCAGCAGCGATATTAATACTGCATGCTTCCTCCTCCATAGCCCTGGCCGACATTGTCGTCGAGGCTGCGGTATCCGCCTCTGCCTCGTCCGCGCTGCATACCGCCTCCTCCTCCTCCTCCTCCTCCTCCTCCACCACCCCTCCCACCCCTTCCTCTAAACCCACCGGTCTGCCCTCCACCCCGCTGGCCCGTATTCCGAGCTCCGCCACGCTGTGCAGCAGAGCCAATCTGGTTCCCGCCGCCAGCTGCATTCCTCTCGCGCCAGGTTCTGCCCTGCGGTCGCGTATTCTGCATCTTGTTGCTGGCAGGCAAACTAGGCCACTCCTCTTCTCGAGGATGCTTGCGGCCCGTAGAAGCCAGGGAGTTCTGCTGGTTGGCAAAGTTGGCCTCCCACTCATCCTCGCCTTTGATCTCTTCTTCGATTCTCAGCAACACCTTCTCCCCAACGACTGTCTCGAATTCCCAACTCGCCCATTCGGGACTCACTGGCTGCCAGTTTTGTATCCGGTTGGCCTCGATGGGTTTCGTCTGCCTGCGGGTGGCGAGGACGATGCATGGAACGGGATTTTCGGTGTAAATTTGCGAGGTTTCGGGGACGGGAGCAACGCGAGCAGCCCAGATGCGTTGTTCGAGATTGGCGATGCCTGTAATGCGAAAGCGCTGTTTGCTGCCCGTGCCGCCAATCTTGGACAAAATACTTGCGGGCGCGGGACGTGGAGTGATGAGGACGTTATTGGCGAGGTATTTGATGTCGTGATCGCGGACATGCGAAGGTAGTTGAACGAGGGTTTTGAGCTTTTCGATGTCCGGGGGAGAGATAATGTAGCCTGTGTAGAAGACGGTGCGCTTGACTTTGTACGGGATGAGGCCGAGGGAAGGATTGGATAGGCGATGAGAGTTGTGGGTATTAACCATGCGTTGAATTTCGGCCACTTCGGCCACGGGATCCATGCGTGTTTCTTGTTCGGTAACCTGAATGACTTCGGCAAGGATGGGCGGTCGAGGAGCTGGGTGGTGAGTTGGGGTGAGGAAGATTCTGTTGAGGTCGGCGAAGAAGTCGCGGAAGGCTTTGGTGTGCTTTGGGCGATCTTCGTACACTCGTATCTCCTCGGCGAGGGAGTATGTGAGGACGATATCTCGCAGCAGGGCTTGTTTGAAGAGCATCGTACTCCCAAACGTCTCTCCGTTCGGACTGACTTTGGGTTTCAAGCAGACCATGTCGAACACCAGACCCTTGCTCTTCACCATTCTCCCTAGCAAGTCGGCGAATCCATCTTCTCCTCTGCCGGTCAACAGGATGGTCAGCGTTGACTGATCCTGCATCGACAGCCGCACAAGATCGACGATGGTCTCGTTCCAGCAGCCCGACCACGCCCGAGGCTCTTCAACGTCTATGCCCTCGCCGACGGCAGACAAGATGGCGGGGTTATGCCACCATCCACCATTGTACAGGAAATCTTGCCCTTGCAATTGGCCGTAGGTGCTGTTAGACCAGAGCTGCTTCGAGGGGAGAGGAGAGGAGAACACTGTTCCTGTTGCATCAGTTCAGTCCAGTGTATGAAAGCGAGGCAATCGCAGCTCCTACATGTGTTGTCAAAATCGTAGACGTGGATGTGTTTGATCTCGGGCACCGAGGGCAATGGGCGATCTTGACAGCTCCATCGGCGGAGCGCCGTGGGCGTGGGCTTGGTGGTGCCGTTCATGATGTGTCGTACATGGCGCGACGCATTCACTGGGTCGGAGAGGACATTCTGACGAGAGGATGTTGTTGGTGGGATGGAAGTCGCAGAGCGAGCAAGGCTCGGAGGAAGGCTCAAATCTCGAATGACTCGCTGCCAAAAGTCGAGTCGGGCCCACTCTTCCGATCGCGCTAACCAGATTCAATGACGAGATACATCTGATGCGATGATCTCGTGAGATGCACCTCTTCCACTCGCATTCACAATCACGACACTTGTTTTGTTATTGGCCAGTTGCCAAATATTCCATTCTCTCCCTTCATTTACTCCAGTGCGGTCCTTCGAATGGCCGTCTAGATTCCTGCTCATTCGCAGACTCGACACCTCTTCTTCACCTCTAGCTTCCCCACGATGGCGCTGTTCCGATCAACTCCCCAACACATCCAGCGATGTAGCAGGTCTATCTCCTCAAGAGCCAACCTACTCGCTCGCCAAAATCTACCAGCCCGCGCCACGCTGACAGCACAACAATCGCGCGCGTACCGAAAACAACAACACCTCCTCCGCTCCCTCCTCTTCCTCACCGCAGCTGGCTCCCTTGCCACTCTGTCCAACTACTACCTTCAGAACAATGGCCGGCTACTCCGCACTACCCACGCCGAGTCTCCCGAACAAGAAGAGAACCCGTTGGTATTCGAGGCGTCAAGAAAACAACCAGGGCTGAGCAAAGAGGAGAATCGAGATCTGATTAGCAGTCAGCATCACCAGGTCAAGCGATCATGGGAGAACCCCGGGCTGTATGCGTGGGGCAGCAACACAGGTCGAGTGGTTGCGCCTGATCGACCCGAAGATGCCGTGGTCAAGACACCTCGGCGAATCAGCTGGTTTGATGGGATGTTGTTGCGAGATGTGAAGCTCGACCGCAAGTTTGGCGCGGCTATCAACGAGCAAGGCGACCTGGTGCAATGGGGAACGGCGTACAAACCTGAGCTCCGGGCGCCGGAGGTGACACTCAAAGGCAAGGACCTGGTGCGCTTGTCTATCAGTCGCGACCGCATCCTAGCCCTGGGCGGGAACGGGAAGGTGTACAGCATCTCCGTGTCCGCGGAAGAGCAGTTGGCCGGGAACAAGCCCAGTGAAGCAAGTTGGGTTCCATTCTGGACCTGGAGGAGCGACATATCCTATCGAACGATTGAGCCCAAGGGTTTGGGGTATAGAGAGAAAGTCTCTGCCATCGACAGCGGCTTGGAGCATGCCATCCTGCTCACAAGTAAAGGGCGTGTCTTCTCCATGGCTTCGGCATCCGACGCCTTCCCGAATCGCGGACAATTAGGCGTGCCAGGCTTGACCTGGGTGACACGACCCGAGGGAGCATTCGACCAGCCCCACGAAATCAGCACGCTCAACGGCTTTCCCATTGCCCAAGTGGCATGTGGAGACTACCACACGCTCGTCCTCGACACTTCAGGCCGAGTATTTAGCTGGGGCGACAATGCATCCGGCCAACTGGGATTTGATTTCAATTCGGAATCGACCATCATCGACGCACCATCCCTCCTTCCCACCGGAAGATTATACATGGGCACCTCCCAAGTCCCGCTCATCACCTCCGTCGCCGCCGGCGGCTCCAACAGCTACATCACCGTCGAGGCAACCCGAGTGGCATCCCCCAATGACGACAGCAACGATGCGCGCACAAAGCGCATGCTCGGCCGCGTGACGGCCGACACCTTCGCCTTCGGCACCGGCATCTACGGCCAACTCGGCAACGGTCGCTGGACCCACATGCAATACAGCCCGACGAAAATTCCCATCCTGAGCGGGCTGTTTGAGTACGACGAGCGCACGAACCGCACGGTGCCCATCCGCCTCGCGCACCTGTCCGTGGGCTCCACGCATGCCGCGGCCGTGATGCGAAACATTACCTACCTCTCCGCCACCGAGCGCACCAGCTCCGACGACACCAACTGGGGCGCCGATATTGTGTTTTGGGGCGGCAATGAGTCCTACCAGCTCGGCATAGGGAAGCGCAACAACGTGCCCAGCCCCGTGTATCTGCAGCCTCTGGACGCGGAGGCGGAGGTGAAGCGCTCACGGAAGAGCAGTGGGAGTAAAGAGGAGCATCGATTCCATCTCACGCCGAGAGCGATGGCGAAGTTGGGAGACGGGCGGTGGAAGAGTGTGGAGCAGAGGGTGGAGTGTGGCCGCGGCGTCACGGCGGTGTACTCAGGGACGTGAGGTCTGAGATCAAGCCGACCACGTGCGTCAATCTGCAAGCATGAGGATCACGACATTTACTGCTTTCCATCCGGAATCTGTGACGTCTTTCCATCAACCCATCGAGTTTATCTGATCAATGATGATCGCTTGCCCCTTCAACGGCACTTCCCTCCTCACCGACTTAGGGCTCACTCTCAGCTCCCAATGGCTTCGAACTCTCCGTATCGCAGGCCCCTTTAGTTCCGCCAAACATAGATTGCGCAAAACATATATTGCGCACCGCCCGGCGTGCCGGGCACGCTTTCGTCATTGGCACAGGTGGCAGGTTTCGCTTGCACCTTCGTTGACCACCGTTGTGGAACCGCACGCGATTTGCGGCGCCGGATGCTTCATGGTAGACTGTGATCGACGGCCGCAGGCGAAGGGTAATAATGGCCGGTAACTTAGGCTATGGAGAGTAGTGCTGGCATCGCGAGATGTACTTGACGTAGGTAGACGATGTGGTGTGGAGGGTTTCTTTCGTCTTGTACTTCTCATCTATTTCATTCCTTTACAGAAACAAACAGAAGAAAGGGCTTCATTGGGATCATGGAGAACAGCGCGCTGCCTCCTCTGCCTCCTATCGCGCGAGGCTTCCTATATTCAGCGTGGAGCGGGCTACACAGCGTACAAGCAGACTGGCTGCCGTCCAGAACAGCCATCCCCTTAATCCTGCTATCCCTCCTCGCATGCACCTTGATCCTACAAGCCTACACCCACCACCGCCACAACCTCGCCCTCGCCTCACACTTCCAAGCCTTCGCAGCCAGCACCAACAGCTCCCCCACCACCCCAGCCCCAATCCCCTACACCCTGCTAACCAGCGCCCGCAACAAACTCGCCCTCCTCCGCAACCTCAAACGCAACCTCCTCTCCACCAACCTCGCGCAGAAATTCCACTCCCATGGCCCCACCCACGCAATCTACAACCCCTACGGCCTGCCCAAAGTCGTGCACACCATCGACCCGCGCAACGTGCACGCCGTGCTGTCGGCGCAGAGCCAGGACTATGGAGTCCCCGCCGCGCGGCTGGCGGCCATCGGACCCATCGGGAGTCGAGGGGTGGTGATGACGGAGGGCGCGGTGTGGCATGCGAATCGGAAGGCGATTAATGCCGGTTTCCGCGGGGCGCGCTTCACGGATGGGATTGAGGAGAATACGCGCACGTTGTTCTCCACCCTGACGGAAGATGGAGAAGGTTGGACGGCGCCGGTCCCGCTGTTTGATGCGTTCGCTTTCATGTCGCTTGACCGCTCGATTCGGCACATGTTTGGCGTGCGCGCGGATTTGCAGGCGAAGGAGGGCGCGGCGATGCGGGAGCGGCTGCGTTGGAAAGAAGCCTTCGACGTGGTGGCCAGGTATGTAAGCGTGCGCTCGGTGCTCGGCCGCAAGTCGTGGATGTACGATGGCGTGCCGTTTCGTCGGGCGTGCGCTTTGCTGCGGAGGCTGTGTGAGGGGACTATTCGCGCGGCGGTGCGGGAGTCCAAGGCGGGCAATGCTGATGCTGTGACGGGGTGCTTTGTGGGCAATTTGGTGCAGGAGACGGCGGACGTGAGGCGGGTGTGTGATGTGACGCTGGACGTGTTCATTGCCGGGCATAATATGACGTCTGGGGTGCTTTCGTGGTTGTTTTTTGAGCTGGAGAAGAGGCCGGATGTGTACGAGGCTGTAAGGCGAGAGGTGAGTGCAGTAATCCAGATCGTTCTTCTGTGACCTTTGGACTGAGGATGTACAGGTACTCGACACATTCGGAACAGCGTCACAACCCCGAGCCGAGATGACCTGGGATCGCCTGCAACAGTGCCAGCTGCTGAGCAACTGCATCAACGAAACCATGCGCCTGTACCCCACGCTGCCCAACATCGGCCGCCAAACCATCCGAGACACCGTCTTGCCAACAGGCGGTGGAGAAGATGGGCAGCAGCCGCTGGCGCTCCCCAAAGGAACGGTCGTCATGTGCTGTTTATACCTCATGCATCGCCGGCCGGAGGAATGGGGTGCGGATACGGAAGAGTTTCGACCGGAGAGGTGTACGTGATGCTGACCTCTATCACGCAAGGCCATGCTGACCACATACAACAGGGGTAGGACTCAAGCCCAGCCATTCTTTCAGCCCCTTCGGCGGCGGGCCACGTATATGCCCTGGCAGTAAGTTCAAGCCGTAATGACCCCTTGCTACTACTCTGGTTGACATTCCGCAGAACTCTTCGGCCTCGTCGAGCTCTTCCACGTGACAGCAAGAATTATGCAACGCTTCCAAGCGATCCGCAAGCCAGAAGGCGAAGCACCAGTACGAGTGACGGGAGCAGGCGTGCTGCTGCCTCCGGACGGAGCGCGGCTACAGCTTCAGGTGGCGGAGGGATAGCATACTACATGTTGTAGAGGACGTGTGGGGAGGCAGTTTCGGCCAGTGGCATTGAATAGTATCTGGCCGTAAAGGGAGGGGGAGAGGCCAGCAGTGTTGAAGATCGTATCTTACTCGCTCGTCTGCCTCGCCAAGCGCTTCTGCTCCTTCTTCAAGCGCTTCTCTTCTTTTCGCTTCGCCTTCTCCTCTTTGCTCGGCTCTTTATCCGCTTCTGCCACAGGCTTGGCGTCATGGACAGTGGCTGAAGCACTGGTCGTCTTAGACGAAACAGTCACGTCCGGGTCATTACCCTGCGACGTACCATGCTTCTGCTTCTTTTTCTTCTTTGCTTTCTTCCCCGTCTCCTCCTCGTCCCCAGCCGCGCGCACAATATCGTTAGCCCCTTGCTGCGTAGTCGTTCCATGACCTCCTAGAGCCCGAGGAAACTGCAGCGTAGCTTTCCGCGGGCCCACGTCGTCTTCATCATCCGTGCTTTCCGATCCCGATCCGATCCTCCCAGGTCTTCCAGCGCCGAAGCCGGGGGGTTTGAACCGCATGCGGAGACCTTTCGGCTGCGCGGGGACACTGCTAACTGCCGGCTGAGCGATCTGGCCTGCTGCGGCACTCCCAGGTGTACTGGCATCGGCCTGGCGTTTACTGAAGTTGGGTAATGTGATTTTCTGATGGATGCGTAGGCTTCGGGAGACGGGAAGTTGAACACGTTGGTAGCCGCTGGCGGTGGGGAGGAGGAGGGCGGCTGCGTCTGTGACTCCGAGCTCGTTTTCGCTCAGCGCGTAGTCGGCGCCGTTGTGGGACAGAATGGAAGTTCCGGAGTGGATTGCTTCGAGAGTGAAGGATTGGAGAGATGAGAGGGGAACGTTTGTCGGGGCCGTGAAGTGCCAAATCTGCTTGCGTTCCAAGTCCGCAGTTGAGAAGGCGGGGTCTTTGGCCAGTTGAGGTGGTTGTAGGGGCGTATAGCCTGTAGGGGGGGTGAATGGCGTTGCGGGAACAGCGACAATGGCATGCACAGGGGCCGCAGTACTTGCACTCTTCCTTTTCTCGCCCTCATCCTTCGAATCGCTGTGGTCCTCACTCGAGCTCTCCGACGATTCAGACCCAGAGCTGCTCTTCTGCTTCTTTTGCAGAGGCTCCTCCTCTGAGCTTGAGCTGTCGTCGTCACTCTCCGAGTCGCCAGTGGAGGAGGCTTCCGCACTCGCAGCCTTTCGCTTAACTCCATTGACCTGTGCAGGGCTCTTTCCCTTTACCGACGCATCTGCACGAACAGCCGATGGCGCAACCTGTTGTTGTTTCTTCGCCGCGGGTGTAGATGCGGCGTTGTGTTTCGGATGGTCCTTATCCCTCTCATCCACCGTTTGCGCCGCCCCCTTCTTGTTCTTGGACTTTACAGGCTCGCTTGTCTTTGTGGTTGCAGCGTGTGCGCGTTCTGGTGCATCCTCGACAGCAGCCTGGATGATTTCCATGCTCTTGCTCTTCCAAGCCTCATGATCCTTGAAGAAGCCCGCCTCTAACCCGAGTTCTTTCTCGACCTGCGCCCGAACAGTCTTGACAGTGATGGTTTCCCCGTTCTGCAGGCCATGCTGGACGACTCGCTGAAGCCGGCGCTCGATCCTCGAATCATTCGGTTGTGCCATTGTGCTTGTTCAATATCCGGCAACGGCGCATTATCGCGCTGGAGACATTGCGGTCGTGTCGAATGTTTGCAACAGACGTGAAGTGCAATGCGTGAGAGCTCAGGGTTCAGAAAAATTTAAGTGGGGCTTCGGCGGCTTCACTTTTCGAACATCAAACTTCCTAATGCGGAATTGACGGACATCCAGTCTGACAACAACCTCGACTCCATGGCTCCGAAAAGAAAGGCGAAAGAGGCGTTTGGCCAGCAGGGTATTTTACACCCTTTTGTGTCTATTCAATCTGTACTAATAGGTGATGAAGGCCAGCTGAGCGCCTTTGCGGCGGCGAAAATTGCGAGGCAACAAGTCCAACCCGAACCAACCTCTGCGCCACAAACCATCACAGACTCGGTCGACCTCGCGACAGAAGTGGCGAGTCTCCCGTATAATGGCGAGCGTAGCAGATACATCTCACCGGATCTCACCTCTGGCGCCGTGCTGCGCAGCGCGCAATTGCCTCCCAGGCCGGATGCTATCAGACTTTCTACTTTCGTCCCGAATGCGAACACTGTCCTACGAGACGATGATGAGTGTTTGGAACTCAGTCTGCAGAAAGGCGTGGCTGTCGTACTGGTCGGCGAATACGACGTCTGCGTCCTGAACGACACGGGCTGCATCAGCGTTGCTGGAACATTCTTAATCCTCGCCCAAGGCCCTCGGAGGGTTTACGCGCCGACGACTCATGCTCTGCCTCAACTACGCGCAGAGCGAGACGACACAACCATACGAATCTCATCGTTTCATTCCCGGCTTCGACAGCTGGAAAGCCTATCACCCTTCTTCTGTAATCTTTGGAACTCAACCGCGAATACGAAACGGTCTTTCACCCTTCTCCGGACGACCGATGATGACCTTCTCCGGCGGTCTTTGAATTTGCTGGAGCTTGACAACGAGACTTCAATCCGTACGATCTTGAATAAGGCAGCGAGCACTAGGAAGTGGCCGTCAGTGATGGCCATCGGCTCCAAATCCTCAGGCAAATCCACCTTGAACCGCTTCATTGTCAACAAGATGCTCAGCTCAATCCGTGGACTCAGCTGCATGTACCTCGACCTCGACCCAGGACAGCCCGAATTCGGTCCTGCAGGACTAATCTCTCTCGTCGAAGTCAAGGTCCCCATCCTCGGACCGCCCTTCACCCATCACGCTTCGTCAGGATCGGCACAATACAGACTCATCAGATCCCACGCCATCGCCGCGACGAGCTTCAAAGACGACCCAGAGCACTACAACTCATGCGTGCGAGATCTTCTCAAACGCGTCAGATTCGAGCGGGACTTCATCGTCGTCAACACCTGCGGCTGGGTTAACGGCCTAGGCGCAAGCGCACTCGTGGAGATCGCCTCGCATCTGCCTCTAAGCGATCTCTTCGTCCTCGACCCCGTGGACGAAGCCTTGGTAAGGGAAATACACTTAAGATCAGGCGGCAAACCAACGATCCACCACACGCCTCGCCGACCACCTAGGCCCTCGTCTCGCACCCCAGCAGAAATGCGAGCAATGCAGAGCATGTCCTACTTCCACCGCCGCTTTCCCCCACCCATCCCCACCAACAACGACCAAACACCCCTCGCCCAACCAAAATGGAGCGCCAAACCCATCTCCAAAGTCCGACCATGGGTAATCGACTACGCCGGCCCATCGCGCGGAATCCACGCCGTGCTCTCCCACGCCCAAACCCCCGACCCCGCCTTCCTCTCCGAAGTCCTCGCCGGCGCACTCGTGGCCATCGTAGTCCTCGAGCAACCCACCAACTTCCTCCTCTCGGACTCCTCACACCCAACAGCCTCGGCAGCAGAAGAAGAAGAAGAAGAAGAAGAAGAGGGAGAAGCGGAGGACCCAATATCTCTCACCCCCGACTCATCGTCTCTCCCTTACGTCCCCCCATCCGCGAAAACAGGCATCCCCCGCTCCCTGAACCCGGGTACAACACACGCCCTCGGCCTTGCACTGGTGCGCGGAATCGACACCACGCACAAACAACTGCACCTCCTGACCCCACTTCCCGAAGCGGAAATGACGGCTCTCAAAAGCCAGAAAGTGGTCCTTGTGCGCGGCGCCTTTGATGCGCCTGAGTGGGCCTATTTGGAGGATGGGTTTGCGAGGGGTGCGACATTGGCGGGAGGAGGGGTGGGCGCTGCTGTGGCGGCTGAGGAAAGGCCGTGGGTTAGTAGGCGGGAGAGGGTGGGGATTGAGGGCAAGGTGTGGAGGTTGCGGCATCCGCCTTTGGCTGCGGCGATGGGAGGGCGGTGAGGAAGAGGGGGATTATGTTTGTATAGTGCTATTGGCGAGTATACAATATCACGTCGCACGTTTGTCGTGTCGGGAATCGTCCAACTTTTGTTCCCTCGCTTATGCCCTGTTCACCACGCGCCAATGCCTTCATCCAGCAGATTACCCATGATTTGTGGCAGAACGCTGACTCGCTTGCTCACTCTTTGCCGCATGCTTTGCACTCTGACGTTGAAATGGGGAAGTCAAACCAAGCCCCCGCATCACGAAACAACCAACACCAGTCTCCGATATCCTCACGCCACTCGGCCCTCCGCCTGCGCCTCGCGAACTTGCTCGAAAACCTGTCCCACCATGGTCAGCGTCCGGTATATAGCATCACTCTCACGAAAGGAAAGAGGGCAAACGACATACCTTCAACAACTTCGTCCTCGCCCCCTTCGCCGCAACGCCCCTCTGCTCCAACCCACTCTCATCCATCGCAACCAGCTCACGCCAGCTCAAATCCTTCAAATTGTCCGTGTACTTGTGCAGGCGCAGCGTACGCAGCCAAGACGGGACATCACTGAGCAACGCGGGGTCCGTGGGGTCTTCAGGAGGCTTGGAGCTGCCTCTACGGCCACGCGGGGAGCGGCCGCGCTGGATTTCGGACGCAGCGTCGGAGAGGTAGCCGGATTCGTGATGGTGGTGGTGGAAAGCGGAGGAGGCGGTGGCGAGGCCGCCGGTGGGGAAGGAGGCGAGGTTGAGGTTGTGCAGGTTGTTGGTTAGACCGGGCAGGTGGTCGTAGGTGGTGAGGAAGCCGTTGTTCTGCGGGGCGGACATGTTGAGCGTGGGGTTGCCGCTTGGTGGGCCGGTGATTGCGATGCCTGGCGAGCTGGGGCGCGAGCGTTGGCCGGTGAGGGCGGCGATTTGCTGTTGCTGTAAGGCGGCGGCTTGCTGTGGGGTGAGGATTTGGCCGAGGTCGTTGGTCATGATGAGGTTTGTTGGCATGGGGGGCGGCATGGCTTGTTGGCCTTCGGAGGAGCGAGCTCGACGGAATTTTCGTGCATCGTCGAGTTGAATGCGATTATTGACGGTGGAGAGGGCGGCGAGCTTCATGGCCGTGGCGTTGGCCACGAGCTCCGCTTGATTGCCCTGCTGTGGTGTATTAAAGTTGGCGACCATGGGAGTGTTGGTCATGGAGGCCCAGCTCGCGCCCGGCATATAGGGCGAAAGCATTGGTAGACCGTGATTTGGTTCGGCAGATGTCGCAGTCTGGTTCTGGATGTTGCCGTCTCCGGCGAGTGGGAAGGGACGGGCGCTTCGCAACCCAGCGGAAGGCTGGGGTGGGCTGACACCAAATTGGCCCATCTGCTGATGCTGCGGCGGTTGTCCGGAAGAAGACTTGGGCCGGGCAATGGGTGGATGATTCTCCAGATCCCTCGACGTGCCTGTGGTCCGCCATGGGCCCGAGGGAATTCCCGACCCGGTCTTGCGATGCAGAATCTCGTCTTGGGGGGTGGAGATGGAAGGGGCAAAGGTCGAAGAGCGATCGCCGGGCGCCGCGCTGTTTCTGTTAGACTTTGGCGCGACGCCGGTGGTCTTCTCAAACTCGGCCTTTTGGTCTTGGATGGCATTCGCCGCGTCGGGGAACATGGATTTGATCGTATTAGGGTCGAGGGCGGAATTGCGCTTGGCGCCGCCAGGAGATGGGGGAGGCTTGGCCCCGAAACCGAACGAGGCACGTGAGGAATCGACGTTCAGCTTGTTCATGGCATCATTCATTCGTGAAGACATGGGGTCTTTCTCGGTGAAGGCGGCGGGGGAGAGCACGCCGGACATGGGGTGGCTCTTGGCCATCTGCTGCAAGACCTGGATGAAGAAGCGAATCTGCACCTGGGTGGTTTGCTGGAGAAGTGCGTAGAGCGCCGCAGTCCTTTCGGGCTCACTGAGCACACGAAACCACTGCTCAATGGCGCTGAGCTCGTCCTTGAAGTCTTGGTCGAGGGTTGCGGCGGCCATGTCTTCCAATGTGGTCTCGTATTGGTCAATGTCGGCGATCCACTGCTGCGCCACCTGCTCCGCCGCGTCGTCGGGATTACTCATGTTGGCACTCTTGTGGAACTGGCTCATGTAGACTTCGGATGCGGGTCGAATGCCGCGGTTGGCGAGGGACGATGCGGAAAAGGCGCCCATGTCAGCTGACGCACGAAGCTGGTGGCCATGACCGGCGATGGGTCGGGAGGAGGGAGGACGAAGGGTGGAGCTGGTGGCGGCGGGAGTGCTGTTGCGGTCGCCGATGATGTTGCTGGCCGACATGGTAGAAGGGATTGTGACTTATACTCAATGGATGGACTCGTTGGGGAGAGGTGGGGTGAGTGGGAAGGAAGAGTGGTGGGCGGAGCGAGAGAGGGAAAGATGAGCTGCACGAAGTGACCTGCAGAGCCTGCTGTCCTCAAAGGTATTCGGCGAGCGAGGGGGGAAGGAGGGGAAAGGGGAGGAGGGGAAAGGATGTTGTTTTCCAGTGGGCGAGGCAGAGCACGAGAGGTCGTGTGCGTGCGTGGGGTTGAACAAGCGCCGAGTCAGTTGCAAGCGCCGGCGGAAATTCTCCGATGGAGAGCCTGAGGCCACATTCGCCGACGTCCACTCACTGCATCACTGCATTCCGTACTACACAACGAGGAACTCGACAATACAGCGCGTGAGGAAAGGACTGATTCGATTCCGACCGTAACGAGTCATGACTAGGATCTGCTCTCAATGCTGTCCGTCCCGATACCCCAATGCCTGAGCACGCCACCAACTCCAACGCTTCATCCATGCATCCCTAAGCAATGCCAACGATATGTCTCCAAGAACGAATGCGTCAACAAACATCCCCCTACTTCCCCGCGGCCCTGCGATTCCTCCGGAACTCCTCGAGCCTCTTGACACAATTCTCATGCAGCTTCCGGTTGACCTCCCAAGCCGCCGCACCCTTCTGCATGCGCACCAGTGCTATGATGGCCTTGCCCACCACGCGGATCGTCGTCTTATTCTGCTGCGGCGGAACCTCCACACAGATGCCCATGCTACGGAGCAGGCGCAGGTCGGCTTGGTTGCTACAATGCACCCTTCGTCAGCACAAAACGTCCACACACCACCAAAGTACAAGTGAACGTACCACTTCCGATATTGATCCACCTGCACCATGAAGAACTGCTTCACGTAGATCAGGTCCGCGCGGAACATCTCCTCCCGCGCAATCTTGGCCGTCAGGAACTGAATCGTGCGCACCAGGCCCCTCACGTCCGCCTCGTGCGTCTTCTCCTGCGCCACATACTGCTTCAGCTCCAGCGTGCGCGTCCCGTCGCCCTCCACCACCGCCTTCAGGCTCTGCACCTTCTTGCGCAGCTCCTGCTCACGCTTCAACGAAGCCTGGAGCTTGCTTCCCCGTTCCTGCACTTGCTTCATGAGCGTCTGCACTTCGAGATCCGCCTCGTTCAACTGCGATTGCAATTCTCCGCTGACTTTGTTTTTGCTCCCTGTCGACGGTCGTGAGTGTTTTAGGCGCTCGCGCAGCTCTCTCTCCTTCCTTCCAGCCGCCTCGAGCTGCTCGTCCTTCTCCACAGCCTCGATCTGCAAAGCCTCGAGTTCGATCTTCGCATCGCGCAGTTGCGTTCGCAGTTCGGCCTCCCGCTTCGCATGTCCAGAAGAACTCCCCTGTCGCTCTCCAAGCTGCATCTCGAGATCCGCAAGGTGCACTTTGGCTTCCCTCAGCTCTTTAAGCTGCGCCTTCACTTCCTTCTCCTTGCCCAACGAAGCCCGCAGACGCGCCTCCAGTTCAGACACCTGCGCTTGCACGTCTCCAAAGTTGTCCTCCGCCACTTGCAGTTGCCCTCGCAGCTCGCCCTCCTTCTTCGCACCTTGTGAGATCTTCCGGTCGCGCTGCGAAATTTGAATCTGCAGTTCTTCCGCCTCAATCTTGGCCTGCTTGACGAGATCATGGAGGTCTTGACGCTCCTCGGCCATCGTCTTCTCCTGCTGAGCAAAGGCGAGGTCGGCCTCCAGCACCTCAACCCGCCCTTGGAGACGCGCATTCTTCGTCTCCGCCTCACGCAGTTTCTGCCGGAATTCGTTGCGCTCTCGCATCGGCGTCCCCTCGGTTTTGGATTGCAATGCGGCTTTGAGGTCCGCCTTCAATTCCTGGACTGTCGCCTGTAAGGTCTCGCGTTCGTCCTCGACAGTCTTGAGTCTCAGCCGGAGCTCGTTGCGCTCGCGTGCAGGTGTGCTGTGGTCTCGCGAATACTTGGCCGTCTGAAGACTCAACTCTAGCTCATCCACCCGCGCCTCGAGCGTCTCCTTCTCGGAGCCGGCAGCATCGAGACTGGCTTCGAGCACCAGGATTTCGTCTTCCAACGCTTGCTTGGCTTCGCGGTGCTCGGCCTCGAGATCCATCTTGAGATCGTCCAGACGCTTCTGCGCCGCTTGCACACTGCCGTTGCCAGCCTGGCGGGCGTCTTCCGCTTCCCGTACCAGGCGACGCACGTCTTCTTGTCGTTGTCGAACAGCGTCTTCAAGCTTGTGCTGCAGCTTTTCCACCTCTCCCTCCAGCGTCTCAATCTGGTCTTGTTTGGACTTCAAGTCGTCGTCCCGATGCCCCAGCAAGCTTTGATCGCGAGTAGCAGCCTCAGACTTGCGCCGCAGAATTTCATTCCTGCTCTCCAGCTCCGCATTCTTCACCTCCACAGCCTGCAACTGCTGTTCCAGCTCGTCGAGCTCGGTGTCCTTCTCCTGTTCCAGTTTTTGCAGTTGCTGCTGAAGCGAGCGCACTTGCTCGCCCTGCTGCTTGAGCAAACTGTCTTTCTTCGATGGCGTCTCCATGGCTCCGAGGCGAGACTTCAAGGACATGATCTCCTGCGACTGGTCCCTCGCCGTGCTCTCGTGCTGCCGGATCGCGGTTTCAAGCTCGCGCACGCGCTCGTTCTTCACTCGCAGTTCCGCCCCTTCTCCGCTCTGCAGACCGGAAAGTCGACTCTGCAACGTCTTCAGCTCGTTCTCGCGCGCCTCGATCAGGCCGTCCTTCTCGTCCAGTTGCGCCTTCGAACGAGCAGAAGAAACGCGAGCCTTCTCCTCCAGCTCCCTGATCTGCTCATCTTGCTCGCGGATGCGTTGGGTTTGTTTTCGCGAAGCGTCATCCTGACCATTCTGCAGCGCACGCAAACGGTCTTGGAGATCGGCGGCCTCGTCGTCGCGCTGCTCGATCATCCGCGTCTGCTCTCGGATTCGCGTTTCCCGCTCTTGGATCAAGCGGTCCTTTTCTTGCAGGCGCGAATCGGTCTGTTGTGCCTCGGCGTCCCAGCTTCCACGGGCAGTCTGAAGCCTTTCTTGAAGCGCTCTGATCTCCCCGTCCTTGTCGGCGATTTCTCGCTGGGCATTCTGCAGCTCTCCGTCGCGTTGTCGGAGTTCAGCGCTGTTGCTGTCGTTGGAATGCTGGAGTTGCTTCTCGAGCGCGCGTCGCTGTTCATCGCCGTCTTCGATTTGCTGGTCCCTCTCGCGAATGCGGCTCTCCAATTCAGCAACGTCACCGCGAAGCTTCTTCGTGGATTTCTCGCGGTCGTACGCGTTGTTGACTCGCTCCTCCAGCTCGGTGATTCGGCCGTTCTTCGCGTCCAGCTCCTCTTCCTTCTCCTTCAGCTCTGCTTCAAGCTCGTCGATGTCTTTTTGGAGATGCACGGCCTCGGTCGTCTCGGCCTTGGCGGACTTCAATTGGTCTTCGAGGCCTTCGAGCTGCTCGTCTTTCTCATCCAGCTGTCGATCTCGATCGCGAATCTCGGCCTCGAGATCTTGCACGTCGTCCTTGAGCCGTTGAACTTCGTCCGAGTGTTGCTGCGCAGCCTCAGCATCCTCCAGTTTCCGCCGCATCTCTTCCAGCCCCTCTTCCCTCTCTTCAGCAACGCGCTGGCTCTCCTCGGCCATTTGTTGCAAGCGCTGCAACTCTTCTTCGTCGCGCTCCACGGTATGTCGTTTTCGCACGTGCTCTTGATACTCGTTGTACCGCTGCTTGTACTCCTCCAATTCGTACTGCGCCTTCTCCAAGCGTTTGCGCTGGTTCTTCAGATCCGCTTCAATCGTCATCTTCTGCGTCTTCAATTCCACATTCTCCTTCAGCGTCGCCTGCTGGAACTGCGTGCCCGTCTTTCGCAGAGCCTCCTCAAGGTAGTGAATCTTGAGTTTCAGTCCAAAATTGTCCTTTTGGATTTGATCGAGCTTGGCTTCCTGATCGCGGAGACTGAGCATGTTGCCGTTGTCGAGCACGCCGCCTTCGCCAGGCTTGTGCAGGTGCGGGATGGGAGTGGAGTCTAGCATGCTGGAGCTTTGTGCCGGCGGCATGGGAGTTCCTTCCGCATGGTCGTGGACCGAAGTTCCGTCGATCATGGAGCTGCTGACGGGTAGATCGTTGGCCTGGCTCATGTAGCTCGATCGGAAGACGGGCGGTGTATCCGGGATGCCGTTGAGCCCATTCTCCTTCTCTTCCAGCAGACTCTGCTGCAGCAGGCGATTCCGCTTCGCGCTCTTCAACAGCGGCGTAAACTCTTGCTGCTGTCTGCCATTGACATTGGACATTGTGATGAGCGGATTGCGGACGCGCGGCGTCTTCACGCCCGCATTCGCGCCGCGCATGCCGCGCATCTGATTCCGCAGGTCCTCGGCGGGGTTCTTCGAAGGCGACGCGAAGGGCTGCACGATGGAGAAGTCAACGTGATGCTGCGAGATGCTCGTCATGTCTGCCGCGCGCTCCGTCCCTGGCGTGTCGATGTAGTTGGCCGGCATGTTGCCTGCTCGACGCGAGACCAAGACTGGTCTCTGACTCTTGCACGCGGTCGAAGCGGCGCGTTTCTAGCGATTCTCGCTAGCTCTGCTCGTTCATGTGGTTTTCGTTGGAGATGCTGTTTACGTTGGAGGTAAACAATTAAAGCCCGCTTTGGGCTTAGCGGCAAGCGTGGGCGAGCGCGGACTTTTCGCGCTTGCCCGCTTTGAACTTTCGCATGGGTTGTTTGAGATTGCCTTGCATCGAGCACTGGACCTCCAAACATTTATTTGCCATGGATATTCCGACGGAAGACGATGGCCTGAAATGGTTTGGAGAAGGCTTCGATGGGTTCCCAAAACGCCTGCCCGACGATTGTGCGGAATACGTCATCTACATCATCAACGAAGAGCTTTCGACCGCCGCGGCTGTAAGGGCAAGGTTGAACGACGTACTCAAGGCCTCCAAGGATCTGGCGAAGAAGTTGTTGAAGGACTACATCTGGCAGCGAGACGTCTTTGAGCTGAAACTCCCATCACCACTTCCCGCGAAAGATGCGCCCGAAGCAACGAAATCCTCACCACCACATCTCCGAGGAAGAACAAACTTCGGAGACTCGGTCGCAGACGAATGGCTGATTGTCTACCTGCTGCTTGAACTAAGCAAGCAGTTCCCCGATGCTTGGATGCGAGTGTACGACACCGACGGGGAATTTCTCTTGATCGAGGCCGCCAACGCGCTCCCCAAATGGCTCAACCCCGACATTGCAGAGAATCGAGTGTGGATTAGCAACGGCCATTTGAGAATCATTCCCATTGCTGAGGGTGCCGTTTCGAGCCGCCTCTCTCTCAAAGACGCCTTGTCCTTTGTTCAGCAGCACCCGGAGAAGCTCAGCATCTCTCCGTTCATCGAGGATGAAGCATTCTACCGCCTGCGCGAGTACCCGGCCGCAATCTCCTCTTCCCTTCATCATGCTCTTGTCAGTATTCCGAGGACCTTGGCATACATCTTGCGCCGCGATTCAGCCTACATATCACCCGCCATCGAAGCTTTCTACCTTCGGGATCCGGTTGGTCTGCGACCCTTGGCCACAAAGGACATATCCACATTACGATTCCCGCCCGAAGACTTTGTCTCTGTCTCGGTAAAGTTCACAAAAGTCGGATATGCGCAACTTCGAAGCCAGATCTTTGATCCGCCGCCAGCGTGGACAGCCGTGGTGCCGAGAATGGAAGATGCAAAGGTCGCGACTGGGATGAAACTGGCGTGTGGCTTTGAGATGTTGCTCTCTGATCCACAGAACCAGGACAAGCGAGTGGTGCGGGAGATGAAATTACTCCTCGAGGATGTCGAAAGCGGAGAGGAAACGCTGCCTTCTGATGCTGAAATTGCGGCCTGGCCGCAGATTCAAGACGACGAGAAGTGGCTTGACATTGATTATAATGATTTCGAAAATGTACTGTCAGGAGAAAAAGGAAAGGCAAGTGCCACGTCGACTGGGAAAGGGAAGCCTGATCCACACGATAATCTGCGCAAGATGGTGTCGCGTTTCGAAGACTTTTTGAAAGATGACAATGCGGGTGCCGAAGGGGTGGACGATGTCGACGACGACGACGAACCAAACTCTGACTCTGCCTCGGATGGAGAGTCAGAAATCAACGAAGAGGAATTCAACCAGGCAGTCAAGGCCATTCGGTCGATGCAGTCAGAGGACATTGAAAAGAACGGCCTCTTGGATGAAGCGCGTAAACTTGCACTCGAAGACGCAGAAGACCAGAGCGATGTGGACGAAGACGAAGAGATGAAAAAGGTCATGGCATTGATGGAGCAAGAGCTGAAAGGACACGGCGCACTGAATCTAAACGACGACTCATCAAAATTCAAGAAGCCTGCCAAAGACAAGCCCGTCTTTGGTCCTCTGCGGCCTCCTCACATGCAGCCTGATGCACTCACAAAGAGACGCGCCTCGCAAGCAAGCGCAGAGGAAGAGATCGGACCGGGCGATGGCGAACTGAGCTCCGATGACGAGGAGTTCAACGACGTCGACCTGGGCCTTGCGAAGAACATGCTGGAATCTTTCAAGGGTCAAGTCGGTATGGCTGGACCGGCTGGCAATTTGATGCATGCTATGGGCGTTCAGATGCCGAGAGACGAAGGCAGCGACAGTGAATGATGCAATTCTCGAAAGCTACTTTCCGCCCCCAACGCCACGCGTGAGCGCCGCTGGGAAGTCGAGGGCGCCGGAGAAAGAGGGTGATGATCGTTCTCAGCTTCCGCTTTCAGACGTTCGCCTGGCCGCGCGCTGTAGCGCTACCACGCGCCGATCGGATCATCGGTCTTGCTCGGACGCACCCTTTTGGCCACCAGGAGCTATACTGCGGGAGGAAGGTCATCATGGAGCATCCTGCCAGATTCAACGGTTTCGCCGCAGCTCAATCTCTGGCGTGTGGGACGATCGGGTGTCGCCGGCGCCTTCTGCATCGATCAACAAGAGTTGCATTGATCAACAAGAGGGTAATCTGCTGATAGGACAGATGCATTCCGGCCGGCCGTGAGGGGCTAAGACGAGCTCGTGCGTTGATCAGTGAAGCAAGCAGCTGTGGCAGGTCTGACCCTGTGATGGCGTTTCAGTTCGTTAGGCTCATCACATGTGCTCTCGGGAGCCTGCAGGCAGGGTGCGTTAGCGTCGCGACGGATGATGCTGGAGGCGCGTTGCGGCTGCCCGTTTCAGCGTTTGTGGCCGAGCGAGGCTGGCGCACGCCGATGTAACAGGCCAACGACACATCGACTCGCGCCGAAACCTTTGCGCCACCACATCCTATTGAACGAACTGGCGGGCCCGTTAGACCCGAACCTTCGCCGTTGTTGACCATACAAACCACCCCGGAACTGTCAAGCGGCATCCGGGTTGACAGGCGCACTCACAGGGCGCACCCCCGTCACTTGTCACGCACAAACTTTGACGGGTGGAGAAGCTAGTGCAAGGCTGACAGTTGACAATGGCGACGATTGCGTCTCTGCTACATCCGGCCAATTACAATCGCAACGCAGCGCGTGGCCCCAAGGTTCGCGCGACACGTCAATGTGCGGGTCATTGTGCCTCTTGCCGCCAGCATCGCCCACCTTGCTCTTGATAGGGCGGCCAGCATCGACCGGAGCATCGCCCGAATCTACGGAGCATCGCCCGCATCCTAACGGGAGCATGGCCCGCGCTGGCGGGCTGCCCGACCACAAAAGTACCCGATGTAGGTAGCCAAACGCGCGATTTCGGGCCCGAAGCCCTCGATTTCCTTGCGCAGCGCGGGCGACATGGCCATTGGCCTCGAGCAGGGCTCGGAGGTGCGGTTGACCAGGCCGCGTTGCAACAGCGAATGCCAGCCTAGCGACGCTCTGACCATGCCGAAGTCAGGCGAATGGATCGGCGACGCCGGACAGGGACAGGCCATTTACATAAGTACGGCGTCATGCGAAATGCGGGCGTGGTTGCTGGTGTACATGGAGACCTGCAGCGGGGTCCGCGAGTCCGTCGAGCTTCTGGCCTGACTCGAGTTGACGGGCGAGCAGGACGCCGCGCCGTCAGAGGTTTAGCGCGAGTTGCAGCGGCGGCGAAGCTTAATGAGCGGGGGGACCAACCAGGTTGCCCTTTTTTGACACTACACACGCCACTAGCCGAGATAGACTTTTTGATGCCACGGGAGGCTGCAGAACGAACAGGGAAAACGCAGAGGCTGGCAGGAGAACGGACGAACGAGCGAACAAGCGAACGGACAATCCCCCATTCACATACCATCATCCACTCCGGCGTGCGGTGCGAGATCCATCGACCACCAATCGCTCGTTACGCGCCGCGGCGCGCGATCTGGACATGGTGTCCCTGGCGGGCGGCGTCACGGTGAACTCCTCCCTGTCGCCGCGCACCTGCAGCACCCGGTCCTTCCACTGCCTGCCGTTGAGCGTCTGAATGGCGGTTTGTGCTGCTTCCGCGCTGAAGTATCGCACCGTCGCAGAGCCCTTGGACTTGCCGGAGCTCGTCCGCGCGAGCTTGCATTCTTTGATGGCGCCCGCCCTGCCGAACACCGCTTCCACGTCTTCCTTGCGCAGGCTGTAGTCGAGCCCGCTCACGAAGACGCCACGCGCCTCGGTGAGGGCCGCGCCGTTCGACACGTTGATCTGAATGCCGTCGCTCCTCGTGGCATACCGAGGCTGCGGGTATGGCGCCGGGTGAGGCAGCATCGGGTATGATATCGGAATTGGCGCCGGGTGCGGCTGGATCTGATAGTAGACTGGGCTGATGAGGGGAGCGGCCATTGGTTGCACGGGGTACATCACGTTGCGCCGCGGAGCAGGCTGCACAGCAGACTGTCCAGCAACTTGGTTGCCATGCGCGTCCGTGTCTCTAGCCTGCGCGACTTGGTGTGCATTTTGATGGTAGTTGCGTTGCAGCAGCGTCGCGGGGACGGCGTCCGACACGTCCCAGAGCTCCACGTGCAACGAACGGCCCTCTAATCGATTCCGAGTCAAGTATTCTGTTGACCCTTCTCATCAGTGACAGGGTTCGGCAAGACGAAGACGAGAGCGTCTCACCGTATAGCTTGTGCGCTTCATCCTCATAGCTCACTCTCACCCACCCCCCGCGCGTCCTGTCCCCATTCGAGCCTCGCACTGCAAGCAAGTCCGTGCGGATGCCGTGCGAGGCGTGCTCGCGCACCAGGTCTTTGAGGTCCTGCCATGTGTATCCAGCGGGCAGCTACAGACATCGCAAACGTCAGCGACGACCCGGACATGCGCTGTCGTCTCTCGTTGAGCAAATCACTTACCCCCTGAATATTGATGTGATACGGGCCTGAGCGACGGGGAGCAGCGACTGTCGACATGACAGATGACCGCCCGAGAGTGCAAAGGAAACAGTGATGAAACGATGTAACGAGTGTGTCAAGAATGCCGTGAGCTTCCACGTTGGTCAATCCAACGTATGTGCGTGAAGAACGGCCTGTGAATAGACCGGTGGCTCCTCAATAACGACTGCATCCGCGGCCGAACGTTTGCTGCCTGCTTGTTTGCGGTGAATGATAGGGGTGTTTGCGTGAATGATGGGCGTGGTGGAAGCGCATGAAAGAAAATATCAGAAGCGTGTACGTGAAAAGGAAAACACGATGGCCTATGTGCTCCCATCTCAGCCTTCATTATATACGTGGCGAACGTGAGCTGCGTATGCGATGGAATCCATCCAGCAGAGGCAGTAGCAAGCCGTGCCGCGGGCTCCACCGCACGCCGCCGGTGGATCCAGCAGCCTGATGCGCACGGCACATGGACGTCGCCAAGCTGTCATTCGTTGCTCCCCATGCGCGCGCCAAGAGTCCTGAAGGGTCGCGGGGGTGCGGGTGGGTTGGTTGCAGACGAAGATCCTTGTCATCTCTCGGTGGCAAGCCGTTCCCTCGAGCCGGAGAGCGAGCGTGTCTACTAACACCCGCGATACGGGATGCTGAGGGCCGCGGATGGGCCTGTGGAGCGGCGATTGGGTTCGACATGGGCTGATGAAGTAGTGTTTATAAGCACATAGCCGCACGAGGCTCGATGGATGCGATGCCGACAATGTGCTCTCGTGCGTGGGCAGAGGCTGTCAAATGCTCCCAGTGCCGGCCGGGCTCCGGACGATGTGGCGGCCACCGATGCGGAAGAGAGGGCCAAAGCGGCGATCGAAGGGTGCGCGCTCGAGACAAGCCCCGGCATCCTGGCGGCTCTTCCTGTCACTCTCGAACTACATTCGATGTACATGTACGCACGCGGGCAAGTCGAGGAAGGCCACCAGTCCCGTAAGCGCAATGACGCCGGAGAGGTGACGCCACCTCCCTCACCCCGCAGTCCATCAGTTTCGCCGAAGACGATCTCTCTCGATTGGCCGAATGGGGCGACGGGGCAGACGGAGGGTGCTGGCCAGAGCGCGGGCGGAGGAGCGAGGGCCAGAGGAAGGACGGATGCATCAGCACTCGCGAAACTTGAAATATTTGAATGTGGCGCCAGCGTTCGGAGTAGGCCCCGCCCCAGCTTCCTACCAATTTAGGTAAGGTTAAGCAAACCGCTGCGGCTAAAAAGTCATGTCGCCATATCCAACCTCACCTCTCCCGCCGTGTCTGCCACGCTGCCTCGCTCGGTGCATCGCCCCATTCCTGATCGAGCTAGGCATCCGCGGCGATGGACGATGCATGGCTGCATACGTTTGGCGCGGCTCCTGTCGCGATGAAGGAGGCCCCGATGCAATCCCGCCGAAGATCGCTGCTCGAACCCACCACGGTGAGCTGCTTGCACCCCTCCCCTTCGATTGGTCATTGACTCATCGCCATCTAGATTGCGGGGGAGACAGTTCCGGGAACCACGTCCCCACTCCCCGATCTCAATGAGGAGAGCCACGTTGCTCACGAGCTTCCCGAAGCTAGACTGTCCCGACGCGCCCAAAGCTACAGTGATCTGTACGAACTCGTGACCTCTCGTTACCCCAGCGGGAAGGCCGGCCTCGATCCGAAGGAGGCCCTGCCAAAGCATTTCGAGGAAGGCCACGCGGATGAGACCAACGTCTCACACACCCTTGCATTTGACGCGGAGTTTGCGGCAGTGGAAAGCACTCTGCTGGATGAAAGCCATGCCGTCTACGACACTTACCACGACCAGCTGCTCCTGTCGGAAACGCATCTGGCCAACCTGCTTACGTCAACGCACGCTACGCTTGCCCTTTTGTCCTCGCTTTCGGACTCCTTCCGGTCCGTGGAAGTGCAGACGGATGCATTCCGCCAGCAGTGCGAATCGCTCGTTGCGGAGCAGAAACGACTCGACACGCTCGCGGATGCCCTGGAGGAGAATGCACGCTACTACACCTATCTGGAGCCCATGACCCGGAGATTGAATGCCCCAGGAGCCGGCAATCTGGTCAAAGGAAAAGACTTCCCCGACATGCTGTCCAACCTGGATAACTGCCTCGCGTACATGGAAAGCCATCCGAACCAAAAGGAATCTGCTACGTATCGGAGCCGATATCGCCTTCTACTGACGCGAGCATTGACCCTGATCCGGCAACACTTCACAAAGTCTCTTGCAGACATTGCTGCCGACATCAGCAAGCGAATCCAGGCCGGACAGCTCAAGGACTCCACTCAGTCCGCACTGCTCTACGCCAAGTTCCGAGTCCCTGCGCCCGAGCTGAAAGCGCTCGGCGTGGAGATACAGAAGCGTGCTGTCCCCACCCCAGACGATGTCGATGCGGGGCGTGAGCCCGAGTACTCCAGTCTACTGCGCGAATTGTACGAATCGTACTCCACCACCCGTGGCCGCCTCGTACTCCCTCTCGTCAGCAAGAAAATGGCGGAATTGGCGAGCACGCCGCAACAATCCGACGTCCTCGCCTTCTCCAAAGCCGCTCTTGCCTTTATGCGTGGCATATGTCTCGACGAGTACGAGCTATGGTACGAGTGGTTTGAAACGGATGGAGCCTTGTACGAATTCTTGAGCAGCCTCATGGATCCGTTGGGAGATTACTTGCAACCGAGGATCATTCGCGAGACCAAGCTCGAACGGCTGTGTGAGCTTTGTGCCGCGATCCAAGGCCGCTACATGGATGTCGATTCGGATGAAGACGAGGACGATGATCAGAGCGTGTCTGCTACCGACCCTGTGCGTGATGGTAGAACGCATGGTCGCAAGCTCGATTTTGGCAGTCTCGTACAGCCTGCGCTTCAGGATGTGCAAACACGGCTGGTGTTTCTGGCGGTCAACGTGCTGAGAGACGGCATTGAGAATTACAAGGCCAAGCCGGAAGACTTGGACTGGCCGAAGCGAGGGGCAGTGATAACGGCAGACGGCGGCAAGAAAGGGCCTGTGTTGTCTGGGAAGCGTGAGCCGGCCTTGCTATCTCCCCAAGCCACCGAAACGCCAACTTCCACGGGCGATGATGCAGAGGATGGCGAGAGCCTGTTTGAAAAGCGGTTAGGCGCTTCCTCCAGCGCACAGCACTGGTATCCAACCCTCGTCAAAGCCATCTGGCTCCTGCGACGCATCTATCGCCTAGTCAACAGCACCATCTTCGACGACCTGGCCCACCGCATCGTGCACTCCACAATCTACTCCCTCATCAGCGCAAGCCACCAAGTCGGCAACAAAAAGACGGTGCAAGACGGCCAGCTCTTCCTCATCACTCACCTCCTTCACCTCAAACAGCAGATCGTCGCCTTTGACATCGAATTCATCCCGCCCGAAGTTGAGTTCGACTTCTCCTCCCTCACCAACACCTTCTACGAACTCCGCCACCGCGGCAGCTTATGGAACCCCGCGAGCTGGGTGCGCCTCGTCGGCGGTGCAGTCGGCGGCGCCCTCATCCCCAAAGTGGTGGAGAACATGCTGGACGCCAAGGCGGAGCTCGACGGGCAGCTGAGGACGGTGATCAACGATTTTGTCAACGGATACAGCAGTCACATCATGGCTCCGCTGGACCCATCGAGCATCGCTTCCGCCAAGACACAAGGCTCCTTCGACGCGCTGAAAGCTGTGCGTACCGTGCGGGGACTCGTAGAGAAGGATGTGCCGGCGATCCGCGCCAAGTTGTTGGAGTTTGTGGACGATATGCGCACGAGGGAGACGCTGGTTGCTGCTGTGCGGGACCAGGTGGTGATGAGCTACGAGGACTTTTTCGATACTGTGAGTGAGGGGACGGGCAAGAGGCTGAGTCGGAAGGGCAAGGGGCGGGAGGATGAGGTGCTCGGGCCGGAGTTGTTTGGGGAGGCGATGGAGAGGGTGTTTCAGGTTGGACAGATTATTGAGGAGGAGAGGGGCAGTGAGGCGGGGAGTGTCAGTGGGTGAGTCATTGATTCATCTCTCGTGTTGCTCGTTAAGAACCGGCCTCTGTCTGTCCGCCTGTCCGCTCTCGCAATCCTATCCTCTCTCTCTCATCGTGGCGTGAAGTATCGTCAATCGTTCAATTCATGACCGTAGCCCTCCAATCGCGCCCTTCACTTGACAAACACCACACTGCTGTTGTCCTGCCAAACGTTATTGATGAAACTCAACGCCAACCTTAAGGAAGCACGACTCACCTGCGTCATGATGTCGAAATGCACCACGCTCTGCACACCCAGCAGGCCGCGCGCCTTCTGGCTGTGCACCACGTTCGCTGCCGCGGGGGAGTCGGCGTCGACCACCATCTCGGGGTGATACATGTAGGGATGGGGGTCTTCGGCGTAATGGACTGAGCGACGGCCGCGGCGGAAGCGGAGGAGGCGGATGAGGGCTTGCCAGATGGCTTTGGAGGCACGCATTGTGCTTGTTGGTTTGGAGGTGGGTTGGCTTTTGAAGAGTGTTAGTTGGTTTTGTGGTCGGTCGTTGTTGGTTGCAGTTGTGCGTGCGGTGAGCGAGTGAGTGTTGTGTGCGTGGAAGTGTGATGTGGACAGGTTGCGAACAACGACGTCGGTGCGTTTGGTGTGAGGTTTTAGCCTTGGTCGCACATATCACACCAGCGGCACGTGATAAGCGGGGTGACGTAGTTGCCGCATCGAGTAGTCGAGCACTGATCGTCTTCCGGTCAAGATCTACGACTCGGTGTCTCCTCCTATGTCTTGGTGGAGCGACGGCATCGAGATGCTTGCCCTTCAATCCCCTCTTCCACCGTCCCGCCTGGCACTCTTCTTCTTACTCTGATACTCCTTATGCTTCCTCCGCGTCGCCGCCTCGGCCTTCTTCAACTGCTCCACCCGCTTCGACTGCTCCGCACTCGTCTCTCCAGGCACAGCATCTCGCCCCGCTTGAACGATCAAGTCGTGCAATTTGCGGAAGCACGCGTTCACATTGTCAGTCTGCTTGCGGGAGTCGTCGGCTTGGATGACCACATCGCCGGATTTGGAGGCGTGGTAGCGGCTGGAGAGGATATTTTGGTGGAGCAGCTGGGGGAGAAGGGAGAGCAGGGACGCGGTGGGGACGCGCAGGGTGGCTTTGGATGAGACTCTATGCCAGGACGGATCAGAGATTGTTGCCTGGACAAGGGATGTTTGACTGACTTGTTCACGTTCTGGCCTCCCGGCCCGGAAGATCTGCTAAAGGTGACTTCACACGGGGCATTCTGCCGGATGGTGTCGGCGTCGAGGTTCGCCAGCCATTTCCTCGCGCTCTGGATCTCCTCCTCTGTGGCATCATTGGATCCGCGCGACGAGTAGAAGCGCCTGCTCACGCGCGTGGCGGCGAGCAGCCATGGGTTGTTTATCGTAATGCTCCGCGCATTGTTGAGCATCACCGACGGCTTACGAAGAAGGGGTGCTCGGGTTGTCTGCAGAGGTGAATGCCAGACGAGCGCTCGTGATGTCGTTGCTTGTCTTTCCTAATCGGGTATGGCGCAAGCTTGGCGAGGCAGAGCTTTGATGTTGCGCACCTCACCCGCCTCTCACTCTCAATCTGCCATCCCACTCACTCCCGTCCTTTCAACCTCTCTTCCGCCATCATCGCGTCTACGCCATCGTGTGAAGCCCACCTCTCTCCATACCAAATCTTCCATTTCCCGACTGTCCAGCAGACATCGGCACCCTCCTGTCTTACTGGCGCCCATGTCTTGATTGCTCCTGCGACATCCAAACCGTCTCCCACGTCCCTCCCATAAAGGCGCACACAGTCGCCCAGCTTCATCCCGACCTCTATTCGCTGAAATCGCCTGCCCTCACCACCCTGCGACTCGTCTACTTCACCGTGTCATGACCACCCATCCATCTGTGCCCTGAAGTCGCCCGTTGCGCCAACCGCGCATGCCTAGAACCCAGACACCACATGAGTTCCGAGCCCCCAGAAGAACCACACTTGCGCAGCGAACCTAATACTCTGTCGCCTGCCTCGCCCAAGCCCATCCACTTCCCCGCACCGGCCAACATTCCCGTGCTCGAAATGCAAACCGACGTCTCCTTCAACCAGACCGAACTCCACATGAGCGACCCTGCCACACGCAACACCGAGCTGCGCCCGGATGCATGGCGTGATCCGGCAGAACAGGCGGCTGCGTCAGGTGGCCAGTCGTCTCTCGATACCGCGGCAGGAGATGCATTACACCCTACTGGCGAGGCGGGGGAAACGAGCGTGGAGAACGGTGCAGCTGCGGCATCGGAGATAAATATGACAGATATGACAGACACCGCCGCCACCAACGAGATTCCAGATGCCTCCGACTCTGTCCCGATTCCTACTTCTCACTCGGACGGCGCCCGTGAAATCGACCTCCATCCACCACCTGAGCTGCCCCAGCCCTCCTCTGATCCCAATCTCCCTTCGGCACCCGATGCCGAACCTTCCAACCCAGCCGGTTTGCAAAACCCACCTCGTGAAACTGGCGAAGGAGATAGAGTGCACGATGCGCAATCCCACAACAACAGTGCTGTCGATGTGCAAGCTTTGTTGAATACCCTCGTCTCTCCGCCGGGCGCCCCCAATGGCGCAGAAGCGTCCCATACCACTTCCTCTCCCTCCGTTCATGAACCCGCCCAAGCGCAAGATCCCAACGCTACCGATGCAAATGGCGTCGAAGACGCCGCCCACTCAGCGTCTGGTCTCGCGGGTCAACCCAGCGGGCTCCCACCACGCCCGCCACCACAAGAGCAGCCCATCCTCCACCCCAACTATGTTCACTCGCAGCACATCCGCGACTACCACCCCCATGCCAACAACCCCGCCTTCCAGCCTCATACGAGGAGTGGTAGTAGCAGCGGTCAGGGCAATGTTGCCGATCCGAGTTCGCGGAATTATGCGCCTCCCGTCCATTCTCCATCCAACGCTAGCGCTTCCCAGGCGCAGCCTCCACAAGAGTCGTCGAACACCACATATCTCAGCAACGCCACCGTTCCTGGCAACACACAGGGAGCCAACGGAAGCCAGCAGAGTCCTCCGTCGGGGATTGGCGGCGGCAGTGCGCCCGTATATACACCCACTGCTGCTAATATTCAGGGTGCTGGGTATGCCGCGAGTCCGCAGAATGTGTATGGAGGGCACCAGTATCCCGCCACCTCCGGCACACCAAGTGACGGCCGACAAGACAGGCCATATCGGGAAGGCGAACAGCCACGGCCAGAGGACCGACCCTGGGATGCAGAGGTGCAGAGGAAGTACGACCGCTTCATTGAAGAAGAACGGCGATATGTGAGCGAGGGAAGGTGGGAGCAGTTCCCACAGGGAAGCAGATTGTTTGTTGGTGCGTTTACCAGGAGTTCCGAACCACGAGAACAATGTGTCTGACTTTCTCAACAGGGAATCTCAGCTCCGAAAAGGTCACCAAACGAGACATCTTCCACGTCTTCCACACGTACGGCGACCTGGCGCAGATTTCGATCAAACAAGCGTACGGCTTTGTGCAGTTTTTACGAACGGAGGACTGTATGCGAGCACTGCAGACGGAGCAGGGCACCCAAATCAGGGACAAGAAGATTCGTGAGGCGCCCATATACTTGACGCACGATTCATACATACGACGCAAGTTGCTAACACAGTCTTGAATGTAGACCTCGAAGTCAGCAAGCCGCAGAAGAACCGCACGCAGAACGCGCCACGCCGCTCGCGGTCACCTCCCGACGCTGGAAGGGGCCGGCCGGGGTCCAATGTCGATAGATATGTTTCTGGCTCGCGCGGGGGAAACAACAGAGGTGGCTATCGTTCGCCTTCGCCCCGAGGATACCGGGATCGATACGACGACCGATCCAGACGGCGGTCGCGGTCCCCAGACTACGGCCGTGGAGGCCGATACCGAAGCCCCAGTCCGCGTCGTGACCTCGATGATGATCTACCACTACCTCGGCGTGCGCCCCGCGATGTGCCAGACGTGCAGATTGTCGTTCTTGACTCGCTGGATCGCGACTTCGTCTCGTGGGTCGAGCAAGCTTTCGCCACCCGGGCCATTCGCGTTGATGTGTTGCTCCTTTCTCCCCGCCTCTCTGAACAGGCCGTCGTCCGTCGACAAATTGTGGAGGGCGTGGTGGCCGTGGTGAAACTGAGTCGACAAAATCAGGATACGGGAAAGATTGGCTTGCAGATCTTCGATCGCAGCGCCGGAGCCAACAACGTCAAATTCGAAGAGTACGAGGGCTTGGATCCAAGCGTTGCGGCGCAGTTGGTGCTGCGCGCAAAGGGAACGGCAGCGTACAACAATGCGCCGCCGAATCAGAGTTACTCTGGCTATGGCGCGCAGCAACCGCAGCAGCAGCAGTATGGCGCGCCGCCACCCCAGCATCAACAGTACGCCAACTACGGCGCTCCTCCGCCTTCCGGCCCAGCACCGTACGGCCAGCAACAACAGCCGGCGGGCTATCCGCCTCCGCACCAACCCCCCTACGGCGCCCCACCGCCCAACCTCATCCCCAATCTCGACCCGAACAATTTGCAAAACCTGCTGTCGGCTATGAAGGCGCCGCAGCCTTTGCACTCGACTCCTCCGGCTGGCGGGATGTATGGCCAGCAGCAGCAGCCGGGCAATCCTGCTCTGGCGGGGTATATGCCGCAGCAACAGCAGCAGCAGCAGCAGCAACAAAGGCCGCGGAGCGGAGGAACGCCGGCGGCTGGAGGGGCGCAGGTGAATATGCAGGATATTCTTGCGAGGTTGGGGACGGGGCAGCGCTAGTGGTGATGTCCTGAGGGGAGGGAAGTGGAGGATGTGGTTTAGTGAGTTGATGTTGATGTTGACACCTGATGGGTGACGAGTAAGAGAAGAAGGGATGTTATGTGCATAGCATGAGATCGATGAGATGATCAAATCAGAAGTGTTATCTCCAATCCCTTTACAGTGTGCAAGTTGTAGTGATATGACATATCTCACGACTGCTGCCCTACGCTGCGTCGGGATCCGACCTCGGCAGGAAATCTGTCGGCAACATCACGTCACAAGCTGTGCGGGCCACATCGTTCATCTCACCTCCTACCTCGACACATTTCTAGAGCACAAAGGCAACAATGCCACTCTAATGCCCCTCCTCCCTCGTCTCCAGATTAGATCATGTAACACCACCCCCGTCCTCCTCCGACTTCAAACTCCTCTACACCGCCAGGAACTCCGAACAACCACCCGCCTCTTCCACCCCACCCCAACCCGCAAAATGGAAACCCTCCCCGATCTTCCCCCAAGCACCCGCCTCAGCCCCCTCGTCATCCGCATCCTAGGCGGCAACCCAAGCAAATACACCCTGCAAGGCACAAACACGTACCTCATCGGGCGCGGCGCGCAGCGCATCCTGCTCGACACCGGGGAAGGGAAGGCCATCTGGTCGCAGACTTTACGCCAGACGCTGCGAGACGAGGGCGCGACGGTGGGGAGCGTGCTGCTTTCGCATTGGCATGGGGACCACGTGGGGGGAGTGGCGGACGTGAAGGGCTTGGAGGGGTGTGAGGGGGTGAAGGTGTATAAGAGTCAGTTGGACGTGGGGCGGGAGTACGTGGCTGATGGGCAGAAGAGAGAGGTGCGGCCTGATGGGCAGCAGTTGGAGATTGCGCATGGGCAGGTGTTCCGCACCGAGGGGGCGACGTTGCGTGCTTTTCATTCTCCGGGGCATACTGTTGATCACATGGCTTTTGTGCTCGAGGAGGAGGATGCGATGTTTACGGGGGATAATGTGCTGGGCCATGGCACGGCGGTGTTTGAGGATTTGAGTGCTTATATTGAGAGTTTGGAGGGGATGAAGGGGCAGTTTGCCGGACGTGCGTATCCTGGTCATGGCGAGGTGGTGGAGGATGGGCGGGGCAAGATTCGCGAGTATATTGCGCATCGGGCAGAGCGGGAGGAGCAGGTTGCTGCGGTACTGAGGGAGGATGCGGGCAAACAGGTGGGCGGCAAAGGGAACGAGGAGGGGTGGAGGAGTATGGGGATTGTGAAGGTGATTTACAAGGAGTACCCTGAGCACTTGCATGCGCCGGCGGAGGGGAGCGTGGTGCATGTGTTGATGAAGATGGAGGCGGACGGCCGGGTGAGGAAGAATAGGGACGGGACGTGGAGTCTGACGAAGAAAGCGGCGTTGTGAATATCACCAACTGTTCGCCCCGGCGAGCAGGCCTAAAATAATACAAAGCAACTACAGCACGCAGAATCAGCCAGTACTCACCCACGTTACAATACGCAGCACGTCAACTCACCACAAAACTCAGCACAAACATCGTCACCACTTCATACCCCCGACTCATACTCGTCCCCTGCAGCAAGCCACTCTGCTGCTTAACAAAGTATGCCGCGCCCAGCAACATAACGCCAATAGCAATGCACTCCGTCGCAGCCCCCAGCGCCTTCCCAATGCAGAGCGAAGTAGGCGTCACCACATCCGAGGCAGCAGACGTCGTGTTCAGCCGAAACAGCTGCGCAATGGTCACGCCAAACTGCGCGTAGGCCGACGCGGTGCGCACGTAGGCGAGGAACGTGCGCTCGAGGGCCAGGTGGTCGCGCGACGCTGCTTCGTTGATTGTGACGCGGATGTACGTGCGCCAGAATCGGCGCAGGAGGCTGCCTTGCTGTCTGCGTTGCTGGAGGAGCTTGTCGGGGGTGTCGTTATGTGCTGCAATGGGGCGGCTGGGGTGTTCGAGGGCGAAGTCGCGCAGCTCCACGCCCTCCATTGGGCGGCATTCCCCTGGGTACGCCCAAGGATTTGCAGAGGATGGAGAGACGGATCTCGATATTCTGTATGGATATGCACAGATGAGGTTGTGCATGGGGAAGATAGAAGATAGGCGCACGGGCCGATGCACGCCCCAGCCTGATCGGGCTAGGGGTGGGCGGTTGCTGGGCGGTTGCCATGCGACTCGGGGGTTATGTCATCAGCGGGCGCGGATGGCTGGGAAACGAGGCTGGGCTGGGGGCGGTGGGCGCCAGCAAATCACCCCCAACCCCGAGTATTATTTTCTCCGTTGCGTAGGCGGCAGAAAGGCAGAAGGGCAAAGTAGCTTGCACGTTCATTCTATCATTCCTCTTTCCTCAACACCCAAAGCTGCATTCTCTCACGACCGGCTCTTGGGCAACGAAACAAAGGATCGATCGATCGTTGAACAACTACGAGACGACAAGGACGTCTTCCAATCGAGCATACCAACCTCGCCACCACCTCCACCTTCGCTCGGAGAATTCCTCCACGACTGTCTCAACCGTGCCTCAATATCCTCCGAATACTCCGAGACGAAGCACACTCCACCTCGAACAAAGCCTTGCTCTACCGACCGCCTGCTCCATCCCCGCATTCCTGATCGCAACCCCAACGAGCTCCCGGCCGTTTGGCCAGCGGGAGAAGAAGAAGAAGAACAAGAGACAGACGGACGGACGAGACACATTCCTCGGCCCCGACGCCCAGACAGCCGGTAGACCATCTCTACCGCCTCCGCCAGCATGGCCAACATACGCTTCGCCGTGGGCATCCAGCGGCTCATCCCCTTCCTCGGCTACCACCACATTCTCATGATTATGATTGCTCTGGCAATAATACTGCTATGTACGTATGCCCCCCTCTCCGTATCACACACCACGATTCAAACTAACACACCCCCCCACAGCCCTCCTCCTAGCAGGCTGCTCTTCCTCCTCCCCCTTGATCCCAGGCATCTTCCTCGTCTCCTTCTTCTACGTCCAAGGCGGCTACACGCCCGCCTTCAGCCCCGCCCAAGTCAATCCGGGCATCACAAAATCCATCGCCGAGCTCGTGGGCTCGACATGCCTCGAGGTGCGCGTCGGGTATTTCGGCATCTGCATCACGTACAGCGACGACGGCTTCCTGTGCAGCAACAACGCGACGCTGCTCGCCCAGCAAATCGCCGAAGTACAGCAGGACCCGCTGAATCTAATCTGGGTCGCGAGCACGTACAAGAATCTGGTGGTGTTTCCTTATTTGCTGTGAGTGCTCCATTCTCCCCCAACGTATAACTCACCATACTGACTCCTCCTCGCAGCATCGTCGGCATCGTCCTCGCCTTCATCGTCATCCTCCTCCTCGCCACCTTCCCCGGCTGGCACGAAGAGCACGACGCCCGCACCGGCAGCGACGTCGACATCAAGCCCTTCCCCTCACGCCCCGTCTCCCAAGTCGCGCTCGCCCTCATCTTCGTCGCCTCCATCTTCGTGCTCGTCAGCGTGCTATGGCAGCACACGAGCTCCGTCGCCGCAGCACAAGTGGCGCAGGACTTCGGGAATGGGAGCGTGAAGAGCGGTGTCGGGACGGCGGCGATGGTGCTGGGGTGGTTTGGGTTTAGTTTGCTGATTATCGTCACCATTGGGCTGTTGGTCATGATTCTGAGTATTCATTTGCTCGATCGGTTGACGGATGATTGAGAGGGGAGGCTAGGAAGGGGAGGAAGGACGGCATTGGGTGTGCATACCTGGGTGCCTTTTTTGGACTTCAGCGGCATTGCGGGAATGAACTGGAGTTTGCGAGCCCGCCGATTGAGCGGACGCCAGGCGGATGATGGGATGTACGTACTTGTATCATGTGGAAGAACAGAAAGAGGACAAGGTAGATACCCTCCGTTCGTACTGGCGAGGCCGAATAGATCAGAATGTGAACTTCAAGATGCCATGCCAGTCTCATCAAGGCCGATCGATGCGAGAGGAAGCGAAGTTTTGGTGGCCCGAAGGCACGGAGTTCATTTTCGTCTATGGTAAACAGCAAACTCCCCCATACAACCGCATAATGTAACACCAGGGAAATCAAAAGCACCAAGACCGCATCCTCCTCCACAGGGTGAAGTAGATGTCGAAGCCATCGCAAGAAACAAACACTCTCAGCCAGCCCATCTCCTCAAAACATTCCCCAACTCCACCGTGATATCCCCCCCGACAGACCCCTCATCTCGCATCACACCATTGATCCCGCCTCCAGCCGTTGTGTCCATCCGCCAAAGCCATATGCCGAGCAGCTCAGATGAACCACATGCTCGTCCGAATGTTGCCCTGGTTGGGCATGGGCATCAACGCCTTGTACTCGCCTGGTTCTCCCGTGCCAGACGATCCCGGTCGCGGCCCTGAGCCGCCTTGAGATCCCGAACGCTCACGCGGCGGTGCGCTCGGGGGCGTAGAGGTGGTCGGCCCTCCAGTGCCCCAAGCCTCATCGTGAGGGATGGCGCGATTCGATGCGATGTGGGCGTAGTAAATGGCCGGATGCTGGGATACCGGAGTTGTCGCACGGATGTACTGATACGATTGCTCGTACAGCAAGGTCTGGAGTTCATCGTTCGACATCTTCGCCTCGTTGAGCAGCACATGGTAATGCATGGGCCGAGCTGTGCCTTTAATGGCAGCATGAGCGCACAGGTAGAAGTCGTTCTCGTACGGGTGAGTCACGCCCGTCTCCACGAGGGTGCCGGGGAAGGGATTTCCGTTGCGATCGCCGCGCTCTGGAAAGAATCGAATGTGGTGACGCTTGCCGCTAACAAGCACCACAAACTGAACCTCCAGCTTGGGATCGAACTTCTTCATCAACCGCTTCATATCCTTCACCTCGTCGTTCAGCACTTGCGCGTACTGCCCCTCTGAGACGCCATCTCGCATGTAGATGATGCGCTGCGGGAACCTCCCGCTGCCGACTTGTTTGGACCAGTGGTCCATGAGGGGGGTGACGATGGAGTTGATGCTGTCAGTGGAAATCATCTCTACCCGAAAGCCGTTCGTCTCGCATGCAGCCGCGTATCTCATGCCCAGTTTATCCATGGACATGGTGATCGCAGCCATCGATGCTGCCTGCGATCCAGGAGCAGCATGAGACACGTCGGCGCCGATGACAGCAGTAGGCACGGTGAAGTGGCCCCATTCGCCAGCACTCTTTGTGCCGATGGCACGGCAGGTGGCGCCTCCGAGTTTGGCATTGAACTTCATGCAGACGTTGGAGATGTACTGCGGCTGGCATTTTTGAACATGCTGGTACTGCATGCACTGCGACACCACACCGTACCGGCACTCAGCCGAGCGTTTGATGCGGCCGTATGCCACGGAGTCCTTGTCCGGAAGGATGAAAACCAGTATATCAGGACGCTTCCCGCTCTGGTTGCCGGTAGCATTCCAGGTAGTGGTGACCCACTGTCCCACGTCGGTGCCGTGCGCGAGCGTCATCGACGGTTGTCGATTCTCAATCTTCCCACCATGGCTTTGGTAGATTTTGATGAATTCCCGGATGAAGTTCTCCACCACGGTCTTGTCAGGCTTGGGGCCATACTTGCCAGGAATCACGCACACACCCCACGACGTCAAGGGGGCGCCGGGAGTCAACAAAAACTTCTTTCCCTTCAGATCCCAGCGGCCAGAGGTGCCAGGCCTTGCTTCACCCGCACCAAACTGCACCTTCGGAGCCGGCAGTAGGCGCGCTTCGACGTTGGTGCGGTTCTGACTGATTTTCACCTTGAAGGCATCCAGAACAGGGTCAGCAGTCCAGTTCAGTATCCGTAGGCCGTGCTCGATCGATGACCATCGCTCGGGAGGCGGCGTGGCCGCGAATTTGATCATCTGGGATGTCTGGCGCTCATCCAGCTTGAATTGGTACCGCTGATTTTGTTTGATTTTGAGGAGCTCCATTGGCACCAACGTGTTCTGGCCTCGAGTCATCTTAACCAGTGGGAGCTCCGGGTGCATGAGCCGGACGTTGTAGGTCAGAGCGAAGTAGTCGTACAGGGACACCATTCTGCCATCCTTCTCGAACTTGTGCTCCCGAGCGTTCTTGAAGACCACCCGCTCAATCACATAGTCATCCTCTTTGCCACCGCGGTGCTTAGCCGTAACGTGCAGCTTACGGAACTTCTTCATCGCCTTGCCCTGTCTGCCATTCTCGCCACCGGTGCGAAGGCCAGCGATGAGGTCATGCACATCCTTGCTGTTACACAGCTGAAGGGCGGAGATGTGCATGAGGTTCTCCGTCCAGAAGGTACCGTTGGCCACATCCACGTTGATTGAAAGGCATGCCTTTCTGGCCATGTTGTGGACGATGCGCATAGATTGATATACGCCCTTGAATGCTTCCACTGCGTTGCCCAGGAGGAAGCGCTGATCACCGCGGCGGAAGAAGGAGCGCCTGATTGCTGTGAACTGCGAGGTGGGATGCTCTCGCAAGACGTGGTCCAGAAAATTGATTGACTCCAGCACGGAGTTGTCGAAGCCGCACTTGCCCTCCAGGTACCCGAGGAGCGCGTTGAATTTGACGGAGTTGGTTTGGCGAATCACGAATCTGTGCCTATTCTCCTTCCCCCCAGCCTTGACCTCACGGCCTTCTTCAGCGTCAAGGTCGACGGTGATGTTGATGTCCCGGGTAAGCGTCTTCATGGACCAGGCAAGCTTGTTCCCGTCGAAGATGAAGCCAGGTCCGAGTGCAGCCTTCACTGCCTTTGACTCCCATAGCTTTCTGATCAGACCGCGCTTCTCGTTACCAGAGCCGAAGTGCACGTCGAATTGGAACACAGGCATGGTCGGAAGTGACAAAACCTCAAAGGTGTTGAGGGCGATTTTGCAGGGCTGGCCCATTTTGGAGAGGGCAGGGCGCGGAGGCAAACCGGAAACCTGAAGGTCACGGACAGAGCTCCAGGCGGCAGCGCCCAAGTCGAGGTTCTTGGGGATGTCGATCAGGACTTTGGACTTTGTGGGGTCACGTTCCTCGTTGGGATCGCGATTGCCATCATACCCAGCAGCATCGCGACGGGAGCCGCTGGAGCGCTGAGAACGCGACGGTGAGTGAGATTTGGCGGACTGTGTGACTTTCCCAGAGGTTGAAGTGTCTCCAGAGGAAGAGCCCGGGACCGAGCGCTGAGGAGACGCGGAGGGCTTGTACTTGTCGTTACGGTTGCGGCCCTTCGAAGCGCCTGCCATGGTTTCGACTTGTGAGGGAGCAGTGGTGGTGAAGGGAGAGAGTGGTGGAGTAGTAGAGCTGATGGCCAAGGAGGTTAGCTGGTGTGCTTGGTCAAAGAAGGTTGTTTGGTAGAAGTGGTTGGTGGAGAGAAGAAGAGAGAAGGAGAAGAAGGAGAAGAAGCAGACAGAAAGGTATAAGTGCTCCGTGCCAAGGCACGCACGAGACCGTTGAGGCGCACGTGAATGGAGGCACGGTGAGAATGGGCACAAGTGAATCGAGACTGAGTGAGGGGCAGTGAAACGGGAGTGAGTGAACGACACCGCGGTGCCACTGGGGAGGAGGACGAGGACACTCACTTGTTTGGTGGGGTGGGGTATCGAGTCTGCAGAGAATGATCAGTTTTGTATACTGATGCGGAGGAGTTTGCTGTTGTCTTGGAGTGTGTTCTCGACTGGTGGAACGTTGGGAGAAGCAAACAGCAGATCACGGGCCACAGCGTGTGCGTTCACCGATGCATGTGGACTGGCTGCAGTGAGGTTTTGAACGTACCTTGGCCTTGTTCAATGCTTCACTCGGTGTGTTGCAGCAGATTGTTCGTATGGATAGGTCGTCGAAGTGGCTTGTCGAAAGAATGGGGGTGGTTGATTTGAGAGAGAGTGTGTGCGTGTGAAAGAGGGATGATCTGGTTGAGAAAAGCTTTGTGATTTGCGTAGGCAGTGACGAAGGAGCCTGAAGCAAACAAGGAAAGAGCGGACCAGGCTGTGAAACTTGGCGTATCTCACGTGCGGCACGTGGCTGCAAACAACGCGTAACAATCGAGGTATGAAGTATTGACGAATGAGAGGATGCTCGAGGAGGTGTTCTTCCGCGGTAGTCTTTGCGCCTATGCACCACCTACCTACTTGATGCCCATCCCCCACCACACATTCGACGGCGCGCCACGATACATCGGGAGAGGGAGTGCACAACCCATTGTACCAAGAGCCTGAAGGAGTCAGCAATCCCTGCTTCCCCATCCAGGATACAACGTGTGTGTGCTACGCGTACGTCATGCCAGTCTCTTCAGAACGAGATGCAAATCAGCCTCAGGGCCCGTCAATGGCTGTTTGCTACTTGTAAGAAATGCAGTCCTCTCCAGCATCGAGTCCCGGATACCCGCAGGAGAAGCCTCAAGACTGGAGTACTCGCGCGGGCGGCGCATCGCCCGCAAGGTATCCCGACGCTCTGACATCGAACAAGCCCGGCCTACCTCTTGATGCACGCAGAATAGTATCGACCGCAGGAAGGATATCGGCGCCAGAAACTGCCAGACAGAGTCCGCTCAGCCCTTCATGTCTCGAAGAAAGCACGGCGCACGCTCAATGCACCCATCCGTCGGGCATCCGCATTATGCCCAATGAGGGGAGTTCCTGATGTTTGCTAAATCCAGATGGGGCCTCGTTGGCATACGAAGGCGCGAGACACATCTCAAAGGCCGCAGGTGTAGCCTAGTGACACGAGGGTAGAGAGCAGGACGAATGGTTGTCTAGTCATGTGTGCAGGGGCGCGGCTCGATCTCCTGTAAGATTCGCGGGCCGGACGATCCTAGAGACGCTGCAGGAAGGAGGCACAAGCGTGGTGGCAGAGGAAATCGAGCCAGTTTACGAAAAGATGTTGGATGTTGTGCGGACGGATGCCGGAAGATGGACAACGGCTTTGTCTCAAGCGTGGCAATCAGATGAGGTTTGAGGACACGCCAAAGCGGGAAGTCGGCAGTCACGTGCTCGGAACAACTACACAACGATTTGGATAGGTAAGATACGGTGGAAACACGCCTCAAACTCCCTATTTTCTCGGCAGTTAGGTAGTCGACCAAATAACAGGTCGACCCAACCACGCATCTAAACGAGAAAGGAAAGGCAAAGAAGAAAGAAAATAATACCATACATCCTCCCACCTCCAACACACAACGAGCTCAACATCTAAAGCTCATCATGGTCATCCATGCCCTCAGAATCGACAATGGCATCCTTAGCAGCCTCCGCCGCCTCGACAACCTTCTCCTTAATCTTCTCGCCCACAGTCTCCGCCGTCTCGGTGGCAGCAGGAGCCTGGTTGGGCATCGCATCGGTATCCAAGTCCTCCGCCGAGTCATCGTGCACCTGCGCCGCAACACCATGGCTGCCGTTCTCCTTGATGAAGTTGGCCAGGTCCTCGACGGTGCGCCCGCCGCTGTACTCGAGGGGCTCGCTCTTGTTCTTGGCGCGGAAGAGCTTGATGGTGGGGAAGCCGGCGATTTCATCGGGCACGTCATTCAGCGTGGCGTCGACTTTGGCGACAATAACCTTGTCCGCGTGGTTCTTGTACAGCGCCGCGAGCTCTTCGTACTTGGGCGCGAGCGCTTTGCAGTGTCCGCACCACGGGGCGTAAAATTCGAGCAGCACGTCCTTGTCGTTGTTGATGACGAGTTCGTCGTAGTTCTTCGCCACCACCACCGTCACGGGGCCTTCTTGCTTCTCGGGGATGGGCTCGCTCTTGATGCTGGGCTCGACCTTGCCGGCGACGTAGTCGGTGAGGAAAGCGCCGATGGTCTTCTCCGTGAGTGCCTTGACATCACCCGCTTGGGCGAAGGGGAATTTAAGGTTCTTGGTGGTGTCCTGGATGGCGAAAGCGGGCCACTTGCCGATTTCGAGGTTCAGGTTGCCAGCGTGTTGGCCGAAAGCCTGGGCATCGATGGTGGCGAAGTTGACCACGCCCTTGTGGAGCTTGGCGACGGGTCGGAGGAGATCGGCGAGAGACTTGCGCTCCTCTGCGGACTCGGAGAAGATGTATGCGAGAGGAATGCCGGACTAGAAGGGATGGAGTCAGCAATTATACCTAGGCAAGTGGGAACGGTGGGGCTCCTCTTACAGCCATGTAGCCAGCATAAGTCTCGGGGCCAACTTCACCGATCAACGGCGTAGCCCCAGTTCGCGCGAAGTGTGCGAGAGCATCCGTGTCGAACTTCTCTTCGAAAGTAGCCTTCCCCTCATCAAAGCTCTTGTACAGGACGACGGCAGGCGGCGTCACGCCCTCCGCCTTAGCCAGAGCGGCGTCGGATGTGGCCGCGAAAAGGTAGTCGTCCCTCAGGCTCTCGGCGACTTCGAGGTAGGTGGCATTGCTCGACTTGTCATCGGCGCCAAAGAAGCCCACGAGCACCACATTATCCGCAGTCTTGAACTCGTCGAGAGCCGTGGCGGATTCGAGCAGGGAGACGGCGGGGAGGGCCTGCTTGGTCATATAGGAGATGATGGCGGGTGCTTTCCGGGCGCCGGAGTAAGGGGCGCTGTTCTCGGCGCCACGGAAGACCCTCAGGGTCGGGTAGCCATCGATGCCCTGTTGTTGGCAAAGGTCCTGTTGCTCTGTGCAGTCGATCTGAAATTGTGGCGAGGATTAGCAGGGGGGCGGAGGGTTCTTGGTAGACTGCTGATTACCTTGGCCAACGGAATTGCCTTCTCCTTCAAAGTCGTCGCCGCCTCTTCGTACTCAGGCGCGAGGGCCTTGCAATGTCCACACCATGGGGCAAAGACTGCGCACATTATCAGACATGTTCCCCTTCATTGGTTCATGGGTCCAGTGGATCGGGGGAGACGTACACTCTGCGAGGACCAGGGGATGGTCTTTCAAGAAACTATACAGCCCCACAGTCAGTGTCAAAGCCGAAGTACAGCTGCACTAGGGCACACTCACGGATCGAAGGTGTCCTTGGTGAGATCGTGGACATCGCTGGCCACCGCGAGCGCCGCGAGGCCCAGGAGGGCGAAAGAGTGCCTCATTGCGGGCGAAAAGGTTGCGTGAAGCGGGGATGAAGCGTTAGGATCAGATGGTCCCGATTTGGTGAGGAAAAGAAGTTGCGAGGAGAAGGAGTGGATGGAGTTGATGAAATGGAAACGTTCCCCGACTCAGTGTCGAACAAATATCAGGGGAGCTTCTGGCGCGCGCGGTCAGGGTCCAACGGATTACCAATTCGGGAGGGGGCAAGGATGGGGACAGCTGGCTTCTCACGTGCGGTGGTTTGCCTCAGGCACCCACGCAATACTACTACTATCAGTGCAGTGTGGAGGTGATTCCTCAGCTCTCAAGTTTGTTTGCTGTCTAATCGGACTGTTGTCGATTGCAAAAGCCTCGTGAATCACTAATCGCTCAATATATCCAGTGCCGCCGTGCGGATGAGTGAACAACGCCTCGCTTCCCGTGGCGATTCGCTTGCCACTCGGTCTCACCGCAGATCTGAATCGTCGCGTCTTTCATTAGCATTTCCAGCGCCAACCCATGCTCCATTAAATCATCTCGGTCGTTAATGCATCATGCCAGTCAACTCAAGAACTCAGCTGCCGAATCGCCACCGTCAAGGTCCGCCGCGCATCCATCTCGTCTCCCTCGTCCCGCGGCCGATACCATTTCCGCACAATCGACAAGACCGCATGATACAAAATGTAGAGATACTGCCGCACACGCTCGTCGGCCGTTTTGTTGGGGAGCCGCCCGAAGCCCTCGACGAAGCTGGCCGTGGGTTTGCAGAAGCAATCCGACATGTACGGATCGCCCCAGAGGCAAGTGGAGAAGTCGAAGAGGCCGGTAACGCGGTTGGAGGAGGTGTCTACCACGACGTTGTTGTCCGATGCGAGTTCCAGAAGCAGGAGACGGGGTGTCGTGATTTGATTCAGTGCCGCGTGGTGTTTGTGGACCTGCGTGATCGGCGTTAGTCTTTTTATTTCGTCTCATACGCATTGATTCATGGTACTCACCAATCCCCGAATCACATCGTACGGTAAACTGATCATCGCATCCTCGCCATCGCGCATCACGGACTCCAGCAAGCACGCAAACGTATGCGCCCAAGAACCACTTCTCGGAATGTCTGCGCCACCCGACACGGAGCCGAAGAAAGTGCCGGTCACAGACGAAAGCCAGCGCACGTACTGTCCTAAGCTGCGGTCGATGCTCGCAAGGGCCTTGGAAGATAACGACGGCTCGACGGCGGAGAGGAAAGATCCGCTAAACGGGCCGCTGATGAGGTACGCTTGTCCCAGATGCGAGTCGGCGTGTTGGTAATGGATCAATCGAGGGAGATGGACTTCCGTCTTGCCAGACAAGGCTTGCAGGGCCCCGGCCTCTGCTTCCAGCCAGCCGTATTCGTGCCGCAGTAGATGGACCGTTGATGGCGGTTTTAACCGTAGGAGGTAGAAGAAGCCTTTCGCTGTTCGCAAGCTGTAGGTTCGAAACAAGTACCCGTTGAGCGAGTCCACCACGACCGATCTGCTTTGAAGAGTGGTGCAAGCGATTCGTTGGATGACGGAGCGATCTGGCGAGCCTGGCGGATCAGGTGACATGCTCATGATGTATGCCAGCACCGGCGAAGGGAGCAAAGGAATCAAGGATGAGGCGACGGAGAGGAGCAGTAGCTAATAATATGTAAGGCGGACCGTCCGTGGTCCCTTCTTATTACCAAGCCATGCTTCCCACGACTCGCTATAATAGTCACGGAGGAAACGCCGACTGCAGATTGGGGGAGCCGAGACGGGGTTGACAGCTTCTCACGCGAGACGGGCAGATCGGGACCACGGTTTGTAGTAGGTTGGTGCCTGCGTATACTCGCGACACACGAAAGCATGGCCCGCGCAGGATGCAAGGCGCGGGACGGTGGGGGTGGGGCGCAGCGAGAGTGTGCGGCACCCTGAAAGATGCGGACGGGATGAGCCTTGGGGCCATCCTTCCTTGTTTTCGCGGCTCGCGTTATCTCAAATCATCATGAGCAATGCACGCAACTGACAGGGAAGGCGGCGCCACTCGCGAGCTTGACGAGTCGAGGGGAGGAATGAGAGGCTGCGGAGGCCGGTAGTTGGAGACGCACAAGCGATAGCGTACATTAGCGTCGCTAACCACGATTCACTTCCCCGGGCCAGATCTGCCAGATCTGACCACGCATCATCGAGCATCCCACTTTTCTTGGTACGGTAGTTGCATGCCTTTCACACTACGGCGGGCTCGAATCTGCACATGGGCAGATTTCTGGTGAGACAAGATTGTCGTGCGTAATAGAAGATTGCCGGGAAAGAGGCGGTGCTGGTGTTCCCAGATCGAGACCACGCTGATCCACGGCCGGTAATCATACTGGCAGCACTGTGGTGGTAATAATGGAAGCCTGGGCGCGCAGCAACACGCGTCAGCACAGGACCGGCTAACAGGCCCCTCCCCAGAAGCCGGGATGAAAGATTCCGGGAAGTGGGTTGCACACGCGACTGAGAATGATAATAAGTTGGAGGGGGTGGCCCTCCACGATCGGCTCGATGGGATTGACCGGGGTTCGAGATCGATCGGCCCATCTCACCACCAACTTTAAGCTCGTAGAGTTTCGCCTATCTGAGATCGATCAGGCGTGGATGCGGGCTTACTGCACGCACTTGCCCGAAACTGCAGCAGCACGGGAGACACTGCATGCGTCTGGAAGAATCTCAAATCACCTGCATGGTCTCCGAGGAGCTCCGGAGGGGTGTGGTTACTGTATCAATGGACGCCACCTCGGACCCGTGGCCCGCTCATTCTTTCGGGGCTACCGGAGTCGGAGAGTAGATCTCCGCCAGGTTGTATCTCTTCAACCGTTCAAAACTGTTGTCGAGAACACTGACTCCACAGATGTTCTGTCCAGACGGTTTAGTGAGGGTGCAGCGTCAGGAATGGCCCATTCTCACCTGATACACCTCCACCACAATCAGCAAATCGTAATTCTTCAGATCGACCGTATGTCCCGGGCCGACGATCTTCGCAATCTGCTGAATCACGCTATCCCGCGTGAGTATGTTATGATTGCGAAGCGTAGGTCGAATGGCAAACTGCTAGCTGCGTCAGCCGGGCGCGCGCTGAAGCCTTAAAGATGCAGTCCTACCTTGCGCGGCACAGCAGGCTGCAGATGGAAATGCGGAGCCAGCACCGACGTTGCAACCTTCTCCAACCCTTCCGTCGAAGCTCGCCCAATCTCCGTCATGGGCGACAAGCGCTTCACGAACCGTGTGCGTTTCCCCTTTGCCGAGTCGTCCATGGCGTCTTGACAGATCTGCTTGACAAGAGTGACTGGGTTGATGGGAGGTGCGGTTTTCATGAAGACCACTTCGGACCTTCGTTAGCCATGTTCCTAGCCCTTCTCACGAGTACAATGTCAGATCTTGTTCCAACATACCGCACTGGACGTCCACCCGCAAAGGCGTGAACAGCTGAGTCTTCTTCGCCTCATGCATGTCGTCAATCTCGGCCTGAATCTCACTTTCAATCCCACCCCCCGACTCCGTCTCCGCCCCCGCCTCAGCCTGTGCCTCGCCATCACCACCATTCGACGCCGCTTCAGACGACATGTTCTCTGCGTACTCGGCGAACAAATCGCGCAGCTCGCCAATGCACTTGCCCTCCCTGCCCTTGTCACACGTCGCCCAGATTCCGCTGTCGCCAGGCTGGATGGCTTTGGAGTACGACCCGGCGTCGTCCTTGCGAGGCACGCGCCATTGCTTCTTGCGCTTGGATGTGGATTGCGCGGCATCCTCGCCGGCTTTTCTTTTGAGATCGGCCATTCTGATGGGTTGGAGTTGAAGATGTCGAGGTGCTGCGCGGATCTGAAAATGGAGTGAGCGATAGTGGGGCCGTGCGTGGATACGGCTTTCTTGCCGTGACTCAGCAGATATATGAGGACTGGGCACATTACCACGACTCTACCTGTATTCACCCTGCCTCTTCCCATTCTGCAAGAATACTTTGAAATCGCAAGACGGAGTGCATTGATTATTGCATCAATCATGGCCGAACTCACTCTTCCTTCAGCACCACACCTCTATCCCGCCCCATCGCAAGCCACTCTCGCATCTCACTTTGTCGGCAAGCGGATCAAAGACGTTCAAGCGCCAGCTGCTATCATTGATGCGGCGGTTGTCCGCAGAAACTGTAACGCTCTCAGCAATGCCATCAATCGACTGGGCGTTGGCTTTCGCGCTCATGTCAAAACCCACAAGGTGCTGCATCGGCCCTGTATCTTGCAACGAACGATTACTTGTACTGACGAAGAGCGTGTTACAGACGTTGGAGATGACGAAGCTACAAGTCGGCGACTCAGATGCGAAGACGATCAAGCTGGTTTGTTCTACGGTGTCGGAGATTGAGCATCTGCTGCCCTGGTTGGTGGAGTGCAAAGCCCAAGGCAAAGACGTGGACGTATGGCACGCGCTTCGGGATTCGAGTTGTTTGGCATTGCTCAATCTGACGACTTGGACAGGTTCTCTACGGCCTTCCTGTTGCGCCCTCTCAGGTTGCTCGACTCGGGAAGGTGGCATCGGCTTTGGGCGAAGGTACATTAGGCGTTTTTGTTGATCACACGGCTCAGATCAAGGCGTTGGAGAATGTCAAGGGTGATGTGTGGCCAGGCCATATTCCAATCTGGGTCGCTATTGTAAGCTCACTCTCCAGAAGTAATTGGCTTGGCTCGCTAATGAACTTGGATGTAGGACGTTGGATATCATCGCGAAGGTGTCACAGCAAACTCATCACAACTAGCGGAGATTGCGCGAGTTCTCGAGACGACGAAACGAGTGAAGCTTGCTGGCCTCTACAGCCATCTAGGCAGCTCATATGGCTCGGCCAGTGCAGAAGATGCGCTTAAGTACATGGCGGAGGAGTTGAGAGGACTCAAAGCAGGCGCCGAAGCATTTCTCCGCGCAGGCAACAACTCACTTACCGGTAACGGCAAGATTACACTCTCACTCGGGGCCTCGCCAACTGCAACAGCCACGCAGAACCTCTTTGGCGGCGTGTCGGCAGTCCACGAATACCGCAGTCTAATCGACGAGGTGAAGCAGAACTTCGAACTAGAATTCCACGCCGGAGTGTACTGTGTCAACGATTTGCAGCAATTAGCAGCTCACGCAACACACGATCGCACCTACGATGATATCGGCTTCCGCATTCTGGCAGAGGTAGCAAGCGTGTATGCGGATCGAGCAGACACTCCTGAAATTCTGGTTGCAGCGGGCTCGATTGTCCTCGGCCGAGAGCCATGCAAATCGTATCCAGGATGGGCGGTTGTTGCACCCTGGCCGGACAAGACGACCTCGTACTTCAGGCCCGGCGGCTCTTCGCCAGGGTGGATCGTGGGACGCATTAGCCAAGAACATGGCATACTCACATGGGAAGGCAGGGCGGAGCAGATGCAGCCGCTCGAGGTTGGAGAGAAGGTAGGTGGCGATATTGACTCTCGTCCGTGGGACTCGTGCAACTTGCTGACCCTCTTCTGCCAGGTTCTTCTCTGGCCCAATCACGCATGCATTGCCGGCGTGAATTTCGGGTGGTACTTGGTAGTGGATTCGGATGAGGCGGACCCCGAGATGATCCAGGATGTCTGGTTGCGCTGGCGAGGCTGGTAGGATTGGCGGTCGGCGTGTAACATTAGCAGGATAGTTACAGATATAGGTAGGTACAGCATGCGTCGCTTAGAGGGAGTGTAGGGAATTCATTACTCGCTCGGTGGGTCGGAAGCCGCGTGCCACATAGAGTACCTAATTGTATGGGTGGGCGGTTTCACATCCAGCAATGCCGGCGGTCAGTGCATCTAAATTCTCCGCCGTCACACAACGGCGCGCCTGCGTATTGCCGGAGCCAGGCCCCAGCACACACAACCACGAGCCAGACAGGCCGCGACAAATGCAAATAGCAGTGAAGGCGATACGTCATATCCATCGCACAGTGCACGCTCTCCGCCCTGTCACGATCTGTCAATCACAGATGCCAAATCTCGTGTCGATCCCCCGTCCGGCAGCGGTTTCAGGGCCAGGCTGTTGCGGGAGAAGAAAGAAGATTGGCGCTAGGAAGGCGCGAGCCCCTGGTGCTCCTGCCTCGCCATTGGTGCATCTGCCTCCCGCGGCATCGCGTTTCGAAACCGCAGTCCCCGCTAGATTGTTTCACACGGCGCTTTTCGATCTCCCGCAAATCGTCGGGGCCCGCGTGCCACTGCGCGTGGAGATCGTGGACTGCTCGGCCGTTGGCTGCTGCGCCGAATCTTGCTCTCTTTCTGCGCCTTCTCCCCCTCTCCCGTTCTTGTTGGGATGAAGAAGCGTGCTTGTCTGCATATTGCTTCCGCCACAGCGAGACGTGCGCGAGGCTTGTAGCCTGGGCATCTACATTTGCCAAAACCAAGCTGGACCTCTTATTTTTCCGCATCGGCACCTGAAGAGAGGGCTATTCGCACCTGTTCCCTCTCCTCCTCACCGTTCCTGCACCACCACCACCATGGCCGAGAGCACCGAGGCGGGCGATGCCTCCAATGCAGACATCGAAGAGAGCGACACGCCCGTTCACCCGATCCCGGCAATGCAGGGCGCCTTCGAAGAGTCCATCCTCGAAGCCGGCGGAGAACAAGAGGCGGTCCCAAACTCACCTATCGAAGCCGATGCGACCGTGAGGCGACACCACCTGCTCGAGTCCAAGCAGTTCGACGAGTCGTGGACGACCAGATGGAAGCAAAGCCCAGCCGCCCAGCACCACCCCCTCACCAAGCTGATGGCGCAGATCATCTTCGGCATGCACCTCCTGCACCAACACCAAGCCAAGTCGGACAAGGAAGTCGTCAAGATTCTGCAGACCCACGTCAACGAAGTCGACACCTTTCTCGAGCGCACGGCCGAGGACTTTGCCGTCGCGACCAAGGATGTCGAGGACCGCATCCGCTACCTGAAGCTGCCCATGACGCATTTGGACGTTTTTGAGAACATGCTGGACAATAAGAAATTCCGAACGCAACTCCTGGCGGGCAACGAGAAGATTGAGAAGATCATCGACCGCACCACACGAGCGCTGAACGCCGCGCTGTCCGATGTCGAGCAAGGGGTGCTGGCGAACAAAGAGCTCGGGCGATATGTGAGGAATGTGCAAGAGCAAGGCGCGCAGCACCAGCGTGCCATTGTCGATGTCTTCACCGCCATGCAAGGGAACGAGCAAGGCTGGAAGAGATATTTGAAAGATCTGCAAATCAAAGGCAACACCTTGCGCCAGATCCTGATCCAGCTGCAACGTCTGATTGCTGGAATGTCAAGAATGGCCGCTGCGGCAAGCCGACGCAACAAAACGCAGAGCAGCACCATTAATGCCGAAGCAAAATCCGCTCCTTCCTCATCGGCTGGCCCACGGTCGAAATTCTCCCAGGGCTCGTCATCGGACTTTCCTTCCGACCTCACTGCTCTTCCACAAAGACGCCCTTCGAATCTCAACAAGCCGTTACCAGTCGAGCCTCCGCCCGTCCTCGCGACTTCAGCGCCGGCACAAGATTCCGCAGCAAAGCCCCGCCACGTGCCGTTCGCCGAACGTTACGAGCGACCCCGACAATCTCCTCCAGAACCCTCCTCTCCAGAAACAATGCTTGCAGCTCCCAGACCGCGCCCCCGGACGGCACGAGAAGCACGCGCCGCAGATTCAAGGACGACCACCCACGAACTGCTGCAATTCTTCCGAGACGCCGATCCTGGAGCCAGCAACTTCAATCCTTTGCGAAGTAATCCACCGATTTCCTCGGATCCCCTTCCACCCAGGGTTTCTGCTGAGCAGCCCAGCCTGGGCCGGAAAGCAAGCCACGGAACCAATTTGATCATGGGCACTGTTTCGTTCAGCAATGACGGGCGAATCACCCGGTCGAAAGGCTCGGGCATCCTCTCCATTCCCAGTCCGCCATCAGTCTCCGACAGTCACTCTCCACCCCAGGCAGCTGTCCAGAAACCAAGCATCGACACAACAAGGAGCTTCCCAGCCACCATCGACCATGTCCCAGCCATGCCACACGACGCAGTCGAAAGAAGAGCAGCAATGAAAGAGTGCGTTTCCCCTCCTTCACTCCCACTTCCATCTCCCCCCACTAACACAACCCCCCAGCACCGGCTTCGCCCGCCGCCTCTCCAAACGCCTCAAACACCTCCCCCTCCCCACCCCTCTCTCCCCCTCCCCGCGCCCCTCCACAGCAGCATCCACCAGCAGCCCCCCAACATACAAACCAACCCTCCCCTCCTCCCAACCCAGCAAACCCCCCTCCACCTCTCCCTCGCCCGCCGACTCTGCGTACGGCTCCTGGCCAGGAGGCACAGGCACAGGCAACGCCTCGCCTTCAGCCCCGCACACCACCTCCGATCCGCTAGCCAGCATCACGCCTCGCCCCATCCCCGTCCTGGCGCCTTTGCCTTCCGACCCAACGAGTTCTATACCGCGCGTGTTGAAGGCGGAGATGGCCGCCACCGCGACGGCCCCGGACGTGAGCAAATTCCCGCCTCCCCCCGATCCGACGATTGCTGTCGAGGGGCGGAAGGAAAGTCTTGTCCCGCCTTCGATGAAGAGTGCTGTTTCGGGCAAGAGTCGGGGGAAGAGTTTGAGGAATGCGATTATGGGACGGTGGAGGAGGGGGGTGGACGTTGCGTAGGGCCGGCTTGTCTTGGGGTTTTTCTGGGGTGCGATGAAGCTTGATGGTTTCTATTACTGGTGTTGGCATATCTTGGATTGCGGAACTCTTGTTGGTTTTGGTTGGATATTGGCCATGTTGCGGTTATACCCCTGGATCTTTTTCCCTCTTGAATTCTTTAGTACGGGCTCGAGGTGGATCGGCTATGTAACGGTATTGTAACTGGTTGGAATGAGATCAAGGACTGCATTCATTCACCATTCGTCTCCGGCTTTCTTCTCCCTTCCTTGACACCACACGCTCGAACCCTCTGGAAGCTCGATGAGCAGCAAGCCCAAGCAGATTGTGCAAGGCTTGGCCGACTCAAGACTCAGTAGATGGCGGCATGGTCACTGCAGGACGCAGTCTCGCGGTGCTTGCAGATCGCCTTTTGCTCTTCCAAATGAGGCAGCGTAGCTGGACGATTAACTCATAGCGAAAAAATTGCGGGTTGCCCTAATCCGTTTGCACGGGTTGTGGGAGCTCGCGTATACGTCGCCAGTCGGTCGAGAGCGAGTAGCAAGCTGATGGTGCTGGGGTGTTGGAAGATTGCGAGGGTCGGTGATGCGGGGTGACGTTTAGATAGTGTGGAGGAGGAGAAGATGGCGGGTCCGAGAAGCGTCGGAAGGTCGTAGACTGGAAGCCAGGGGTTGACGACAGCGAGGGCCAGGGGTGCTGCTGTCGATTCCACCCGTAATAACGCGGCGGGCGTAATACCGCGGCGATCTGCAACGGTGTCGAGTGACACGATCAAGTCGAGCTTCTTCCCCTCCTCCGTCATTCCACAACACTCCTCCAGCCTCTTGACCACCTCCGCCCTCAAATCCCCCAATATCCGCTCCGGCATCTCCCGATCCCAAACCCACGTATCCCCCACCTTGGCCCTCTTCTTCACCCCCACCTTCGCATACCCCTCTTGCATGCGGAACGACACCGCCGCGGTCCATTTACCCTTGCGATTCAAATAGTCCAGCACGTGGCGGCGATTGATAACGTAGCTCGACGAGCCGGTCGAGACGTACGCCTCATGGCGGGTGCGCGCGGGATGCGGCAGGAGATGCGGGCGTTTGTCGCCTTCCGGGGCGAAGCGGGTGGAGGAGACGACGGTGCTGAAGGGTTGGAGGAAGTGTGTGGGGAGCCGGACTCGAGTGAGCGAGCATTGGCGGATGGGAGAGGCGAGGCTTTGCGCTGGGGGTTGTTAGCTGTTGAGCTTGGACGGTACACGATGATGTTTGCTCAAGTTTCCACGCACCGAAGGGATTCTTCGCCAACTCCCGCTGAAACTCAGTCAGCTCCTCCTGTACCACTACTGCTTTCGGCTGCGTGTATTTCTCCCTCGCGGCCAGCACGATGGGGTCCATGAGCGGGGGAAGCGGGAGGCTTGGGTTTCCATGCTGTCGCTGGCGCAGCGTTCGTGTGCCATCTTCGCTGCGCACCGAGGGTTGGTGTTGAGAGGGAAGGACAGATCCGCTTGGTCGGATGTATCGTGCATTTTTGCGCGGGAGGCGCGCGTGACGCGCGTTCATGGGGGGTTCATCGTCGGTGGGGGAGGAGCGTGGTGTACCTCGAATGGTGCATGTGAGGTCTGCATTAGATTTCCCAACCCTAAAGACTGCGGGGTAAACCCTAAGAGCCTTCTCGCTTCGGCAGCCTTGCGGAGCCGACCTCACTCCCCTTTTCCGTGCTTTGTGTCTTTTGCATTCGGCGCCGAATTCAGTGTCGCCTTCCGCGTTAGCCGTGATGGATTCAGAAGTAGAGACGTGTGATTCGAAGCTATTGTCGAGGAGGCCAAGTGAACTGTCAAAGTCCGTATTCATTGCTTCTTTGGGGTCGAGACTAGAGCAGTGTGACGTCGCTATGCCGAAGCGAGTTACGAAGGCCTTTGCAGCAAAAGGATTGATCGACAAGTTACATTCGAAGTATTGCGGTATCACTGGTTGCAGTGCATGTCTATCAAGACGGTACACTGTAAAAGCAGTAGGAGAGTGCATATTCAATAAACCCCTCGTTACAATGCAGGAAAGGAAGTACGAGCAAGCGAGATTAGCGCAAGGCGCCAGCCTTTCGACTCTCGAAGGTAAAAGATACAAAGACATACATATAGCCTCGTGAGTGAGCCGTATTCCTATCATATCATCACACACACACACAAACTTCTTCTCCAACCATCACTCTCCACAATGTCTCTCTCCAGCGCCCTCCTCGCCGCCCTGTGCATCTGCATCGGCGTGGCAACAGCACAAGCCCCGTGCCCGACCGATGGAAACTTCAAGCTGCACATAGGCTCAAGGCTGCAATACCTCGAGCCCGCCAACCCGTGCAAGGGCGACGGATGCTACACCTACTTCAACACCACCAAGAGCACGGAGTACGAGTTCGCCATCGCCAACGGAACGACGCATCTCGTCCTCGCCAATGTGCCCGCCGGCTCGCCCGCACGCGTCGGCCTTTATGCCGACACTCGTCCGGACCCGGATCACCCGGTGCTCGACGTCATCCTCACCTCATCGCCGCCGACCAACATGAGGTGTCATATTCGACCGGCTCCTAGCGACGATGACACGTGCGATCTGGTATGTCTAGGTGACTACAAGGGCAACGTGACGCAAGGGTCGACTATCCTTCTGGGTCGGGCGGCACATGACCAGTGGGCGCTGGGGCACTTCGAGGGCGGTCCCAAGATCAAGGTCAAGGTGGAGTACACCTGATAGGGGTTAGACGTATCCAATGCATCGAGAACCTAGCATTATTGAATCGAGGTGGACGCCATGTAGAGCTATGTAGCAGAATACTTCTTCTCCTTTGGTACCATTGGACACGATCAGAAGAATCAAATGTCGTCCTCCTTCAAATTCTCATTGTATGAGACGCCTTCAATCTTCGCCGCGCTGGACTTCTCCCGCTTGGCCTTGCTGTATTTCGTTCCGATTTCACGGACGACAAGCCATGCGGGAACGAGAGAGATGGCCCACATGCCGAAGTTGAGGTAGACCACCCCGACTTCACCCATGATCTTGATCGACGAGAGTCCATACTGCCAGACAATCTATTAGCTGATGCTCATTTGGAAACGATAGTGGAGAGTTACTGACCGATACTGCTTGAGACGCCGACTCGGTCCCTCGCAGGAGACCGGCGAAACGGACGATCTCGGCGTCATTTCTAGCCAGGTGTCCGATGATGAAGTATCTGCTAGGGGTCAGCATCGATTATAACTTCGACGAGAACCAGGACGCACTCACAGATACAGGTAGTTCATTTGAAAGGACATGACCATGAAGAAGAACCAGGCGAATCCCTTTCCGAAACCAGGTGATGTCCAGTCGAAAACGGGCGGAGGCTGAGTGGCGCGGAATTGAGTGACGATGATCGTTCCCCAGATCCACCACGCGCCCTGCAGTGTCACTAAGATGAGGAAAGACCATCGCCCACGAGCTCTTTCGGACCACTTTTGACGGTCGATGAACGCGCCGAGAACATTGCCCCCGATCATGGCGGCGATGCCGGAGATGAAGGACGCGAGCGCCCTCGCGCGAACAGTGAACCATAACCCCTCGAAGGTGAAGAAGACGGCCTCTGCAAAGACGGATTGGGCGATGAGCGGGATGATCAAAAGGTAGCGTTTGGTGATGAAGAGGAGGCCCGTAGCCTTCAACTCAGCAAGGATGCTTTGCTCCTTCGGAATGGAACAAGAGACCGCGATGCCATCCGTCCGTTGCACTTTCGCCGGAGCAGTCAGGAGCAGGCCAATGAACGGCGCAGCAGCTTGCAGTGCGATGAAGACTTCATACACGCCGTATGAAACCTTGCCAGCCTCGTTGCGGCGGACGTTGAGCCCGAGATTGACCGCCCCTCCGAGAACCTGGCCGCCGACACGGAACATGAGCCAGAGTCCAAGGAACCGCCCTTGGTTCTTTGGTTCGGGGTATGACAGGGCGATTGCCGCTTCGGCCATCCAGAAGATGCCAGCCCCGAGGCCGCACAGAGCGGCTCCGAAGAGGACAAACCAATGCGTTCCAAATCTGTTGTTGCAGTACTGTAACTCTGTCAGCCCCATCTTGCCTCGACAGTCGTGATAAGGAGGTGATGGTACGAACGAGACCTGCGGCGAATGGACAGTAGCCAGCTGCGCCGAGGATCAAAGTCCTGAGACCAGTGGACGCGTCGGTCAGCCAATTCTCGTCGAGCACAGCAGTGATGAGCGAGTCGTGGAACTCACCAACGAATGCCTAGATACTTCACAAAAACGCCAGAGAAAGCACAAGTCAACACCATCAGACAGAAGGTTAAGGCATTGGCGGCATCGACCAGCCATGGCGATTCTTCCCCTCCGCCACCAAGGCTATTCATTGCTCCCTAAGGAAAGCTTGTTCAGTGGATGTTCGCCGTTGCGGAGTAGATAGCTAGGTAGGATACGCACCCAGATGCCCGGAGCACAGAAGTTGCATAGACCCAAGATAATAGCATTGTAGTAGGTCGAACGGTACCATTTGACCGGATAGCGGGTAGGAGGAGCAACGTCGGTGGTGGGTGGGCTGTCACTCTCGACGTCGCTGTTTGAGTGGGCCAATTCGGCCTGTTTCTCGTCATACTTCGACATGCTGGAAGTGCTTGAGGATGGAATGAAGACGGATGATCGTTTGTGAAGTAGCGAGAGCGAAGAGATGAGCAGCGTGAGCAGGATATATGTCGATCCGCGGCCCACTCCCACGCCTTCACCCGTTCAAAAAGGGAAGTAGACTTTCGCGTGCATTGAAACTAATCAGGATAATGTATCCGATTCAACAGCAAGAGAGAATTAAGAGAGGGCAAGGTGGTGCCGTGTAGTCAGGCACGCCATCCTGGGCCTGTGTTGCGAATACCAACCACGCTTCCTCTTCCCACGCCCACCACGCCACCGACATCGCGAGAGAAGACCCAGATGAGACGGCATTTGACGGCACGGTGAGTGTAGCGTTGCGTCGTCCTCGCTTCAGTCCATCTCCAAGCCAATGATGCAGGCAAGCGTGGTTCGAATGCCAGGGATGCGATGATGCAATCTGCAAGTCGTGTCGATCTCCACGTGCCCAGCATCACGGCTCGTTGCACGTTTTCGGTGCAGATCTCGCCTGGGAGAAGATTGCAAAGCGAGTATTGTACGAGCAAAACAGCAGCATGGCGGCCGAAGAAGCCAATGGGACGCGGGCGAGGAGGCCATGGATCATGAACGCGTTTGCCATGACTGCTCCGGGACATCTGGCGCCAGGCAAGGCTTCGTGCTTCCATCCGACATCGCATCCGGCTGACCAGGTTCGCAGGGCTCTGGCGCCATCCAGCGCAGGAAAAGCAAACGCTCGAGCATTGGGTGCTAATCGCAAAACTTCTGGAAGAAGCCAAATTCCACGGCATCTTCTTCGCCGACGTGCTGGGTATATACGACGTATATGGCAACGACAACGCGCCCGCCCTGCGCTCGGCAGCCCAGATTCCCATCCTCGACATCAGTCTGCTCATCTCGGCCCTGGCATATGAAACCAAGCACATCTCCTTCGGCATCACAGCAAGCACAACATATGAGAACCCTTATGCCCTCGCCCGCAAATTTTCCACCCTCGATCAAATCACCAATGGCAGAGTGGCGTGGAACATCGTCACATCATACCTGCAGTCTGCCGCCGATTCCTTCGGCCTAGACCAGCAAGTGGAGCACGATGAACGATACAAAATGGCCGATGAGTTCCTGGAGGTGGTGTACAAGCTGCTCGAAGGCAGCTGGGAAGACGACGCGGTGGAAGCGGACAAGGCCACGGGCGTCTACGCGAATCCCGCCAAAGTGCACAAGATCAACCATGTGGGCAAGTACTACAAATGCACCGGCCCCAACCTCGTCGACCCGACGCCGCAGCGCACGCCCTTCCTCTTCCAAGCCGGCGCCTCCAAATCCGGCATGGCATTTGCAGCCGCTCACGCAGAGGCCATGTTCTTGCCCGGCATGATACCGGCGAAGACGCAGCAGATCGTCCATACCGTCCGCGGCATCCTCAAAGACATCGGCCGGCCCGAGACCAGCGTGAAGTTCCTAGCCGGCATGTTCATCGTCGTTGCTGAGACGGACGAAGAAGCCCACGCCAAATACCAGGATCTCCTTCAATACGTCGATCTCGAAGGCACCGCAGCCTTGTTCGGCGGATGGACAGGAACGGACCTCTCCAAATTCTCCGACGACGAAGACTTTGCTTTCAATGGTCCCCCGGCAATCCAAGGGTTGATTAACAGTTGGGCAGCAACGGCACCGGGCGGCACGAAATGGACCAAAAAGCGCGTCCTCCAAGAACTATCGATATGTGGTGCCCATCCGAAAGCTGTTGGCAGTGCTACGACTGTCGCCGATATTCTGGAGACCTGGATCAACGAGGCCGAAGTGGATGGGTTTAACCTCAGCTACGCCACCACGCCTGGCACATTCGAGGACATGATCAAGTATCTCTGGCCCGAGCTGCGGCGACGGGGAGTGTTGCAAACCGAGTATTCCGGCAAGACTATGCGCGAGAGCTTTTTGGGGGATGGGGGAGGTCCGCGTGTTAGGAAGGGGCATCCGGCAAATCGATTCAAGCATGTCGTCAATTGAGGAATCGACCAGTGTGCATGGGATCAGAAGATTGAGGGAATAGATCGTACCCAATGCATACATGCCTTAGACTTGGGACTGTCGGAGCCTCACTATACATACATATCATAACGCACTTTCCAAGGCGCGCCGCCAAACCTTACCTCCCGCTCGCCATTTCGCCATATCTTCCTCTTTCTTTCGTGGTATCGTACGCGTTCAGGACACGAGACTGTGACTCGTCGGCTTGCGAGAAGGCGAATCCGCGCTGCTTGCGCATCCTTTGCACCTGCCTCACTTTCCGAATCGCCTTTTGGAACTGCTCCATCCTAGAAAAAACGTTAGCAAAGTGTCCGGATACCCAGCGGGATTGTGAACGAAGACATACCGTGGCCTGTAGTCTTGCAGATTGAACTTTTGGATTTCCTGAACGTGATGGTACGTCTGGGGATAGTACATCCGCTTCGCATACTTCCAGGCAAAGTCCCGCAGCAAACACAGCATGGGCAACACCAACGCCATAAGCCAGAACGTCGGATCCGTCACCAACGGGCCCAGGATATTCTTGTACTCGACACTGAAGTTCAGCATCGGCGCGACGGTGGCGTAGACGGGCAGGAAGATGGCCCAGACGAGCAGAGAGCCGGGGATGGCGATGACGGTATACTTGGTCCAGATGTTGGTGATGAGCGCTGCTTTGCCGAGGACGGTGATCAGGCCGGCGGTGTAGAGCGCCGTTCCCCAGACCCAATGGCCGGCGGTGGTGCCATTTGGCCTGATGCCATCCTTCCACCACAAGAGTTCGCTGACGCCGTACAGGATGAGGGAGTGGTAGAAGCCATTGGCCACCCAGCTCCAGAAGTTGTGCTGCCGGAAGAACACTCCTTTCTGGCTCAGCTGGTACAGCTGTGGATATCGATCCAGCAGCCTGGCGTTGACGAATTGATCGAAGATGCCCAGCACAAACGGCGGCATGACGGTGAAGATGACGTTGAAGAAGGACAGCGTCCAGGATTCGAAGATGACCTCGCCGGAAAAGGCGTTCTGGAAGGAATACCAGAATTGCGTGATGAACATGGCGGTGTTTTTATAGTAGAAGTAGAGAATGACCTTCGAGATTCGCTGATAAGACCAAGCGCCGTGCACGAGCAGGAGTTTCCGCAGGTAGCGAAACTGTCCGATACTGACGTCGGCGCTTCGGGCGGCTTGTAGACCTTCAACCCCGGAGATACCAACGCCAATGTGCGCAGCCTGGATCATGGAGACGTCGTTTGCACCATCGCCAATTGCGAGGAGGATCGCTTTGAGATGCCGCTTGACCAGCTTGACAACGAGTGCCTTCTGCAAAGGCGACACGCGGCAGCAGATCACTGCCTTGCACATGACGGCAAGGTCCAGAAACATCTTCTCCAGGTCCTTCTCCAGGGCAAATGTCAGACTCTTGCCATCAATCACGAGCGCGAGCGTTTCCATCTCGGCATTGCCGACGTTCTGAGAATGAATGGCGTCCAGCTTCTTCTGAATGTTCTGCCTTGTCGCTTCTTTGTCCTCTTCATTCACAACCAGGAGTGTCATGTCTTCCGAGATCAGCTTACAACTCATGCCGATATTGATGGCGGTTTCTTGTCGGTCACCAGTCAGCACCCAAACCTTGATCCCCGCCGTTTGCAACGTGTGGATGGTTTCGGGCACGCCTTCTTGCAATTTGTCCTCAATCGCGGTGGCACCGAGGAGTGTAAAGTCCCTTTCGATGAGTTCGGCTGCTTTGTCGAGCTCCTCTGCTCGGTTGCCAGAGACCGTCGTGGCCGCAGTGTTGTAAACGTCCCACCACTCTCGGAACTCGTTCTCCTCAACCTCGCGAGAAGCAAGGCACAACGTCCTCAATCCCTCTGACGCGTACTCTTCCAGATGCAGCAACGTTCTTTCCACAATCTCGTCTCTGAACGCGAGTCGCTCCAGAATGACAGTGTCCGCACCCTTACAAAAGCACCGAATCCTTCCATCAGGGCAGCGGTACAGACAGCTCATCCTCTTCCTCGTCGAGTTGAACTCACACACCGCGAGCAGCTCGTACTCCCACTCTTGCCCATCATACACGATCCGCACGGCTTTCGGCTTTCTCGCCACAAACTTGTACCCCAGCTGCACCGCACCATCGACAAGTGCGCCCTCGTCCGGAGATGCAGCCTGGTATTTGATCTCGCCCGGTTTCTCTGCATTCGTCTCGGGGATGACTGTGTGGCAGGTGGCCAGCAATTGACAAAACAGGTCAATCCTTTCCGCATTGTCCATCCGGTCAGTCTTCCGGTGCTCGTCCATGCCTTTGAAATCGAAGATCGAGGAGTTGAGGATCGCATCCTCTTCTCTCAGCACTCTCCGATCCTCGGGTACGTCATCAGCGTATTGCACGCCTCCGATGCTCGCCTGTCGGAATTCCATCATGTTCCTCGTTAGCGTGCCTGTCTTGTCCGAAAAGATGTATTCCACCTGGCCGAGCTCCTCCACCAGACTGCTCGTCCTGCAATTCGCGGGTGTGTCGGTTTCGGCGTAGTATATGTCGAGATCGCTGGATATGAGGAAGGCTTGGTAGTATTTGATGATTTCGACGGTGACGAAGAGAGAAATGGGCACCAGGTTGGAGTAGAGGATCCAGTAGGTGAAGAGATCGGAGAAGAATTGCTTTGCGTAGTTCACGGATTGATAGTCGAGGTACCACAGGTTGGGGCCGATCGTCGCTCGGATGATCAAGTCTCCGATGGTTGAGATGATGGAGAGGATGATGAGGATGGCGCCCAGCATGAGGATCTGGGTGTTGACTCGTTTCTCCACTCCGGTGCGTTTGATTGGGGTGGCGGTGGCATTGCGCATGAGCTTGGTTTCGTGGCCCGTGAAGACGACGACGCCATGGATCCAGGGGGTGTTGCGCAACGTGGCGCCTCGAAGAAGTAACTGGTCTGGTACGAGAGGAAGTTCCTTCTCTCCACCGCCAGATTGCATCGTCAGTGTCGCTTCGTATGTGTAGAGACTGCTGTTGGGCTGTTCGCTGCGGATCCTGCCACCGAGGCGTGCGACCTCGGCGGCGGAAACGATCGTGCTGGTTTCGGGAATTGCTTGCTTGATCTTGAGATTCGTCTCGCCATCCAAATTGGCCGTCTCGATGTAGCACAAGCCTTCGGGCTCCGAACTCGCCAACAAGACCAGATCGGCAGGGAAGGGTTCCTCGCTCTCCACCCTCAACACATCACCAACCTTCACATCGATCCATTGCACCGTCTCGAATCGCGTGCCCCTCAGCACCTGTGCAGGGCTTCTGTTCAACTGTTTGTCTTGTGTCTTTCTCCGCCCATCTTCGATAATCTCCTTTCCTGCCGATACGGCCAGGACTATGCCTAGCGGTACGATGGTGGTGTATCTGTTCGTCGGGCTGATGTTGGGGATTTGTTGGAGGATGGCGGTGAAGAGGAAGAAGACGTTGGCGTATTTGCTGAACTGTTCGTAGACGAACTTGGGCAGAAATGTGGCCACGTTGTACTTTGCAGTACTGACGTGATTGTCGACGTATTTGTTTTGCGCGTTCGCGGGCGGGTTGTTGAGATGGATGATTCGAGGGCCCAGGGTGGAGGGATCGACTCTGCCACCACCGAGAAAGCTGGGAAGGCCGAACTTGAAGCTTGAGCCGGGGGTCGTGCGTGGTTTGTGCTCGGGAATGCTCGGTCCGCTTTCAGCACGCTGGAGGCGCTGCTCGGTCAGGGGAAGGTCCATCTCGCTATAGTCTGGACCCATGCCAAGGGCGTTCTTGACGCGACCTGCAATGCCACCGCCCATACTGAGAATGCTGTTTCGACTCCGATGTTGGCCTCTGCCGCTGTGCAGGGGAAGGTCGCGGACGCTGTCCTCGTCTATGCCACCTCCTGCCGCGTAGTATGCGCCGGCGTCGGAAGAGGCATCGTTGTCGTGGTCCGCGTCGGAGTATCGCTGATAGTTGCCGAGTCCACTCGTCTGAGAATAGGCCCTGCTGGTCTCTGCAAAGGGCGGGCGCAGGGCAGTATGGTAGCTGGGGCCGCCAGGCAAGGCGTCTGTAGAGTGTGCGCTTCCCACAAAGTGGTCATGCGATGTGCTTATTCTCGACTGAGGCATCTTCTCGCCCGAATCATCATAATCATGCCGCATTTCTTCATCGGACATGGGAGGCCACTGGCCGGAGTGGTAGATAGGGCCATCGTTGTCTTCGAGGTTTAGCAGGTCCTCGCTCCTCTGCTGGGGGAGAGGGGGTCTATGAGCCATGTTGAAGGGCAGACCGCACGGATGAGATGCTTGGCCTGCCCGCTATCTCTTGTCTTGCACCACCATTGACCGCGCGTGGGCCGAAGGGGCTGTGTGCTTGGGCGATGGTGGGAGTCGTCTCGGCAGTAATCCAAGCTCTTGGCTCGTCGTCGTCATACGCCGAGAGGTGGTCGTCGGCCGAGTACCAGTCCTGGGGGAAATTGGCGTGGCCGGAGGAGGTCTGTATGATGATGCGCAGTCAAGGCGTCGAGGTAGTTTGAGGAGGGGAGAAGGGTGTCGAATTGGCTGTCACTCCGCTGACGTTGCCCTGAAGCTGCACTGCCCTGACGGATCCCCAGCACCTTGAAATAAGGTTGGCCCAGGTGGCGCTAGCACCAATCGAGCCCGCCAGGGGCAAGCTCTCACTTCACTTCGCTGGTGTCTCCTCTCATCTTGAAACATCACCTCCACTTTAATTCATCGTTTCGGATTCGTCTGCGTACAAATCGAGATGCCTCTGCAAAGAATATGGCGACCCTGGACGGCGAGACGGTTCGTCACTCCGCCACGGAGTCGAAGCACGCAGCGCCGCACCTTTCTAGGCCTTCAGCGCGGCCCTCCTCAATCGCAGGCAACAAACGCATATCTGGTCGGCCAAGGCCTGATCATTGTCCTGCTCGTCGATTTGGCAATTGCGACCGCGATGCAGGACAAGACGACTTTCCGCTCCATCTGCCAAGCTGCCGGATGGTGGCAGGATCCTCCACACTTCCAGGAGGCCCACGGCAGCGGTGATGCCAGCGCAGAGGGTGAGAACTGAACGGACAAGTCACTGGCAAGTGATGCGGCTCCTTGGACCGTTACGGCCATCCTTAGCTATGTCTGTCAGCCACTCCCTCCAAATGTGAGCATGAAGCATGCCCGCCAAGATCAACCAGTGCTTACCATCTTGACTCTGGCATTCATGAAGCGGCAATCCCACCCCGTCGACGACTGATCCCACCTTCTCCTCTCAATCTGGCTTCATTATCATAGACGCGATGTCGGACGCGCCATCTTCCGCCCTGCCAGCTGGTCTGCTGAAGCTTGAACTGGAGCATCGACGGCACGGTAGTGACCGTCCTCCTCCCCTTCCGTTCCTGGCCTTCCGTCAGGATCTCCCCACTCGTCCCAGCCACGCTTTTGGCGCTTGTGGCTACGGACGGCAGAGTCTGCTTCCCACGGCCGTGACTTAACACCAGCAGCGCGACCCTCCGCCGCAGTCGGGTTCGAATTGGCGTGACGACTCTCACCGGCCCTCTCTTCCGGCTCCGGTGTATCCTCTGTCCCCGTCGGTCCATCCTCCAAAAAGTCCGTGGCGCCCATAGCGAGGTCAACCCCACCTTGGCGTGGCTCGGACTCTCCCAAAGTCAACCCGCGCACACTTTCAAACGGCACCTCGGCTTTCGCCACGCCGTACCCCCCGTCGACATCCATCCCCTCTCCATTCCCCCCTTCGTCGTCCAGATTCATCACATCATCCACCTCTTCAACACCAACATCGTCATCCACCTCCCCATGCTCGTGTTCTCGGCCTTCTACACGCCTCCTTGCTTCCTCCAGTCTCCTGTCGAACGACACAGCACGTCGGACCCGCAGATCAAGTGCTCTCATCCCCACCGTCGTCTTCTTCCCTCTCGAGACCTGGACTCGCAGAATCCCAATGAATGTCGGTGTATCGATGGGGTCATGCTGTAGCGGTGGATAGGATGGGTCGGCCAGTCGTGGCGTCGGAATGAACGTCAGTGTACACGGCGAGAGATCGGCCGCGGTAATGACGGAGCGAGGCAAAGGAGACGGCCCAAGGGGGAAGTTGCGTCGACGTTGCGCCATGAAGAGCCGAATTTGCTGTGTTGCAGGAGAACAGAAAGTGGATATGCGTTTCTCACAAGTGTTAAACAGCTTTGCATTCCAAACTTCACTTCACGCAAAGAAGGGTGGGTTGTGAAGGCAAACAATCTCACTCTTCACCCGTCTCAAACCCTTCAAACCCCTTCCGAACGCCGTCGCTAATACTGCACATCTCGCAATCCGGGGTAACGCGAAACATTCACGCATCTCGCTTTGTCTCAAACCACCCAGTGACCACATCGATCAAATCCTGCTTCTTTCCCGTCGTGCTAAGCCCCTTGCCCTGCAACCACGTCTTCAAGTGAGCAACAGTAAAAGAACTCAGCGCGTTCTTGGTAAACGCCGCGCGCATATCCTCGTCACTGATCCCAGCATCCTCATCGCCCTCTTTCTTCACCCTCTTCGGCGCACTGCCAGAAGCACCGAAAGGCTGACTCCGTTTCGCGCCACCATTCACCCCCGGCGCTCCACTCCTCCCGCTATCCTTCTGCCACCTCGCAAAAGCTTTGTCCAGTACCTCCCCGAATTCCACAACGTACTGTCCGGCGCGTTTGTGGATCTGCTTCCATCGCGGCAGCGTTTTGTCCTCGGGCTGCTCGGGAAGGTCCTCCTCCAAGGCTAGAGCCTGCAGAATGCGGTAGAACCACTGCAAACTCGGGTTCGGGTAGCGTTGAGGATCATAAACTGCTTTGGGAAGCTGGAGTTGCTGAACAACGACGCGCATTTTGTCGATGCAATCGTCGGAGGCTTTGATGAGATCGATCTCGGCCGGTGGTTCCCGGATGTCGTCCGCAAAGGGCAAGGGTTTGATCCAGAGACCTGGTGGCATCACCTGATCACCCGCGTCGCTTATCCTCTCCGCACCGGCGTACACGGCGGCGAGGGTAGGCACGGCGTTGCGGCGTGGTATAAACCATGCTAGACCGAACTTTTGAGACTTGAGCAGCTTTTGCTGTAGCGCAGAAAATACTCTGGTCGAGCCCACAAAGTCTTCTTCCGAGGGGTAGATGAAAGTGTTGTGCTTGTAATTGGCCCAAATCGGGAGCATGCTCAAGGGCTTGAAGCCGATGATCCGCAGGACTGGATCACCAAAGTTTCGAATCTTGGACAGCTCGTCTTCTGTGAAGGAGACTGTCTCGCCACCGAACTTGAACGCCTTTCGAATCTCAACCTTCTCAACGGAGCGTGCGGTATCCTCAGCCATAAGTGTGCTACTGCCCACGGCGATCTGAGGCTTCTCGCTGTCTGGCGGGAGGTATATGTATGACGTGCGCTTGGGTTCCTGCCGCTTGAGAAGGATAAAGCCCTTGACGCTAATTTTGAGCCCGGGGCCGATCTCGAACGGGACGCTGCTGAATAGTGCTCTTCGCGGGGCAGCACGAGACGCGACAGAGGACAACAAAGCCTGCAACAAGCTGATGCCGTCCTTAGCGGAAGCATTGGCGGCTTTGATGTCGGTTGTCAGCGGCGCGGGTGCATCAGGATCGGATGGTATGGCGGAGTAGACTATGTCGTCGTAGAATTTGCTTCTGTCGAATGTGTAGCCACGATCTGGATGAGAGATGGGAAAGAGCTCGATGGTGACGCCAAGGTCGTAGAGATCTTTCGCGCGGACAGCGGCAGAGTTACGAGCATCGCGATTGGTGGCATGTGGAGAGTCGTTGTCGGTCACCAGAAACAACCGGCGCGAGGAGAAATTGGGGGCTTTTGTAGTGAAGATCTGGTTGGCACAGAACAAGACATTGGCCATGCTAACTTCCTGATCGGAGGCTCGTAGCAGATCGGTTGCTTCGCCTTCGTCGTTGACAAGATTGCGGAGGTGTTTGACATCAGCCGCAGCCGGCACGTCCAAGTCGGTGAGAAGGTAGCAATGCGGGTATTGGAGACCAGTCTTGCCAGTCTCGTCATCACCTTCTTGAAACTTGCTCTTCTTGGTGCCAAACAAGAGAATGCCCATCATGTCATTGGGGTTGCTGATGATGCGTTGCTGCATCAAGCTGTAGGCGCATTTTAAAGCAGCGATGGTAGGTGACAGGCCGGTATCGGGTTTCTTCGGATCCGCGTCCTCGGGAGTGGTGAGCATGCTCTTGCTAACATCGATTGCGAAAAGGACGGCGTCCTTGACGGTCTTGTAGCCTGATTCATCCACCACCTCATCCTCCTCATCCTCTTCCTCCTCAGCTGCGCGATTGGAATTGTCCGCCATCTTGTCCCGATATGGCAGATCAGCCATATTTCATTGTCCGTCAGGCTCGGGGGGGTGTGGTGTGGAGATCGTTGCAGTGAAGTGCAGTGTGAAGAGGTGAACAGCGTCATGGCTGCCGTCATTTCATCCGCTCGCGAATCTGACGCGAGATCAGGCGGCAGCTCCACGACTTCTGACCGCCAGGTTCATCGCCAGGCTGTAGATCACGTGGTGACGCGTTTGGTATCTTCACTACGTGTACTTGCGTGGTGACGATCGAATCTGCCTGCGGGCAATTCAAGCGACTTGACCTTTACTTTCATCCAGAATCGTCCAGTCGTTTGTATGGAGATGGCGTTTAACGTCTTCGGGCTGCTCCGTCATCTTCAGACACTCGGACTTCACTGATTGGCCCACATTCCATCGCGCGTTTCTCCAGGCGCGGGACACAAATTCGATTGTCCGTGAGCACCTGCACCTCACCAAACGCCCAAGGTAGGCGCTCGCGCCGGCGACCATATAATCTCCGTTCCCGCCCTCCTCTCCTGCATGTCTGCGGGTAACATGTCGAAATTCACTCTCGCCATCGTCGCCGGCGCATCAGCCGCTGTGGGAGCTGCAACGACAGCTGCCCTGTTTGGCATCGGAGGAAGAAGAGGCCGCGAGACCAACACCATCCCAGTCTCCTCCACAGTCACTACCGCCCCGATCGATCCCACCCGCACAATACCACCTCCCCCGGTGCCCATCCGCCGAGACGATCCTGGCGTCCCCGCCGTGCCTCCTGTGGACCCGTCTGGAGTGTTCCAGTATGGCTTTCCCGGGCCTGTGGCCGACCTCCGCGCCGCCCCGTCCTTGACCTCATCCTTCGACCGCGCGAGAAGAAACCCTCACTGGGTCGCGGAACATATCACTCCCGCGTCGTTGATGTTGAACAACGGCAACAGGAGACACTCCGTCTTCGCCGAGGACCTGTCCATCCCGGAGAAGTTCCGAGCAAAGCTCACCGATTACCAACGCAGCGGCTTCGATCGCGGACATCAAGTCCCCGCCGCCGATGCCAAATGGACGCAAGAGGCCATGGACGCCACCTTCGCCCTGTCCAACATGTGTCCCCAAGTCGGCGAAGGCTTCAATCGAGACTATTGGGCGCACTTGGAAGACTTCTGCCGCCGCCTCACCACCTTTTACCCTTCCGTGCGCATTGTCACCGGGCCCCTGTATCTTCCCAAACGGGACGTTGATGGGAAGTGGAAGGTGTCGTACGAAGTTATCGGCCACCCGCCCAATGTCGCGGTGCCCACCCATTTCTACAAGGTGGTGTTCGGCGAAGACGGCAAGACGGGAGGCAAGGTGTCTATGGCTGCATTTGTCTTGCCGAATGCACCAATCCCCAACGACAAGCCGCTGCAGGACTTTGAAGTACCGATTGAGGCTGTCGAGCGTGCTTCCGGCTTGGAGTTCGCCGGCTTACTGCCGCCCGTGAGAAGGAAGAAGCTGTGTCAGGAGGTCAGCTGCAGTATCATTGTCAAGCAGTACGAAGAGCGACAAAGGAACCCCTTCAACCCTCCCCCGTTGAAGGGAACACCACCGCCCACTACTCTGACGGAGAGATGATACAGGTTGCCAGCCTGTTGGGAGTTCATGAGGCACTAACATAGCGAGTCATACGATCCGTTGTTACTATGATAGCGTTGCGTTGGCGGAGTGTGGTATCTCGGCTTATCTTATAATACACGGCCTCTTCCCAGAGCCTGTCATGGAGTAGTACATTTATTCCAGCTCGACCATTTTCCACATCCATGCCTCATGTATCAAGCCCTCCCAGCGCCGCGCCATGCACCTCGAATCTTGATCCTCCGGAGTCCACCTCATCTACATTCCCCCAAAAGCCCCTGCGCTCCCGCCGCCGACTCCCTTCTGAATCTGCCCTAGATATTGTTTTGACACCGTATTCCACGCCGCCATGTATTTCTCCATGCAATTCTGATAGCATGTGGTCTCCGACGAGGACAGAGAGGTGCCGGGTTTAGGGACGCAGCGTTCGAAGCAGTGTTCATTCAGTTTCTGCGAGGGTTAGCTTGCAGCCCTCGCACGGTTGTGGGAACGGAGGCAATTCACCTCGACTAACGCGCGCGCATTTTGTAGAGCTGCTTGTTGTCGGAGTTGGTCAAGGATCTGCTGTTTAGGGTCTGCCATGTTGAGGGAGTGTGGATGGATGCAGTTCGATTTTCGCCAACGCTATGGCAGGAGGATGACGAGGCGGTGAAAGACGGGTGATGGCTGGATTGATTCCGCTCAGATTGGCGGTGCAATTAGACGGGAGATGGACTCAATGACTTCGGTGGATTGATAGAATTAAAAGTGATGTCTTTGATGCCCTCGACCTTCAAAAGTCTGGAGTTGCGGCTCAGCACTCCTCCAGCCAATCACAGGTTGTTACACAAGTTGCGCCTACAGACGCCGGTATACCGCGGCCTGTAGCGACACTTTGTGCAACAACCTAAACCAACTTCACTTTCACCTCCATATCCCTTTCCACTGGAGGATACTCACAGAGGTCAACAGGTAGACCATCCACTCGCCGTCCATTTGCGGAAGAGCACTGGCTTTCACTCCCAACTCCTCATGACCTTCTTCGAGCCGGCACAACTAGTCATCTGTCTTCCAGGTCTGACTGTTCCCTTGAATCGTGATCGCATACTGTCTCACAGCCTTAATCCCCTCAGAGCTGCTCAAGCCGGTCTGGATGCGATTGGTGTCGTAATCGAAGAAGTTGTCAAATGGCCCTTTGGCGGAGCTCGGTGGAATCTTCGGACCTGTCAGCGCGGTGATCTTAACAACAAGGACATCTCAACTTGCTTCCGGATAATGCATGTCTATGGGATTGAGATGTGCCGGGAGAACCCAGCTCAGGCTGAATAGCACCGGCTCACGAACATTCCCTTCCCATTTAATCCGTTCAGATGCAGCATCGTCGCCATCAGAAGAACTCACGGGGCTGACGGCGAAGCGGACACGTTTGGTAGGCTTATCCCGTCTCTGCTCTGTTGTCAGCCGCCTGCATTAATACTCTTTCCCCCGCGTCTCGGATGAAGTGCAATTTTGCGTGACTTGCCTTGGCTGTGGTATTCATTCTACTTCGAAGATCTGTGGGGTTATCGATCGAATGAGACTTCCAACGTGTTTACGAGCCTGCGTGTCTGTTTATGTACCCATAGTCGTAAAGCGAAGGCCCGGCAGCAAACGATCACCGCAGATGAAAGTCACGCTTGCGCTCTTACGCAAACACTTCTCGTCTGCCGCGCGATCGTGAACGTATGGACGCATTCGTTCTTCTGCAAACAGTCCAGATCCATTACTGGACGCAGCGAGATAGTCTTCGGTGAAGGTGCAAACATATTGTGGTCTTCAACTTCCTCCAAGACATACCCCTAACACATAGTCTCAGACGAATCCCGTATCAACCACCCTCACAACGTGTTCACTCCTCAACAACCCCTCTTCAACAGCACAAAGCATCTCTCCCGCAGCAACCGCATGCCCCTCCCCAACAAGCTCCACGACCCGCAACTTAGGATACCTCCTCACCTCCCTCAGCGTCTCATAAATAGCAGTACCCACCTGCCTCTCATCTTCCACCCTGACCACCACCCGCAACTTCCGGACCTCCGCAACAACCGCCAATGCACTTCTGTGCGAGCCGCGAGGCGAGAATACGGGGCTGTACAGATCGTGGAGCAGAGTGCCTTCGTCCCATTCGAATGAGGTTGGAGTGATGTGCACGACGGGGATGTAGGTTGCGAAGAAGGCTTCGTGCGCGAGGGCGTAAGGGCGGGGGGTGAGGATGTAGTTGGATAGGGGGTTGGAGGGTGGGTGCACGGGTGATGCTTCGGACGAGACGGTACGAAAGCAGTGGGAGAAGATGGCGAAGAGCAGCTCGTCGGGGAGGCTTGTGAGTTGTGGCATTTTCATGGATTGCGGGAGGCAACAGACAGGCGAACAAGTCGGCGGCATTGTGGTGGTAACGCAAGGTAGATAGCGGCTTGACCATCACCAAGCCCCTGAGTGGCCCATGGGACCTCCCACGCTACATCACAAATCACCACCCAGGCCTCTTCGGTCTAGCCCATTGAATTCTGGGCATCTTCACCTTCCCTCCTATCCCGCACTTGTACAACAACCGGTCCTCCGAATCGTAAATATCCCACCCTTGCTCGTCGCATATCTGCTGCGCCTTCAAAGCAATGTCGACCGGCTTGTCCTCGATCGCGTCATCGACACAGATCCATTTTTTTGTGTCGACGTACATGTCGCGCACCTCGGCCAGCCGGAACCATTTCCGGTGATTTTCTTGGATGTCGCGCAAGTTGTCGTCGTGTAACATTGCGTCTGCCGAATAATTGGCCTTTTGGACGCCGGGGCCTTTGACGATATGCTTCTCGACCGCAAGCGAGCCGGCGGCGTAGAAGACTTCGCGGATCAGTTCTTTGGCTTTCTCCGGATTGTAGCCGGGATTGGGGACTTCTTGTCCGTCGTATTCGTCGCTTGGCTCCGTGGGCCTGTCAATCTTGCGGCCGGTTTGGTAGTCGGCTTTCGAGGCATAGGTGTAGCGGTCGTCGCCGAGCTCCAGCGCTGCTTTGGGAGCGGTAGCAGGCATCCACAAAGTCTTCTCCAAGTAGAGGGCGGCGGCTAAGAGATACGAAGGCGCGTACGACGTCTTCATGCTGATATCGAGCCATTGCATCCCCATTTTCCAGCGGCCGTAAGGGTCGCTCGGAAACGCCGCGGTGAGGAAGAGGCCTTCCTTTTCCTTCTCGGGAGTGGGAATGGAGGTTGCCGGCGCACGCAGTCCAAAGACGGTCAGAAGCCGTTGTAAAACTGAAGAGCGGTCGGTGTCGCTCTCGCCAGGGTAAGAGTCGAAGGGGGTGGGCTTGATGTGATCCGGCGGCTCGTCTTCGATGTATTTCCATTGGCTGGTGGCGTACCACAGCCCCAAGGCATGCGTAGCTTTGGGATAGATGGAAGCGGCCGCTTTCGTGATGTGGTAGAGCCAATCGCTGGTGGCCACGTGCTGGCCTTCGTCGGTGTTCCGTTCGAGCACCGCAGCGGCGTAGTGAGAAATGGGATCGTCCACTTGGCAGCCAATTGCCACCGCTTCGCGTGCCTTTACGGCATCACCGCGCGCCATACACACGTTTGCCATTTCAATCCAGGGCGCCAAGTTCGCGCGCAACGCAGAGTTCATCTCTGTGCTCCGGAGTTCCAGGTCTTCGTTGGCGTAGGCTACTGCATCGGGCATTGCGGCTTCCCAGCGGCGGATCGCGTTGCGATAATCGCCCGTGGTCACCAGCACGCGTCCTTCGCATACCTGTGCAACAAAGCGCCTGCCGCCTGGACCCGGCATTTTTCCATCGGCCATGTCTCGAAGATGCTGCCGAACCGGCGCCAACTCCGACCTTGAAAGCACATTCGGGCGATACCTGGCTTCCACCAGGTATTGCTCTACAATGTGAAGCGTGGCCGCGCCAACGCCAACCGCAGACAGGGTATACATGAGCCTCTTGGCCGGCACATCGAGTCTTACGTCGGCCAGGGCGCTCGCGAGGTACTCGCAATCGAGCGCCGACATGCCAGTCTCCTCACGCAAGCGTTCGAAAGCCACGGTATCCACCGCCAGACCCTCGGACTTGCTCTGCGGGTCCGGACGTTCGGGAACGGCGAGCCGCGTGAATGCGTTGGCGAATTTGATTGCCCCACCCAACGAAGCATCGAGAAGGCCAAGTGCAGAGCGTGACTCCAGCCAGCTCTGGATGTATTGTGACGGACCATCTCGCACCAGATTTTCATATTTTTCCTTCTGGGCTTTTGCCTGCTCGTCGGCTGCTGCGATTGCTTCCCCTCCCGGCAGTTTCTTCAGCCTTTGCCGGTACGTCCGCGAGTAAGTGGAAGAGCGTCGCCCTCGTCGGTCCCCAATTGCTGGCTGGGCGAAGAATGTGCGGCCGCAGGTGCAGGTGCAGAGCCTGCAAGCGTCGTGGAGAGCATTGCCAGTAGAGTGTCGGATTGCGCGCGACAATCGGCGAGCAAGCATTGCCGGTCTGCGGCGTGGTAATGGCGCGAAAGTGGCGTGAAGTTGAACTGAGGTGGAGATATTTATTGAAGGATTCCGGGGAAGGTTCGCGGGTGCGCACCTTCCGTTTCCGGCAACCGCAGACGACATACCAGGTATCTTCAAGGTAGCACTAGAACACGAACATGGAAGTTCTGTCAAGTGATTTGATGGCTCTGCATTCAGCTCAACATCCACTCACACTACTAATCACAACAAGAACGCTTCGAGACTATCCACGCCATGTAAGGACCATGCCTCCTTCGCATCCCTCAAACAATTACAAACACTGCCAATCACACGAGGTGGCCCAAATACAAGAAGAAGGCAAGAAGAAAACGCAGCAACATCGACCCACCCAGAATCCCACCGATCATCACCAACCCAGTCGTCAGCATCATAATCGTCCACATGTCCAAAGCCTCCTCACTCCTCCATAAGCAACTCATCGCCCGTCTCCCTCCAATCCCGACTGCGCTCCGACAGCCGCTTGATCCCCGATATCCGGCCCGCGCACAGCGACTCCACCGCCGTGCGGAAAGTGTACGCGCGCTGCGAGCTGATCACCCCGATGGCCTGGAGCACCGCTTTCCGCGAGTCGCGGCCAAAGACGGCAGGGTGCGAGATCCACTCCAGGCTCGCTTCGAGCTCGGCGTCGAGGGCGGTCATGGTGGTGTTGTCGATGCCTGCGGCCGGAGCGAAGGGGCTGATGGGGTCGGAGCGAGGGGGAGAGGGAGTGCGGCGGCCGTTTTCCGTTGCTGGTGATGGGAGCGGGATCTTCGCGGCTGTGCTCGGATTGATGGGGTCGCTGCTTGATTTGGGGGTGGGCGGTAAAGCAGATAACGGAGGCGGAGGAGGAGGCAGGGGTGGCAGACTGCCCTTGTTGAGACCTTTGAGAATCGAGCGCGTCTCGGCGAGGAGGTGGTGTGCGCGCTCCGCTGACCCTCGCGTTACGAGCGTGATGGCCCGCGAAAGCATGTCGGAGGTTAGCAGCTCCATTCTACGCTGAACAATCGATGGATGGGGTGGGATGGGAGGAGTCCCCAGCGGCCCGAGGGTGTTTCGCTTCCCAAGTCCCGGGAGCATGGTGATGGCGAGAAGAGATGGGCGCGGGAGGTGCGTCAACTGCACGTCGCGAAGCAGGTCATTCCAGCTGAGGTCTGCTTGCAGTAGTGGCAGCTCCTCCACCGACATCGCCCGGGCCTCTTCCTGCTCGAAGGGTCCGCCGAGAGCCTCCAGACCGGATATGATGTTGTCCCAAGGATCATTGGGTGTTGCTTCCGGGGTCGAGGCATCGGGAAGGATGGCAAGTTGCACTAGTATGTCCCGCTTGTCGCCGAATCTCAGATCCCCCAGTGAAACCTCTGCATCCCGGCCCGTAGCCCGCTTCGTGACCTGGAGGGCGCCGCTGATTTTGACAAACTTGGCCGGCGAGCCCTCGGGCAGGCGGAGCTTCAGCTTGACATTTTGATGCGAGGTGCTCTGGAGTGCGCCCATGCATCCAGCCAAGCACTCTCGCAGCATCATCCAATCCTTCACGTATGTATAGCAGGCCTTGGTCTTGGTGGACAGCTCGACGAGCGTGTCCGGCTTGTGGGTCAGACCGAGCCCGAAGGAGTGGATGGCGACTTTGGCCGCTTCCGCACGAGACACCACAAAATCAATGCTTTCGTGTTCTGCTGTCGCGGAGTCGCTGATCAGGATGATGTTCGAGAGGGTGTTTGCCGACTTTCGTTGCATGAGCAGGTCCATGGCCACATTCGCGCCGTCCACAGCGTCGGCGCGAATGTTCTTCTGACCCACGGGCCGGATGGATTCCAGCACCGATGCCCAGCCGGACCATGTCTTTGAAGTCATTCCCACCAGCGGCACTCCACTATATCCGGAGCCGAATGTGACGAGGCCCATACGGTCCCTCTCGCCCAAGTTTGACACCAGGAAATGGAGGGAATCGCGGAGGACGTTCAACTTCAAGCCCTGCATGGACGATGAAAGTGGTATCACAACCACAACGTCTAATGGGACGTGGATCGTGGAAGCGCTGAGTCGCATCTCCTGCCCGCCGATCCGCGAATTTGTGTATTCCGTCGGCGCCGTAACAGCGGATCGTGGGCCTCCGTACGATGAGGATACAACGGAGGTGCCTCGCTGGTCTGCACTGTAGGACTTGGCCGCGTCGTCGTCTTCGTCTGTTGACGTGTCGTGGTCGAATTCGGCGGCCTGCGGGCTTGGCAATATAGGCTGGTTGATGTTGAGCAGTGTTCGTCGCCAAGAGATCAGTTGTTGGTGCTCATTAAATTGCAGGTAGAAGTGCGGGAGCTCTGGCACCGACAGGCTGAGAGTCAAAATTTCCGTGTCTATTGTTAATGTTAGCGATGGTCTCACCACGAGGCTTGTTACTGCAGACTCACCGGGTACGAGCTCAACCTGCTTGAGATGCTTCTTGATCAAGATGGACCCCTTGAGTGTCACCTTCGACACCGGTTTCAGCTCCTCGACCGCATGCCACTGCTGACTCGCGTTGGGCGTTGATTTGCGCGCTTTGACACAGATGAGCATCTCGGTGAAGAGATAGCACTCCAGGTCCTGCCAGGCCTTCTGGTCTTTGCTCACTCGCATCGTTCCATGCAGGATCAGCCTGCCAAACCGCTGAAAGTCCAACCCATGCCAGTTCTCGCATCGCTTGCTCAGCTCTTCTTTCACGGTCTCGAGCGCGCCTCGCTCTTCGTGAACACTGTCCACCGGTCGCTGAGAAGTGGGCGACATGGCTGCGTTGAGAAGGGGCTTGGTGGGTTCGGAGATGTCTTCGGGGAGTGGCGGCAATGGCGGTGGAGTTCGCAGGTCGTCGAGGTCCGGTTGCCATGTCTTATCGACCACCTCGACCGTCACCAGACATGTGAGGCTCTGCTGTTGACGAGACCTGGTGAGAGTGGGAAATTCACTGCGCACGGTGACGGTGGGCGAAGGAATCGGGTTCTTTGACGGTTGGCGGCGAGTGCTGGCCAATGTTTCGGTATCCGAGGCTGTTCGTCGACCGGATGCAGCGTAAGTGTCGGTATGGTCGGTCGCGGAGATGTTACCCGTGTCGGTGCTTTGCTGTCTGGCATGTCCGCGGCTCTGCTGATCATGCGGGGCGCCGTTCGCACGCGTTTGCTGGGGAAGGAGGTGGTCTCGAAGCGCAGGCTGGGGAGCGATGGAGTGGTGCTGTGAGGCATAGTCGGCGGCGGGCTGGTCCCAGGGCGGGGATGTGGTGGCTTGATCTCGTAGTCGATCGCTAAAGTCTGGCGACTGCGCGGAGCGGACGAGTTTGTTGAGGTTGACAAAGTCGATGGTGCCTCCGCGGCTGGTGTCGAGGCCTAGAGGCGCGTTGCAGGTGGGGCAGTTCTGCGCCTCGAATTCCTTGATGTACTCGTAGAAGCACGCCTCGTGGGAGACATGACCGCAGGAGAGTTGCAAGATGCGTTCGCCGCGGAGGGTGTGCTCGAGGGGCTCTTCGCAGGCGGCGCACTGCGTGCCGATGAAGGTGCGCTCTCGCCGATCACGACCTTTGGCGACGAACATGCTGTTGCGATGTTCCTTCAACTGCGCGAGCGACGACAACCGGGAATGGTTGTTCGCGCGGGAGTGCGACTCTCTCTCCGTGGTGGGCGATTGCTTGCGGTGACGTCGGGAGATTTCAGACGCGCAATACGAGACACCGGCGGCCTGGGGAGGCGTTTGGAGATGGACTTGTCTCTCGGCGGGTCAATTGGCGGCGGAGGATACGAGACTGGCGCAGCGGGTTTTTTTTTGTTTGCCAGCGCGCAGTCCAGGGATGAGCAAACGCGAGGCGGCAAGGCTGGCAGCGCGAGCATCCAAGTCGTCCAGAGCGGGCCTGGAGGAACAGAAGGCGAAGAGCGAGAGGGCGTCGGCGAAATACTTTCACCAAGTGTAGACGGGGAGGTGCATCACGTCCGGAAAGGAGATCGGTGGTTGGGCATGATTTGACTAGGGGATGCGCGCTTGCCCGTGCTACAGATAGATTGACGGCCGAGAGATCGACCCGGTGGGGGATGCTGGCGGTTCGGGGGTGTCTGCAAGATTGCCGGAGCCGGGTGCAGATAGACGAGCGAGGTCGACGACGGGTTGGAGATGCAGGGCGATGGAAGGGGATGAAGTGTGCGTGCAGGCCGGGGGGTTACGTCCACAATTTACAGCACGCACCGTGGTGTATGTGCCAAATGGCGGGGGGCCAGGGCTCGCGCAAACTCACTCGTTGCCATGCTCCGTCGGCGCTCGTTGGCGCGCTCCATTGACTTCGGCCATTTCCCTCTAACTGGCACAAGCGCCACGCCTGCAGATTGCCGCAACTCTCCGCTGGGTGGAGCCGGCGGCGGGCATGGCACCAACCAGAAGGATGCGAGGGGCGAGGGGTTTCAAGGAACGCTAACAGCTCGAGCACGTCTAACGCGGCGACTAGCAGTAGTCAATCGACGCCCGGGACTTTGTTCGTTTGACAGATGCCGGCAAGCGCTGCATCCGGCATGGCATGGCATGGGCATGCCAGCGAACATGGCCATGGGCCACGCCATGCCAGCTATCGTCGCTTCCAGGCGTCAGCTGCATGGGAGTTGTCTCAAGCGCGGTGCCATGTGGCCGACCAGGGGGAAGGGCCAGGCCACGCTGCCGGGACTATTCTCATTACCACCCTCAGGCGATCGGCAGTCGAACAGAAGCTCGCATTCGCCTTCACCTCCGCCGTGGCGTCTGCCTGCCGGCCCGCCCGCCGCGCCTTGCCCATAGACTCGTATTTGTCAACGCCGTGCCTCCAAGTTCTTATTTTCATTACTCAGATGTCTACTGCTAGGCTGATAGTCCTAGTTGCTACGTGCATGCACACAAGACCTATGTCTCCACGCTTCCTGGGCCGCATAGAACAAAGTATATGCTGCACGGATGCTGTGCCGACGATCCAGAAGCAGTGGACGAGCTAACGCTAACGCCCGGCGTGGAGGATTGCATGACTTCGCGAATCAGCTACACGACAACCACGACACGTGGAAGCCGGCTGGATGCAACGGACTGGACATGGCATGTCATCCAGCACACACTAACCCCCCCTGCGCAGGAGGATGAGTGGCCAGAACTTGTCGTTAAACGCGAATGTAACGCTGGCGGCATGCATGGCGTCGTCTGCATTGCCGCAATCCGCCACACGCCCCCGGCACATCGATGCTTGTTCGATGAAACCTTCGAGAAAGTGCAGCCTCTCCCATCATTTCGGGGAATGCAATCAGGGTTCCGCCCGAGCATACGCAGAAGAAGCATGCGACTTCCCGGCTCGCGGGAGAGGCATGCACGTGGGATAAGCGACAGATGCAAGCTAGCATGCATGCTCCTTCCCTAACGAGAAATTGCGGCGGCCACATGGTTTGCGCGTGCTCGTCGCCTACGCCCATGTCAGACGGGGTCTGTTGTTTCACTGTGCGCAAAACCCGGGCACGAGGCCGCGGGCTCGCCAGCATTCATTCAAACCCACACTTGTCGAACAAGCATGAACACCACCATCAAACTCGTCGGAAAGTTTACAATTAAAGATCGCGATCGCCATCAAACCTACCATTCGGAAGTATCTCCGGTTCTGCAGCCTCCTTCTCTGCCCGACCCGTCGAAGCCGAGCTTCGAAGGTCAGAATTGCGCAAAATGGACGATCCTAATGAAACCGCTCGAAATTACGTGAACAGCTGCAACGTCAGGACCCGTCTGTCCAGCGAAGAACCTCCCTTTCTCCTGTCGCCTTTTAGAAACAAGGTGACCATGAACATCAGAAGCTGCAACCAATTCTTGTCGTCAGAGTAGCACGGAAAAGCTCTCCGCATGTAGAAAGTGACATCATATCACCGAGCTGCTCGACTGTGAGGTACGGTAAGTTCGGGTTCTTCTCTTGTACCTACCGCTACGACCACTCCCATTCACAAGCATCATCAAAATGTCCAAACCGGCCGAAGATCGTGCTCCGGTCGCAGATCAGGCAGAATCGGACGCCTGGTTTCCATCCCCCTACTCGCTCACGCAATATGTCGCGCCCAAGACGGACTTCGATGGCGCGGATTATCCCAATGCCTACAAGGGCGGGAAGTGGAGGATTCTCCTCATCGCCACGCAAGAGCGCTACCTGCGAATGGCTGGCGGCGAGTTCTTCTCCACCGGCAACCATCCCGTCGAGATGCTTCTTCCCCTGCTGCATCTCGATGCCGCTGGTTTCGCCATCGACATTGCCACCATCTCTGGCGATCCTGTCAAGTTGGAAATGTGGGCGATGCCCGCCGAGGATGAAGCGGTCAAGGGAGTCTTCGAGAAGTACAAAGAGAAGTTGCGTAAACCTCTGAACCTGCAGACCGTGTGGGGAGAGGGTTTCAAACGAGATACCCCTTATATCGGCGTCTTCATCCCCGGTGGACACGGCGTGCTGAACGATGTGCCATTCTCCGAGACCGTCGGCAAAATCCTGCGTTGGGCCGATGCCAACGACCGCTATTACATTTCTCTCTGCCATGGGCCGGCGAGCATGCTTGCCGCCAAAGTGGGCGCGGGCGAGGGAAGCAAGTTCATCTACGACGGCTACAAGGTCGCCGTCTTCCCCGACTCGCTCGACACCGGTGCAAATATCGACATTGGCTACATTCCCGGCAAGATGCCGTGGCTGGTGGGAGAGGAGCTTCGGAAATTGGGCATCATTCCCGTCAACAAGGGCATTACGGGTGAGACGCACCGGGATCGGTATGTCATTACCGGCGACTCGCCTTTGGCATCCAACAATCTGGGCAAGCTCGCTGCAACAACTCTCCTGGATGACCTTGCCAATCGCGCTTGAAGGCCTCCGATTTTCGCCAGAGGCTCCAAGACTTCACCACTGGACGAGTTGTAATGATTGCTCTCGAGTAACGTGTATCAAAAGCTTCTGTTCTTGAACATTGTCCCGTCGGGGTGTCGAGGCTTCCGACTTACCATCGTTCGACTGGTGCTGACCATTACTGATGAAAGGGTTGGTCTTCGATGGCTCCTGACAAACTCCACCACACGTGCATTCACTTTCGATTTTCGCTCGCAAGGAATTTATTCGCTCCTCTCCTAACTTGCTCCCTATGAAACTCTTCTAAGGTTTCGCAAGCACTCTCCACTGATCGCTACACGCACCCCTTGCACACGCTCAAACCCATCATGTTGTCCACCAACGCGAGCTCGCCCTCGCAGGCCACCACTCACGAGCGCGCAACGTCAACAACATCCAACGCTCCACTTGCAACACCGCCGCAGCAAACGAAGCCATCCCTCCGCACCATACCGCCGGAGTTACGCAATCAAATCTACGCGTACACTCTCGTGCAAGACCAGACGATCGAGCTGTCCACCGGCAGTTCAAGAACTACGTCCGCCTTGCTCCGCACGTGTCGCCAAATCAGGCAGGAGGCCTCGCCCATGTTCTACACCGCGAACGAGTTCACGTTCAAGATCCACGGGTACCGCGGCCTCGAAGCGGCGCCTGCGCTCAAGGTCCACCTCCAGTTCTCGCGAGTCGGGCGCAAGAACTTCCAGCTGGAGATCTGCCGCGAGTGCCGTGAGTCCATCCACCTCGAGGACTTCGCCAAGTGGCTGCGGGCCTACCATCGCGACGTTAACACGATTCCGCGTCTGGAGCCGCGTGTCTGCATCACCGGACCACTCTGGGGATCCGCGGTTAGAAGAATCGTCTCCACCATCGACAACGGAGGAGTACCTGGCGTGGACGCTTTGGCGGCCATCACTTTCCTCTTGGCAGTGCTCAAAGTGAACAAGACTGCTCTGCCCTTCCACGGGTGCAGCATGTTGACGGAAATTGAAGACGACGGAACGGAGAAGAGGGATGGCTGTAAGGTATGGCGCGAGAAGTGGGCGGGCCCTGTCTGGGTGTAGGCCGTTGTGCCTGGAGGACTGGTTGTGACAGGGTGGATGAATACGAGAGTGTAAAGGGTGCGCGCTCATCAACGCAATTGAATACTGCATACCATTCATGTCTAAGGTATGAACGGAATACCCGTCCTCGTGCGATGACGGAACGCTTCGTACTCTTCGCCAAAGAACTCGACGAGTAGCTTCTCTTCCACTGAAACATGTCAGCCGTTATCTTCAAACGCGAGTGTGAGCGCTCTACTAACCTTCGATCCTCTGCTGGAAGAAGTACCATAGGACAAGCAGATACCCAAACGTACAAATCTTATTCCCGACCAGTATCTGCGTGCCAAGCGCCCACCAAAAGAAGCCGAAATAGCTAGGGTGCCTCAACCAGCCGTAGACTCCCCTGGTGACTAGGACATGGCCTTCTTTGCGGACTTTCTGCGGGGTATGATTGAAGTTTGTCCCAGCCTGAGCCATGGCCACACTTCGCACTACTTGTCCAATGACGATGAGAACGATGCCCGCCGCAATGGTGTAGTCGCTGACACCAAGCGCTTGGTAAGAAGGCAGAAAATTGGACACGACGATCTCCAGGGCCGCCAGGCTCTGTGCGGTGTTGTAAGCCTTGCCGTTGCTGAGGAGCAGGAAGCTCGCGGCTTGCGTGGCGGGCGTGTTGAAGTGAGCGGTCGTCCAGTACTCGAAAAAGTGGAACCAGCTGAGGCACGCAAAGAATGCAGGCAGTCGCCAGATTGTTCGCTCGTGCAGGACCAGCCAGGTTGTTGACAGCAAGGACGCGGCGAGCGTGAAGCCTAGGAGGAAGGCCTGGATTCCGATGGAGGACAGCGATGTCTGGCCAGACGGATACAGTGACGGATGGCAGGGAAGTGACTTGGATCTTGCCCCATGGCTGGCAGTATCGCCGGCGTGGTCTTCATCGGTGTAATCGTGCGTGGTGTCAACAGGAGCTGACGCGGTGGCATGTCCATTCCCCTTGGGTGTCGAGGGAGACCTTGATCTCCGAGCCATGGCCGTTTCGTCTTTAGCTCGTCGCTGTCACCTCATCCGACCTGCCCCAGTGTCCATGAGACTCGTCTTGATCTCGCGTAAAGTCAGAGCAGTCGAGGCGTTGCAATTGCCAACGTCATGTCCTCGAGGCTCCACTAGAGGTATGCGAGGACAATAGTAAGCTTTCGGCGAGCATGCCCGAACCTGCCCAAGCCGGAAATAGATTGGGATTTAAAGGCTTACCTAAGCTCTTGATCGACATGGATCCTCTGCTACTGCGACTTCGGCTCTACCTCTGGTATTCTAAATCAGTGAATCTATGCTTGACCACATCAACCTCGTCGCTCGGAGGATACCACGGCAGCAGCAGACTCTAATGACCAGTATGATCGCGACGAATCGAAATGATGGAAGGCAAGAATGCTGTCTTCCAAAAGCTCAAACCACCTTGCGTGGCTCTCAGTCAGGCCGCGCTGGCTCTAAGCGGTCCACAAGGTGATCAACAGGCCGTCACCAGCCGACTCGAGACCCTGAAATACGAGCTCTCGTCGGCAACATCACCACCAAGCACTCTCGATCCGAAGCTCGCCGAATATGCCTTCTTTCCCATCTCGCAGGTGTTGAAAGTCAGCCACAAGGTGTCACTTCGCGCGCTCGAGCTCGCCATCCAGTGCATCGCCATTTTGGTCGACCAGGGATGGCGATCAAAAGTGCCCGCGCAACTCGCTGCGCAGCTCATCATCCTCTGCACCATGCTGGCCGAAAAGAACCCGAAAGGTCTTGGCCTCGCGGAGTCAACTCCCGACCTGCGTGCTGGTGGTTTCTGGTGTCTGCAGCATCTCTTCTCGGTCATTGAACTCGGATCGGAGTCTCATTCACTGCTCACCGACGAAGCAAACATTCCGCAGCTGGGACAGACTATCTCGGTGGCTCTCGAGGGCATCTATGATGGTATCGATGCGGAAGTCCAGCTCGCGGCTATGCATGCTCTGGAAGCACTGGTCTTGCACGTCTTGGATCGAGAGATCCAAGCCAGTTTTCTCCCGGGCATCGTCTCGAAGCTGACCCGGGTCCTGACGCCGCAAACGAAGCAAAGGCGCAATCATCGAGTGTTGACCGGATGTCTTGGTATATTGGGCACCTTGTTACAAAACACCTTAACTATCGTACCCTCGCCCTCGCATGCCAGCGACCGACCGAAAGTCAAAAGTGTCGTCGATGCAGAATGGCAAGCACAGGCTGCTACACAGCTCAAGCCTGCTCTTACGAGCATCTTCAAACTCAAGTCCCATAGCAGGACGGATGTACAAGATGCACTCGGCAGACTCTGTTCAATCTTGCTCCAGAGCTGTCGGAAAGCCCTGGCAAATTGTTCTCACATGGCCCTCGAGACGCTGGTGGAGATGTCTGCGGCTAGGCCAGATGGCCTCCATATCCTCGACCTCGACATATTGATTACCACCGATCAGTTTGTTGCGGGATTGTTGCAAACAATCTTGTTTGACTGGATGCAATCCCTTCCAACAATAATGCAAGGCTCGGATGAGCAGGCAAAGATTTCCAGAATGTCTCGGATCCAGGCAGGCTATGACCTTCTCATCAAGGGCGGAGTCAGCACCGTCACGATGGATCAAATGCTTGCAAACATTCTGCGCGACAGCGTAGCCGTAACACTGACTCTGTCGGGCGTTAAGCATCGGACCGCGCCGATCACATCGGTCGTTCAGTCTTCAGACCTCGACATGATGCGATTGCAGCAAGGCTCCACCAGCTTCACAACACCGTTGATTCAGTACAGAGGTCAAGCAGACACCATCCAGGCCGTCCAACGGTTCGCTCGCCTAATCGGATCATCATCCCGCTCATCAAGCTTCGCCACGGACCTCGCAAGATCATTACGACAGTCCGACGGCAAAGCACAAGTAGCGAATCTCTGGTTACTTCTCACTGCCACTGAGAGCGCTCTTGAAGACCGCCGCGGAGGTGTTGAGGACTTGCTTGATGTCGACGAAGCAGACACCTCATCATATCACATTTTCCTAGAAGAATTATACTCCTTCTCGCTGTCACTCCTGTCCGACTCCAGCGACGAGCCACCAGACACACAGCTACAAGCTCTTGCTCTGCGCGCTCTAGCCCTTCGCGCTCGAATCGCCGGCAAGGACTTTCGCTACGAGCTTGTCGATGCTCTCTACCCTGTCCTACACACGCTCGCAACTCCCGATGAGGATCTCCAGCAGGACAGCATAACAACACTGAACATCTTCACTTCTGCTTGCGGATACAAGTCCGTCAAAGACCTGGTGGTGGAGAACGTCGACTATCTCACCAATGCCGTCGCGCTCAGACTCAACGCCTTCGACGTCTCTCCTCAAGCCCCACAGGTGTTACTGATGATGGTGCGACTGGCGGGTCCGAGTCTGTTGCCATATCTGCAGGATTCGGTCGAGAGCATTTTTGCGGCTTTGGAGGACTATCACGGGTATCCGCTGCTGGTGGAACTGCTGTTCAAGGTGTTGGCTGTGATAGCCGAAGAAGGCGCAAAGGCACCGCAGCTTGCGATTATGAACGTTGAGACGACAATTCCCGGGTCTATGTTTGAGGAGCGATGGCAGCCGACGACTGTGTTTGGTCTCGCAAATTTACTCCGGGAGCATGCCAAAGAAAGAGCAGAGCAAAAGCGAGCTTCTGATGAATCACCTCAAACACATCCAAGGCGTCCTTGGAAGGACATAGACGACATAGATAACGATGCGGCAGACCAGGGGAGCGAATCTCCGGAACAGCAGATGGTGGACGCTGCCGAACTCCCGCCTCCGACACCAAGGACGTATAACCTGCTCTTCAAGATCGCCGAGCTGACCCGGCACTTCTTACCGTCGGCATCCCCTTCTTTGCGCACCTCTCTACTCTTCCTCGTCCGGACAACAGTGCCGGCGATTGCCAAACACGAGAACTCGTTCCTGCCGCTCATTAACACGCTCTGGCCCGAGATTGTTTCGCGATTGGACGACGCCGAGACTCATGTTGTCTGCGCGGCGTTGGAAGTTGTGAGTGTGCTTTGCGAACACGCCAGAGACTTTATGCGCTCGCGTATCACTCAGCTTTGGCCGAGACTGGTCGAAATACATCACGGCATGGCAAAAGACGAAGGATCTGGAAGAGCACCCAAGTCCACTGGCCTCGCAAGTCTAAGTCTACACAGCTCGATGCTCGCACCTAGTGGTGGCCCCATCAAGGGTGCTGTATCCCATGCACACCCATCCTCAAGAGGCTACGACGATACATCTGTCCGTCTACTCCGGGAAGCTCTCGTCGATTGCGTCACCAGCATTGTGAAGTCAGTCCAGATCAATCCGGACGTTTTCGACGAGGCCGTGGAGTTGGTGGGATTCGCTTTACAGCAGGAGAAGGTTGAAGCGGTGTTTGTGGAGGAAAACAGTGATGCTGTTTGGCTTGCGCGGTTGAGGCATGGCAGGGTGCACAAGCCGCAACTGCCACAAATGATCGGAAAAGGGCGTTGGAGGTTCGCTGACGTGTGCATATAATCCTTACATCACCGTTTGACTCGTGGAGTTGTCGATAGGCTGTTGATGTAAGTTCAGCTTACACAGAGCTTCGTCGAATCCTTCGTGACACTACACTCCCTCTCCTATCTCCTCACCACGCTGCTGATTCTTGCATTACCCGAAACTTAGCGACGGCCTCTTATGCGTGTCGGAAATGCCGCAGTCGTTGTGCTCGCATGTATTCGAGACGGAAGATTAGTAGCGATCGCCCGGCCCTGCCTCGGCACTTCGCGCCCATCACGGCGCGGGGGCTGAGCCGCGCGAAAGGCCGACGACATCGCGTCGAGGGGTGATGGACGGCTTGAATGAGCAGGTGCATTCCCATCTCTCATCTTGGCCGGCGAGTGATCGAGAACTGTCATTATCTACCAACAGCCGCATCCATGCCTTTCCTAGCCAAGGAACACTACCCCATCTCAACCAAGGACATCCTCTCCTGGACGTTCGACGATCTAAAGTACGACTGGGACGATCCCATCTACATCGATGCGTTGGATCCCAGTAACTCCATCTCCGCACGCCAGGCCCGCACGCTGATTCGGAAGCTGGCCGCCGGCTTCAAAGCACTCGGCCTCCAGCCTGGCGACTGCGTGTGCATCAACTCAAGCAACGACATCTACTATCCCATCTCCTTCCTTGGAATCATCGCCGCCGGCGGGATCTTCACCGGGGTCAATCCCGCGTACACCCCCTATGAACTGGCGCACACGCTCAAAGTGGCCAAGGTGAAGTACGTCCTGACGCAGCCGGATCTCGTGCAGAACGTGGGTAAAGCCGCCGAGCAGAGCGGGCTGGACAAAGAGCGCATTCTGATCTTCAATCCCAACGGTGGCACGGCGCCCGCAGGCTACAAGCAATGGGACGATCTGCTGCAACACGGGGAAAGCGACTGGGTCCGCTTCGACGATCAGAGCACCAGCGAGAATACTCCCGCGGCACGCCTCTTCTCCTCCGGCACCACTGGCCTGCCCAAAGCCGCCGACCTGTCGCATTACAACCTCATCGCTCAGCACACCCTGGTGTACGAGGCGGACCCTCGACCCTGGCGGACTCGCCGGCTCTTTGCATTGCCCATGTTCCACGCCGCCACCGTTCCCGTCGCTTTCATATCGTGCCTGCGTGGCGGAGGCAAGGGCTTCGTGATGAAGCGCTTCGAGCCCGAGACCTGGTTCTGGGCGCACGAGAAATACGAAATCACCGACTTGGCGGTCGTGCCGCCCATCGTGGTGATGGCGATCAACCATCCGCTGAACAAAAAGTATAGTCTCAAGTCCATCAAGACGGCCGCCGCAGGTGCGGCGCCGTTGGATAAATTGCCACAGGCGAGAATGCAGACGCTGATTGGCAAGGATGCCGCCTTTACCCAGGTCTGGGGAATGACGGGCAAGTTTCGTTGTCGATATTCGGATGAACAGTTCGCTGACAGCCCGTGGCAGAGACATCGTGTATTGCCACGCGCTTCCCGTGGCCGCAGACAGACACAACTGGTAGCGTCGGACGTCCATTGCACAACTTGGACCTCAAGCTGGTGGATGATGATGGGAAGGACATTAGCGGGTACGATGTGCGAGGCGAGCTGTGCATCCGCGGCCCGACAGTTGTGAAGGGCTATTTTGACAATCCGGAAGCGAATCAGAGAGACTGGGATGCGGATGGGTACTTTCACACAGGCGATATTGCGTACATTGATCGCAAGACGGAAGCCTGGTACATTGTTGATCGGAAGAAGGTGAGCATTACCGCACTGCTCGCGCGATTATCGCCATGCGTCTTCAATACTGATGACACTACAGGAACTTATCAAAGTTCGCGGCTTCCAGGCCGCTCCGCCTGAGCTCGAGGGCGTCCTCCTCGACCATCCGGACATCGTTGATGCAGCTGTGATCGGCGTGCCGGATCCAGCGAACGTGGAAGGGTCGGAGGCGCCACGGGCATATCTTGTGCGGCGTCAGGGCAGCGATGCGCTGAACGAGAAGGAAGTCCACCGCCACATGAAGGAGAGGCTGGCCTCGTACAAGCAGTTGGTTGGAGGCATTGTGTTTGTGGATACGATACCCAAGACGCCCAGTGGAAAGATCTTGAAACGCATCTTGAGGGAGCAGGCGAAGAAAGAGATGGGGTCCAAGTTGTGACGACTGTGATAAGTCTGAAGCATATTGAGAACGGCATATGCAAGCAAACGGTGAAAGCAAGGTGAGATTAAGTCAAGTAGCTTGTGTCAAGCTCAAGATTTGTCCTCTGTCCCCTGCCCTCTGTCTAACCTCCGCGTAGCTTCGCGAAATTTGCCGAGTGCTCGCGTCATGATTCTACGATGCGTTGGAAGTCGCATCCTCCTGCTGGCCACTCCATCTCGTGAATTGGCCAGAGTTCGTGGATTGATCTAGATTGGAACCTAGGCGACCAATCCAGCTGGTAGCGATGAGGAATGGCACTTCAAGGAGTTAGATCCAAGCAACTCGAATAGACTTGTCGACCCCACGTACCATGCCTTGCAGCAGATGTTGCAGCCTGGTTGGCGTTCTCTCTTGCGTACTTCGAGCGCCTGTGTAGAAGGCAGATCGGTGGATCCATTCCGCTTCGCCGGCCCTCCTGCAGCTTTTCCCACAAAGACAGCGGTCATCTGCTAACAGTGCCGTTCATGGCCAGCGGTATATGTGATCTCCAACCCCCTCAGTGATTTCTGAAATTCTTCTTTTGGTAAAACAGATCTGTCCGCGAACTCCCCAGATTGATGATCTTCGGACACCCGTCCCGGTCCTTCTCAAGGCGCGTGCACTCGAAGCAGTAAAAGGCGTCGCTGATGCCCTCGCCGCCGCACACGACGCATTTGTTCTGGTAATTTCCAAAAGAGCATTCGTCGCAGATGCGCACGAGGGTCGTGGGGCGCACGTAGGAGTCGCAGACGGGGCACTTGCCGTCGCATTTGTCGCACAGGCGTCCGATGGCGATGCCTGCCGTTTTGCGGCACATGACGAGATCGCTGGTGTTGGTGTTAGTTTCGGGAGCGAGTGAGGGACTTTCTGCGGAGAGTGGACTTACGGATGATGGCGAGACATGATCGCGAGCTTCTGTTCAGGTTGCTCGTCTCACCTGAGGAGTCTGAAAGGGATCTTGAGGGTGCAAGGTGGAGGAGCAAAACATCGGTCTATGGTCGAAGGCGTTCGCGAAATTGCTGGAAGTTCAGGCTGTGGCGCTGACAAATGGTGGCGCAGGTGGCCTTCACGCGCGATGGTCACAAGTCGTGGGCAGAATGGAGCGGAGACTTACGTCAGTTCCGACGACTACACTCTCGAGCTCTCGACACACCACACATCCATCGCGCGCCCCTACTTGAAACGACGTTCTACGGCCACACAGCATTCGGTTTTCATCTCCATCCACGATGCCGTCAGCAATCGCGCTGTGCAAATTCGTCGGCACCATCTCCCTCGGCCTGCTCACGGTGAGTCTCCCCCACCCACCCGTCCATCCCTCCGATGGCCACCATTCATTCAACCCGCAACGCAAATACTGACCGCTTCATTCCACCACCCAGGGCGTCTCTTACACCCTCTCCACTCAATCCCTCCCATCCCTCCTCACCCTCCCCAGCGCAAAACCAGCGGCCTTCACCCTCGCGCAGACCACGCGCCTCGCAACCCTCCACATCCGCACCCTCAGTACCATCTCCGCCCTTTCGCTCGCGCTCGCCTTCTACCTCTCCCCCGCGCGAGTGCGTCATCCGTATCTGCTATGGACTAGCATGCTAGCGGTGGCGAGCGGCGGGCTCAACCTGGCCATGGACAAGAGTCTGAAGCAGAGGGTGGCGCTGGATGATGTCGCCGATGTGAATGGCGAGCAGGTGGAGAAGAGAGCGCGGGATCAGCAGTGGATTGAGTTTGTGAGGACGGGGGTCAGCGGCGTGGGGTTCGTGATGGGGGTTGTGGGCATTTGGGGCGATGGGGCGTGATGGGATGATGTTGGACTAATGATGGGATGATGGGGTTGAATTTGCATGCAGTTCCCATCTCAATACGATGTGATCAATCGCCTCTCTGCAATCTCGTCCATAATTCGTCAGGTTTCATTCGCCCGACATCTCTGTGGCGGGTTGTTGACCACCGCAGGGATGAGCTGCCCAAGGGATCGGTATCTACGATTACGTGGCCATACCACGAGTCATCTCTGGAAAGACATGAAGACAGTGTGAGGCATGGAAGGGAGTGCAGAGCGGCAACAACAGTAGCATTCAATGTAGGAGCAAGCAACCGAGAAGACTCCGAGCTATCATACAAGCACCTAACACCCCGTCCAACGGAAAGCCACCATCGACAATATCCGGCAAGCAACAGAAAGTGAGTCGTAGGATTCCCCTGCGGTCAGATGGAAGCAGAATCAGTTGATCGCAGCACGAGACTTGCTCCACCACTACTCCCTCCGACATGCTCAGGAGTCAGCAGCATCGTCAACAACACCATCACGCCCTTTGGGGACCAGCGTGATGGTGGGCATGGCGGTGTCGGTAGCGGAGCGGGTTCGGTGGGCGTGGGTACCGCTGACATCGACATGATGCGTGACGGTGGCTGTCGATGATTTGTCGTCGGTGGCGGTGCGGTGAGTGTGGGTGGTTTCAATGACGTCGATCTCCTGCGTGACCCAGACGGTGGAGTAGGTGCTCGAGTGGGTGGGCTTGGGCATGACGCCAGTGACGGTCGTCCTGGTGTCGTCACACAAGATGCGGACGGAGCGGCCAGGGATGGTGGAGTCGGCACAGCGATCGAGGTAGGCCGACATGTCTGTGGAAGTGGTTAGCATGCACTCCCACACCCGGAACAGGAGATGGAAGCAACTCACTGCCGTACGTGAACGCGTGGCCGTGGCAGCCTTCGCCATCGTAGACGACGGCGTAGCAGTATTTCTCGTAGACCTCGTCCATGTCCTCCTCTCCATGAGTTTTGAAGGAGTAGAAAGCCGGCTCATCGGTGTCGAAAGTCTTGCAGTTGGGACTCTCCAGGTGGGTGTCGGCGGCAATGTGCTGCGTGTCCTCATGACAGCCGGGTTGAGAGTAGCGTTTGAACGTGATCTTGACGGCAGAGACGGTGCTGAGCGCCATGCTGCCCAGGACGGCGAGACTGAGAACTCGAACCATTGTTGATGCTGCTTCTGAGCCTGGTCAGCAAGGGAGTGAGAGTTGGAGAGGTGAGCGAGAGGCAACTAACCGTGCAAGTAGCTGAGACGAGAGGGTGGGATAGAAGGTATCGGCTGCAAGGTGGCTATCGATGTAACAGCTGCAGGCAGGTTGGAGGATGCAATTTGTCGCGGGATGTGGTACAGAGTGCAGAATGGTGATGCTCGGGGATGATGTTCTGCGTGGGAGAGCTCGAGATGATGATGGTGAAGAGAAGAGAGAGGGAGAGATGTTGGGAAGCGAGGAATATAAGTAGACGAGGCCCAGCACGGGCCCGTCAACAAACCAAGTGCACTTTCCTGACATGGAGAGGCACGACAGCTGCAAGAGGCACTTGGATGGTGAAGGAACGAGGGATCGACCTTTCTGTCTGCCATCGCGCTGGGAAGTGGCAGTCTGGTTGGAAAGAACCTTGAACATTTCATTGCACATGCCGCGTACCGGTGCTCGACGGTAAGCTCATGCATCACCACATTACAACATGCCGACACTCGCCCTTTCCCTTGCCTGCACGACAGGATATGCAGCTTCCTCGCCGCGTAAATTGAGACTGCCTGTGCCATGCGCCGCGGGAGAACACCGCCTACCCGAGAAGAGCAATGAAGTCTTGCCGAGGATTGGACCCCGCCCGTGGCTGCCCGGGGTTGATAGATGTCTGTGCCGGTGGATATGGCGGCGGCTTGCGCGGCTGCCCCTTCACCGACGACTGCCGATTTGGGGGTCCAGCGTACGGGTTGGGAGGTATTGGACGCGGTTGGAAGGGCGCTTGATGAGGTGGTGTGGGGTAGAATTCCTGCCACGATGGAAGTTCATATGCCATCGGAGCCGGGTTGTGAGCCGCTCTCGTGGGAGGTGCCGTCAGCGAGGTCACGAGTGGTTTCGTAGATTCACTTTGTCTGAGCAGGTCTACGAGTGAAAGCGGTTCGACTGATGGCCGTGCCGGCTCCCCCATCTCCCGTTTGCGTTTCCGAGGCCTTCCAACGTTTGGTAGAGATTGCGAAAGTGGCTGAGCACCTCCGGTCGCATCGGAGGGAGAGCTCTCAGGAGCATGTACTGGGCTTGTAGTCGTGAGCATTCCGAAAAGGCCTCCAGTCTCGTCGGTGGCATGGCCTGGCACAATTGCATTCGCATCCACCATCCAACTGTGCGTTTGCCGCCGCCGAAACCCAAGTTCCCTGTCCACTACCGTCGCATGAACTGCGTGATGCTTGTAGTAGACGTCCACACATCTTCGCGTAGAGCTGTACTTGACAATGACGGTGCCCTTGCAGTCGTAGGTTGGCTTCTTGAGACCCCGCGCTCCCGCGCCCCTCAGATGCTTTCGAGTCCGGGCGGAGTCGTTTGCATGACGGTCCTTGTTCTGCACGCTGTCTTGACAGATGTACGAGTAGCGTTGGCCGTTGTCTTCCTTTGCTCGCCAGGTGTTGTTGAAGCAGTATTTGAATCCGTCCGCCGCTTCTATTGCAGCAACGATGCCGCGTGAGGCGGCACGCTGGACAATCTGAAGCACGTGAGGGTCGTCGTTCTCGACGATGGAATCCACAGTCGCTTGCGGTGTCGGGACGGAGACGGACTGTGTGCCGTTGTAGGCCATGTGGCTGATGTCCGTCCACGAAGTTTTGAACTCTTCGGGGAGATCTTGCGCGCCTCCGTCCGCATATGGACCGATATTAGGGCGGCAAAGTGGGATTTGAGCAAGGCAGTCGAGTCACAGTTGCATGAACGTGCATTCGGGCACCAGGCTGTCCGCCCCGGCCCGGATGTGTTCCTTCAATGCTGCGCAGCATCCTTCGAGCGACGAATACGTTCCCCCCGCGGCGCCCCCCTCCGCGGAGGTGTCATCTTCATCGTGTTTCGGTCCACCCGGATTCACGCGCCATACCGGATTGCTGTGGGCCATTCCGCGACCAATTGACGAGCCATAGGGCCATCAAGGATTGAAGTGAATACAGACGCGAATCGCTCAATTGGGAAAGAGGCCACATTCAGTGACAGAAGTCGTGTCTATACCACCGTTGCAAAATCTATCAATGCGAGTACAGTAAGCGTGCCGATGGTCCATATGGTTTTGACAATCGTATTGTACGTGTGATCGGTGCGCTTGATCGATGTAGCCATGCTACATGTGCGTCGTGCCCCGCCCGCTTGCATTTCCGTTCGCCTCCGCCTTCAATAGAAGCTGAAATGGGCGGACTGTAAACCCCCTGGCATGGCTGGCGGTGGTCTGGCAGACCAACCATAGCCATTTGCAGCTACAGATATCTTCTCCAGTCCTGTGTGCCATATATGTACCGGCCTTTGTCTGAGCCGAGTTCTGGTCACGCGCACAGCCTTCGTTTCGCCGCCACAAGCCGTTTCCTCAGTGTGCCTCCATGATCTTGTTCCACTCCGGACAATCTTCCATCATGGCGCCTTGGTCTTCATCTGTACACCATGCCAAGTCTTCATCTCGTCTCCCAGCACCTTGTTCACCAAGCGATGTTGTTTGATGATCGGTAGGCCTTTGAATTGATCGGAGACGATGTCGAGGGCATACATGGAGCCGCAGCCACCGGAAATGTCTTGCACCTGGGGTTGAGCATAAGCCACAATCTTTGGGCCAACGCGACACACGCAACGGAAGGATTCTTACCTCTAATTTCGTAGGTGCCAGCCCCTCCATGATTCTGTCAAACACTCGCCGTTCTCCTTCTGTCAAGAACTCGGGGGGTTGAGGTGAGTCTTCGGCCTCTGATGAATACAGTCTGGATGAAGCGTGCCGTCCATTGTGACGAAGCGGTGCGTGTATAGCGGGGAGAGCTGGCCGTGGAAGGGCGAATCGTACCGGAGGCGTTTGGACGGCGCGGCTCGCGATGCGCCGGAAGGCCAGAACGGGTGCCATCTCGCCGTTGATGCCGGAGCCGAGTGGTCAGAAGGGAGGACGAATGATGATGCGTCAGGCTGTGCTTGCCATGCCAACTATCAACTCACGTCGCTTCCAATGATAAGGTCAACACACGTTGTAACAAGCGCGCAGAGCTTTCGGGGTTTGGCAGAGACATGGCGTCACGATGTCTGGGGTTCTCGGTTCCTCCCGCAGAGCCTCAAACTCTAATTCGGCGTGCCGCAGTGCTGTCCGCAACGTGGTCGACGACACTCCTACTCCCGTCTTATTATTAGTCTGGAGAAAGGGACGGCAAGCTCCGTACACCAAGGTGTTCCCTATCGCGCCTGTTCTTATCAAACCTTCAACAATTGGTTATGACATCCTTCATCGCGGCCAATGTCCACAGCAGCCGATAAGCTGCGGCGAGACCTACACCGCTATCTGCACCCCGCGGAGAAGCTGGCGATGAAAGGATGGCGTACCGCGTCACGATCTCTAGGACCTCCGCGCAGTTGCGTTTATCGAAAACCATGCCCCAACAGCATCCGGCCTCTAGTTGCCGTAGTCGAAGCTTGGCTGGAGTAGCCGCGCTTTCTCCCTGGACCCTGCAGAGGTGCATGCGCTCCATGCTCTCAGACCCAGCGGTTCATTCTGTGGGTCTACGCTCCGCCTCAGCCTCGCAGATCAGAATCTAAATTGGGGATTGAGAGGAAAGCTAGGAACGAATTTGGGATTGCCAACATATTCTCCTCAGCGGACGTTGTACTCGCGCTCTCACACGAGAAGGGATGCCAGTGTAACCGCCAACTTCTGATCGCACAGCGCAAGCACGGTTGATTCGATTGTCTGTCTCTACAGTGTATCAAACCCCAGCATTTTCCATATGGTTGCCGTGAAGGGTGGCAAGAACAGGCCGCATTGGCTAAGTATAGCATCTTACCTGCAGTCTGAACAATACCATACGTCCAAAGCAAGCTTGTGCTCGCGACACGCCAACCTCTCGAGTCAATCCACCGTCCGCAAAACGTCGTCTAAAGGCATCGATAGAAGACACCTTGTATATTGGTACAATCGAACTAGCTCCTCTCTGGACCCCAAGGCCGCTGCCAGGCATATTTACGAGGTCTATGAGTGCCTTGAACACTGAGTCGCCGTCTCCCAGCTTACTTGAGCTTCTCTAGGGGTGCAGTGGTGCCTTGGGTGTCGCAGGCCAATTCACCTCACTTCATACGTGTCAGGCCGTTCATGCAGAGACCTCACACTTGTGCTACCCACACCGAGCATCGTTACTGCTTGCAATCCCAGCGTTTGTCAATCCGAGCAACCGACGACGCGCTCAAACCACGAGCTCGATCTCGAGCCGTGCAACCCAGAGCTGGGCATCGGCAGCTCGCCCTCCCGGCACGTCGCCGATGTCCAGGGTCTCCTTCACATGCCAAAACGCCAAGCCCGATCAGCGGGATGTGCAATGCTTATGCATGGCCTAGCTCGCACGTCCGTTGCAGACGCCTGCACGACGCCACAAGTGCTGCTCCAATTTTTTACGGGAGAGAAAACTTTTCTCCCACCCAACCACTGCGGGTCCATGCGTGGCCCCGTGGAGATTGGGGGCCCACAAGGGGCGGTCAGCACTGCACTCCACGAATTTTCAACCAAATGCAACTTTCGTGTCGCGGTTTTGATGAGAAGGGGTGTTGCAACGGCCAGCACCCGATCGCGTGCTTACTTGCTTGCTGCTTCTAGCTAGCTTTGCCGCCGCGGTCTGGGCCCCTGTTCATGCGCTGGAGGTGAGGGGGTTACATGCTCTACATGCACCGAGTCTACGGTGCAACAGAGCCGCAGCACTCGAAATTACATCGCTTGCGATGACGCAGGCTCCATCTGTAGCACAAACTGTGATCTGGTGGCGTGTGCGGCCTCAGCATTGTCAATTCGGGCCGATGGCGCAAGTGGCGGACAGTGGGAGCGTGAAAGCTGGTGAGACGCAGAGCAGCGCAATGTGTGGCGTGCTCGAAGAGCCGTCCTGTGGTTGAATGAAGGTGATGTGCGCGGATCTTCATCTATCTGTGTCTATCGAGTAAGAGATAAGGGCGATGTGAAGGCCACGACAACGCCGCGACGACTACGTCCTTGGCGAAGCCTGCACACGCGAGTAGATGTGGAGAGGATTCTTTCGGGATGCCTCAAGCGTCGTCTCATTGCGAAGGCACAATGCCGCTGCTTCCGCAAATCCCCCTCGATCTTTGGCGCAGGAGCCAGTATGCGTAGCCAACACATGCACGTACGGGGATGTGTGTGACACGCACGGAGGGGTTGTCCCAAGACGGCCGCTCGCAACCTGAGTGCATGTGTCTTGTGGAGACTTGGGAGGCAGCGAACGGACCTACTTATACGCAGTGGGTCCTCTCCATACGGTGGAGTTCGAGACCATGGGGAGAGGCGCGTACGCGTTGGGTGGAAGTACAGGTACGGCTTTGGTACATGGAGGTACTTGGGCGTGACGGTAAGAGGGGTTCAATTAAAGTTTGAAACGCCCCGATCTCGGCCTGTGGCGGTGCGAGGAGCGGGGCCGAACGCGAGGATGATAGCCTTGTATGCCCTCCGTCTGGCAAGGCATGCCCTTTCATAGCAATTAATCTTTCGGTGTTGCGATCGTCTCACGACAACATGCTCAGGGAGAAACGACTTTGTCGCACATCGTTGCCATTCATTCTTCATAAAGTCTTAACCAACCGGACGAGCGCCACATAGATGTCACGCCCACCGTTCACGTAGTACCCCCAAGCCCACAGGCAGCACGCCCCAAACACCACGCACGCCCAATTCATATCCGTCGCCCACGTGGAGTCTCCAGTCAGCGGAGTAGTCGGGAAGAAGCTGAAGACAAAGGCGAGCACGAGGAAGGCGAGAGTAATGTCATTGACAACGCCACCCCATCTCCCTAGGCTCCAGCGACGCGGGAGCAGCGGCTCGCCACGGAGACGCTTGATGCGGATGCAGAGGGTGCTGACAAGGTAGGAGAAGATCAAAGCAGCGTTGGAGATGGCGATGATGGCGAAGAAGGTGACCGTCGAGCCGAAGTTGATGGCGGCGAGGATGAAGCTGGCGCCGGCGCACATGTAGAGAGCATTCAGCGGGATTTGATAGCGCGGGTGGACGTGCGAGAGCCACTTGCTGAAGGGGAAGCCTCCATCGCGTGCGAACGCCCAGCATTGTCGGGAGGCGGTCGCGATGTTGGTGATAGTGCCGAAGAGGGTGAGGAACGAGAGCAGGCTGCCCAAGATACACGTCGCCACGTAGGATCCGGAGATGTCAAAGAGGACTTGTAGCACCGGTTGGTAGGTTGGGGTGTTCAGCACCGCATTCAGATCGGTGATGCAGAAGCTGCAAAGCACGTCAGCAGTAGTGGAGGGTTTGGCGAGGACATCATCAAGACTTACCAGAAGGTAATGAGGGTGACGATGCCGATGATGCCGTTCAAAAACGTCGACCACATCATGGCGCGGGGGAGGGTAAGCGATGCATCCCGCAGCTCTTCACTCATATGCGCGCCAGCGTCTGGGCCGATGAAGAACCACAGCGGACTGCCGAAGCCAACCAAGGTGCTGAGGCCCACGCTTCCCCAGCCGCCGCCGTCGTTGAACTTGGTAAACACCTTCTCGGCTGGTGCATGATGGCCAAAAGCCCACATGGCGATAAGGAATGCAAGGAAACCCAGCACATGGACGACAAGGACGATGCTCTCCGCCAGAGGCAAGTATTTGGCGGCGAAGATGTTGAAGGCGAATGCGATGATCATAATGGCCCAGATGAGTAATGCAGTCTGCCAGAGTGAAGCCACTGTTGCATTGGGATATACCAACAAGACCATGCCCTGGACGAGGCCCGCTAGGATTTGGGCGCAGGTTGGAATGCCTGCTACCCAGCCCAGGCAACACGTCCATCCAACGAGAAAGGATGCCGGCTTTTGCCAATTAGCAGGCGCAAATTCAGACACCCTGATCGATTGAGAGTGAGCAAGGGTTGTTGATGGTGGAAGCAGCTCGCGGACTTACCAATGATATTGCCCGCCGCTTCGAGCAGAAGGTCAGCGATGCACGATCGAAACTGAGGGAGCATGAACGAACGCAGTCGGTGCCATGCTGGCCATTTCGGCCATGGATGCAATCAGTAAGAGGAAACAGAACCAAGAGACGATGGTGAGCCAGATGACGCCCGCGGTGCCGCCATTGAACAGGCCGATGTAGCTTGCAACCAGCGTCGATTCCCAAGTTGCCTGAAGGATGGAGACGAAGCCGACGATGGAGAAGAATTCGAAGTTGCGCCGCAATTCTTGCTTCTTACCCATGCGGTGCATGTCGTGCTGGTCAAAGCCATTGCCGCCATGCACGTCTTGGGCAAACTCGGCGTGCTGTGAGATCTCCTCGCTGAGTACGTCGGAGGTAGGTGTCTTGAGCTCTTTGCTGTTGTCCATCGCTTTACCCCGTGCTTTCACGAATGACAATTCCACGGGTGCTGTTGGGCAGACATTCGAAATCTATCATGCCCGGAAGAGAGGAGTAGGCTCAGAGTCTTTGGGTGACGATCGTCGGTGCACATGGACTTAGTGATACCGCGTTCCCGCGCAACGAGTTTCCCTTTTGAACCAGCGCCGGTGTCATTCGCATCAATACTTACTACATTTTAGTGGAATTTCCTCGGTGGCCTTGTCCAACTCGTTCGTGAACATCGTAGTCAAGTCGAGGATAGAAGACGTGAGAGCTGTGGCGTCACAATGACAAGCGATAAATGGGTCTCATCCCTTCACGAGGCACCTGCAGTCGCTAGCATGTCTGAAATGGCCGTCGGCCAGTATCAATACCACCACGAATTACCGCCAGGTGCATGCGTTGCTGCGATGGTAGGCGTTCTCATCGCGGTCGCCAAAAGACTCCAAAGGACCAGCATGCGTTCAGAGAGCAGGAAGTCTAGAAGGGTCGGTAAGATGGCGGTGAGAGGTTTGTGGCTGGAGTAGGCCAAGGCTCCCCTCTGGTTAACGCGAGGCAGGGGTACTGTCTATTGGGGGGAAAGCAAGGAAAGCAAGCAAGCAACCCTTACCTGCCTATAGCCCATAGCGGTCGGCCTCGGGCACCGAGTAATAATAATAAGGGAGCAAAGGCCGAGGGGCATACGCGGCACCGGTCATCCGCCAAGGTACGCGCAGTGGCGACGTGCATCAAGAGTCAGAGCACGCATTCTCCCCCAGAGTGCAGAGTCGAAAGGCGAAGCCCAAGGAGACCGCACCTGCCCTTCGAGGTCGGAGCCGACTCCAGTAATAGAGCTCGCAGCCCAATCACTCGCGGCCTGCAGAAATCTGTCGACCCCACACGTGCAGGGAGGATTTTTTGGCAAATCTGGGCGAGATGGGGGATAGCGAGGTTGCTCCGCGCAGCAGCGTGCACAGGTTGAGGGAGCGAGGAGGGCGAAGAATTGCACCATCTGCTCGACCACGGGCGGATGGTTGTCTCACGACAACCGCTTACTGATTGTTGGTTGTATAAATAATTGAAGGTCAGGCAGGCGGCTCTTCAACAATCGGTACGTCGGTTTGCGCGAGCCCTCTTCCCGCCCCGCACTAGGCTCAGACGGGACTGGGCGACGCCACCATCTGCTCTGGCCGGATGGACGAATCCGACTTGGAAAGCATGTGCGCGTCCAAGCAGATTACGACAGCCACCCTTTGTTGATTGCACTGTAGCGAAGGCAGGCAACGCATGTCGAGAGCATGCAGTACATAGCTAGCCTGGCAAGTCGAGCTGTGCGAATGTGTCATGGTAGATAGAGTCCGCCCGATGTCGGACAGGTTGTGGCTCACCAGTGGCTCACGCATGTCCGCGCGGTGTACCCTGGATGTACCCTGCCTGCATGGTACATTGTGCGTGTACCTCCCCATCGCTGCGGAGGCGCGCCTGGAGTCGAGTCTGGAGTCTCCCACCGAGTGTGCTGGGCACGTCCCACTCTGTGCCGGCCATGCCGCCCGCTCCTCTTTCTTGTCTCGCTCCTCTCCATTGCCCGCAGCACTCTCATCACGCTCCTCCGTGACAACACCAAGAATTCTCGCATCCCTCTCGGTCCTTTTTTTAGTGGTGCGGGCAGGGTTGGAACATCAACGCCGCATTGCTGGGTGGTCGGACTCATTCAGGGCCGGGCAGCGCTGATCCCAGCGCATCCGTGCCCGCGCTAGCTGACTCTAGCAGCAACCCACCAACCCGCCCGTACCAGTACCGGCGCCCTATCTACGCATTCAACCTTTCACTCCACCGCACTCAACATCTGCGCGTTGCAGGCCACATCCGGTCCTGCTTTTCTCCTCTCCCCACCACTCGCCATTCCACGGCCTGCTCTGTGTGTCTTGGAGCATTGTACTTGGACGGCCCCTCGATCGGAAAGCGGGGTGCGGACACGCCACACTTGTTAGGGTTGCGACGCAGAAAATTTGGCTGGGGCTGGTTGTTGTTGAGCTCGTAGCGCAGCACCCTCACACCACCACCACCTCCGTCGAGGAAGGCACGGAAGGACAAGAACGGCGAGCGTCGCTCTTTCGCTCGCTCCTCTGCTTCCACGCAAGCATCACCCTCTCTCTACCCCCCATCCGACAACTTCCTGCTCTCCACCCCACCACGCTCGCCGCATCTGGCCGGATCTGTCGACACATCCTCCTCCATCACCTACACCCCCATTTTTCCTCCCCGCCGTGTCGCCCAGGTCGGCACGCTCGCCCTTCTTCCGCCTTGCATCTTTCTGTAAGTCTCGCACCAGGCAATCGCTCCCACGCCGGGCCTGTCCGCTGCGGGCATCCCCACATGGAAGGTGGCCGCTGACAATCTTCCCACAACGCAGTCTTGTTGATACTTCTCTCGACGCCCCTTCTCATGCTTTGCACCAGTTGACGCCCCTATCGACACGACATCCTCGTCACCACCTCCCCACGACGAGAGATGCCGTACACTCCCCCCACCTCGCAGTCTCCTGCGCTCACCCGATCCTCATCCTACTGCGACGATGCCGCCGCCCCACGCTCACCCACCCTGGTCCGGCCGGGGGCCCCGCCTCGTTCCAACTCTTCGACGGCGTACATGAGCAAGCATCGCCGCTCGCCGTCAATCAAATCCGACGGCGCACCGCCGACCCCAACCGAGGTGCCGGAGTCCGGCGTGCATACCACCGACTTTGCCCCGAGCGAGAGCCTGCATGACTCCTCCACCGGCCTTCACATGATCTCACAGCGTGGTATGCCCTCGCCTCCGGAGTCATCCGACAGCTCCGACGGCGACGAACACGCCGTCCGTGGCAGAGAGCTGGCTAACAGCTGGGACGAGCTGCAAAAAGCCGTGCAAGGCATAAGCCAAAGACGAGAGAGCTCACCGGAGAAGCCGGGAGCTGCTGTGAGGGGAAAGCCGGCCGCGCCTGCAGCTACATCAGCGTCTGCACCCACATCGGAAACCGCCTCGCCTACCGCGCTGTCGGCAGAGGCACGGAAGATTTCCCACTCTCGATCGTCGACCGAAGTCTACATCCCACCCCGGGCCACCTTTGAGTCGCCCAATCACACCTCTGATGACAGTGATGAAGACAACTCCAACAACTCCCTCAGACCCGCACTGGTGCGCAAGAAATCCGGCGAACTGGTGAAGCCTGCCCTTCGACCGTCATCGCGGCGTCGATACTCGAGCATGCCGGGCACGCCAACGTACTCCAAGACGGTGCACTTCAACGACAGCGACAACCAGACTCGACATTTCCTGCAAGTAGACAAGCCCATCGCCGTCAGCGCAGGGACGTCACCTGTCGAACAGTTCGAGGGCGAGACCGACTTTCCCTTCGAAGGAGAGCGCGAGATCAAGCTGTCCAACTTCCCCGTCGACACCGTCACTCGGCAAGCAAGCCCGATCCGGGTGGAACGGATATTCTTGTCATCCGACAAGCAAACCCTCATTGGCGTGTGCATGGCGCAGAACATTGCCTTTCACAAGGCCGTGGTGGCCCGCTTTACCCTCGATTACTGGAAGACGACGTCGGAGGTTGCTGCCGAGTACAACAACGACCCCAAGAACGCGCCGGGCAATGGGTGTGATCGCTTCAACTTCCACATCAAGTTGTCGGATCAAGCCAACATCGAAGACAAGACCTTGCTGCTGTGCGTACGATACAACGTAGGCGGCCAAGAATTCTGGGACAACAATAACAACGCCAACTACCAAATCGACTTTACCCGAGCCGTGCGCCAGCCATCCAAGTCGACGATGACGAGCGGTCTGGGCGCGCGCCCTCTCAATGCCATCCCGCGCAGTCGACACTCTCCGCCGGCTAGCGCTCGTGGACGGCAAGAATCGCTCGACGATGACTTTGCCGTCCGACCAGACCGCGAATCGGCATACTCGCGGAGCTCGGCACAAAGCCTGCTGGGCGACACGCCGAACGCGATCAAGCTGAAAGCACGCAAACGGGGAAGCCTCTTCCCATCTGCTACCGATCCCGCCCCGGGCAATGGACTGGGCGGCCGGTACGATTTTGGCGCATCCCTCTCTGCAGCGCTTTCACAAGCACAAGAGAAGATCAGTCGGCAGACCGCACACGCCAAGGCGGAGCATGTCCACTTGGGCCCCGTGGAGCGCAAGGAGCGTCCCACGAAGGCCGAGGAGCGACCGGACGCCATCACTACCGACCGACCGGCGATGGGCTCCGACCAATACAAGGACCTCGTCCAAAAGTTCTGCTACGTAGGTTCCGCCGGCAAACCCAGCCCAACACCGACTCAAGCGTGAAGTGGCATCGGTTCGAAATGGACACATCAGCTGACCGATCATTTCAGTTCACGCCTGGCACTGGAAAGCAAGCCTCGTCCCCTCCACACGCCGAGGCAGAGGTCAAGTCGGCACCATTGGAGAATGCGGGCGGCGTCGGCACCGACGGAACCAACGAGGCCGGCGAGTACGAGCCATCTTCCACCACGGACTCTGGGACATCTTCGCCCGCTTATGCAAGCGATGGCAAGCCAGCATCGCCCGTGCGGAGCTCGTCTTTTGCATCTCGATCTGCGTCCCCAGGCGCGGTGACTGGAGGAGGGCTGGGTGGTCGTGCGGCGTCGCCGATCAGCTTTGGGTATCCCTACCACCACAGCGCTCGTGATGGCTACCTTTCCGACTCTCCGGCGCCTACGGCGATCCAAGGCTAGGGAAAATACGAAGTGATGTGCTCTGGATGCTCTCGTCCTGAATGACAGCACAACTGTTGGGCAAGCGCTCTATGGGGTTCGATTTACTCTCCACCAAACGTGAGGAAATGCACATGGAAGAGGAGGCGTAGCACTCGGCCTCGCATTATGAGATTGACGGACACCTGCATTCGACCGGGGAAGATCTGGACAGTGTCCCCACGGTCGGTGCGATGCGACCACCTCTCGACGAACTTGTCGCTTTTAGCGAATTTCTATTACTCTTGCAACGACTTCTTCTTTGGACAATAGACTGGTATTTCTGGGCGGGGACTTGCGTTTGATGGGGCGGGAAGGCATGGATGCATTGAGCAGCGCGCTCTCTGCACGGCCAAAAAAGGACACGGAATGCTTCTGTGCTTTTGTTTTTGATTTTTCATTGCAGCCACACAGCTCTCCTCTCCGCGGACGGACGTTCCAGACGGGGCAAAAGGGTGGTGGCGAATGGCAACGGATAGAGCAGCGGACCTAGGATGTGCTTGTGCCGCTCTTGCGCCTGTGGGAAGCACGTTTTTTCCTTCTTCAGCGACGGCGTTAGATGGGACGGGGTATTTCGATGCCATTGGGCATTTAAATTGGTGTGAGAGCAAGCGGTTTATGAGCTTTGTGTAGAGAAGATGTAACCACCGCACCTTTCTCTGAATACCTTATGTTGATTGGAATCCTTACCTGTACCGTGATGTGTGAAGTTGCAGCGCGGTCTAGGCACGCGGGAAGGAAGCAGCCGCAAACGTGCAGGCCACTTCCGATCGAGGCCGGACGAATAAGCGCATGCACCGGCCTTTGTTAGTGTCTAGCGGGGAGAGCTTGATACTTTGATTTCTGGCCAGACGGGTGGCATGGCGGGAGGCGTACGGAGGCACGAAGGGGTGCTTCCGTGTGGTGCTGGTGCCTCGCAAATGTGCACGAGTGTTGGGGAAGAGATTGGGATGCAGTCGCGACCAAGGCCATGTCCTCGATGGCATTTCCGCAGGCGTCCTGTGGCTTCCTCGTGCACCTAGAGAAGAAAGTCCCGAGTGACAGGTGGTGCAAGGCGCGTTGACGGCCTCATTTCCCACGCCGAGCACCAGCCTATCAGCGCTTGGCGGGCAACGCATCAGCCACTTCTGCCGAAAGCCTCTCCCGCCTCGCCCTCGACCGAATCGGCGACCAGCAGCGACCGCTCACACCTCACCCACACGCCCACCCACCCTTACACGTCCGCCTCGCTTCTCTGCGCGTCACCTACCCACCTCCACCCACCCCTCCCTCCACCGCCTCCACATCCCTCACCGCCGCACGCTGTCTCTAGCTCTGCCCGTCCCCGCCGTCGCACGCTCGCCCGTCTTGCGCACCACCACTCCCCGGCGCTTCCTCCATCACCGCACCTGCCTCATCACCCCCATCAACACCCGCTCCTTCTGTCGCAACTTCCGTCTCAACACCGCCCCGGCTCGCTACGTGGGTGCGCACTCGTCATCGCTCACTCTCCCCGTCCGTCGACCAACACTCGCTCACGCTCCTCGTCCCCGCCACCCGTCTTCTGCTTCCCGTCGACCTTCTCCGACCCCACAACGTCAGCTCCCAAGTTCATGCCCGTAGGGGCGCAGAGTGCGGTCAATGAGCCAACTGGGCTCCCAGCCCGCCACTGCTGGGTCCGGCGCAGGTGAGATTCCCCCGGGCGTATGCTGCGGGAGCTTGTCGGGCGGAGCAGCGGCGCACGCTGCAGCCACCGCGAGCTCATCCACGCGCATGCCTTGTCACGCTCATTGCATCCCCATGCTGATCCATGCCCATGCAGTCGCGAGCTCGTCTTCTAACCCCATCACCCCTCCCCCTCGAACATCCTCCCGAGAGCCATTGGCCACCGGCAATGATGCTGCCGTGAGCATGCCCGCCTCATCGACCGCGCAGGCCGAACCGTCCGCGCCTGTACCCCCGCCCACTTCCTCCCAGCCCAGCGAGCTGCATGGCTCGTCCGCGCCGCCTAAAACCGAGAGTCTAGGTCGCAGTGCGAAGCGCAGCCTGACCAACCTTCGGAAAAGAGACCGCAGCACCGCCAGCAAGCAGTCACATCAACAGCAGAGCGAGCCGAATGAGAAGGAGACCATTCCATCATCGAGTGGCAGAACTGGCGGTCCGGCCAGCGCTGCACGCACGAAGAAGCGAAGTGGCATATGGGCCATTCTCGTTTGCTGTTCCCCGCCCGATGACAACGCGCAAACTGAAGCTCCACAGCCCGCCAAAGTTCCCGTGCGAACACAGCCTGCCAGCACATCGCAGCCAACGCCAACTCGGCAACAGCAGCAGGATGCGGCTCCTGTCGCTCCGAACGCAAACGAGTTCAACGATGAAGTGGTGGATGAGAAGGCGGAGCAGCCACCGTATCAAGACGGACTGGCCGCCCCGGCTGAAATGCCTTCGTATGACGCCTCAAAACGGCCGCAAGGAGATGCGACTCTGGACAAGCCAGTTCCAAGCCTACCCTCGGAGGCCCCGCCAGTGGAACAAAACGCCGAAATCACCCCATTACACGACGACACCCAAGCACTAGTACCGGAAGACCCAGTGACAGGACCGCCGCACCCTGACACTGCTGTGGAGGTGCCAGAGGCCGAGCAAGCCTCGAGCCTGGTGGCTCCGCCGATCGTGCCGTTGCCTGTGGCCGCGGCGATTCAACCAGAGGATGAGATTCTCGATCGAACTCCCGAACAAGCTGCAAGAGACAACGACATTGAAATGAAGGACGCCGGTCCATCGATCCCTCTCTCCGCAACTGACGCTGCAATCGTTGTAGAGGAAGAGCGACAAGCGCATGAGCAAAGAGAGGCTGCGGAGTCGAAGCAGGACACCCTACCACCTCCGCCGCCCGTGCAAAATGGCCAGGAGCAGCCTACCCAGGATATTGTTGCTGTGAACCAGGCCACCTCACTCGCTGCATCCCCGGAACCGCCACAAAAGTTCTTACTGCCGCCACTTTCAGCCGAATTGCGAGGGAGAAAGTGCTTAGTTCTGGATCTCGATGAGACGCTGGTCCACAGCAGCTTCAAGGTGAGTTTGCGGTGTGCGTGCGGTAAATGATGGTATGCTGACAGTCCGATAGATCTTTCACCAAGCGGACTTCACCCTGCCCATCGAGATCGAGGGTCAATATCACAATGTCTACGTCATCAAACGCCCCGGCGTCGATGCCTTTCTCAAACGCGTGGGCGAGCTGTATGAGATTGTGGTCTTCACCGCTTCCGTCTCGAAGTACGGTGACCCGGTCCTGGATCACTTAGACATCCATCACGTCGTCCATCACCGCTTGTTCCGCGACAGCTGCTACAATCACCAGGGCAACTACGTCAAGGACCTCAGCCAGATTGGACGGGACTTGCGCGAGACCATCATCATCGACAATTCTCCGACGAGCTACATCTTCCACCCGCAGCACGCGGTGCCAATTAGCAGTTGGTTCAGCGACGCGCATGACAACGAGCTGCTGGACCTCATCCCTGTCCTTGAAGACTTGGCGGGCTCGCAGGTTGCAGATGTCAGTTTGGTGCTGGACGTTGCATTATAACCCCGGCCGCTCGTCGCCACAGGAAGGCGGTTGCTCTGCTTCCCGGATTCCCCTCTTCCAGGCCCCTCAACACCGGACGATCACTTTGGTCATCGTAGGGAGACGCGTATCCACAATGTACAGTCCATAACTGTCCCATTCGAAAGCCCACGCGCGCACGGCATCTAATTGGCTCCAAGGCCTCCTCGGGCGTTCTACAACTGTCCGGCGCAAGAGATTCACTGCATCGAAAAGGCGTTGTTTCATAGCGGAAAAAGGGCGACCATGGATTCCGACAGGCCCGCTGGCCTCTTTGTGTGGGGAATTTTGTCTGGCGCGGGCTCTCAAACGGCGAAAGTACACTTAGCATCCACTGCATTTACATACGCTTGTCTTTTTTCATCTCTTTTGTGAGAGTCACACATCCCATCGGCGCGGAGAAGGGAATCAAGCGTGACGTTTTTCACTCGGGGGGCCCAGGCCATCGACACGAGTCGAGATTCCGAGGACTTCGCTCCCTGTCCATCACTCCCTCCTTTCTCTATCGGTTTGGCGACCTTCGACTGCCTTCTTTTGGCTTTGGGTATCGTTTGGGGGCTTTCGGAGGCGAACCATCCAGCTGTTGCTGTGTACATGGTATGGGGCAGTTGTTCCTATTTGTCGGACAGGGTATTCGGCATCGAATAGACTCATCCGCGCAAGGCTCAACAGGAGCATCGCTCTCGCCAGCTACTTGAGCGGGGATGCAAGGCTGCTCGTCAGATGGGGAGGCTTTCGGGGGCCTGGGAGCGGGGTTTAAGTGTGTGTGGTATAATTATTAGATAGGAGGGAAGATACAATGTTGAACTTGTTCACGAGGTTGCGACTGTCCTTTCCGTTTGGATGCTGGTCCATGTCAGGGGGCGCCAGTCTTTTGAGAATGTAGGTATCTACTGTTGAAATGCAGTGAGAAGCACCCATTCACGTCTTCCACTCGGGCTTCCTCTTCCCCTTAAAAGCTTCCATGCCCTCTCGAGCATCCGCCGATCGGGCGTGCAGCGCCATCATCCGCCCCGTCCAGCTCACGGCATCCTCATACCCATCACTGCCACCATCACGCTGTCCGTTGAACCCGACTTGTGTCCAATACGCCCACTTGCCGAGAGCCTGGGGCTGCGCGGCCGTCTTTTCCGCCAGCTGCTCCACCATCTCGTGCACTCTTACATCTAACGCAGCCTCGTCGGCCACTACTTCTACCGCCCCGCCTGGTAGCCGGTCTGCTCGAATCGGCTCGGCCATGGCCAGCATGCGATATGTAAAAGCGTTGCCGAGCCGGCGACTTACGGCGGAAGATGGCGAGGTGCACGGCAGTCCCATGGAGGCGCCCGGAAGCCGGAATTGAGTCGCAGCAGCAGCGACGGGGAGATCGGTAGCTAGAGCCAACTGACATCCCGCCGCGGTGGCCAGGCCTTGCACGCGCCCGACGACGGGAGCGGGCGATCGGCGGATCAGAGACATGACTTCTGCGCAGATGGCGAAGGTCTCTTTGACGTCGCTGTGCGGGAGCTGTCGCAGTTCGCCGAGATCGTGCCCGGCTGAGAAGACGGGGCCGTCGCTGCGCAGCACGAGCACGCTGGGAAGCTCGCCTCGCGCTTCCTTCCATTTGGAGGCGTCTAGTAGCCACCCGTATTCTTCGACTGCTGAGGAGTCGGTAGCCTCGTCGGCGGCTTCTAGCTTCTGTAGGATCTGCGGATGGAATGGGGGCAGAATTCTCAGCCTTCCGTCCTTGGGCGAGGTGTTAAACCTATGCAATTGATCTCGCAGGTCGCGAAGGACGGACAATGACAAGGCATTTCGACGTTGAGGGTTGTTGAGGGTCAAGTATGCCGCTTTGGCGGGCAACTTGGGCCAGCTCATACTGACATCGATTGACAGGTTACGGCGTCCCAGTCAGACCTTACATGTCTGAGGAATCTGCTCTGCGGACATATGATTGTGAGGGACAACATATGCTGATGCCGTGAAGTCGCGCGGGGAATCTTCGGAGCTTTGCCCCACATTGCAGCCCACCACATCTCTTCCTCCACCGCAAACGTCGACAAGTGAAGAGTTGCATGCAGCCATCGGCACCCCACAAACATGGCAGACACAGAGACCGCGCCCGCCGCCGATGCCCGGCCCGCAAAGAGCGTCGTCTACTGCGGCCAATGCTCCCTCCCACCAGAAGTAGGTACGCTTTCCACCCGGCTCGCACACACACCCCGTGTCGTTACCATCCGCACGAATCGCTAATCGTCTCTCCTTCCCCAACAGTACTGCGAATACGGCGGCACGACGCAACGCTGCGCCGACTGGCTCCTCAAACACCACCCTGACCTGCACGCCAAACTCTACAGCGAAGAAGCGCAAGCCGCCGCCCTAACGCAAAACCTCTCCAGCCTGTCCGTCGACGCGCAAAAGCGGGCAGAAAAGGACGCGCAGAAGAAGGCGGCCAAAGCATCCGCCGCGGAATCGCGCGAGGCAGAGAAGCGCGCGAGCTCCAAAGTCACCATCAAGCGCGTGGAGCGCAACAAGCGCAAATACGTCACCGAAGTCTCCGGGCTGGAGCACTTCGGGCTCGATCTCAAGAAGATTGCCAAGGAGTTTGGCAAGAAGTTTGCCACGGGGTCGTCGGTTACCAAGACGCCGAGTGGCGGCGAGGAGATTACGGTGCAGGGGGATGTGAGCGATGATATCTTCGATTGGCTTGGGGAGCATCATGAGGAGATTCCCGAGGAGAATATTGAGCTTGTGGAGGATAAGAAGAAGAAGGGTGCGGCGGCTGCGGTGTGAGCGTTGATGCATAGACGACAGAGGATCATGGTCAAGGGGCATCGAAGGCGTTTGGGTAAAGTGAAGAGGCTTGGTTTGGAGAATGGGGATATGATGGTGCTCATTCAAATCATGAGTCTCAGAGACTCGTCGTTTTCTCTCGCAAGCTGCGAACAAACACTGCTTCTAACCATGCCGATTCGTGGGTATCCAAAGCCCTCTTCATTCAAGGACAGTCGTCAAGGGCCATCGCTCGCTCAATTGCACTTCTTTCAACCAAAAACAAAAAAGAGAAAAGCCCGCACCCCACCAATGAATGTCCTCCCAGCCCATCCCCCAACTCTCAAGGCTGCTCCTGCATCGTCCAAATCCTCTCCATAAAGCTCCGCGGATAGCCCTTGATCTCGCCCTCGCTCGGGATGCCGCGTTTGGGATCTCGGCACCGCTCCACCACCTTGCCGATAATCTGACCGAGCAGATTCTCGTCCAGGATGACCATGCCGTCGCGTTCGGGGTACATGTAGGCGTCGCTTTCGCTGAGAAGCATCTTCACCGTCGGCCGCTGTTCCGGATCGCGGTTCAAGCACCGTCGGAGACAGCCGCGCAGCGCTGGGGAGATGGGCGCGCCTCCGACGCCGGTGTTGGGAAAGGTGATGTGGTGGTTCGGATTCGTGATGGCCATGATGCGCGAGAGTTGATTGGGGATGTGGGCAAAGGGGGGTTTGCCATAGGCCATTTGGTACAGGATGCATCCCATGCTCCACACGTCGCTCGCCTTGCCGATTCTCATGTCCTTCTTCACGTGCTGTCCGTTGGCGTCGACGGCGTGCTTACCGGACGGAGTGGCATTCGTGTCGGTGATGCTCTCTGGGCTCATGTAGTTCGGCGTGCCCACGTGGGTATCACGATGGACGTTGACGGTATTGTCGGTGTCGATTGCATTCGCGATGCCAAAGTCGATCAGTTTCAGTCTTCCTTGGACGAAGAGGAAATTCGCGGGCTTGAGATCGGAGTGCACAATGTCTTCATCGTGCACCGATTGTACGCACTCCAGCATCTCCCTCCAGTGGTATCGGGTAAAGACGGGGTCAAACTTCGCCTTCTCCCCATTTAGTCGCAGGGTGAGGAGGCGATTGAGGTCGGTGTCGCCCTTCTCCATCAAGATGTAGAGCTCCTGCTTCTCGTCGTTCAGCTGCCAATCGTACAGCCTCACCACGCGATCCACTTCGGTCAGCTTTCGGAGCAAATCAATCTCGCCCTTGTACCCTCGCACGGCAGACTCGTCGCAGTCCTTTAGCTTCACTTTCTTGAGAGCAAAAAGGTTGTAATTCTCGGCCATGACGCAGTACACCTCACTGCTGCCGCCCGAGCCAAACTTGCCCATCTGTGTGAAGATCTTGCCGTTGATGACAATGTGGGAGCGTTTCTTCTTGGACTTTGTGACGCTCGCGCCAGCGGTCGTGGTGGCGGTGTCAATGACGGACATCTTCGGCGGCGGCGCAGGCGCAGCGCGATGAGGAGTGTTGCCGCTAATCGCGCCGAGGACTTTGCGCTGCTCATGCTGCTGGGCTGGTACAGAACCGGGAGTCTCTCCAATGTGTCGCACCTTTGGCTTGTCGTCATCCGGGAGTATGGCAATGGACGGCTTGCCCATGTGCCTGAACTCTTGGTCTTTGTTTCGCTTGAACGTCGGAGGCGGTACATTTTCTTGGTCTTCAAACGCGTCGGTTTGGATCTTTGCTGCTGGTGCCACGTAGCGGAATTGAGCACCTCGCACGCTATGCACTCTTTGCGGCAACTGCTGCTCCGCACCAGGTCTTGGGCGATCCGCGCTTGGCTGAAGTGGTTGCGCTACAGCCGCGGGTTCAACGTCTGCCTGCACACTCGGCTCTCTTCGTGCCTGCAGCCGTTCCACGCTGGCTTGCCGACTCCAGGCACGTTCGTGCGCTTGTCGCGATGGCGGACGCGAGTCATTGCTTATGTGGCTTCGCGACAGATATGAGCTCGCTTGCCTAGAGGAGGTTCTGGATTCATGTGATGCGCTGCTCTTGTTCGCAAAGTCATGCACTGACACTGGCTCGATTGAGGTGGCCCGTACATTCGCGCTGCCGCTGCGACTACGGGTGCCATTAACCCTCGATGCGCTGAGATCGTGAGGGTTGTAGTTTTCTGCATGTGCGGACGAATGCTGTGAAGCTGCGGCTGAATCGGGGCCAGCCTCGTCCTGTGGTGAGACATTATCCTCGCTGTCTCGTCTGCGAAAGCCTCGCCGCACAGGTCCGCTCTTCAGGAAAGAGCCGGTGATGGGCGCACGTTTGATACGTTGTGAGCCGGGTGGCGGAGCGGGGTCTGCAGATGTAGTCCGCGATCGTGCGGTTGTCGAGGCACCGAAGCGAGTCGCACCCTCCGAAGCGTGACGCGTCGAGGTACTTCGGCCGAGATCATCTCCCCCACTTTCGTTTTCAGAGTCGAAGTTTGATTGAGGCTCGTGGTGTGAATTTGCTTTGCTAGACGAGAGACCATGTCCGTCCTGGGACGTAGCGCTGTTGGCTCGCGTGCGCACCCTGAACGCACGAGGGGCGGGCGCAGGGGTGATCATCTCGGGGTTGGTATCTCTTGTCGGCGTGGGCTCTCGCTTTGCTGGAAACCTGTGAGGATATGGGCCTGAGATGGTAACGGAGCGCTTGGCCGCAGAGCCGGAGTTCTTTGCGCCAATATGCACCACTCGAGGGGGAGTGTTGCCTCTCGAGGCGTCGCTCGCTACCGCGGGCGAGCTTCTTCGGATGATCTTGATGCCAGGTGCCCTACTAGGGGTATCGATGGCTGCTCTTTTGGAGGCCACGGCGTGGTCGAAGCGCGGCGGATGGTGGACATGTTCGTGCTTGGGGGGAGATGATGGGACGGGCGCATCGTCCAAAAGTGCCTGGGTGACCTTGGAGAACTTGATGGCGGGCGGAGGCTCGTCGTCCGAGTCACTGTCGTCGATGTTGATGCGCTTGAGCATGGGGGCATCGGCGGCGAAGCCTTGAATGCCGGTGGAGAAGGGCAGAGGCGAGTTTCGGCGCAGCTGGGGTCGATGCGGATGGGCGACGGCCGCCATGATTCTGCCGATGGTATGTCTGATGCGCTGTCGGCTGCTCGAGGGTTGTTCTGTCGGATGGTGGTGTGCTTCTTCCGGGGTCAAAGAAAGTGTATTCAATCCGAGATGCGGCTCGCGGCCAATGGGTCTACCGGGGCCGGGGCATGGCGCGGCTAAGTATGCTGGTCGGCGGGCTTCAGTCGCGTCTCGCAGCCTCGCTACATGTGCGCCCGGTAGCACGGTCGCGATATGTCGTGTTGGGAGGCCGAAGTGAAGTCATGCTCGGTGGAAGAGGTGGAGGATAGCGTGAGCTGGCGGTTTCGCGTTGCGGGAAAGCACGCTAGTCGTGTTGCCACGACAACTGCAGCGCTTGGCATCCACTCCCATCACGTGTCTCAAACTGCACTTCACTCTTCACCCGACTACTGCAATACCGAGACATGCAGCGCAACGTCGTTGGTCTCGATGATGATCGTGCATTACGCCCCAGACTTTGTTCTCGAGATGAATGGCTCAGAATGTCTTCTAGAAGCATGCGATTGCAAACACCCTATTGGCCTCTGTCCCTCCTCACCAACCAGGATTAATGAATGCGGCAGATGTCGTACCATTGCATCTCGTCGACGTCTGGCAAAGCATTCTGAAGAATAATCTTAGCTGTCAGCAAGAAGTCTGGGACGTATACTACCACAGATGCGACATGTCTCTAGCCGGCTCGCAGCATATCTCTGATTCCACTCTCCGTATAGATCTAGCTGTGTGTCAGTCTCGTCTCACATCTGCATTAGACACCGCAGAAATAAACCAGACTCTCTTTCATGCATTTCCTATATCTCCTTCAACCAGCTCAGCTGGAATCGTACGCTCTTCATATTCAACACCATCCAAACACCCGCGCAACACAACCTCCCACCACCACCTACACGCCAGCATGTCCCCACCGATACCTCAACAATCAACCCAACAACCCGCATCCTCATCAAACTACAACGCACTCCACGACCCCATCGCAATCCTCAGCTTCGCCCTGCTCCTCTTCACCCTCGTCGCCTTCCTCTTCCTCCTCGTCGTCACTCTCCGCCGCTCCTCCCGGGAAGTCTGGAATTCCGTCCGACAGGACATGGACGACGACGAACCGCTTACGTTCGAAGAACCACATCGAGAACGTGCACCGTTGATAAGCACGACTCTGGCACGGATCATGAAGAAAGGGAGAAAGGCGTCGAACCGTCGTCCGCTGGTGACGATTGATTGATTGCCGACATTTGTGTTTTGATGGTCGAAAGGTCGTGTGATGTTTGGTTGATGCTCGTTTGTGAATGTTAGCAGGCATTTGGCTGTTGATAGATGTCTTGGGCTATCAGCAGTCGTCTCTTGATTGAATGTCATCACCACATCATCAATCAGATTGATATTGATTCGCTTGGAGTGATAGAACATGAAGGAATCACTGGTCACCATTCGAAGCAAGCCGCGTGTGACACAGCCCAACGATCAGAATGATGAACGGTGGAAGCATTTGAAAGCAATTCGTACCAATTCGCATGCCCGTGTTCGTTGCGGGACTGTCACGCACGTCAATAAAGTCTGTTGGTCGGGTTGACACGAGACGAGCAAAGCAAGTCAGATTCACGAAATGTCAATCAGCCAAACCCCATCTTTTCCAACCCCCAAAAACCCCATATACAGGAAGCGACCCAGCGCCAAACAAACCATCAACCAACTCAAGCATGTTTCTTCTCTTCCCGCTGCACGTCAGGCTTCGGCTCGTCCGAGCTATTCGACCCTGTGGCATCGATCTTGTCCTCGACATCGGTCTCCTGTTGGCCCCGACTCTCTTCGTCGCGCCTCTTGTCCTGCTGAATGTCCAGCGCGGGGGCAAACTTGGATTTGCCTCGCAGCTTCTTGCCGTGTTTGTAGAGATAGAAGGGCATGGGGATGAACAGGGCGGCGACACAGCCCAGCAGGGTCATGCCGTAGTTGATGCCAATCCCTTCGAACATGTAGGTCTGTTATTGTTGCGTGCCCAATCAGTGGATGGTCAAATAAGCACTTGGATGAAGACATACCGCAAAGAGGGGGAAGATGGCGCCGAACATGCTTCGCATGATGGTGTTGGCGGCAATGGCGGAAGCAGAGAACATCAGGTACGCGTCGATAATGTAGTTCAGGCATTGCAAGAACACAGAAAATATGCCGAAACCGATGAAACCCCCAGCCAGAGTAGGCACGATCCATGGCGCCTGTGTCGAGTAGCCGCCCCAGCCGAACCAGAAAAGACCGGCCGCGAAGAGAATGCCGCCAACCATGGGCAGCGGGAGTCTCCATTCGGGTACGGGGATGTTGTTGTTGGCCCTCAACTTTTTGACGTAGCTTTTGTTCATAAGAACCACACAGGCCAAGCCGATCAGGACGCCGACAATCAGCGCGATGAAAGGCAGGCCGGAAACGCCCAGCGAGAAGCCGTAGACCCCTTGGAATACCAGTGCATAGGCTGTGAGGTTCAGGTAGAGCAGGCCGTAGATGAACGACATGTAGAGCGTGATGATCAAGACAATCGGCTCGGTGAAGAGAATGCGTAGCGGACGGGTCAAGTTCTTGATCGCGAGGTCCTTGAGGTCCACCTCGACTTCCTCTTGCTTGGCGTGGATGCCCCAGTTGCGCGTGAGGCGTCGGAGCTCCGAGGCTTTGGCTACGAGCACGACAGGCCCATAGGTCTCTTTCTGGAAGAAAATGAGCAGAACTAGCGCACTATAACCCATAAAACTTGGCAACCACTTGGAAAATGGTCAGCGGGATGTTTAGATACGTGTTTGGGTCGATTCCCAACTTACTGCGGTCCAGCGCCAGCCGATCGTTTTCGTAACGAACCCACCGACGAACGGCCCGCAGAACGGACCAATCATCAATGTTGCGGAGAAGATGGCGATAGCGGTACCACGATGCTGACTCGGGTTATTAGCAGGGGTCTCATACGAAACATGGACAGGATCGCACCTCGTTGTTGAACATGTCTGCAAAGACAGCACCGCAGAGCGTCAGGGGACATGAACCGAAGAAGCCGGCGAAGAAACGAGAGATGACTACCGTTTGATAGTCTTTAGCCACCGCGACGGCCGTATTGAAGATGGCGAAACCAAAGGCGCCGATGGCAATGGGAAGACGCCTGCCGTAGAGTTCGGAAATGGGCGCGAACACGATAGGGCCCACGGCGTAACCGAGAACGAAGAGCGAAGTGCCGAGGGTGACGACCTCTCTGCCGACGTGGAAATGCTCGCCGACTGCTTCCGTTGCGGCGGAGAAGATGGAGGAGGCGAAGGTGGCGGCGAGGGAGTCGTACACCAGAATGACGGCGATGAGAATCTTGGTCTTCATGGGGAAGTTCATCGCGTGTCGCGGGTCGTCGTGACCATCGAATTCGACCACATATTCTTCTCGTTCGGGGAGCGGGGGAGGGTAGGGCTTGCCAGCGCCGAAGGATGGAAGTTCGTAGCCCTCGGCGCGGGCCTTGCTAGTGCCACCGACCGTTTGCATATGCTGCAAGCGATGGCCCTCGATGCGCTCGATGGCGGTGGGATGGCGGTCGATGTACTCCATCAGCATGCGCTCCATCCTGGTGGACGTGGCGGTAAGGGTGGGGGCGGAGGAGTATTGTCTGGAGCGAGGCTGGCCGCGAGCTCCGCCAGCTTGACCGCGGATTTCCTCGCGCCGACCTGATGACATCGACGAGCTGATCGACCCGGTCTCGTTTGGGGTGCCGTGGGGCCCCTCGCCGGAGCGTGTTGGGTCCTCGAGCTCCTCAATCTGCTCGGGTTCTTCGACTTCCTCCACGGCCTCTCGACGCGACTCGCTTTGGGACAGTTGAGGGTGGCGAGCATCGTATTCGGTGTGAAGGCGAGTGTACTCTTGTTGCAGCTGGTCGTTGGGGTCGTAGTCGCGCGCGCGATCCGGATCGGCGTCCCTCTCAGCCCAAGCGATGTCAGCATCCTCGACGTCCATGCCGCGGGGCGAACGTTGTGCCGAAGACATGGTTGCGGATCAACAAGCGATGATGGCTCGCTGGAATGGCAGACACGCGTTGCGCCAATAGAGCGGCCAAAGGGTCGTCGGGGGGGGGAGGCAGTTAGAGTTAACAATGGAGGGAAAGTGGCAGATACGGCGGGCTATGTAGTAGCTGGGTGAGGCGAAACAATGAGGAGCGCATCGGCACTGGCGTCACCACCACCCGAGCTCCGATCCACTCATTTACCTCTCATTAGGGCTGAGGGAGTGAGATCACTGTGACCTTTTGGGCGGCTTTTCGGGCTTTATTTGCCAAGAGAACTCCTCTCCGCTAGTACGGTACTTGCGATGCGTGCGCAATGATGCATTCCCAACGCGGCTCATGGCGGAAGCATGCGGAACGAAACATCGGCAGACCACGTCGGCGCATAACTGCCCTCTCGAGACAGTCCATTGCCACCCCAATTCCAAGCAAGCTCTGCGCAACAACCTGTCGCAGCCTGGACCGCACGTGCAGGCGAGGTGGTGGCTTCCGGTCGCTGGTTTAGTAACGCGCTAGTCTGCTGACAGAGGCGCTCGCTACAGCACGCCGTATCCGTGCGCGGGGCAGCTCTGTGAGCTGATGGCTTTGCACATGCTTCATATCAACGGCCCACGTGCTGCCAAGCTATCGACACCATCGCGACTGCCGTATTTGGTGTCGGTCTACTTCCTCCCCGCCGCTACAAGAGCCATGCCCGTAAGTCGGATGGGCTCCTCGCCGTCCATCTTCTTCGCCTCCTCCAGCATCAACTCTTTCAACCGCGTCCGCTCTTCCTCCGAGAAATCCTGTAATTGCTTGACCTACATTCGTCACACATCGTTAGCCTCCGTAGCAACGGCGAGCTGGATGGACTAACCATTGGCGGCATGACGTTGAGCAACATGTCCACCAGCTTGTCGCGAGTGTCAAACGCCATGCTGGTCTCGACACGGTGCGCTTCCACCTCCCGGAATCCCGCCTGCTCCAGCTGGCCCCTCAGTAAGTCCACGTTGCTCCAGTCCTTTGGCATTTCCGGCATCGTCTTGTCGGGTCGAATGCGAGCCGCGAGATGCATGAGGTCGATCCATTGCGATCCCTCCCACGAAGAGCAGCTCAAGACCCCATCATCCTTCAGCACGCGCAGGGATTCGCTCAGAGCTTTCGCTGGTTCCGGTACCATAAAGTAGACCTGCACCAGCACGTCAGTTTGCTCAAAATTCTGCACAGTCTCCGCCATCACCTACCCATCCCGCCGTGATGTGGCTCATGCTTGAGTCCTTTACACCCTCCAGCTCCATGGCATTCAGCACCTTGGCCTCGACCCGTGCCCATGGCGAGCTACCATCTTCTGCCGTCGCCTTGTCCTTTCGCTTCTTCACTTGTTCGATCATGGGCTCGCTAAAATCCGAGCACGTAAGCGAACACGTCTCCGGCACGTCGTAGTCTCGGAGAAGTCGCGCCATGATCTGTGAGCAGAGCGATATAGTCAGCGTTGTGGTCGATGCCGCTGCTCACGAGGGGACACTACAGCCCTACCGGACCTGGGCCGCAGCCGTTATCTAGAATGCCCGTCGCCTGGGCGAAAGGCAGAAGGGCGTTCGCTCGGGTCAACATGGCCTCGATCGGCCGGTTGGCCGTTTCCTTGGTAAGCCTTTCGTAGTCGTTCGCAAGACCCTTCCAGTCATCTCCCTTGGTATCCGAAAGCCTCGACATGTTGCGAAATGACGGAAGAAGTAACAAGCTGAGTCTGGACAAAGCGCGTGGGTTTGACTGATTGATCATTTAACAGTTTATGTTGCTTCGAGAACACCGCATACTAATATATAACCACGCCCGGAGACAATAGAAGATGTCGGAGACTTTTGGATTATCAGCCTTCCAGTCACACGGCCACGCTTCTGGCCACGCTCCCGTCCCCGTTCATCTGGATGTCCGCTCGAGGTCTCAATGCTACGACTTGCGAGATTATCACTAACATTCCTCTCGATCCAAGAAATAACGATCGAGTAGTACTCAAGCCACAGATAGTGAGTGATGTGCAGTCTTGATGTGCGATCTCGGCATCCTCCATCCGAAAAGGCTGGACTTCATGGCACATCGGCGACGGGCCGACCTGTGGGCGTCGCTGTCGGACAGCAACTACCAGGCGACGTACCTCGAATGTTGCACCTCATTCATTGCGTGATACGTGGCGGTGTTTTGGCGAGCCCCACTACGAACATCTATAAAGCAATAGGGTCAGAAGGCATTCGTTTGGGAAATCGAAACGACTTCCATCTTTGCTGATACGAACAAGAACAACACACTATTCTCATCATGGCGCCCGGTCTGCTCTCGGAACAATCCGAATCCCACCACAACGGACTGAAGCACGACGTCGTCGTTTCCTCGAAACCCCTCCGTCAACCCATCAAAGCCTCAGGGGTTCTAGACAAGTTTGGATGGGAGGATGCCACGCCCGTCATTGGACGCGAGTTCCCTACCCTGAACATCGTCGACGACATCTTCAACGCCGAGAATGCAGACGAGCTGCTTCGCGAGCTTGCTGTGACGAGTATGCCAACCCCCTATCACAAACATCGAGAACCGCCCTTACTAATTGACCGCCGCGTACAGTCGCTCAACGAGGTGTCGTCTTCTTCCGCAAGCAGGACAATCTCACCGATGAACTTCAGAAGGAACTCGTCCATCGGATGGGCCAGCTCACCAACAAGCCTTCAACCTCCTCGCTCCACATCCATCCCATCTTGAACAATACCTCCGAGTTCGGTGTGCCCGACGCTGAAATCAGTCACATCAGTTCCTTGGCCAGGTCAGTATCGATGCATCAACTCTCAGATATGTTACTCGTGGCTGATCTCTCCATCGTAACGTAGGAAGAAGCTGTTCAGCCACTCCAAGCCCAAAAACTCCCGGCGCTACGACGCCGCGACATGGCATTCGGACATCCAGTTCGAGCCGTGTCCCGCCGACTTCACCTCCCTGCGACTGACCCAGCTCCCCGAATGTGGAGGCGACACTTTGTGGGCATCCGTGAGCACCCTCGCCTGCTTGGACCTTCCCAGCGAGTATACTGACCATGCCAGGGTTACGAGCTGTACGACCGCTTCTCCAAGCCCTACCAGAAGTTCTTTGAGAGCTTAACGGCCACGTTCATCGGCGAGGGCTTCATTAACGTCAGTGGCTTGCTTCAGAAATCCTTGGGTCGCCATCACAACAGCGCTGACCGGGTATTTAGGCCGCCGCCAGAGATCCTGAAAAGGTGAAGATCTGGACAGAACCTCGAGGCAGTCCAGACAACGTCGGCGATGAGTTGACGGCCGTGCATCCGGTCGTTCGAGTACGTATCAATCGGGCTTCCACATGAACTCTTCATGTGCTAACATTAGCGTAGACCAACCCCGTCACGGGATGGAAGAGTATTTTTGCTTGCGGCAACTTCCCGAAGCAGTGAGAAGCCTCCCCAACACTTCTGAGCATCACGGCCATCAAAAAGCTAACTCAAGACTCCCCGACCCAGAATCAACGAGCTCAACGGCGAAGAATCCGACGAACTCCTCAAGAAATTCTACCGCACAATCCTCGACAACCACGACCTAACCGTGCGCCTGAAATGGAGGAACCCCAACGATCTCGGTAAGCTCCAATTTCCCACTTTCCCCCGGCCGTCTCAGGAACCCTCAAACTAAGGGACATCCGCCCTCATAGCCATCTGGGACAACCGCAGCGCCTTCCACTCCGCCACGTTCGACTACCAGGGCGAGCGATTTGGACATCGTGCTGTGGGCATTGGCGAGAGGCCGTACTTGGATCCGAATAGCACTAGTCGGTCGGAGGACTTGGGGCTGACTGGGTATGAGTGAATGGATCGTTGTCGATGACTCCATGTGTTTGGCTGGTGACGAGGTGCCGTTATCCGTACACGGTGTTGCGAGGCCTACGATAGTGGAGGCTGCCATGAGACTGTGATGAAAGTATATGCCTTCATTCAACGACGTAGTATACACCAACCGCCGACTCATCCAACCCACCCAACCCAGCCAGCATTATCCATCAAACTGAAGAAAAACAGAATACGGAATGCTACCCGACTTTTCCTACCCCCGCTCACCTCATACCGCCTAGAAAATCATACTCTTGACCGCGTCCCTCGACCGATGGCCCTTCCTGGCGCTCATAGGTGGCGTCCGAGGCCTCGTCGCAGGCGCCGCAGCAGCAGGAGGCATGGGCGCACTGCGTAAAGGCGGACCCTTGGTGGGGCTAGTCGGCACACTCCTGCTGCTCGTCGGGATGGCGGAAGGTTGCTTCTGCGCAGTCGGGGGCCGAGAAGCAGCAAAGTCTTTGACTTCCGGCGCTGCGGCCTCCTTGACCGGCGACGACGAATCGACCGCAGACTCCGATCTTGCGCCGCCCGTCGCTCGCTCGCGCACGAGGACCAGATCCGTCCAAGTGGAGGGTCTTGCACCCCCGTCCGGCTTGCCAATGACTTTGCTGAGCATGAGCATCCACTCGTCCTTCTTCTCGCGACTCTCGGCGTAAAAGTCGATGGTCTCGCCGTTGGCGAAGCGCATGCGGAATCCTTCCTCCACATATTGGTATGCTTCGTCTTCCTCGGCGAAGGCGGACTTGCGCCGGCCTTTGCCTGCCTTGGCGGGAGATGGGTCGGCGGTGAGCATGCGCTTACCATCGACTAGTCGCGACGCTCTGGTGAGGTTGATGACGGCACGCTTCTGCTGCGTGTGCTCGTGGTAGGCGGTGAGCTTCGATCCTTGCAGTCGGAAGAAACGTCGTCGCCAATGCTATATACATGTCAGTCAACGCACGGAGCGCAGAAAACGAATCAACTCACCGTGCAATCACCACCTTGCTGACTCAAATGGCCTTCGTGCACCACCTCGCTCGACTCTCCCGCCTTCTTCATCTCTCGGACCGCCGCGCTCATGCTCTTCGGCATGTCATCGTCTGTTGCACCCTTGGGCTTGGGGACGTACAGCAACTGCAGACGCAGCTGGCCAATGACATATGGAGGCAGCCTGACCGGGCCCGACAGCGTGCCACGCTTGTTGCGCACGCTGTTGACGACCTGCACATCCTTCTCCAAAGCCCATTCGTTGTAGCAGGGTACATCGACCGTAAGTTGTCGCCCGAAGCACTGCTTTTCGTGGGCTTTCAAGTTGACGTACGCCCGAGCAAAGGAGCCGTCGGACTCATTGACCAGGTCGCGCAGTAGGTCCCATGCAGTTGGTGCTACCGACGCACGCTTCCGGTAGAAGTCTTCTTGCAGTCTCCGCTCTTCGGCCTCGGCGGCTTCGCGCTCCTGGCGCTCCTTCTCCGCGCGCTTCTTCGGCGATGACAAGAACCTTGCAAATCCGGAGGTCTTCTGCTTTGTTGGGGATTTCGTCGGCCAGCCACTGGATGATGGCGGTGTCTGTACTGGTGGCGGAGGCGGGAGCTTCGTGGTAAGCGTCAATTGGAACTCCAGGTCGTTCAATACCACCAATTCAAACTCCTGCCCGATGGGTGCGCTAGTCCCGAGTTCCAGACTCGAGGTCGTTACGCAGTGCAGGCCATTGTCCAAGGTCAATTGGAAGTAAACTCGGTCGTTCCTCGGCAGTGGCAGCGCCAGATCATTCACACCCACCACCTTGACGAACAGTCTTCCTCTTTCCACCCCTTCACCCACATCATCTTCGAGGTTGCTGGAGCCAGCGGCATAGTCTTCGTCGACAACACCCAGCGCACTCTCTTGCCCAGGTAGCGGAGGAGCGACATCGGTCAGGTGGGCCGCTTGCTGCGCACTCGCAAGCCTCACACTCTTCCTCCTCACCTTCCCGTTCCAAGGCTCAGTCTTCAAGAACTGCTCCGCGCTCGCCTTCCTCGGACTCGAGTTGTCCTTTTTCGCTGTCCTCGATGCTTTGGGTGTTTCGGAGGTCGGGGATTGGGGCTGATGAGCGTTGTCGCTACCCCTTATGGTCGAACCAGACTCGGCGGTGCCGTTGCTGTCACCAGAAAAGTCCCTGGTGGTGGCGATGACGACCTTTGTGTTTTCGCGCATGAGATAGCCCTTCTGTGTGCGAGTATACAAGTCAGTACCAGCGCTGCTGTAAGGATGCGGTCTGTAAGGGGAAATTGGGGTGCCGTATGAAACAACGGACTGCGCCTGCGGTAGCATCGACCGTTGCGGATCGAACCTCGCATGTGCAGGAGGAGGAAAGGGTGCACTGCTAACCTTCTGAGCCTCACTGATCCTGTCAAAATCCTCATCCAGGCCCAATCCGTCATCCCCTCCGCCAAGGCTGAAGGTAGACGTATCAAGAAGGCTGAGGTCCATTCTGCCACCACTCTTGCGATTCTTTCGTCGAGCCGGCTTCTCTGACTGCTCGACTGGCTGCTTGAGGGCTTCCACCACTTCATCGTTGGAGTACACAGAGCTGCTGGCATCATCCTCGGCACCAATGGTGGTATCTTCCATCGTCTGATAAACAGAGGGAACAGCGGGTACGGGTGGCTCCTCGCTCACCATTCTCCGCTGCTCCGCCATGCCAGCCAGATCGGCAGGCGTAGCGGAAGGTCTGGCCTTCAGCTTGCCGCCGGGTGTCTTGATCGATGCAACTCTTTCGGGAACAGGGGACTCGCGCGGTACATGCATGCTTGCAAAGCCATTCAGGCCGTCAAGAGGCGACACAATACCGTCATCGTGCTTGATGACAGCATCGGGGGTGCTAGGCGGCGAGACTTCTGGTTCCGCACGCGGCGACCAGGCAGTGGAGACGGCATCGCGTGTTTTGAATTCAAGCGGCGGCTGTAGCTGTGGCATGGTCTGCACAAACAGCTGTTGCTCTTCGGCCTTCTTGGACGTGGTCGTTCCGGACGGCGGAGAGGGAGTGATGTAGTCTTTCATTCCAAAGTCGAAGTCGTCCATGCTCAAGTAGGCGGGCAGTCCAAGGAAGTCGTCCGCGCGAGTCCCTTGCTTCGCTTGCACGCGAGCACTGTAATCCTTGACGGTCAACAATTCCATTGCGTCGGTCAGGGTCTCTTTCCCGTCTTCATGCTCGACTATCTCGCGACGCGTGTGAATCATGCTGCTCTCTGCGTCTGGCGGATCCAGGGAAGAGTAGCGGGAAGCAGTGTCCGCCTCATCTTCGTCCCCGCTGAGCGATGCCGCACGGTGGTGCAGAACAGAGGATTGACGATCCAGACCACCCACTATCGAGGCCGGGATGGAACTCATGTCGATATCGTTGTCCTCAGTGGGCTCCTCCTTAATCGGGACGTCGCTTGCAGGCGGTTGATGAGTTGTCGAGCCATGGGCCAAAGGGTAAGACACGCTGATTTCGCGACTGCTCTCACGGGATGGAATGGGTTGGTCGGGATCCATCCTCGCGAGTTCGGCGATCGATGGGCGCAGTATGTCGGCATCATCGAGGTTGATTTGAGACTCATCGGCATCATCTTCGTCGTCAAAGTCTTCGAAATCGTATTTCGAATTCCTAACGCTCCTCAGAATGGATTCACGGGAAATGCGAGGCGGCGCTTTGGCGAAATCGGCGAGGTCAGCAATCACAGAGTCTTCCTCGACCGCTGCCTCGTGGACCTCGACTTGCACCTTCTCTCCGGTGTCAAGATTGGTGACGATCAATGCCTCGTGACCCTCTTCGTCCTCTTGCGATGGCTTCTGCGTGGCAGGGGAGGATTTGGCAATCATCTGGAGGATGTCATCCTTGCTGCATGAGGCGCGCTTGGGCGGAGAGGGTGGTCCTCGTACGGCATTCGAAGCACGCTCAGCCGCTGATGCCAACAGGTCCGAACCGCTTCTTTCGCGCTGCATGAAGGCTGGAAGGGGAGGCAGTGGTCTCGCCTCACCGTCGGAAGCTACACGACCATTGCTATTCGAGCGTGCGTGATCTTCAAACACATCATCCTTCTGATCTGCGAGATCCGTCCGGGCTTCGTCGGGGCTCATCCGGCTCCAGTCTTCCGGTAAGACGACGGGTGTCTTGTCTGAATTTTCGAGGTCGGCATCAAAGCTGTCTTCGCGGTGGTGCTCGACGTCTGCCGAGCTTCCGCGGTCGTAGTGGATGTCACGATCGTCCAAGTCGTCCGACTCCCAGCTGCCTTCGCGGTCGGAAGCGATAGAGAGAGACGGCTCGGGGGTCTGCTCCTCATACTCGTTGACGACTGGGGGGTCATGATGGAAGGTTACACTTTTCCTCTGCATGTTCAGCGCCCGGGGGGTTGTGGCACGTCCCCCATCACTCCAATCGTCCTCGACTGCGGGCTGCGAATAGCCGCCGAACTTGCTGTTTCGCGCCAGTGAGGACTTTGTGGGCGACAGCGGGCTTTGCTGCTCTCCCTCAAGTGATGCAGAGAGAGCTGCAATACCAGGAGACTTGGAGGGGGTCAAGACCGGGAGTTCGGTCTGGCTTTGATTGCGCCTGTGGCCAAAGCGCTGTGGAGAAGAGAGAGGCGTGTTCTCCTTCATTTGCGAGTCGAAGCGGGCGAAGGTGTTATTTGCGACCGACTGACTGAGTGGGCGGGGGGCAGGACGCTCGACCTTGGGAAGAGTGCTGGGATCGTAGGCATCTTTCGATTCGAGGGCGAAGATGTGACTTTTTCTCACAGGGCTGGATTGCATGAGCCGCTCCACGCTGGGGCGGCGCTTGGGAGAGGCAAAGACTGGCGAAGCATCGGCGGCAGGCGAGTTCTCGCTGTCGAAACGGGAGGGCGACTTGGTGTCTCGATTTGCCCAGAAGCCGCGCGGAGAGGGTTTGGCGAAGGATGGCGGAGAGGAGTTTTCGGTGTATGGGGAGGACTCGGTGGTGACAATCATCTTCTGGGGGGATTGTCAGCAATCGTGGAGAGGTAAAGGTGATGAGACAGATTAGATGACTACCTTTGTGGCCTGAATGTAACTGGGACTGTTCCTCCTACGCTCCGTACTGCCAATCTCGGCGAGCGGCCTGCTGGTCGCCTGGCCGAGCATCTTGACCGGACTGGAGCCGGGCGTAGTGTTTTTGTTGATTCGCAACGGCGGGACCTGAGGCAATGGTACGTCAGCATCCGGCGCAATGATATGAAGCGTGGAAGAGGTCACATACTGAACCCATGGTGGGGAGCTCCTCGTCGTCAGGCAGTGGGACAGAGGAATGCGGCGGCGGCGCCCGCCTGTCGGAGATGGGGTCGCACGCCAATGAGTGAGCGAGCAATCAATGGACGTGAAGCAGCGATGCGAGCGAGAGGAGGCGGAAGGTGTGTGTAGAGAAGGAATATCGAACGTATGTCGTCGCTTGCAAGCGAAGCAGTCCAGAAGATGACAAGATGGGCGACGGAGGATTTAAAGTTACGAAAGTGTAAACAAAACACGCCGCACCCCGCCCCGCAACGCAACCACGGAAGAGGCCTTGTCAAACTCTCGCCCGCGCTAGGCCCGAAGGGGATGGGCTGCGCGCATGTCTTCAACTTTTTTGGGCAACCACGTCGACCTTGTGCACACGAGCGACATGTTCCGCCTCAGCTCCTCCCTCTGTCCCTTTTGCGCCGCCAGGGCATTGGCTCCTCCCACAAGCACACCATGGCAAGCGTCTCGGAATGCCGCAACATTGCAGAAGCGCAAGCCATCGCGCATGGTCTTGTCGCCCAGCGTCAAGCGAGGCCCTGTCAAACCCAGTTCGTCCGGCAGACCTGCGCAACGAAGTCGCAACAGTCCATGGGGTGGATTGAACATGACCGTTGTACCTCGAGACCTTCATAGCACCAAGAACCAGCTCCCTGCGGCCGAACAGAGACGATCGAATCGCTTTTCCAAGGATGCAGGCAAACCAGCAAAGACGAAGGAGCCGATGAAGGCGCTCAAGATGCAGCAACGGCTGACGAATGTGTCGTATGAAAGACGTGGACGGGTGAAGGAGGCAATCTTGCAGAGGACCAGCTTCGACGAATTCGATCTACTGCCCGTCATTAAAGACTCCATTGCCACGCAAGCACTGGGTGGCATGGTTGATGTCTCCCCCACTCCAGTCCAGCGACTAGCAATCCCCGCCCTCCTCGATTCCGAGGGCCCAAGAAACCCGAAATTCCGAAGAAAAGAGCAAGGAGGCAAGAAGGAGATGCGCGAGTTTCTGCTCGCCGCCGAGACCGGCTCCGGCAAGACGTTGGCATATGTGCTTCCCGTCATCGATGCTATCAAGCGCGCAGAGTTTGCCGAGCAGGTGAGGGACAGTCAAGAGATGGATGAATCGAGGGCAACGAGGCCTAGGAACAAACTGTTTGACATCGACCCTCCCACCGACGGCCAGCCCGATCCCTCCACTGGCCGCCCTCGCGCCATCATCCTTGTCCCCACGGCCGAGCTTGTGGAGCAAGTAGGCCATCTGGTCAAGTCCTTCGCTCACACCGTGAAGTACCGCTCCACATCTATCAGCGCCGACTACACTGGCCGAATGATACGTAGTCGATTGTTCTCCGCGGCGGGCATCGACATCGTCGTCTCCACCCCACACCTCCTCAGCAGCATTACAGAAAGCGAGCCCAACATCCTCTCGCGCGTCACACATCTCGTCATCGACGAAGCCGACAGTCTTCTAGATCGCTCCTTCTCCCCCATCACCTCCTCCATCATCGACCGTGCCACCCCTTCACTTCAACAACTCATCCTGTGCTCCGCTACGATTCCTCGGAGCCTTGACTCCTACCTCCACAAACGTTTTCCGAACATTCGCCGCCTCGTCACCCCAAATCTCCACGCCATCCCGCGACGAGTGCAGCTGAGCGTGGTGGATATTGACAAGATCCCCTACCAAGGCAACCGAGATTTGGCATGCGCGCAGGTGATATGGGACATTGGGAAAGAGGTGGCAGAGGAAGGCGAGGAGCGAGAGAAGAAAGTCCTCGTCTTCGTGAACGAGCGGGAAAAGACAACAGAGCTGGCGGAGTATCTTCAAAAGAAGGGCATCGAGGCCGTGGCGTTGTCGCGGGATAGTGCAGAGAGGAAGAACAACGACATGCTGGCCTCCTTTACCAGCGCCACAACCGCACCATCTACCACCTCCACCAAAAACCTGCTTTCCTCAACCGCTACATCAACCTTCCACCCAGCAATATCGCCAGCAGATCTCGCCGACTCTTCTACAGAGCCCTCTATACCTGCCGGACGCACTCTACCTAACACAAAGGTCCTCATCACCACCGACATCTCCTCGCGAGGCATTGACACCCTTCCCCTGCGCCACGTCCTCCTCTACGATGTCCCGCACACCAGTATCGACTTCATTCATCGCCTGGGCAGGGTGGGGCGGATGAATCGGCGAGGCCGAGGGATCGTGTTGGTGGGCAAGAAGGATCGGAAGGATGTGGTGAGGGAGGTGCGGGACGGGATGTTCAAGGGTGCTGCGTTGATATGATCTGTCAACGAAGCGTTGTCTAGAGTTATCGCCATGTGTATAAATATATCAGATGTTGAGGTCCAATCACGACCTCTATTCTTCGCTCACCAACCGCGTTTCGACGACCCCATTGATCTCCACACACGGCAGGCGAGATAGGTAAGGAATGCAATTCGTTAATCAAAACTCATATACAAGATACAGTTACATCGTGCTCCTCAGCTTCCTCCTCCCATCCGCCCGCCTCGGACTCCCCCTCAACTTCCGCTCCATCTCCCTCTCCACCTCCTCACTCTCCAGCCTCTTCAACGACACCTCCCGCTCCCTCACCACATCAGCGAGCGTCTTACGGCCCTTGCGCTCCACCCGCTCCTCCTCGGGATCAATGAAGCGATGAATCGTCCGGTGATCCAGCACGCGCTCCTCCCCGTCGTATTTCCCCTCCTTGTCCGTCTTGGGCCAGTAGTAGCCGTACAGCTTGCTGTGGCGTTCGCAGCGCGGGCACCCGATGCGCGTCAGGTACGCGTCGCCTTGCACAAAGTGCTCGTCGCAGTTGCGGCATTCGACCCAGCGGTGGTAGGTGGTGGGCAGCAGCGTTTTGCAGAGGGTGTAGTCGCCGGGCGTGCGGGCGGGGCCTCGAGTGGATTTGGTGTCGTCCTCGCTGTCTGTGGAGGAGTGGCCTTCTTGCACCTCGATGCTGTGGATGGGCGGGGTGGCAGATGTTTCGGCGGGCTTTCGGGCGCTTCTGCGCGTGCGGCGCTCGTGAAGCGCGCTGCTCTGCACATCGGTACTTTCGACGACAGTATGCTTCGAGTCTTCGACATCGTCCACGGTGAGCATCTGACAGATGCTTTGCGAGATGTTGCCCGCAGTGAAGGTATCAATGGAGGTGGCGCTAGATGCACTGGAGGTGAACGACGAGGTGTCGTTGTTGGTCGATGGAGGCGAGCTGGAACCCGACGACGCTTCGTCATTCTCCGACTTCACCGACGGCTCCTGTTCCGCTCGTTGTCGCCGCGTCGGCCCTCGAGACGGAGACCCTTCCAGCACGTCCGTGTCGGTCTCGTCGGCGTGGACAACGTGGCGCAGGGATGAGGTGCTGCGCTGAGTGTGGTCCCGGAGAAACCTGGATCTAGGAGTGCGCGCGGCGGAATGGCCCAGGCGCTCGCTCGGCCCAATTGCACGAGGTGAATCGGTCTTTCGATCTCGTATCGGAGCACGGGCTTGCGAGGGAGTAGAAGATAGTCTAGAAGGGGAGCGAGACCCCAAGTCGCCGGACTTTTTCGCGGCATCGTTCTTGTCGTCTGAAATCTCAGTCTGCGACGGTGAAGCACTGGCGGATGAAGCCCGAGAAGATCCAGCCTGTGCACTCATCTGTTTTAGTCGGCGGTCACCAATCCCTCCAAGTAGCATGAAGATTCTTTCCATGACAGATTCGCCGGAAGAGGTGTCGCTCACTGCAGTTGATTGAGATCGGCTGGCCTCCGCTTCGACCACCCTCCGCGGCCCCCCTCGTCCTCTTCTCTTATTGCCGCCACTAGGCTCGTCATCTTCTCGCTTTCGCTTGCCGAGATTCGAACCAGCGCTTCTCGACACAGCAACATTCGTCGCCCTGGGAGTCGCTTCCCCTTCGTCCCCATCTTCTTCTTCCTCGTCACTGCTTTCTTCTCGCAAAGGCGGACCTGCCGGATCCCACCCATTCCGAAGCAAAGACTCACATGTTCCACACAGACATTCGCAGTTGTCGATGCCAAAGTAGTCATCCCCGTACGTGACGGTGATTTCATCGCCCGCCTCGATATCCTTACAGGCAACAATGTGAATACCATGCGCGCCACTCGTGTTCAGTCGAGCATTCGAATCGCAATCGTGATTGGCGAAGCGAGCGGGACCGAGAAACAACGAGGGCCGCTTCCTGCGACTCGACACGACTATGCTGAAGTCGGTGCGACTCGACAACTCCTTCTCTTCCCTCGCGCTCATCTCCACTTGGATGCCAGACAGATACTTGATCGGCTCGCCCTTCTTGATCGGCTTGCGCGCCTTGATACATGCCTCGGCGGTGGTGACGGTGTAGCGATTCGTCGTGTCCACTTCAAACGGGCAATCCGGGAGGTAGATGTTGATGTACTTGCGCAGGTGGCGCTCAAAGTGCTCCTTCTCGTCTTCGCTCTTCAGGTGGGCAAGATACTTTGCGAGGCCCGGCAGTTTCAGCAGCTCCCTATGCGCCGCAACGGGGTCTTTGGCGATGACTACCTGCTGCTGCAGAATCTGGCAGACGAGCTCTTCGCGCACGCCGCGGCATGCGTGGTAGTTGGCTTTCAGCTTGCGGATGGAGGACCAGAAGTATACCTAGAGGCGATGCCGCGTCAGTTACGTTTGCATGTGCGTTGGAGAGGGAGCCGGCAATGCTCGTACCCGATCGACCAGCGCATCGGTAATGATGTCGTCGTAATTGGCGAGTTGCGACAACGTCAGGCCACCCTTCTTCTTCAGCGCCTCCTCCAGGTCCGCGGCTTGCCGTGGCATGGTTGACACGTCAGCGCGGAGGCCGGCAGAGGGAGATGATGGTCTGGAGTAAGAGTACAGCGGCGAGTTGACGCGCAAGGAGGAGCGCAAAGAGGGAAGACAGGGGAGCAAAGAGTAAGATGCAGCGGCGCATTCAATGCCGTCGCGAGCCCCCTTCCTTTCCGCACGTTTGTGCGCGCGTGGCTTGCTTTGTGGGCGACCTTCACCTCATCATCTCGGGCAAACACATGGAACACTTGACCCCAAGAAGCCGCAGAAACATGCCCTCTTCACACACACTGGCGCGCAACAATAGGGAATGGAGGGAGTGGAATGGGGGAATGAATTGAATGGAGGGCTGCACCGCCAGTCCCAGCCACTGCGGCTTTCCCCCTCGCGTCGGCCGCGTCGGCCCGTTGCACGTTTCGGGAAGGTTCGCTGCTTGATCATTAGCGAATGCAAACTATTCCACGGGTTCCGCCCTCTCCATCCCACACATCCTGTGCACACGACCACGTCGCAAGGGCCGCCCAGGCCGTACAGCCATTCACGATGATTCAGCTCAAGGTCAGTCTACCATTGAATGCAACCATGAGCGAGATCTGCGCCCTGCAGCAAAAAGACTAACACCGCACCAGACCATGCTGAATGTCATTGACAACTCGGGCGCCGCGGTCGCCGAGTGTGTCAAGGTGCTCAAGATGAAGCGAGACGCACGCATAGGTGTGTACATTCACAAGGGCTCACCGGCAATCCCCCTTCCGTCACCACTGACACTCCCTACCCTAGGCGACCGCATCATCGTCGTCGTGCAACGACAGCGCAACTTTGGCCCCGAGTCCGGCGGCGGTGGCTCCGTATCAGTGTCGGCGGCGAACAAGGTTCGGCGGGGTGACATCCGACACGCGGTGGTGGTGCGCACAAAGAAGCCCTATCAGCGGCGGGATGGGAGCCAGGTGCGGTTCGACGACAATGCGTGCGTGCTCATCAACAAGGGCGGGGAGCCCATCGGCTCGCGCATGAACGGCGTGGTGGGCAAGGAGTTGCGGGACAAGAAGTGGAGCAAGATCTTAAGTCTGGCGCCGATGCATGTATGACGCGAGGGGGAGAAGAGACGAGCACAGCGAAGGCGTTTGGAAAGATTGGGGGAAACATCTCGCTTCATTGAAATGGGTATTCAAAAGCAACCATCTGTACCATAGCGCCCCAGCACCACGCTAAAAACCGGGCAATCACCTTGTCAAACATTGACGAGCCAGTCCTGCTCGAGGAGATCGTTGCGCGCCGTACTCTCAGCGTCCGACGGCCGCCCGACCTCGAGGATTTTGGAATCTGTAGGAGATGCGCAAAGCAAGCGATCCTATTCTTTCTTGTCTTGCAGCGTCGACCACACATTTTGGCATTCGCAGCAAACGTAAAACAGCGCCTGTCAAGGGGTTAGCAGGTGTGAGAGAAGTATCTCATGCAAACGTAGACGTACCATTCCAGTTTCCGCCGTGCGCTGTTGGCTCTGGAAGAAGACGGCATCGCGAGCATGGCACTTGTTGCATTCGACTTCGGCGTGCGGGAGCTAATCACATATGCCACCTGTCAGTCAAAGTCTCCTGTGCGTAGCAAACAGAAATCAAACCAGTAAAACACAAGCCATGTCCAGTAAGTCGAATGATGTGGAAATCTTGCTCTTGCCACCCCTTCAAGATTGTTTGGCGTCGCCGCCTGATAGACTGCGCTCACGGCGCTCCGCCTCCACCTCCACCACTTCTTCTCCCAACTCTTGAACTTCTTCCTCGGGTTCTTCGGTCTCGAGGATGACGCCCTGGTCCGTGGGGTTCTCACAAATCGGACACAAGATCATTTCACCGCACAGCGTGCAAGCCTCCGGCACCGAATCCATGCCATCCAACTCTTCCGTATCGATGCTCAAAGCAGACGCAGAATCATCAAAGGGAAAGGAAGTAGATTCACCCACCGTAGGATCTTGAGCGACGTCCTGCACGTTGCCCGGCGTCTCGGCGATGGTCTCTTTGAGCGAGTTGCGGTAGATGCACGACGCGCCCGCCGGCTCGCTGAAGGTGCATGTGCGGCAGGCGAACATGAGCGTGTTGTTGAGGCGATCTTCTTTCGGGTAGAGCATGTTGGAACTGCAGAAAAGTCAGCGAGCGAGGCCTTCGCGGTGATGGGTAGAGGGGGCGCAGAGGCGCGGCCTTACCACTCTCGACAGAAGCGGAAGCTGATCTTCTTGGAGTCTGCGGCCTCCTGCACGTCCGGGGCTTCGATTTCGTACGCCGCCATGTTGAGGGGATGCGACGGGGTGGGTGGCGACAGGTGTGTGTGAGTTGGTGGACGTTTGAAAGTGACGAGTCACGAAGTGGGAGGTTTTGCGTGACACGTTAAGTGCTGAGGTAATCAGCTCGGACCGGATGCGGCACGAGGTTACGGTGGCGCTACTTCTGGCCACTCACAAGCCGCCGTTGACCCCTCAAAGTCACGCGCGTTCGACTGCTCCAGTGAAAGACACTGTCCTTTCCGTCTCATCAATCAAGACATTTCTGCCGAAAAGCGAGAGCACGAGCGAAGGTGCAGGGGCAATTCGACAGAAGGAGAACGAAGTGTGGGGAATCTCAGCTTTTATTGAACGAATATCGAGGCCATCATGGTAAGCGGGCGTGTGGTCTGGGGAAATGAACATTCATTACTCTTGCTGACCATGCAACTGCAACAGGCTACCGGATTGCCAGCAGGCTGGGTGAGTGCTGTTTTATTCATACCAATCCAGTGCGCTCGCGGGGTGAGTTAACACGCGTTGTGCAGGAGGTCCGGCACTCGAACAGCAAGAATTTGCCATACTACTTCAACCCCAGCACGAAGGAATCGAGATGGGAGCCGCCGGCGGACACCGACAGCGAGACGCTCAAGCATTACATGGGCCAGTACCACACGGCCAACCTGCGGCAGGAGGGGGTGGCGAACCAGCAAAGTCTTGACGGCAAGATCCGGTGCGCGCACCTTCTCGTCAAGCATCGCGAGTCCAGACGGCCCTCTTCCTGGCGCCAGGCGGAGATCACGCGGTCCAAGGATGAGGCGATGGGCATCATCCAGGGACACGAAGAGAAAATCAAGAACGGGTCGACGAGCTTGGGCGATCTCGCAACTACCGAGAGCGACGACAGTTCCGCACGCAGACGTGGTGACTTGTGAGTATCTCGCACAGAGCCGTGCGGAATGCCGCTCTTACCCTGGTGGAACGAGCACAAGCATGGCTGTGATTTTGTGCGCCTGCAGCTAACGCGCGTTACAGGGGCTTCTTCGGAAGAGGCGACATGCAAAAGGAGTTTGAGGAAGCCGCTTTCAACTTGAAGCCCGGCGAGGTATCGACGGTGGTGCAGACTGCTTCAGGGCTGCATCTTATAGAGAGGTATGTGAACGGAGCGAATTCCGACCGGCCGCGATGCCTTTGCACGATTCTCTACGTCGCGTTGCACCAGGCTGTCGGGGCCCGCATTTTTGTGACACCCGCGAACTTTGGATTGACAACATTTCCTGCAGGCTCGAATAATTCCCCCGTGCCACCAAGCTTCCCATTAGTCGGGTCGTAGAGAGCGTAACAAACAATGGCGGTGTGGCGTTGTTCCCATCTTCCCACTTTTCTTCTAGCTTGGCTTTCTTTTGAGTCGGGTGCTACCGTTTGACGTGCAAACACAAACACACAAACACGAATACAACTAACACTATCCCGCTTTCCATCACGGGACGGACTGATGACGTCTACCGCTGGGAATGGTTCGGCTTGGAGTGCAAGGCTGATGGCGTTTTGTTACGATTGCGACCACACCCCTCTCCATGGATGGCCGACGGATAGCAGCGTCAGCTGACGTGGCCTATCCGGGTACCTGCCCACCTTCACCCATTGACGTGACAAAAGGGGAGAAAGATTGTGGTTCAAGCTGGAGACAGATCACCATCAAAGACCAGTACGGGCGAGATCGACCTGCGCGCGCACCCACAGGCACAAGTGTGGTGTGGCGAGCATCTCATTAAAACCCTCGCTCGCCCTTTCCGCGCTCGCTCGAGTCGGTGTCATTCATTTCCCAGTGCACGACGAGAGGTGCACGAGCAACCACACGCCACGCCTTCACCCCTGAATCCCACCCCGTCATCCGCCCAATCCGCCCAGCCCTCCATCCTCCTGCACGTGTAAAGTGGGTCCTGGATCCCAAACCGGAAGGCACGATCGCGCACCGCACCTGCCGTGTGTGAACGACAGCAGCTTCCCACTTCCGCTTCCGCTTCCGCACTTGACAGGCAACTCTTCTCTTCCGCACGTTGTGCAAACACCACCACCTCATCATCCTTCACCGGCGCCATTCACTCCGCGTCACCGCCAAACGACGTCGACTGTGCTTCGTCTGACGTCGTTCTTCACTCATTTGACCCCCCCAATCCTTGCTTTTGCCCATCATTGGCTCTCTTCGACCCAACTCACGCTCCTTCTATACAAGGGCGCTCGTTACCACTCGACTTGGACCTACCTACTCACCACCATCTCCATCTCCTTTACTCCTGAAATCACCCACCTTGCCATCCCCTTCCCCCATACTACTCCTCAGCCACTTGGCGGCTTCGCTCTCTTCGACAGCATTCACGCAACACCCTACCTAGGCCTCTCACTCAACCTAGCATCGACAGCATGACTCGTCCATTGCATTCCATCCCTGAGCACCGCCGTACTGGCGCCACTCACAAAGCCAACATGGCTCCCTCGCGCTCCCGTACCAATCCCCGGGATCACGGCCTCGACAATTTCTCCTTTGACAACGCCCATCTCCAGGACTTTGTCGTCCCCGACGGCCTCATTCAACCTCTGCCCAAAGCCTTGGCCGATGCAGTGGCCAATTGGGTCTACGCCGGAGCCGCGCTCCGCACCGCTATCGACCGCCTCCACCTCCTCGACGAGCATGTCGTTGAGCGGCCGGTCGATGCTTCAGTGTCCAGCCGCAGTGATTCTTTGAGCTGGGAACCTCTCACACCCACCGCTGCTGATACTCCGGCAACAGTCACCATCCCTTCCGACTCCTCCGCCACGCCCCTCATTGGCCCGGGGGCCATCGCCTACCCCAGCTTCCCCGTCGTCAACCCCTACACCCAACTGCCCACCAGCATGCTCGGCATGGAATCACCCCCATTCACACCCGTCGACAGCAAATGTCCAGGCACTCCATCCTACTCCGCCTCCGCAGCCGCGGGACCCAAAACCGTCACGCTGCCCGACCTACACCGACTCAACGCCCAACTCTACCCCCTCACTCGCCACCTCTCCCCCGCCACCACCGTCTGTTCCTCCAGCCCCGACGCCGAAATCCGCGAACTCAAAACCTGGGAGGCGTACGTCAAGACGTACAACGCCGAGGTCTACGATCTCAAGTACCAGGCCGTCCCGCGCTTCGTCGGCTGCACTCGCACCGTGCGGAAACTGATGGTCGAGCTGGAGCTGTGTGGACAGATGAGCAGCAGGCTGACTGCGGCGCTACGTGCATTCCAGGCGTGGTGGGCAGAGCAGAGTCCGAAAGCAGGGGAATATCAGGTCAAGGCTGGTGCGTGGCACGAGAAAAGCCTGGTCTAGATTGGAGGGGCCAGCGGTTCATGTACGATGTTGAGAGCAGAGCGATTGAGCGGCGATGTAAAGTTGAGGGCAAAGCACGAAGGACCGAGCTGGGCGCATATTTCCCGCATTGGGCGGCGCGCATGCTCAACAACGACATTCAGAGGATATAGCGGCGGGAGATCTTGGTAGACGGCGCAGGTCGCTGCTCAGTACACATTGCAACGATTCACACAGCATAGAGCGAGGGCAATGCAAGGACGATGGCAGCGCAGACAGTATACATACACCAAGACAGCATGACCATGTACACCAGGGCCTGACAGCAGGTGTACGCGAAGCCATTTCATTTCATGTCTCATGACCAACCTATCAGACGTGCATGCGCATCGGCGCAGTCATTAGCAAACAAGCAATTCCCTCCCTGACGCCTCATTCATCCATCTCACTAATCATATCATCGTCATCATCCTCCCCTTCCTCCCCCTCCTCCCCCTCAACATCACTCGGCTCCGTAAGCGTCGACTCCAACTCCACCGACCGCCGCACATCGCGCCCATGTCCCTGACCCTGACCCTGCCCCTGCCCCTGCGTCCTCGCCGGGAGCAGCAGCGCCATCGTCGTCCTCTCCGGCTGCCAATCGCCAATTTCGTCAAACAGCCGCTTCAGCCCCGCCAGCACCGCATTCGACTCGTCGTACTCCATCATCACATTCATCGAAGGTCTCGTGCCCTCGTGCAGCGCCTGCGCAACCGCCGCTCGCATGCTGATCAAGTACTTTTGCGCCAGTTGCAGGGCCTCGATGGAGCGCTCGTGCTGCGTGCGGCGGTGCTCTTGTCGGTAGGCGGCCAGCAGGAGGGGTTGGTATTTTGCGCACAGCGTGCGAGTGAAGTTGATTCGGCCGGCGTCCAGAGCGGCGATGTCGGTGAGTGGGGCTAGGGAGTACATGCGGTCCTGGAGGAATCGCACGACGCGTGCGCGCACGAGGGCGCTTTTCGGAGAGGAGAGGTACGTAAACACCCAAAAAGGCATGCTGTGCACGACGGCGCTCGGAACCAGGCCCATCGCCTCGTCGAAGAAGTCGATGGTCTCGATTTCACACCCATTCCACATCATTGCGTTCTTGGTGAGGCATTCCATCAAGTTTTGACAGTTCGCGTCGTCGGAGTGTTGGAGACAGTAGTGCAGCGCTGGGTACAGCATGGCTTTGATGCGGTGACTTTCGAATTGAAAATAGCCCTTGAGGGCCTCCTCCGCCCACTCCGTCCAGAAGGAAGGAGTGTTGTCACCGACGAGGAAAGCAATGAGCTTGCCCATCACGCACTCTTCCGATTTGGCCGGAATGTTGCAATTCTTCGACGCGACGTGGAGCATTGTCCAGACCTCCTCCTTCTCCTTCTCACCGAATGTCTTGATCATTGTGAGATGCTGCAGTTCGGTCGGCAAGAGACTCCAGCCTTTGCTCGTCCTTGCACGCTCGCCCGAGCGCAAGCGAGAAGAGAGCAGATCTTCAGGGAGGGAGACATGCTTTTCAAGCACGTTGAGTATGAACTCAATCAACGAGCTCATTTCGATGCTGTTGAGCTTATATTCCTCGGTGAGCCTCCAGTGCTTCTTTCGAAGCTCAGGATCGTAGCGAAAGTTGATGATGCCCAGCGCCCAAGAGAGATAGCCAGCTTCGAGAACCGTGTGCGTTTCTTCCTGCCCAATGCGTGCGTATTGCGCAGCAAACTTGAGGTATTCCGTCCACTTCCCTCCGCTAGCATCAAGCGTTGGCCCCAAGACTTTTGCATGAGACTTCATGAGATCCTCGTACGTCTCCGCATACCGAGGATAGCCTACGAGGCGGAGACGAGACAAACATTCGTCAACGCAACCGATGGTGAGTGACCGAACTTGTGCGCTCTCTAGGTGCACGAGATTGCCGAATATAAGTCCGTCTTCCTCGGCGAAATACTGCAACATGGTGAGTGCTACCAGAGGGCGCGCATCCAGAACTGCTGACGTGGCATTCCTGAAGTTCACAATCAAATCGCCCACAGAAGGGTCCGCGAGAAGAATGCGCGACATGTACCGGGCAATGATGGCGCCCAGCTTGCCGTACGCCACATCGCAGCTGGCCCTCGAGGAGATCGGCTTATTCTCATCGCCTGGTGTTTCGGGGGTGATCGAGCGAAGATAGATCGGATAAGTCGTCAGTAGCCATAGGATGTGCTCATGGAACCCAGGAGCATGAAGTGATGCAACGAATCGACGTTCGTGATTCTCCTCGCCGAGAGCCGATGCCATGTCCTCGTGGAGTCCGACTCGTGGGAGTATCGAGTGCTGTATCCGGTGTTGAGCGGACACGGTGTTTAGACCTTCTGCCTGCGCAATGTAGGACTGCCGTTGGTAGAATAGTACGTACGCGCTGTCCACTCGCTCGCTTCCGGGTGACCCATTAGTCCAGCGTGGCCCTCCGAAGCACTGCGCCTGAACGTCCTGCACACCGTTCGCGCAAATCAGTGATCTGGCATCCTCAAGGTATAGCCAGGTAGCCGTATCCGCATTCCCAGAGCCAGCCACTCGAACATATGACCAGTAATGCCCAAACTGGAGCGAGCCTTGATGGACGATGACGCCGACCAGCTCAAATATGTCCGATTCGTGAGGAGCATCAGGATCTTCGAGGAAGCTGCGCTTGTACGGAGACATGTCGATGGCCTTTGGGAATTCGAAGCGGTCATTCACCTTGTTCTCGCCTTCGCTCATGGTTTCGTAGGCGAAGCGCTTGAGGCAGAACGTCAGGTTGTCCGGCACTTCTTCGAGGCAGGCTCGCCTCATCGCATTGACATAGCGTCCGCCGTTCTCGGGGTTGCACGTCACACATCTGTACTTGTTCGCCCCCTCCATCGGCTCTCCTTGAACAAACTCGTCCAGGCTTTCATTCAGGCTCGCCTTGTTCTTGACCGTCATCGGCAGTTCGGTAAAGGATTCTGTAGTGGGCGAAACGTGGCCGCAGTCTCCCCTGATCTGGGTGACCGACTTTCCCGTGAAGAAGCGCGCAAGAGCATTCTTCGCATCAGCATCTCCCATGCCTTCTTCCAGACGGCTGAAGAGCGTCGTGTAGAATGTGTGGACGTCCTCTTGGTTCCCAATTTGAACACCCAGTGCAACGGCCAACGGCTCTGTATCCACCACTGGAATTGCACTGCTCTGCATGCGCGCGAACAAGTCTTGGACCTGCCGTAAGATGCCAGCCTGCCCTCGATTCGGCCTCGGGCGTTCAAGGATGAACTTTCGGAACTGCAGATTGGCGAACAGCTGTTGCAAAAGGGAATTCATGTAGCAGGTCATCCCAAGATTCTGCAATCCCGCAGCGACCCAGGGCTCTCGCCACCACTCGTCGTACGCGGGTTGCTTGCGAGCCATCTCGCGGGGAGACTCATGGGCCACATCGTAAGTGCTGTCCACCAGGCGTTCGTAGTCGATGATTGGGCAGAATGCCGCGCGGATCAAGCTGTACACGAGCGCTCGAGTCTGTTCATGCACAAGCACGGGAGGACTGGACTCTCCAATATTGCTGTAGTCGAACAAGAAAGTATGCGCCAGCTGCCAGGCCAGGCCTTCCAGCTTCAGGAGGTTCCCACAGCTCTTGTATGATAGGACTGAAAATCTGAGAAGACTGAGAAGGCCAAACAACGCTTTGTCAACCACGGGGAACCCGGGAGATTCCTGAGGCCGATACTTCCACAGCTGAGGCTTGAGGGTGGTGTTGATCAGAATGAGCAGCTGAGGTTCTTCCAGCTTCAATTGTAAAAAGACCTCGGCCAGAAGGGTGAAGTATTGCTCCGACAGAGGCCCAGCAGCCATGGCGTGTGGGATGGTTGGGATCAACGTGTCCCAATATGCCTGTGATACTTCGTCGGAGATTGACGAGTCGCCACAAACTCCGCCGATACATGCTGCCATCCCTTTGGACAAGGACTGGTTGTGGCTCAGAAGCATGGTTCGATGGAGATCGGCACTTTCGGCATGTTTTACGACGGAATCCCATCGTATTTCACCTGCCCTACAGGTCTCCAGGAGTGCTTTGTATAAGTGGTGTGCCAGGGTCGCCCAAGTCGACAGAACGTCTGGCGATCGGGCTGGTGCTGCTGACTGCGCCATGCTGGTGTAGATGAGTTCCACGATCCTCGAGACGAATGCATCGTCATTGTCGATGAGTACAGTGCTGTCGTCCTTTGCACTGGCCAGTTCCAAGTCCTTGGCGTGGTTTTGGCGGCTACCCTCGCCATATGGAGTCTGCTTCACCACATTCTGGAGGAAGTTATACAGGCAGGTTGCGACATTGAGCATGACCATTGGCTGTAGAGGGCGAGATGCATCCTGTATGAAGGATACTAGTAGTCGAATAGATCTGGAGATGAAACCTTGATCGGCGACACCGAGCCGGACAAAGTCGAGCAGATGACTCTGAAGAACAGCCAGGGTGAATTTACATCTCCACGGCTTGTCGTTCGGGAAGAGCTCGAGCGGAGATGCTGATGGCGATATGACTTTCGATCGGGCCTGGGCGGGAGTTCGTACTTGACACAAGAAGGTGAATGCCTGTGTCGAGTTAGCGTATTCAACACGCAGCTGCGAGTGGAAACGATACGAACCTGCTGAGCGATCGCATCTGGGCCATCCAAGAAGGACTCGAGCGCTCCATATTGCAGCATGACCTCCCGCTCGACAGAACTCGAGCAAGCCAATACCTCTTCCAGATTCGCATCGCTGGTATACCTCGGGCGGATCATGAGCACGCCCGATTGTGAGATCTGCGCTTCGTTGAGCGTTTGATTCGGCTGGAGCGAAATCTCCCTCCCACCCACAATCACTCTGTTGTCAGCGGCTGCAGTCTTTCCCGGCAGCTTTGCGATCAGCTCCGATACTTTCGTTGCCTCGCTCGCGCGCACCTGCACGGACTGAGGCTGAGGGCGTGGTCCGTAGACTTGAGCAGTGAACTCTATTGGTTTCGATCCATCCTGAATGTCGTCAAGTACCAAGGCGTCTAGTGCCTCGGCGCCGGCATAGACTGATGCCGTTGCGTTGCTTTTGACGAGTAATTCACCGAGAAGGAAGATGTCGCGCGAAAACTGCAGGTCGGCGACACTTGATTCGTTTGTACGGAGGAGCCGCTCGACATCGTTGGTGAAGCCTTGGATGTGGTCATGGACGAATCTGCATTGGCAAGGTACCACCAAGTCAACCGCAACGTCAATCTCACGCGGGAAGGCGAAGAGCAGGTCAAGGATCAACCCCACGGACATTCCAACGACTTCGCTTTCCTTAGAGGTGCGTGCGACCCGAACGAGAGCCTTCCACAATGGGAGGTCGAGCAGACCGATGGGTGCAGACTTCAGACTTGTCGTGTTGAATTCGGCCTTCAGTGAAACATCGATGAACTCGATAAGTTTGGGCGTGACGAATCGAGCGTCCAACAAGGAGACTTGCTTCTGCATATAGCTCTCCCATAGCCGGTTGGCGGCAGAAACCTCACTCTTGGCTTGAGTGAGGTCATTGAGGACGGACCATGCTTTGTCGCGGGCGATATTCGACAACGCCGACTCGCCAAAGACATTCTCGAACAGTCGGTCTTCTGTTGTCTCGTCAGGATATTCAGGCGTGAGAGACATGAGACGGAGAATGCATTCTAAGCGGACGATGACATGGCTGATGCGGTTGATTGCTAGCCCAGTCTGCTTGTTGCGATGCACAAAATCACAAAGCTCATCAATGGCGGCGTCCAGCGGCAGCATTGCAAGGATGCACGCGGATTCCGATGCTGGCATACCGGCGCTTAGGCAGATGTTCAAGACCTCCACAGAAGGCGTGGCATGCTGAGAGTGCTGTTGAATCTCCGGAATGCACTGCTGATACATCTGCATCTTGTGATCCAGGCTGATTTCGGACTCGGTGAAGCGAGAAATCACCGCGATTGTCAAGTGACGCAGCTCGTCTCTTGTCGCACTTGGCTCCCAATCGTTCGAGGCCCTCAGAATGTCCATTGCAGTACACACGAGAGTCAAGTCAAAAGACTTTCCGGTCCGCGCCGGATCCAAACTTTGCAGCGCCTGGAACAGTCGATCGAGGAAAGTGACAGAGTCCGAGCCCAGGCGCTCGACGGGAGTGGTGGCGTACTTTCGCGCGAGATACACCAGATTGGAAGCATCGAGAAACCTGAGCAGACTGTCGAGCACGATGAACGATGCTTTGACAAAGTCGGCCTCGACGCTGGTAGAACACGCACCCCAGATGATGTCGGACTCGGCGGGGGTGTATGCCCCAGTTGCGGCAAGGAAGCAGACAATCTCAGCACTGTGGCTGACCAAGCCAGCGCGAGACTCCGGTCCGAAGATGTAGGCCGTGATCTCGTTTTGACGCAGGAAGCGAACAGCATGCTGGAGGGCAGGATGATCTACGCCGTCGCCACTCGGTCTCTCCATGGTGTACAGGGCCACGAGCTGATTCTTCAGCAGTGTGATGCCGATGTTTCTGATGTCCATGATGCCACTACGCAGAAAGGCATGATGGCTTTGTAGCGCCCAAGAGACGGAGAGAAGCTCGGCGAGAATACTGCGATCCTTACGGCACGCGTGCAACAAAGCCTCTTCGACGCCCATGGAGGCCGGGGTGTGTGACAGAACGGCATCTGCATCTGTATCGGCGCGGACGAAGTGCTTGTACAGCTGACCGATGGCAGGGATATCGTTGGCGTAAGCGTAGGTGTTGAGAATGCCGAATGTCGTAAGCACCAAGTCGGCGTGGAAACAGGAGTATAGGGCGCGAGGGTGTTTGGCGCAGATGGCGGGCAGGATGATGGTGTTGATCACGCACAAGACCTCCTCGGCCGCTCGACTTGGGTAGGGGTGGCGGTGGCGAGGGAAGTGGACGGCGTTTCCAAAGAACTGCAGAGCGTAGTGCATGTAGAGCCAGGAATCTTTGATGTCACGCATGGCCCCTCCGAGCGCCGACATGATGGTCGCCAGCTCCGTGATGACATCCTCGCTGAAGTAGAGTGTTCGATTCTTGCGTACACTCGCTTCCACATCGCATCTGAAGTGGTCCTTGATGCATTGGGCCAGTTGGGTGTCATCAAGCAGCAGGCGGTACGCCAGCAAGACATACCACAACATCGGCAGATGCTGCTCTTTAGTGGAAGCTTGGGCTGAATCGCGTCTTGACTGTGCACCCTTGATGGCGTGGGGCAGCAGGGGTAGAATACGTAGGGTGAGGCGAAACATGCCGTGGAAAAACCCATCGAACGCACGCGACATGTCCCGGGGGTCGATGGGTGCGTCAACATCTGATAGACCCCCGGAATCTAGAAGGTGGAGGGACAGTAAGGCCAGCTCGGTGAAGAAGTCGACCTCCTGGTCGAGGTAGTGTGAGAACCACTGGTCGGGTTCGTTCTCGGTGTCCGCCAAGTGGGCTTTGATGGCAGCTCCGAGCGATGAGAAGCGCTCGAGATCGACGGCGCTGCCGCGCGCGATTTCGACGCGCATTTCTTTGAGCTGATCGTAAGGAGGGCCGGAGTCCATGTCGACGCAGTCAAAGACAGCGCAGTAGAGGGGCATGCTGAAGTCTGGACCATCCTGGATTTCGATGGCGTTGGTGAAGGTGGTACCGATTTCTTCGGGCTCGGAGATTTCGATGAGGAGCGCGTCGGTGGGGGAGGGAGTAGTGGCTTCCTGCGGATTGAGGCGTTGCTTCTTGCGAGCCAGGTCGGGATTGGCGTCGACGGCGGAATCGCGAGGCGACGAGGAGGAGTGGGGATCGGCCATGGCGGCTGAAGGGGCAGCAACGGCAGAGGCCGAGGGGGGAAAGGGAAGGTTATGATGACATGGATGGTATCACGCAGGTGCCAAGGGAAGGGGTTGAAGGCAGATGCGCAGGCGTTTGTTCGGGGGCGGGAAGGAAGTGAAGGGTAGGGGGTGGTTTGCTAGGCAGCCGCAGCCTTGTGGAACCGTTGTAAGCTCCCGCGTTTGGCGCGAGATTCACTTCGCCAGCCGCGACGGAGAGGGCGCGTGAGGCGCCGGCGGCAGAGCTGAGGGAGAATGCAAGAACAAATGCCCGATTCGCCAGCGAGGTGTCCAACGTGAAGGGCAGGAGTGGAAGAAGTGGTCAAGGAGGCATATTGCGCTGCAAGACGTGAGGCGTGTGTGGGTGGAGCTTGAACGGAACGGGAAGGGAAGGAACGTTTGAACCTTCCATGACCTGCTTGTGCGACGGGGAAGGTGGGGCTGACGTAATTGCCTGGCACGGGATTCCGGCCTGAGGCTGCCCATTCACCCTCGGGCATGGAGCGACGATTGAGGCCTCAGGCAGTGCACTGGCTGTCCCGCAACAACGATGCTTTTGAAGCAGAGTGCCATCTACAGACGCATGTGTCTTATACCAACGAGCAACGCTGATCCCGATTGAATACCAATTGCTCCTTATCCAGGTACCTTGGTGGGAAATCAGAACAAAGATCGGATCGCCCATCTTCACTCTGCTTTCCGCTTTCGGCCGGCTTCCGCCAGCGACACCTCTCCCTTCGCGTAGGAATTGTTCTGTCACGTCCATCGTCTGTTCATCCCCACCCTTAGACGCTTCCGACCCCCTTCTCTCCTCTCGAGTCGCGTCAGAATTCTCTCCAGGCCATCCTCAAAGAAGACAGCACCCCACCCCGCTCCCAACACTTCGATCGAAACTGCGAGCGCGAATGGCCGTTACCCGATGACTTGACTACATTCTGACCTGTCATGCCATGCGCCCCCCCACCCTGCCTTGATCCGACACCTCCAATGCCACAGCCTCCATGAGCTGGAACCTCCTCGAGCGCTTCATCGAGTCTGAGCACTTCAACAGGGACCCCTCTCTGACTGTTGCCTACTTGGCGTGAGCCCCTCCTGTGCCTCCGTCTAGCACTGCGCCTGCATCGCTAACTGCTCCTCCTTCTTCCACAGTCGCTATGCCGAACATGTCGGGATTCACTACGTGCTCAGCTCCAAGCTGCGCCAGTTCAGCTATGAAGAGATTGAATTTTTCCTGCCGCAGTTGTGCCACCTGCTCATCTCCATCGACAATGAATCCATGGCTCTCGAGGAGTTCATCGTGGACTTGTGTGAAGAGTCGGTGAATGGTGCTTTGCTGGTATGCACAGTCTGATCGTCATTCTCCCCCGCTCCACCGCTAACACCCTCCCCAAGACGTTCTGGCTGCTCCAAACCTACCTCCACGACCTCTCCGCCCAGCCGGCCTCGGACGCCTTTCGAACGTGCCGGCGACTCTACAACAAGGTGCAGCACATAGTGTTTGGGGGGACCGAGTCGGTGAGAAGAGAGCGGATACAGGACAATACATTGCCCGTCACCGTGCTTTCAAGCCTGGTGCTGGCCAGCGTGGGAGTGCCGCTCATTGCCCAACATGTCGCCCCTCTTGCCGTGGCACAGGCCCGAAAAGTGCGGCCCGTTGAGGATGGGATGGCGGACCTTCTTCCTCAAACTCCAACTCTAGCAAGGAGTAATACTGTAGGCGCGCGGCCAAGCGCTCCCCGACCAAGGCGTCAGGTCGGTGCAGGCAGTTCCGGGGATGGCGCGACGAGACGAAGTCGAAGACCTACGCCTATCAACGTCAATGGAACGGATGGAAATGGCAGTCAGCCGTCCACGCCCAAAGGTAACCCCAGGTCAGACGGAGCACATCGGCCGGACCATCGACGCTCGCTTGCTCTTGCCCATAACAACAGCGGGACCAGCCTCACCATATGTCTACCCAGCCCCCGACTCTCTCGACTGTCCACTAGCACTCCCTCATCTCCCGGTGTACCTAGACGGACGAGTGAAATGTGGCAGCGGCAAGCGCAGGGCCCTCGCCAAGGGCCGGCTGCCATGTCGACGGGACAAAAGACTCGCCTCCTGCGACAGAACTACTTCAGAAGTGAAATGCAGTTCCTGACCGCACTGGAAGGCATCTCTTCGCGTCTGGTGGTCGTACCCAAGCCGGCACGGTTGAGCGCCCTCCGCGCGGAACTGGCGCTCGTCTCCCAAGATCTGCCCGCGGAGGTGGACATTCCTGTCATCTGTCCGCCGGACCTGTTAGACGGCTTCGCTAGTCGCAGCAGACACCACCGCATCGTGCGATTGAACCCAGCCGAAGCGACCAGCCTGAACAGTGCAGAGAAAGTACCGTACTTGCTGATGCTGGAAGTGCTGAAGGAAGACTTCGACTTTGATCCCGAAAGCGAGAGCAACAATCAGCTTCTTGCAAATCTGGTCTCGGAAACCAGCAGACAGAAACGAAGGCTTTTTGACACGTCCAATGCGACGAGAGAGGCCATCTTGCAGTCGCCAGAAGACGTGCAGGCAGGAGACAGTGTGTTCGAGCCAGCCAACGGCGATCTGTCCAGCGCGGATCTCCTGCAAACCCTGGAGGGCTATAGCGGCGGCAGCACACCAGGCGACTCGGCCATGCGGTCCCATCTTTCCACGTGGAAAGAGAGTCCAAGAATGAGCGCAATGTCGTCAGCCTTTCTTGCCTTTCCTAACCAAATCGACCCCATCACCGGACGTTCCAGCAGCCCTGGCCCGCGTCCATCGCCGCAAAATCGCCCGCAGAACCTCAATCAAGCAGAAGTGTCGGCCTTGGCAGATCACATGCGCACGGCCTCGCAGATGCTGGCCCAGCTCGAGTTGAGTGCTGCGAAACGGCCCAAGACCGAGGTGGCAGCTATCAAGGCGAAAATCATCGCCAGCATGCAGTCACTAGAAGAGCAGAGCTTTCTTGTAGACGACACTGTGCAGTCCACCAACTTTGACGCAATGGTGGCCAAGGCGAGTGAAGAAGCTGCTCACACCGATCCCTCGCAATTCCCTGACGAAGCACTGGGCCCGACCGCCGATCCAAAACTCAACACGCGCCGCGGTGCAGATCGGATGGAGAACGACGCCAAGACCGGCGGCATCCAACGCAAAGGCGATCGCGACGACCCCTCCGCGGCCATGTTCGGCGAAGCATGGGAGGATAAGAAGGAGCGCATCCGACGATCGTCCCCCTACGGCTGGGCCAAGAATTGGGATCTCGTGTCCGTGATCGTCAAAACAGGCGCGGACCTGCGACAAGAAGCCTTCGCCTGCCAGCTGATTGCCGTCTGCTCGAAGATCTGGACGGAGCACAAAGTGCCAGTGTGGGTGAAGAACATGCGCATCCTCGTGACGGGCGAGTCATCCGGGCTGATCGAAACCATCACCAACGCCGTCTCGCTGCACTCGATCAAACGCTCTCTGACCATCGCCTCCATGACCACCAGCACCAACGCCAAAAAACGCTTCGCCACCCTCGCCGACCACTTCAGCAAAACCTTCGGCGCGCCCGACTCGCCCCCCCACCAGAAAGCAATGGACTGCTTCGTGCGCAGCCTCGCGGCCTACAGCATCGTCTCCTACGTCCTGCAGCTCAAGGACCGGCACAACGGCAACATCCTCATCGACTCCGACGGCCACATGATCCACATCGACTTTGGGTTCATGCTGTCCAACTCGCCCGGCAACATGGGCTTCGAAGCGGCGCCTTTCAAGCTGACGTTCGAGTACATCGAGCTGCTCGGCGGGCTGGAGAGCGAGGCGTTTGCGCAGTACAAGGAGCTGATGAAGGATGCGTTCCAGGCGCTGCGGCGCGAGGCGGAGCGCATTGTGACGCTCGTGGAGCTTATGGGCCGGGAGAGCAAGATGGCGTGCTATGGCGGCGGCTTGCCCAGCGTCGTGTCCGCGCTGCGCTCGCGCTTTGTGCTGGAGAAGAGTAAAGAAGAGGCGCGCGAGTGGGTGGAGGATTTGGTGGCCAAGAGCGCGTACTCCTACTACACGCGCCTTTACGATACGTTTCAATATCGCACGCAGGGGATTTACTAAGGGGGATTTTTTGCTAGAGCATATTGGATTGGCGATGAGCGTTGGAATAGACTAGACTTGTTTGTGGAGGATGTCAATGCACCACGCTACGGGCGTCTATCATCTCACTCGTTCCGTGTGACCTTCAACCAATCTTCACGTAGTTCGCCGGAAAGGCACCGGTGCGGCCCTTCAGCTCTCCATCCCACCAGTCTTCCTGGCTGTCCGTCTTCTTGACCACCCGAATTCTATCACCTTCTCTAAATGTCAGGTCTCCCGCGCTCTGCCCCTCAAAATCATACAGCGCCGTCACGAATTGCGATTGCACGCTAGGCAGTCGCTTCGCAGGCACCGGCGGCGGGGGCTTCTTCTTCGCGGCGGCGATGGAGGCGGCGCTCGACGCGATGGAGTTTGCAGAGGGGCGGCGGCTGTTGGCCGCATTGGAGAAGTAGTCGTTGCCTCCGAGGCCGGATTGAGGGGTGGGGAGGGGTGAGGCGCCGTTGGCGGGGGTTTGGTAGCGTGAGGGCGGCGTCGCGGCTGTAGTTTTGTAGTCGTAGGGCGGTGGGGATTTGATGTCGTGGGTTCCGTTGGTGGGGATGGAGGAGCTGGATGGCATGCGGAGTTTGTTCATTGTGGGGACGCCCGAGGAGGAGAGTGGTGAAGGTGTTCGGCCGGGTCGAGGTGGTCTGGGAGGGGCCAGTTCGTCCTGTTCGCTGGCGGCGTCGGGCGCGTCGTGAGGACTGCTGGAGAGGCCGCTGCTACTAGGCAGACCGGCGGGCTTTGTGTCCTTCTTGTGCAAACTACTTTGCAAGCCCGTGTGCAAGCCCGTGACCTTATTTCTGAGCCCAAGCCCGGTGACAGTACCTTTGTCTTTATCTGCTGGTAGGCTCATCGACATGTGAGGAGTCTTGCCCCGCGCAATCACCGTGATGCCGCTCTCGAGCTCCTTTCGGAAGGCGGTGAACTCGCTCTCGAATGTGCGGACGATTTCCGAGTCTGACGGAGCGGGATTGGCAAAGCCGTACTTCCGCGTATACTCGTCGAGGTAGGTGTACAGCTGGCCGACAAGGGTAGTGTGCACGCGCACTTGCTGCTCGAGCAGGGGCGGAAGCAGGCTCAACACACCGGCGGTCACGTCGGGGAAGGTTTGCCTGACATGGTCATCGGCAGACTGGTAGTCGATTTTCGACTGGGCAAGACTGGCTTCTTGGCTCTGCAGATTCGCCTCGTCCTTTGCCGATCGATTGTCTTTCTTGCGAGTGTGCTCCACGCGGCTGAGGTATCGCTCGTAGTCGAGCTTCATGTTGTCTCGGTGCTTCAGGGTCTTGTGCAAGAGCGTGGTGCGTTGTTTGGCCTCCTCTGCCGGCCGAATGAGTTTGTAGGAGATGGTCTCGATCTCTTGCGCCAGCTCTGCCCTCTCCTCGGAGTACTCCTTCTGCAAGCCCAAACATTTCTGCAGGTAGTTGTCAGGCGTCTGCTCGTCGCGGTGTCGGCGTTCCGTTGTCTCGCCCGTCGCTTCGATGGGCTTGTAGAGGACGGCGAAGGCTTCGGCGGTATCGTACTGGAACTTGAAGATGTCTTCCCACGCATTGCGCCAGATTATAAGGTCTTTGATCAACTGCGGAATGGGGTGAGTGGGTTGTTGATGTGTTGGGTCGAACGCATCTTACCCTCTCCAACATGTCATCCACAGCCTTGAAGTCCGCTATCACCGAAGCCACGTCAGCCTCGTTGGCCGACCTCTTCATAATCCGCCCGAAATTCCTCTGTACGCTCTTCATCTTGGAGGTCGAGGGGTGGGCAAGGACGAGAGGCGGTGAATGGCCAAGATGCTCAACCAACGCTGTCCAATCGACGAGCACAACCTGTTGATCGAGTGGCGAAGATGAACGATGCGTACGCTGGCCAGGAAGGGATGAATGGGTGGATTTGTGGGTGGGTTAGACGAAGGGAGAGATGTGTTGGAGGTGGTGGAAAGTCGCCGCAGTTTCAGGCATTAAGGCGGAGTTGCGTGCGCCACTTCCCGCGCGTTTCAGAATCGGCGAGCTCTGACGCGTCCCCGGCCAAGGCGTGGCGCAGGCAACGCTCGTCGCCAAAAGAAGTAATTACTTTATTTGTCTGCAATCCACTCCACCCTCCGCTCTCCCCTCAGCCTCGCACCGAGATGGAGCAATTCATCCTCTTCGGCGACAGCCTAACCCAGCAAGCCTTCTCCCACGAGCATGGCGCTCTGGGCCCCGCGCTGACGGATGCCTACATCCGCAGGCTCGACGTCATCAACCGTGGCTTCTCGGGCTACAACACCACCCAGGCCCTGCAGGTCCTCCCTCTCTTCATGCCCAGCCCATCCCGAGCGCGAGTCCGTTTCTTCGCCATCTGGCTCGGAGCCAATGATGCCAGGCTGCCCAACACCCCGGGTGGCCCTCAGCAGCACGTTCCCTTGGAGCAGTACAAGGCCAATCTGAAGGCCATTGCCACTCACCCCTGCGTGCAAGCGCACCAAGGTATCCGCGTCCTGATCATTACCCCGCCTCCCGTGGACGAGAGAATGATGCTAGACGTGGATGGCGTTGCTCGAGATGGCCAGTCCCCGCCACGACGCACGAGTATGACCACCTCTCTCTACGCCGCGGCAGCTTGCGATGTCGGCGCAGCGCTGGGTATTGCCGTCTTGGACCTATGGCATGCCACGATGCTGCGTATCCCAAACTCCATCGTCAAACGCGACAACGCCTACTACTACGCGGGCATGCTCCATGTCGCGGAGAGCGCGAGCCTTCAGAAGCTCCTGCGCGACGGTCTGCATTTGAGTCGCGCGGGATACGAGGTCTGTTTCCAAGAACTGATGAGATGCATCGACCGGCTGTGGCCAGATCAGATCCCTGACCAGCTACCCTTCGTCTTTCCCCGCTGGGATGACGAGCGGGCCTGGATAGCTACCAGGTGAAAGTGCGGCAGCGCTCCCTCTGACCTTCTGCTTCCCGTTCAAGCTAAGTTCAGTGCGCTTTCAATCCACTTCACTAGTCTTGGTTGCGTTAACGGATGGCGGTGCCTCCAACAACGCCTGCTGGAATTGGCTCGGTATTCGCCAGTGTCGAAAGCTGGGTTGCCAAGGTCGACGACCCCGATCGTGCTAGCAACTCACCAGGCCCGGTGGCTTTGTCGTTGTCACCACCGCATGCTTCTTCACATCTTGCGGCTGTGGCAGCAGAAACAGTGAAGAGAGAAATGCTGCGCAAAAGCACAGGTGGGAATTGCGCCATACAGCGTGAAAGGATGGGAAAGCACGTGCAATGCATTAGGCGCACGTGACGCTCTTGATCCATAGCTGTCTATCCTCCACCAGCAGCATACTGGCTCCTCGCTCTTAACCGCTCTCCATACCGCCAGAAGATCCACGGCGCCGGAACCCCAATGACAATCGCCACCCCAGCGAGAACCGTATTCCCAAAGCCATAGCCCAGCCCATTGTAAAGAGCGGGCGCGAAGAGCGGAAAGCCGAAACCCGCTATGCTCCGGATGAAGGAGATGGCGGCGATGGCGCTGGCCGCGTACTTGGTGTAGCTGTCGATGACGTAGCTTTGGACTGCGAGGAAGATTGCATGGTCAGTTTTGCTGTACTTGCCATGACGGGAAGAAGGAATCGCGTGACTTACTGCCTTGATACCCAGTGATGGTGGCTGCTGCGAGGATCCCCGCGCCAATGTCCGGCATCAACCAAAACACCCGCCCTTGCGCGCTCCATCCGTACCACAGCAAGCCGATGGGAAGCAGTACGGCGCAGGGAATCAGCATAGGGACACGGAACTCCGGCCGGCCGACTCCATTATTGCGCGCCTTTAGTCGACGGTACATCCAATCGTTCGCGCGCGCTGAGACTTGCGCGCCAACGAAGTATCCTAGTCTTCGAAATTGTCAGCAGGCGGTCCTTTTGAGAGCCTCTGGTCGACTGCCGACTTACCCTAAGGCGATGTAGTGCAAGCCAGAGATGCCAACGGATTCGTGGTAGTATTTGGGCGATGTGTAGAGGGTGGAGAAGGAGGTGATGACGAGGTAGACGAGGCCGTAGAGGTAGGCCATGTAAAGGCTCATGACCATGATGATTGGCTGCGTCGACAGAAGCTTGAAGGGTCGGACGAGGCTGTGCTCGATCTTGTGGAAGAGAGACTCGACCACGAGCTCGGCGTGCAGGAGCTCGTTGCCGGTTTCCTTTCTCAGCTTCTTCACTTTCTTCGCGAGCAATTTCGGAGCCCACGTTTCTTGCAGGAAGAAGAGTCCAGAAATTTGAATCGGAACGCATGTAATCGACACCGCCCAAAAGGCCCAGCGCCATGTCGAGTATTCTGCGATGAAGCCGCCAACGACCGGACCTGGAGTAAATTATTAGCGAGGACCTTTGTATGCTCTACCGGGACCCCCTTACCGAGTGCAGGCCCCAAGAGGGGCGCAACCGAGTAAATAGCAATGGCCTTGCCCCTTTGTTCGGGAGGGAACAGATCAGCCAGCACACCACCCTACATTATCGCTGTCAGTGGATGTCCATCAATCGTAGACGGTCGGGTAGGGATACGTACACCAACACCGAGCGGCGCCGAACCTCCCAGTCCAGCAAGAAAGCGAAAGACGAGGATCTCCGGAATAGTCTGCGCGAACCCACACACCAGGTTGAAGATGATAAAAAACACATTCGCTAGCTGCAAGACGGGTACTCTGCCAAACACTTCGCTGAGAGGACCCAGAATCATTGGCCCGATGGCGTAGGCGAGGATGAAGATCGACAGAACCATGTTCTCGAGAGTCGTGCCGTGGATGTTCAAGTCGCGGGCGATTTGAGGTAACGCCGGGGCGACGAGGGTACTTGCGAGCGGACTGATGAAAGTGAAAGACGACACGACAATCACCGCCGCCCACTTCTTCTTCTGCGGCCAGTTCTTGGGGTTCTCGGGGTCGTTGGTGCCCTGCCAGGTGACCAGGTGGGGATCGCGGTCTGCTCCTTTGGAGCGAGTCGAGGTTCCGGTGCGTTGACGATTGAGCGGCGGCCCTTTCTCGAGCTTGGCGTTGTCGCCGCTTCGATCGTCGCCGGGGGATTCGCCGTCGTGCTCGGACTGGTGGCTCTCGACTTCTTCCAGCCCTTCTGCCTTCTCGGTCGCTTCTTCACTTTCCGTCTGCTCATGGCTAGAAGTGGAGACCTCACGATCGGCGAGGTCGTTGAACGCGGCCGCCTCGGCGCCCATGTCCCATGCGGCAGAGTCCAGGTAGGTGCCGTGGTGATCGGGGAAGCCAGAGGAGTAAATTCGATGCAGATGCGTGTCCGGACTCGGCGGTCTGGAGCGACTGCGTGTGCGCCATGATTTTACGGAGCGTGGTCGATGCCGTGAACTGGATCTCGATGCTGGCGCTTCACTGGTGTGGGCGGATTGTGTTTCTGCTTCGTCCGCGGTCGACATGCTGCTCGCCGGAAAAGAGGTAGACGCGCTAAATGGGAGTGTGCAAATACATCAAACAAGAAAGGAAGCGGAAGAAAGGGAGGATATATCCAGAGTCGGAGGACGGAGTAGTGAGTGCCGATGTGTGCATAAGCCGTCGCGTTGCAGACTCATGACGCGGGCTTTCTAACCCGATGTTGGGTGTAAAAGTAGCGGCATCGGATAGAGAAAACAGAGAAAACCAACAGTCCACGGATTTTAGAGTCGCGGTTAAGGTGGTGGTGGCGGCGACCTCGGCAGGCAGCGTTGACGTCGCTTCCTCTTTTCGACCACCATTTTTTACGCGCTCGGCGCCTGACTGGCTGGGATTTTGGGCCTTGTGGGGACCATCCGTGCCGTTTCCGGCAAGCACCTGTTGGAATCACCGACGAGGCTTCAGCGAAGACGGAATAAGAAGCTGATCACGTCCACACAAGTTGTCGATGACATTGCCTCTGGTTTGGCATCAAGACACTTCTGGAAGCCGATTCTCGCGGCACCTCTATGAACGCTGGCACAGTCCCGTTTCGCACGGTGACAAGTTGGGCTGTATAGACAAACCTGGGCTGCATATGGAGCGGAGACGGAATGAACTCCTCCGATGGAGTTGGCCTATCTCCATTAAACATCCACCAGCGCACGAGCTGACGCCGGGTGTCGGCCACTCGAAGGAATGAAACATCAGGAAGAGTAACGGGCCAGCCGGTTTTGCACACTTGCTAGGTTGACTGGCACTCGGCAGTGTGTTAGGTGGCAGTTCTCCAAGCTATTGACCGTCGTCTCCAGCTGCCGGCCCATCTTTGCGCTGCTCCTTTCCATATTGTGCGAGTGAGAGCTGCTGGTCCCAGGCGAAATGTAATTGTCCGAGACATCTACCAAAAGCAACCCGATCAAGATCAAAGCACATTCCTAGGCCCAACGATCCGCCTCTCCTCCACCCACACCCTCACCGCCTTTCCCTTGTGCATCTGATCAAACATCTCATCCTCCCCCACCTCCTTCACGCACCCAGCCTCCGCAGCCTGCTTCTCCGCCAGCCTGGCGCCCATATGCGTCGTCGCGGACTGAAAAGTCAGCCGAACAAACTCCTTCGCCGCCCGCTCATTCGCCAGCTCCAAAGCGGTGTAGACCGATTCATTCACGGGCTCGACGGCGGCGGCAGTCATGCCGGCCTCCTCTCCAAATAAGTCGTCCTTTTCTCCGCTAACGCCGGTGGCGCGCATCACGATATAGGCGGTCCGTTGGATCAGAGATCCGCTGTTTCCTGGCAGTTTGCCGTCCTGGTATGTCCGCAGGAACTTCTCCACTCTCACCTCCACTCTGCCCTTCTCTTCGTTCTCCAGGGTTAGGAACGCTCGGCCTTCGATAGCCTGATGTTTGAGCTGGAACCCGTCGCTCTCATCGATGATGGTCGAGTGATGGGCTGGCGTGCGGAAAATCGCTTTACTCGCAGCCTCGTTGGCTTCGGCGAGCTCGTCGCACGCGTCGCCGTATGCGATCCAGGGCTGATCGTTGATGCAATTCCCTTCGTCCATCTCTTCTTTGCTGATTTGTCGTCTTGCCACTTGGTACACAAAGTGGCAATAGTCTTCGTTGGTCAGGCTGGCTGCCTCCACCGTTGCTTCTTCTTGCTCCTCTTGCATCATCTCGACGTACTGTTGGATGAAATGCTCGTAGGCAGCTTGATTGAGCGTCTTTCCGCCGGTTTGTCGACGTTCATCATTTTGCGGCTGATTTTGAGCGAGTGGACTTGATTTTCCAAGCTCTTGGGGAACCTTTGAATCAACGATGGACGTTGAAGAAGGGCGTGAGCGAGGCAACTGCTCAAGGCATGTCTTACCACTGTCCGCGGCGGGAGCGTCACTCTGCCAGGGATCTTTATGACGCTTTTCTTCTTTCACATCGCTCGGGATCTTCGCATTCAACGCCTTTCTCGCCACTTCATCGCCCGAACGAGCAGCCACAACCAGCGCGGAGTCGATGCCCTGCTCGACCAATGCGTCACTGATCTGTCTATACCTCTTCCTGAACGTTGTACCGGTACGACGCTTCCCAAATTCTTGCTCGGCCAGATCCGCGATGCGACTCCACTCGAGCCCTTCGACATCTCTCCAGTGCATCGTTCGCAGGTCCTGCGATGTGATCTCGCCAAGGTTTCTCTCGTGCTTTTTGTTAGAGGCGTTGCGCTGGTTGCTCTGCATGATCTTTCTCTGCCCAGCCAGGCTGTTGAGAGACATCGGCCCTGAGGGCGCGGGCTCTGCGGGGGCTGGCACAGGGAGAGCTTTGGCGTGATCGTTCATCGCGGTCGTGGAGACGCTGGTATCTTCGATAACCAGTTCGCCGTGCTTTCGCCCTACAGCTTGCCCATGCCCGACCGCCGACTCCTTCGGTGTGCAGGCAGCTTGTATGCTCGTACCGCCCTGCTTGCCCACTCCAGCTTGTTGATGCCCAACTGCCGTCTCGGTCGGCATCGCAGTTGTTGGGATAGTCGGTGGGATGGCTGCTTGAGGCTGCCTCTTCATCGTATCGAGAGTTTTGTTAGCAGCAGCTTGCAAGATCTCCAGAGCAGACCGTCCCGCATCCTCAATACTCTGAGCCTTCTTCTGCTCCGCCTGCTTCTTCAGCAGCAGTTCTCGCTGCGTAGCCAGAGCCTTTTGCTGCGCCTCATGCCGCTGTTGCTGCGCGGCATGCCTTTCACCCTCTCGCTTCTCGAAGTCAGCTCGGCGCTGCTCATCAGCTTTTCTCCTAGCTTGTTCGGCGTGCTGGCGATGCTGTTGGGCGGCTCGCCACGCATCTTCGGTTTGCTTCGCAGCTTGAGCCGCTTTTGTCTGCTTGCCGTTCTTCCCGTCTTCCCTATGACCGGTCGGGATTATCGAAGGGCGTATTCGGACGGGCTCAGGGTGCTTGATGTGCTCGTTCACAGGCGTTCTGAGTCCATTTTCTTTCGGAGTCGAAACGAGAGAGCTCGACTGTGTCGGGTGTCTCTCGCTGCTTTGAAACTCCTGCGACTTTCGAACCTCCTGCGACTTTCGAGCCTCCTGTGACTTTCGAACCTCCTGCTCTCTTCTCTGCAACGCCTCATGTCGAAGCCGACCGCTTTCCGACTTTGCAGCCTCCTTTGTGCCATCTTGAACGTCTGGAGTTGGGGGTGGAGGCGGTGGTGGTCGCGGCGGCGGCGAAGGTTGTTGAGCTGTGGCCTCCATTCCATCCTCATTTTCGGATTCCTCCTCGAAGAAGATCTTCCGGGCCTGGGTCAGGTTTCCATTGGTCATCGAATGTAATGGTTTGGATGGCTGCGAGATGCCGTTCAGATCGGTGGAAGGGCAGTGTTTCTGGGGCTCGATAAGTCTAGAGCCCACCGGCAATGTTGAAAACAGCGTCGTCGTCATCTTCGGCAACGCCATCGAGTTGAATGCCGGACTGAGCGAAGGGCGTGGCGGCATCTCAAGGCCATTGGGACGATCTGCGTTGCTCCAGTGCTGATACTTCGACTTCTTCCTCAGATGCTCCTGTTCTGCGTCATCGACTAAACTCGGGATGGGCCTCTTTCGGACATCATCGACTGTTTCCACTTTGACGTGGTCGTTGCGCGGCCGGGAAGAAGCGCCAAACGTAAGCGGCCGACCGGTGTTGGATTGAAAGACGCCATTTCTCGTTTCGCCGATGAAGACGATCTCGTCGTCGTCACTGTCGTCGTCGAGCGCAGGCAGCTGGGAGAAGTTCCAGCTCGTGGTTTTCGCGGAGGCGAATCCGTTCACTGAGTTCGACGGGATGGGGGCCGGTCTCCCATTTGAACCAGCGTCATTTGCAGGCTTGGCGTAGTTCGCGAAAGACGATGCCAGCTTGCGGCGAGCTTGAAGATGCATCGTGTTGGAAGTCGGCCGAGGTCGGCGATGATGATGAGCATGGAAGAGGATTGGATTGATGCCAAAGAAGGTGACTGCCGAAGTTGATGATTGGTGAAGAACGTGAAAGGGATTGTAGGTTGAAGTAAAGTGAGGCCCATACTGTGATGTGGATTGGTAGTGAAAGGTCCAAGCTGTTGAAAGAGGGAGAGTGTTCAGAGGAAGTTGAGAAGAAGGTATAAGGCCTTGTGTTAAGCTCCGAAGGCTTAAGCTTTGGTAGTTGATTGTCACATGCGGATATCAGAGTGGCATATCAGGTGAATGTGCCATTGAACTCTTCTTCAAGCATCGTTAGAAGTTGCAGAGCCGCGGAGTGCAATGGCAGTGAGGAGCCAGACTTCAGAAACGGCTTGGTGCGAGTGATCATAGGCGGGTTGCGACGGCATATGTCTGCCTGGTGAGGCTCAAGTGCGCATCTTAGCGCAGGTCGACGCTGTTTCATCCGGGAGGTGGCTCCATCGGCCGCTCATTCTCCGCGCTCAGCTCGGCCATCAAACCGCCCCGATCCTTCACCTTCTCATCCTCCGCCAACTTCTCCTTGACCAGCTTATCGAACCGCTTCGCCGTCTCTAGGGCAGCGTTTGTGCACGTCAATAAGCTCAGTCCATCCACCGGCGTCCCTCCGTACTTGGCGATTTGGCACACCTCACCGAAGCGATTCATGCTGATGACGATCTCGCCATCGCGGCACTGTTCTTCCAAGAGCGTGGCGTCTTGCAGGAAGATGCCCGGCTCGGCGCTGGTGGTTGACGAGGTGTTGTAGTAGGAGAAGGTGACGCAGAAGGGCAGGTGTTGAATGGTGAGGCGCACTGGTTCTCGCTCGCGGATGGAGAAGACGGTCACCTCCTCGCCTCTGACTTCCACATCTGGACGGCGGAAGTGCAGCAGGGCTGCGATCAGCGCCAGACATGACGCATCGACCAGATTGCCATCGTGGTCAAGGACGTGAAGATCGGCACGAAGATGGAAACATTTCGCGCCGGCGATGATGCAGAGACTTTCGGTGTCCAGCGCTCCGGATCGCCTGATGGCCTTTTCCAGCAGTCGAGAGAGCAGGAGCTCCGTTTGATCTTGTCTAGATACTGGTCAGCGTTGCCGAGCCACCGGAGCTGCAGGATGCACCATACCTTCCGACTTCAAACGCCGGACTGCCCATGGGGCTCAGCTCTGTGGAGATGGTGAAGATGCCATCGAACTTCCTGTCTGTGTAGGGAGCGGTGACTTCGCAAGAGACTTTGGCAAGGACTCTCGTCTTGCCTATGCGGACATCGGCGACTCCATACTCGTCACCGAATGCGAGCGAGATAGGGCGGAATTGTTGAAAGGGACGGGAGTCTAGGCGGAGGTTTTCTTGGAGGGCGGAGAGGACAAAGTCGTGTTCATTGGTCGAAGGCTCCTGTTCGCGCGGCATTTTGTATAAGTTTGTGGGATTGCATGTCCGACGTGGCGCTGGTTGTGAATTGTAGAACGAAATTTACGAGGTGAGGTTGAAGCCCGGCCCTTTTGAGCCAAATCGTCACCAAGTTGTCGATGCAGCCGTCTGTACTTCCTACTGGCCTTTTCCATGAAAACGCACAACACTGTATTATTGCCGATCTATTGAAAGCCCACATTCCTCTACACCCGCTCTATTCTAATTAATGCATCTTATGGGCTAATTGAACTGTCGTCGAAGAAGACACTCATCAATCACCAATCGCCGAATTAGGTATAGCGTCAGCGAGGCTTCACGCCCGAATCCTTCCTCTGTCCAATCTTGACATCCTCACATCCTCAATCCCCCTCCACCTCCCACACCTCTTCCATCACCCAGCAAAGACAGAGCACCATGACCACCGCCCACAGACCCACCTTCGACCCCGCCCGAGGGAAAGAAGCCGCCCGCGGCGAAGCCTACCACCAACGCCTACTGCCCGCACACAAGACGCTGAAGTTCCGACAAGCGGCGCAAGGCACGCCAGACGAGCAGGCGAGACGGGATCTCAAAGCGGAACTACTCAGAGCGGAGCGCGCGCACTATGCGAAGAGAGACGGAAAGGCTCTACCAGAGGATGCGGATGATGACGATGATGAGGGGGACGTTGGGAGGGAAGCAATCGAGGCGCCTCCGGCGTCGAATTCTCTGAAGAGGAAGCTTGAGGATGCGGAAGGCGCTACCCCTCTCCACCCGGGAGCAGACGGAGATACGGATGAAGACTACGAGGCGAAAAAGCGACGCGTGCTGGAAGAGACGAAAGATATTGACGCCGACAGCGTCGCCTCCGATTCCTCCTCTGAAGCCTCCGACGATGACGACGACGAAGAAGACGAAACGGCCGAGCTGATGCGCGAGCTCGCGAGAATCAAAGCCGAACGCGCAGAGGCTGCCGCCAAAGTGGCGGCAGAGCAAGCGGCGAAGGATGCAGAACAGCGGGAGAAGGACATCGCGCTGGGGAATCCGCTGCTGAATCCCAAGACGGACAAGGGGGAGTATGGAGTGAAGCGGAGGTGGGATGACGATGTGGTGTTCAAGAATCAGGCGCGAGGGACGGAGGAGAGGGGCAAGGAGAAGAGGTTTGTGAATGATCTGCTGCGCAGTGATTTTCACCGCAAGTTTATGCAGAAGTATGTTCGATGATCTGGTCATTCGAAAGGAGAATTCACGTCTTGCAACCTATCTGCGCCCCAAGGTTTAACGGCTAAAGGCTCCCTGCCTCCACTAGCTTAACGCGATATGCAGGTGAGGGTGGATGACAGTAATTGGTAATCGAATAGATGAATCGCACGTGGCAGAGAGTAGATCACTACGCAGATCCACCCTTCTATGCAATGAACAAGACCACAGCCCGTCTACCCAAGCCTCGACCCAGCATCTAAACACCTCAAAGCTTCGCCGCCTCCGCCTCTTCGCCCTCCTCCGCCAACCAGCCCTTAGACATCTTCACCGCCCGCCCCCACCGCCCAAACATCTTCTTGCTGCTCGCCTCGTCCATCTGCGGCTCAAAGACCGTCTGCCCCTTGGTATTCACCTCCTTCAGCTCGTCAAAGCTCTTCCACACGCCCGTGGCGAAGCCGGCGGCAATCGCCGCGCCCAGCGCCGTCGTCTCGCTCATCTTCGGCCGGATGACGGGGATGCGCACCAGGTCGGCTTGCGTCTGCATGCACAGCGCCGAGTTGGACATGCCGCCGTCGACGTTGAGCTGCGCGAGCTTGTGCCCGCTGTCCAGCTCCATTGCGTCGAGGATGGCTTTTGTTTGGAAGCAGACTGCTTCGAGGGTTGCGCGTGCGATGTGCCCTCGTTCGGTGTGGTGTGTTATACCGACTGACTTGCTGTTAGCGTGCTTCTCTTTTCAATCCGTCAGGCGGAACTTACACATTGTGCCGTGAGCATCGTCAATCCAATAAGGTGCAAAGAGCCCGCTGAACGCCGTCACAAAGACGAGACCTCCGTTGTCCTTGACCGTGCCTGCCAGCTCGGTGATTTTGTGCGATTTCTCGCTGAACCCGAGATTGCCTAAACACCCAATTTATTAGCCCCGAGTCTTGCAGCGGAATCGCAGAGCACGACTTACTCATGAGGAACTTGACTCCACTGCCAGCAACCGCAATACTGCCCTCCAATGCATAAACCGGCTTGTCATCAAAGTGGAACGCAATCGTCGCCAAAAGCCCATGCTTCGAAATGACCGGCTTCTCGCCCACGTTGTAGAGCAGGAAACATCCAGTGCCGTACGTGTTCTTCGCCGAACCCGGCTCATAACCCTTTTGCCCGACCAAAGCAGCAGATTGATCACCCAGGACGCCGGTAATCGGCCAGCCCTTCAAAGACCCCGACGCCATCTTGCCAAACGCCTTGCTATCCGCCGACCGCACAATCTCCGGCATATGCACCTTGCGCAGGTCGAACTCGTAGGAGAACAAATCGAGCATCTCCTCGCTGTACTTCAGCGTGCGGATGTCCATGAACATGGTGCGGCTGGAGTTGGTGCAGTCCGAGACAAACACGTTGTTCTCCGTGCCGCCGTTCAGCTTGTACACCAGCCAGGCATCGATGGTGCCAAAGGCCAGGTTGCCCGCTTCAAAGGCCTGCTTGACGGCGTCGACGTTCTTGATCATCCACAGCAGCTTGGTGACGGAGGGGTAGGTGGAGATGGGCAGGCCGCAGATGTCGAGCACCTTGTCCGCGCCGGGGCGGGCCTTGAGCTCGCGGGCGAGGGCGGCGGTGCGCGTGTCGGTCCACACAATGGCGTTGTAGAGGGCCTTGCCGGTCTTGATGTCCCAGCACACGGTCGTTTCCCGTTGGTTGGTGATGCCAATGGCCTTGATGCTCTCTTTGGAGTGGCCGGCCTTTTCAAAAATCTTGAGCGCTCCTTCTATGCAGTTCTCCACCGACCTGACGATTTCTTCGGGGTCGTGCTCATGCTGACTATTGCTCTCGAGTCAATGGGAAGCTCTCGCTACGTCGAGCTATTGTGGAGGTTCACGCACCCGGGGTTGGGGTAAATCTGGCTAAACTCCTCCTGGTGCACGGCGACCGGCTCTCCGGCCTTGTCGAAGATGAGGAAGCGCGAGCTGGTGGTGCCCTGGTCGATGCTGCCCACGAACACCTCGTCCTCGGCCGCCATTTTGGGCTTCTCTTGATCGCCTACTACCAAATTCTGGATTTTCTCAAGGATGGCGGACATGAGCGGGGGGCAATGATAGCGAGAGGGAGAATAGGCAGAAGATGGAAGGAGGAAATTGAAAAGTAGGTAAGACGGAACTTCAGCGTCACGCGTGCAGCTCGAAAATAGCGGCCAGCCTCTTGCTCGCACGTGAAAAGGCGGGCGGTGTTGGCGGTGGTCAGGTAAGTTTACGCCAACCCTCTCACTCTCCCCACTTCCGCCCTCTGGTCAGCTGGAGTTACGGTTCCAGTTACTTGCTCTCTTGCCAAGCAGTGTCGCGTGGGAAAAGAGATGTCCCCCCACATTCCGCGCATGCAGGGCAGGGCAGGGCAGGGCAGAGTTGGCCAGAACATTGGCGGGGCAGCCTCGAGCTCTGCCTGGCAAGCAATACTGTAATCTGAGCTCCGGCCATCGGCGAGAGCGCAGGTGCTGGGGGAGGGTTGCGCAGCGTTGCACTCACCACTTCTCAATTGTTGCTGGACGAGAGATGACACCCAAGCCCCGCCACTCTCCCCTCCCCACCCGACTCCACTCCCCACCACACCCCGCAAGTGCCCGCGTGCGCCCGTTGCATTTTCTCGTCAGGCCTCCAAGCCTCGGCACTGCACAAACCTGGCGTGCCGCGGACACGCAGACACGCAAAGGCAAAGGCAAAGGCCCGAAAGGATACCGCGGTACATGCATGGACTCTTGCCCTCCACATTCTAGAGCATGCACGCATGGCAGACGTTGACAAGCGTGGCATCGTATACTTGCCGCGACCACAACCGGTCGGCGTGGCGTTTGCTTCCCGCCCAGGCGAAGCCCGCCAGAACGTGGCAATGATCCTTCGCCTGCCGACCGTGGATTAATTCCGCCCATGTCACAGCCTGGTCATGGTTGTCAGCCTCCGATACTGCCAAGCTGGCACCAAGGCATACGCCGGACTTGGAGTGGCAAACGGCTGTCATCGCAGGACCACGCTGGATGGTCTCGCATGGCGTGGTCCGGCTTGCATCAAAGTAGACGCCCGCGTTCGGGAATTACAGGTCGTCGTCATTGCACGAGCCGCGGCACTTGGTGCATACCTCAAGGCGTGCAGGGATTGGACAGCGGAATCCTACCCTGATCTCAACCCTGGCGGGGGAGGGGTGGAGTGCCCCAAAAGAATGCAACTCTATGCGGCCGGGGTTCTGTTGTTTGGGTAAACTCTTGGCCGCTCCATCCGTGTCTTGGGCGGGCGGCTGGCGTAGTGCTGACCCTGTCGCCTGTCCGTCCACCGAATCATTAATAATTCGTCCGCCAGTGTCCGGAAAGCAGTCTCTTGTGACCATCTGCCCTCCCCTCCATCAGCGTGTGTGTAGAAGTATTGGCGCTCGCCCACTTCATCGGACAACTCCGTCACACCTTGCACTGCTTATACCACCTCCCATCTTCACTTGCCCGCGGGAAGCTCATGTGAGCTGGCCTAGATTTCCAAACTCTACCACCTCCTACTGCAGGGTGCCCTCGTGAGTTTATATTCCCGCCACCCCCCGGTCTCATCCATTCTAACCTTCCTCGCACAGCACACCTCGCATTCACTCTTCTCGTCCAACATCCTTATCCCGCCGTCAACATGGCCGACATTGCCATCACCAAACTCCATCCGGGTACGTTGTGGCTGCACTGTCGCCCCGAGAAGCGCCATGTGGACAAGCAGGTGCCTCTGTCGACAACCGGTTGCTAACTTCGCTTCGACCTAGTAGATTCGACAGTACATGTGCACGACCATGCCGGGTCTCCTCCGTCTCCCCCAGCAGATCGCCCCAGCGTGCCCTACCAAGAGAGTGGTGCTCTCATCAACCGCACCGAAACGGCAGACCTGCGATGGGCCGAGAAGGCGTCCAACTCCGGCCTCATGTGGCCCAAGATCCGTCACGCGCTGAGGAAGCCCTTCTCTGAATTCATGGGCACCTTCATCCTCATCCTGTTCGGTGACGGCGTCGTTGCACAAGTCTTCCTGAGCAACTTCAGCCACGGCAACTATCAGTCGGTCAACTGGGGATGGGTGAGTGACATCAATCACAGGCTGTTGATCGGACACAAGAGCACATCATCTAACACTCATCATTCAGGGTCTCGCTGTGCTGTTGGGTGTGTACACCAGTGGCATTTCAGGAGCGCACATCAACCCTGCCGTCACGTTCGCCAACTGCGTCTTCCGCAAATTCCCGTGAGTCCAACACACCTGACACTCGCCTCCCGCGTGCATCCGCTGACTGACTTGACCATCAGATGGAAGCTCTTCCCCGTCTACGCCGCCGCTCAGATCCTCGGCGCCATGTGCGCGGCCGCTATCGTCTACGGCAACTACAAATCTGCGATCGACGTCTACGAGGGCGGCCCGGGCATTCGCACCGTGTCTGGCCCCAATGCCACCGCCTTCATCTTCTGCACCTACCCTCAGGACTTCCTCAGCACGACCGGCCAATTCTTCGATGAATTCATCGGCAGCACGCTGCTGATGTTCCTCATCTACGTGCTGAAGGACGATGCCAATCTCGGCGCAGGACCGCTGACCCCTCTCGGCCTCTTCTTCATCATCTTCGGCATCGGATGCTGTTTCGGCTACCAGACGGGATACGCCATCAACCCGGCGCGTGATTTTGGCCCGCGTCTCGTAACTTACATGATCGGCTACGGCACCGAGGTCTGGAGCGCTGGCAACTATTACTTCTGGATCCCCATCGTCTCTCCCATCCTCGGATGCACATTCGGTGGCTTCTTGTACGACATGTTCCTCTTCACCGGTGACAGCCCCATCAACACTCCCTACCTCGGCCTGTACCGCTTTTGCCCGTGGATCGATCGCAGCAAGTATGTATCCCCTCCTGACCTGTCACGAGCACGAAGCTACAAGAACGTCCCGAAACTAACAAAGTGTCACTAGGTACGACGGCGAGAAATGGCGGCCCGAGAACTTCAGGTTGGAAGACAGCGAGAAGGCAGACAGCGAATCCTGATCGTCTTAAAAGCCCGAGGAGAGACATTTTGCGCTTATACAAATATCAAGCATCTGGAGTTATGTTGGTATTACATCTTGTTCGTGTGTCCTCCATCTCTACCCAACCAAACAACGAGCATTCGCCGTGGTGGCCACGCCATAGCAGTGCTTGTAGCTCCCAGCCTTTGCAACGAGAGCGTGCTGAGAGCCGAGCAAGTGACGCAGAACCCTTGAGCAACGTCCTGAAGCGAGTACACTCGCAGTGGTGCATGCACACGGCAACAAAGTCGTGCTCGAACACAAGACTTCCTCGCAATTGCCTGCTTGTCTCGGCTGATTTGTGTTCAGTCGTAATACCTGCTCAGGTGTGATACAGCCGCCGCCTTTTGTACACCCATTGCCCTCCCTCGTGACATCCTGTGCAAGACCATGGATGCTCTACAAAGGCGTGCAACTGCCCATCGATTCTTGCTTGCTCGCGTCTGCTAAAGTGTAGAAAGAACGAAGCAAACTCACTCACAGAATCCAATCACGCAACAACATGTCTCATTGCAACGAGCCGTTCGGGGGTATACGGACCTCACCCTTCCTCACTCTCTTCCCATGGCTGACGAAATCCTGCAGATACAGACGAGTACTCCTACCGCTCGACCGACGCCTCGACCGACCCCAGGCGCCGCGTACAGCAGGAGACAGAACCCGATCCGCAAAGCGACACGCGCGAATCGGGAGACCAGGAGCAGCCGCAGACCAGCGCTTTCGACGACGACGACGACGAAGACGAAGACATGGAAGGCGAGGAAGACCCCGCGACCCAGACCTCGACTACAACTGGAGAAGGCCAGCATCATCACCACCATCCCACTCAAGGCCACATTACCGTGCCCAGCCACGATGACGATGACGCTTCCCGTGGCGCTGGCACCGGACTCGAGAACGTCGAGCGCGGCCGCGATACGAGTGGGTCTACTAGCTTCCCGGCTACGACTACATCGTACAGTCACGACGATAGCTTCACGACGCGCGACGGGTACGCTGGCGTGCCAGCTGGTGTGGGTGTAGGCGGTGGGTCTGGGAGGTTTGGAGACGATGACTCGTTCGTTGAACCCCTTCCTTTCCGTCGTGCGATGAGCGGTGGAAGGTGTTGTGCTGACTGCTTCTTCGGTAGTGATGAGCGTGGGCGGGAGGGTAGGAAGGGCGACTCGACTCTTGGGAAGCTTGTGGAGAAGACCGGGAGTGCAGTTGGGAGCGCGATGTTGGTGGAGAAGGGGCGGGAGAAGCGCGAGCAGAAGGGTGCTGGTGAGGGGGAGGATGGAGGGCATGCTAATTGAGAGCACTGTTTGTTGATGCAACCTCCTGTCGTCTCTGGAAGACGACATGGCCGCGGTGATGGTTTAGGAGTTCTTAATTCGTGCATCGTACTATTCCCTTTACTGTCCACCAGTTCGAACAGCTCACAGCTTCCCCTTCTCCCTCCGTTCCCTCTCCCTCTCCCTATTCCCCTCCGCCGCCTTCAACAAAGCATACATCCCCTGCACCCTCGGGACATCCACCCCCGCCTCCCTACCCGCCTTAATCACATTCCCCAAAATCACCTCCAACTCCATCCGACTGCCACTCGCCCAATCGTTCCACATAGACGGCCGACTGCCATCATCCTTCCCACTGTCACTCACACGCGCCAGCGCCTTCTCCGGCGTTCCCAAGCCCAGTTTCTGGAGTGGCAGTGGTGCGCCATCGTTGACCGCCCGAGCGGCAACGGCTAACACCTCCTCCATCACGGCTTTGACGTGCGCGCTGAGCTCGGGATGCGTGGCGAGAGCGAAGTTCGTGCTCCCCGCCGAGAGAACCGAAGAGGCATTCATGCCCGCGTTGATGGCCGTTTTATGCCAGCGTATAGCTTGCATTTCCTTCGGCGGGTGGGATTTGGTGTCTCTGAAGCCAGACTGGACAAGGAGGTCGGTGAAAAGCCGGGCACGCTTAGCATCCATATCGTCGGCGGTCGAATTTGCCGACGAGAAAGAATGGCGATAAGGACCCAGATCCGTCTTCGTCCAGCGATTATGCCGAATCACGCCGGGGCTAGGCTGAGCACACGACGCAATCGTCACGGCAGTGAGGATCGTTGTCCGCGGGAAGCGTTTAGCATAAGGCGCCTCAACCCCAATGCCGTTCTGAATCAGTACAATCGCTGTGCCGTCGTCGTCGTCGCTCGCAACCAAGCCCTCCAACAAAGCGCTATCATCACTAACGTCCGGCAGCGCTTTGGTGGCAACTACAATCCAAGCCCACTTCACCCCCGCCCGCCGAATCTCCTCCACGTCACGAAAGACGTGCGCAGGTTGGAAAACGGAGGCGCCGAATTCGCGCTGTGCGCTCTGGATGCGGAAGCCTTCGGCCTGCACGGCGGCGTAGTTGGAGCGGCAGAGGACGGAGACGCGGGTGTTGGGGACGGTGGAGAGGCGGGCGGCGTAGAAGGCGCCGATGGCGCCCGCGCCTATGAGGAGGATTTGGGTGGGCATCACCGGTTATGTCTCTATTTCCCTGGGGTGTTTGGGAGCTGCATCGTTGTTTGGCGAAGGTTGTGGTTGTTGAGGTGAGGTCGATGCCATTGGGTTGGCCTCGGCTGAGAGGGTTGGCATGATCTCAACTGTAACTACCCGACTTCACCCACCATGTCAGGCTGGACTGTGCAGGGAAAAGGGAGAGGGATGGAATATAAAACTGGATTACGAGTAAACACGCTTCTCACTAGATGTCTTTTTGGGCAGCCTTGTGGGCAAAGCAAGCAAGCAAATCTCACGCGTGAGCGCTCGCCTGCCTCCCTCGTCCATTCGTTGCTTTCCATCTGCGGACTCCAAGGCGCCAGGGCAGCACAACACACCAGTTCCATACACACGCACACTCTCCATTTCAAACATCCTCCCGACAAAGTCGTCCACCACACAAGAAAGTCAAGTCAGGCACGCATGCTCTTCGACTCCGCCTCACTCCTCGTCTTCTCCATATCCTAGCGTGTTCGTGAACGTTTGCTTCACAATTGCAGCCATTAGAAGTCGGGGAACAATTTGCCGTGCCTGCAAATCACCAAGTCAGCAAATCGATCAACGCACATCACTCATCTGGACAAAACTCACTCATCCGGCCCCGTATTGCCATACGCCTCCGTCTCCTCGGGATACTTGTCGAACAAGCTCGCATCACCTGCACCCCCTTTGACCGGCGGTACGTACGGCGCATCGATGTCCTTCTTCGCCAGCCGCTCCCACGTCACCTCGGCGAACCAGTTGTGCGTCATGACGTCCCGCGAGCCGCCGTGCAGGTTGCCGAGGCGCTTGGTGAGGTCGGCGGTGATGAGCTTCGACAGCAGATCCACCGCGTCTGGGTGGATGTAGGGCGGATACTTGACGCGGCCCTTGAGGATGTTTTCGTAGATCTTCAACGGGCTGCCGCTATCCCAGAAGGGTGTGAAGCCCGCGAGCATTTCGAAGATGAGGATGCCGAGGGACCACCTGCGTTGTCACTCGTTAGTGTGTATGGAAAAGAGGAGGAGGAGTGAGATCAGCCAACGCACCAGTCGACGCTCTTGTTGTATCCCTTGCTGCTAACAACTTCCGGAGCGAGGTAGTCCGGCGTGCCGCACAGCGTCCAGGTGATGTCAGGCACGTCCTTGGCAAAGCCGAAATCGGTGATTTTGATGTGGCCATGTCGGTCGAGGAGCAGGTTCTCGGGCTTGAGATCGCGATAGATGATGTTCATGCTGTGCAGGTAATCCAGCGCCAGGGTCACTTCGGCCGCGTAGAATTTGGCAACGGGGTTGGGGAAGCGCTGAGAAGCTGAGGATTAGCTTGGCGGCAGTGAGAAGATGAAAAGGAGAAAAGACGCACTTGTGACTTCCTCAGCAGACTGAACAGCTCACCACCTTCGATGAAATCCATGACCATGTACAGGTTCTTGCTGTCTTGCCAGGTGCCCCACAGCGTCACCAGGAAGGGATGCTTGCACCGCTGCAACATTCGCCGCTCGTCGTTGGTGTGCTCGACCTGCTTCATCTTGACCACCTGTGCCTTCTTCAGCACCTTGACGGCGTAGAAGCGCTGGTTGTGCTTGCTCTGCACCAGATGCACCCGGCCGAACGAGCCGGTGCCGAGGGTGCGTTGGATGTTGAAGTCCGTCAGCGTGTATTTGCCCTTGGTCTCGCGCGTGGCGTTTTGCGTGGCCTTGGGGTCGCTGGTGGCACCGCCTTGCTGCACGCTGCCATCATGGCTGCTGTAGCCAGAGTCGTTCTGCGACGAGGGGTTGGTGTTGAGCATGCTTTGCACGGTGGGGGCGTGAGCCGGGCTGGCGTTGCTGGTGGGAGCGACGGTGTCGGGGTCGGCGCCGATGGAGTCGGGGCCCTTGTTAAGAGCGCTATTCTTGGTCAGGACGCGATCGATCGCACCACCATCGACCGTCGGGCTGGTGGGAGACGAAGGGCCTGCAGACTTGTTGCCCGGGAACCTGTCGGGCGCCGTGGGTTGTTCCTTTGTCCGCTTCTTCTTGAGGAAACCGAGGGACGGCATGGAGGCGTCGTCGTTGTCGTCGCTGGGTCGCTTCGAGGGAAGAAGAGACGAAAAGGGCGGCAATTTGGCGGCGGGTGGACGGGTGTCTCGGGAGGGAAGGAGAGCTCGCAGATGTGGGGAGCGTCAAGAGATGACGGCAGGCGAGAACTTGTGCGGGAGGGGAGCGTAGATTGGAGCGAGCGAATTGCTGGTGCAAGGCTTGTGTTGGGTGGGGTGGAGATGTGGTTTGCGAATGGAAGCGCTGCGATCAATGCTGACGCACAAGCTATGCGCGCTTGCTAGATGGTGAGGCTTTTGTCTTCGTCCGGACTCTGGAGCGAAGAAGGCAGGGTGATTCTCAGGCACCAAAATTGGCGTAGCAGAGGAGAGCCTGAAGGTCAAAGGTATTGAAAAGACGGCGTGGAAGTGGATGCGGCGCCGGGGTTGCTGGAATAGATTGCTGGCCGGGCGAGCTTGATCACTTCACCAGGCGGAGCTTGTATGAAGCTTGATACCGTCCTTGGCAGACTGCAATGGTGAAGGAGGAGGGAGGTCTTTGTCGTGAGCTTGGCGGACGTAGGGTGAGAGAAGGCGCAGGCATGCGATGGAGGGGGAGGTCGAGGAGGAGGGATGGCGGCAAGCGGGGGGCTCGATCAATGCGGAACGGGCGACACAGGTGTGGGATGCCTTGGTGGAGGCTATGGGCGCATTGGTGTGGATAGGGATATCCAGGAGCGGGTGGGAGAGAGGGTGGAGGGGTGATAGGGACTGCGTTCAGCGCAGCTCGGCGGGCGGGCAGCAAGCAAGCAAGCAAGCAAGCAACAAGCAAGCAGCAGGCAAGCCAAGCAGACAGGGCAAAGGTAAGCGGGCAGCGGGCGAGATGGAGGTTGGTGGGCGCGGAGTGGCGGAGGCGGAGGCGGCTGGCGGCACAGGCCAGGCAAGCGCGGCAAGCTGGCAGGGAAAGAGCGGATGTGGAAGAGGGAAGGTGCGCCGTCGATCCCCGTCTACCCAATGTAACGTGCACTCTCATCGCCCCGGATTGATCGTATGTACCTCGTTCACTCTCAACGGATAGGGAAGAGACAAGAAGTGTTCAGCTTCGGGTTCTTATTCTCCCCCGAGCATGGCAGACCTGCAGCATGCCTGTTGCCGAGAGACATGTGTTGAAGCCTGAGGCAGCAACAGCAGCGCCTTACTTCCACTCCACTTTGCCCAACCCTAAGACCTTCAACTAGCTGTCGGGGCCCATATTGCTTCTGTACTACTCCTTGTAATAACGGAACACCATTAGCGATCCGTCAGATGTTCCTCATTGACCTCTTGTCAACTCTTTCTCGTAGTACCCTTCCTTCCGTCCACTACTAATTAATCAATCCAAATCTATTCAACCCATCCACCATGACAACCGTAATCGACTCCCACATCTTCACCAACCTCTTCTCCACCCCTGAAATCACCGCAATCTGGTCCGACCGGCAACGTACCAGCTACTACCTGCAATTCGAAGTCGCGCTGGCCAAAGCCCAGGCACAATTAGGTATCATCCCGGCCAAAGCGGCCGAGGAAATCGTCAAACATGCCACCCTCGACAACATCGATTTCGACGAGTTGCGCCGGCAGACAGAGCTGATTGGCTATCCTGTGTTACCAATGGTGCAGCAGATTGTGCGCAAGGTGAATGAGGTTGAGCCGGGGTTGGGGGAGTGGTTGCATTGGGTGGGTGATGTCTCTTCATTCTTTCCATCAACCTTCGTTAACATCCATCTATAGGGCACCACCACGCAAGATCTCACCGACACAGCCGTCGTCCTGCAACTGCGCGACACGCTGCAACTCGTCGAAACCTCCCTCAACGCCATCATCAAAGCCCTCACAGCGCTAAGCGAAAAGTACAAATCCACTCCGATGCCCGCGCGCTCCAATCTCCAGCAAGCAGTGCCCATCTCCTTCGGCTTCAAAACCGCCCGCCTCCTCGCCACCTTTCTCCGCCACCGCCAGCGCCTCCACCAACTCAGACCACGTCTTCTCGTGCTCCAATTCAGCGGCGCAGCAGGCACTCTAGCCACCATCTCCCCGGAATCTTCTCACGCCCCAGTCCACGCTGACGCCACCACCCTCGCCGTGCAATGCCAATTGCTTGTCGCCGAGCACCTCGACCTCGCCCTCCCCGAGATCGCCTGGCACACAGAGCGCGACAGCCTCGCGGAAACGGCCACCTTCCTCTCCCTCCTAACCGCCAGCTGCGCCAAGTTCGCCACCGACCTCAAACTCATGATGCAATCGGAAGTAGGCGAGGCGCGCGAACCCTACGTCCCGCACCGCGGCTCGAGCAGCACCATGCCGCAGAAGCGCAACCCGATCGGCAGCGCGTACATCTGCGCCATGGCCAGCAGCGTGCGCGCGCTCGCCGGCGGCATGGTCGAGGCGGTCGTCGCCGACCACGAGCGCAGCACGGGCCCCTGGGAGATTGAGTGGATTACGCTGCCGCAGATTTGCGCGCTGAGTCATGCGTGTTTGGTGCAGACGCAGTATTTGCTGGAAGGGCTGGAGGTGGATGAGGAGGGAATGAAGCGGAATTTGGCGCTGAGTCGCGGCGCGATTGTCTCGGAGGCGGTGATGATGGGGTTGGGTAAGAAGATTGGGCGGCAGTATGCGCATGATGTTGTTTACGAGCTTTGTCGGAGGGCGCAGCTGGAGGATAAGTCGTTGTTGGAGTTGTTGAAGGGTGATGAAGGAGTGAAGAAAGCAGGCTTGTCGGATGAGGAGTTGGAGGGGCTGTGTGATCCGGCAAACTATCTGGGACTGAGTGAGGTGATGGTAGAGCGGGTATTGGCAGCGGCAGTGGCAGAGGAAGCCTCGTAGTAGAGCCCCGATACCCACTGTGGTGACTCTCACAACTTGTGCTCTCGTGGTTCATCGGGCAGTGCACCACTCATCTTCAAATCATCCCGCGCCTCCGCTCTTTCACCAAAAAGAAGCAAGTCTCGCCCACCTCTCGTACTCCACCAAGCATGGCACAGCTCACTTCGATCAGGATCCATCTCTCCGCCCACGAGCGACTGCCAGAACTGCTCTTTGCAATACTCCCTCGTATTGCCGTTCTCAATGCCATTCGCCATCTCCGCGGCAATGGGCAGAGTCTCCTCCAAAAGGTCCAGCGGGAGCTCGGGAAGAGTATCGATGACGGTAAGTGCCACCACAGCTTGCTCGGAGAGTTGCGCCGGCGCCTGAGCCTCGGCATTCTCGTCTTGCGGGAGGGGAAAGATGGGATATGTCGAGGCGTGGCGCGCACGATCGAAGAGTAATTCCAGCAAGGTCGCGGACAGCATGGGTTCCGTGGCGGCGAGTGTGGCGGGTGGAGAAGCCAGGCGGAGCAGGGTTTTGAACGCGAGGCGGAATTGGCGCGCGGTGAGGTTGTGCGGAAAGCAGTTGAAGAGGGCGTCGATGTAGAAGGGGAGATATTTGGCCGTGAGTTCTGCGTTGTGGGAGGCGGAGAAGATGGCGAGCATGACGCTGTGTGCTGCTTCGAAGATGGGAAGGAGATTGTTGTTGCCGCCTGCTGCAAGGTAGGGAGAGGCGGCGGGGATTAAAAGGTCCTGGCTTAGCTGCGTTGGTAATACGAGGGTAAAATGCTCCGCGAGATTCAGGAAGAAGAGATCCAGATTGCGGTCCAGTGGGTGTTCTGGAACACCGGACTTGTGTTCTGCTGGTCTTATGGATTCAATAAAGGCCTGAGATTGGAGTGGGAAGGCAGATAGGATGTCCATGGCGGTGAGGTTGACAAAGGTGTACTGGGAAAAGGAGGAGGCGCCCGCTCTGGCCGAGATGAAGTACAAGCTTCGTAACGTTTGAAGGGATTGCGTTGCAATTATTGGTGAAGCTATCAGACTCATTAGCATATAAATCAGTTGGTGGGAGGGAGTGTGCTTACTCTCGGGGCCTGCCAATGCAGGGTCACTCAACGTCCTTCCAATGATGCTTCTGAGCACAATCACCACTCCAAAAAGCGTCGACTTCAGCAGCTTCCACAGCTGAGGAGTCGTCGTGTTGAAGGTCTCTTTGTCGAGATAGACACTGTACTCTGCGGGATCCACTTCCGAGAGCTGGGTCTGCCGCCACTGCGTATGGAGAGTTCTTGCGAATGCTTCCAAGTCAGGCAAGATTGCAGTCACGAGCCAAGGTTGCTTCGCGTTGTCCACAGAGTGTCCTATTAGACGGCACAGAGGACCAAGAGAAGAGACGAGTGGGCTTGCCAGCTTTTCGCGGATGTGATGGAACGAATCCGATCGTTCCGACCAGCCAAACTGATTGTTCGACACCGGCATGACATCGCGATCCAAGCCTCGCAAAAAGTAGCCCGATTCCAAGCCGGCTCCAGAGAGGAAAGTTGAGCGCAGCAAACACGGAAGAAGAGCATCGTAGTCCAGCCGGCTTCTCTCGTAGTCGGAGAGAATTGGAAAGCAGTGATTCAGAACAAAGGTGATGCTCTGTTGAGCCAACTCATCGCTTTCGTCCATCTCAACCAAAGCGAGATTCGTTGCAGATATCAGGGCTTGCTCGAGAGTGCTCCGCATACCCCGAGAGAGTTTCTCGTCCTCCACAGGACCAAAGCCGAGCAGCAGTCCACCGAGGACCAGCACATGTCGCCAGCGAGGCGACTTCTCGTCCGCGCCATTGATGACGGCTTTGATCCAATCGGGTCTAGGAAGACAGCGATCGAGCGGAACTCGCGTCAAGTCGGTGTCGGCGGGATTGACGGTGAGCGCGTCCTCGTGCCTGAGGAGCGCTTGAGCAGCGGAATGGAAGACACTGAGGGTGCGCGTGCTGGTTCGAAGGCCTTCTGGTTGCGCCCAGACCGCCGGCGCAGACAGAGTCTGGCTGGTTAGGAGCGTGACGTTCAACGGATTGGTCAGGGTTGTTAACAGCGTGGAAGCGCTTCCCAGTAGCCTAGAAGATGTCAGTAATGCGACGGGACGATTTGTCTGTTTGATTGTACCTCGGGGTGTCTTGCTGCTCTGTGGAGGTCTGAAATGCTCGCAGCAACGTCCCCAACATTCTATCACCCGCCATTATTGCGATCTACTACATAAAAATATAAGATGAGTGTCGTGTAGATGGTGTCGTGAGGTGGTGGCAGGTCTGCCTCGGTTCGGCTCCACTTTCTCGTCCGGAAAGAGAAGCACACATCAGCTTCACGTCTCACCTCACACCAGCCCTCCATCTCCAAATGCGTCCGATTCAACACGACACAATGGCCAGCCCATAAACCACCAAACCACACTCACCAAAATGAGCCACCTCTTCCTCAAAAAGGTCGTCGACCCGCAACCCCTGTCCTACTCGCCCCCGCCCTTTCCATCCCTCTACTGGCCCTTCCCCGTGGACGGCCAGCAAGTCGTCTACCTCTACGATGCCGAGACAATCTGGCGCTTCACGCTCTACTGGACGCTGATCTGCGTCGTCGGCGTGCACATTGCGGCCGCCGGGTACGCGTGCATGATCCAGTGGCGGAATTGGAAGGTGATTTGGGCGGTGCCGGTCTTGTATACGGTGGTTGGTGGTATTGAGGCGGTGATTGCGGGGAATGTGGTTGGGGGCTTGTATGTTTTTTCTTCTACTACTTTCACTGATCTGGATGCTGATCGTTGCAGGTTGAGCGGCGTCTATGTGTCGGGCTACTTTCGAATGTCGTCCTGGATTCCCTTTACCTGGGGCATTGTCTCTGCTTTGGTCTTGATTCTATCTTCCTTCGCCATCCAGGGAGGTCTATGACTGGACAACGGGAAATGCAGATCGATACATGGCCAATATCCAGGCCTCTTTAACTTGTTAAGGGATTGAACGACTACGGCCATGGAATATCTGGATAGGAAATGCCTAAGCAACTACGCAAAACACGAACTCGGCCGTTATCGTCTCCAATATGTCAGGGGAGACCCGCATATATGTCTCGCCAGGAAACAACACATATATCCCAAAACTCAACGCTATGCATCAAAGATCAAACGATAGCGTTCGGATGCGCCAACTTCCTCCTCGCCGTCCCCAGTCCATCATCGCCACCCTCCTGGTTCTCACCCAGCCAAGGCTTGCGCGCCTCGCCCAGCACACCCTCTGTTCCGTAGTAGATGAAATGGCCGACGATGATCAGGACGAAAGCCACGGGATACAGCCAGTGGACGTGCAGGTGGAAGAGCTTCAGCCCGACGATCAGGCCCCAGAAATTGCCGGTCAACAAGCCGATGTTGAAGAAAGCGGCAGACGCCATGCGCAGCACCAGCGGGGCAACGGAGTAAAAGAAGGTGAGGATGAGGGTGTAGCCAACGAGGTAGCCAATGGTTTGCCCATTCCAGGTGGCATGTTGAAAGGATTGGCGGTTAAAGATGGCGCACTGCACGCCGTTGATGAACATGGCCCAGAAGGAGAGCTGGCCGACGACTTCGTAGATGGGCCGCTTGCTGAGCAGGAACTCCTCGAGCACGTTGTCGAGACCGTAGAAGGTGGCGCCCAGCAAGCAAAACAGATCACCCTTGACCGCATCCACCGCCTGTCCGCCATCGGAGTGCGTGATGTGGTCCGAGGCAATCATCAACCCCACGCCGCCAACACACACCAGAATGCCAATGTATTGCACAAAGTGGTAGCGCACCTTGAGGAAGATGAGCGACATGAGCACGACGACGACAATCGCCCAGAACTCCAGCAGCTGCGCAGAGAGGATGGTGGTGTAGCGATACGCCAGCACGGTGAAGTAATTCCCCTCGACGTCGAAGAAGGCAAGAATGAAGAACTTCCACCCGTCCTTGTAGCACAGCCGAAACCACCCCTTCCACCCATACTTGTAGATGGTCCACGAGGTATAAATGAGAGTCAGGAGAATGTAATTGAACAGCGACTGAAAGGCGGGAATCGACGTGCCAGCGTCGGCGAGCAGGGTGGTCAGCGTGTTGGTGCCGGTGTCGCAGATTGCCAGCAGCTGCGACATGACGAGGATGAGGTAGAACTGCTTGGTGCGCAGGTATCCGAAAATGCCCTTGCGGCTGTCGAGCTCGTCGGCCGTCACCTGGATGGGCGCCTGCTGGTCGCCGTGCATCTCGGCGCTGGGCACTTCGACGAGCTCGACGGCGCCGTGGCGCATGCCGGTCGCCGAGCTCGACGATTCATCGTCCGGCGAGCTGGAGGAGCCCTTGGCCCTGACGCTGATGCGCTCCACGGGCGCGGCACTGGTGGAGATCTCGGCATCGTTGGCGACGGAGGCGCGACGCTCGTCGAACTCGGAGGTGAACTTGGACATCTTGGTGGGGGTGGAATTGTTGAGGAGCAAGAAGGATGGATTGGAGCTTTCCGTGTGCAGAGTGAGCGCAAAGACTCCCGAAGTCGCTCACAGAGTAGAGATGATTGTCTCGAAAGACGAAATGGGTACCAAGAGGAGAGAAGGGAAAGAAGAAAATGCTTGATCTTTGAGAAATATGATTTAAACTTTTTTGGTTCCGCCCGCCATGCTTGCGCTGGCATTGAAGTGGGGGTCGAGGGGTCGGGCTCGCCGGCGGTGGGTCGCACGTGGGTTGTATCCCCGAAGGTATATGACGGAGCTGGCCGGGTGTACATGCGCCAGTAGCATTGGATCGGGCATCAATTTAAGGGCCAACAGGTTCCGCCATTGGTTATATAAAGGTTCATACATTACATTCAGTCCGGTCAATCATTTTCTCCGCCTCCGTAGATCCCATCTCGGGCCAAAGCCTGTAGTATATTCGCCATCGTCCAATTCGAGATCATCAGTGGAGGCGGGAGCAGCTGATTCCTCCATCACGTCCTCGACATCCTGCTTCGGGTAGCCCTCTCTCAAGAAGTCGCCAAAGAATAGCACTGCGTCCAAAATCTCCCTGCCAGTGGGAATGATGTGTTCACTCGGCAACAGAAATCCGTACGTCCCCTGGTCTCGCAGCTTGATCTGGTATGCAAAGTGGACTTGCATCTCGTGATAGAACCAGTCTAGTGCCGAGCCGCCGGACTGCTCGAGCATGGGAAGGAGTGTGCGCGGCCGCGATCTGCTTGCTAGAGCAACGTTGCCCTCACACGCTGCCATTGGCTCGTATGAGTAGGAGCTCGATCGACGAATAGCCTTCTCCATGCCCACCGCCAACTCCTCCAGATTCTCTTGGCTCGGGGGCGGGAAGTCGCAGGAGTAGCTGTAGGGGTATAGAATCTGCTGCGAGTAGCTGTGGAGATCGAGGAAGCCAACAAACTCCACATTCTTCTCCTCCTTTTGGCGCCGCGCCCACTCGGCGAGTTGCCGCGATTCGACGGCCTCGAAAGGCGCCTTCCCGGCATAACTCTCCGAGCAGGGGTTTCCGGCAGTCCGTAAACCATCCCATTCGAACCCAAATCCGTGGTCCAGGTCAATTCCCTGGCAGAATCGTACAGTCGTCGCCTGTCGGTTCTTCCGCCAAAGACGATCCGTTTCCCACGTGTATGCGTACCCATCGGGATTCACCGTGGGGACAAACACAAAGTCATATTCGTCCAACAAGTCGGTGATGCTGGGCACCTTGCCATAACTCGTAATGAGATTGTACGCGATGTACGTGACCGTGCTCGTGCTGATCCACTCTCGCGCGTGCAAGCCGCCCGTGATTAGGACAGTCTTCCGTGGTCCGGCGGTTTCGGGTTGATCGTCCGCCGGGGGCACGCCCACCTGTAGACCGAGAATTTCGCGGCCTTCATACGAGGTACCAAGGGTGATGAGCTGCACATGTGTTGAGAACAGGCGCGAAAGGAGACGCATCCAGGGGTGGATGACGGAAAGTGGCCTGTATTCATGGAAGAATGTCCAGGAGTCTTCGCCAGTCGATGTCGGAAGCAAAGTAGAGAACTGGCGAGAAGAGGGCGAGTGAGATGTGGCGGTTTTCGGGGGGTAGTTTGTACCGGGGAAAGTGTTTTCGATTGCAGAGGCCAGATCTCGCTCGTGAATCAGTGGGACATGGGCATGTTGTAGGCTCGTGGGGAGCAGGGTAAGCAGAGAAGGGAGGATCGCCTTGGACACTCGGATGTCGGCCCAGTTGTGGGTGAAGTCCCAAACGTCCAGCAACAGAGTGTCTGCGGCTTCCGCCAGACTTTGCGCTTCCTCCGCTGTGCTGACGTTGAAGCGCAACACGACATCACCGCCGTATGGAGCCAGCGTGCGAGCACTGGCCGAGCATTTCCGCCTTGTGTAGTCATCCTCCCCATCTTTGCTCGTGCCCCAGACCGCCTCGATCAGGCGATCGGATATGCTTCTCCATGTCGATTGTTGGGCGGCGGGGGAGGGGAGGGGTTGTTGAAGATAGGCAGCAGGCGAGGGGACGGCGACAACGAGCACGCTCAAGAAGGCGGGCAATGCGAGCCAGGCGCTCAGATGTGTACGCATCCTGAAGTGCTTTTGCTACCGGGAAGCAATAGTGCCCCGAAGGAGGTAGAATGACGGTTCGCAATGGAAAGGTGGAAGGAAGCCTGTTTTAAGGCACACGATCACTTGCCGAGCTGGTCCCGCAGCGACATGTGACTCGGGGCGAAAGTCGTGGTTGTACTCGACGAGACGAAAGCGACCCGGACTTGCAGCGTACACGTCAGGAGCTGCTGAAACTCGATGGAGGAGATCTTGTAGCATCGATGGATGTCATCAAAGCATCATTAGCGGCGTCGAGGTTGTATTGTGCCTTGCATCACCCTATTGCCAGGCCAAGGAGGCAATGAGAATGGGCAAGCGACTGGGCGTGCTGGGTGGGTCTGACTAACGCGGTAGGAAGCGAATTGAAGACCCGGCCCCGGCCAACCAAAAACAACCCCTACTCAACTCTAATCCCCTTAACCTTCACGTCACTCCTGCTTACCCCGAAAAGTTGAAGCAGCTTTCCGCTTCTGCACTGCTTCCCTCCTGGTTTGTTGGAAGCCTCGACGACAGTTGAAACCATTCGTTCTATCAATTGCTGTCACGAGGACCCATGACCCTTCCACCAGCGGTGCATGCCGGCCATGCCATTGCTGCACCGGCGTCGCAGCGCTCGCGATCTTGTCTCGAACAACACCCTTGCTAACGAGGGCGGCCACGATGTGCAATCTCCCTCAAATGACCGACTATCCCCCGCGCCCCGGCCAGCTACCGCAAGGCCCGTCTCCGAATACACTCACTTCCCATCCCGTCTATCCCATGAAGTGCATCTCGAGGATGTGTTGAGCGAGAAGCATGACGATGAAAGGAGGCCTCCTCGCTTCTCCCTCCGCAAATTCCGCAACTACTCCGAGCCTGCTTTGGCAGTGAAGGCGAGAGAAATGGAAAGCAAAGAGAAAGAGAACATCCCTCCAATGCCCCAGAAGCCTGCTACACATCCCGTGCCATCTATCCTACGCACCGCACCTACCATGCCTGCGGATCAGGGACAGGAGCAAGAGAACACGGAGGACGGGATTGTAGGAACGAGCAAGCGCCCGTCGTTCTTCAAGAGGTCCGTATCCACGGGGCAAAGCCCCGACAACAGAAGCATTCGCAGAGCCCGGAAATCCACCGACGAGAGAAGGAGTGAGAGAGCCAAGTCCGGGAAATCTACCGACGAGAGTAGGAGCGAGAAGAAGGCCTCCTCTCTACGATGGAGAAAGCTTCAAGGCAGGAGCACCGGCCTCGATGATCTTCAAAAGCTGGCAAGTGCCAAGGTCGCCACCCAACCCTCTCCGCCGCCCGTGTATGGAGACGAAACCCACTCTGCCCTCGCTCTCCCGGTCTTTCCCCGATCCTCTGAATCGGGAACCTCGGAGGACAGCAACGCAAGCTCCGATCGGATTTATGGCTCGACGACTACCACCACCCACACCGTCTCCACCCATACCACTTTCTTCAAGTTGCCCCGGCGGAACCGCAATCGCAACTCGCTGTTCCCCCTCCCGGTTAAGATCCCACCGCCACATGAAGAAGAGCAACCTACATCACCCGATGAACCCACCACGCCCCGTGCATCTGCTGGTACGACGCCCACACTGCGCGCAATCGACACTGCCATTGGGAAGCCCAATGCTCCGGATCTTCTGAGGAGACGCACCGAAAGTCCGCGTCGGCCGCCGCGCTCTATAACGAACGCTCCCTTGCCCAAACCATCCTTGGCATTTGCTGAACCCGGTCGTCTCATTCGTAACAACTCCGAGTTGTCACGCGGCTCGTCTACGTCCTCCCCTCTGGCACCACCACGCTTCGGCAAGCGAGATCGCGCATCCACCACCAGCTCCCTTGGCCGCAGCTCGTATGATATGGGCACTCCGTCACTTGGCGGCAGCGGTAGAAACTCCACCTCGACAAACGGACGCTCGAGTCTTGGAGCGTTGCTGACCATGTCGCGATTCCGAGGGAGCTCGGATCCGCATTCCCCTCACCATGATTCGCCGGGATCGCGAAGCAAGTCTAACTCATTCGCCATAAGTCGAGAGGCTCTCGTCGTACCGGAGCGCGAGGAAGGCGACACTCCTGGCAAGTATCTCGAACGGCTCGAGGCTGCTGTCGCAAGGAGTATGATTGCTGGTATCCTGTCCAAGTCTGCAGATCCCTTCGCCCAGAACGTCCTCCGGAGCTACACCCGGCGCTTTGTGTTCTTTGGAGAGCCGATCGACATGTCTTTGAGAAAGTTTCTGTTGGAAGCAGACTTGCCAAAGGAAACCCAACAGGTCGATCGGGTCATTCAGGCTTTTGCGGATCGTTACCACGAGTGCAACCCCGGCATCTTTGTTTCGCCCGACCAAGCTTATATCATCGCCTTTTCTCTCATGATGTTGCATACGGATGCCTTCAACAAGAACAACAAGCGCAAGATGCAGAAGCAAGACTACATCAAGAACACCTCGGGCCAATCCGTCTCCGATGATGTCCTGGGCTGTTTCTACGATAACATCTGCTATACGCCTTTCGTGCACTTTGAAGAAGAGGTCGACATCAATGGCGAGCGCGTCCTGCCTTTCAAGCCCAAGAAGAATAAACTAAAGGGCGCAGTACCGGAGTCTGGGAAGAAGCCGACAGGGCCTGTAGACCCCTATAATCTGCTCGTGGATCAAAAGCTCGACATGCTGCGACCCGCGATCAAGGAATCCGTCACATTGGACGATCCCTACAACTACCGCACACCTCAGACCTCCTTTGATCCCCAGTATCTCCAGCGCGCTTTCACCCACACGGGCGTATTGCAGATTATCTCGCAACGTTCGCGGCCAAGTGCATACGAGGGACAGTTTTTGAACGGCGGACAGCCTTCCGTCATGCAAACACAAGCGCAGCCTGGTATCATTGACATCAAGATCACCAAAGTCGGCACTCTTTGGCGAAAGGCTACGAAGAAGAAGAAAGCCCGCTCTCCCTGGCAGGAATGGGGTGCCATCCTCACTGGCTCACAGCTGTATCTCTTCAAGAACGCGCACTGGGCCAAGGGCTTGGTACATCAGTTCACGGCGGCACAGAAACATGGGCATCCTCGCATTCCTGTTGTCTTCAAGCCGCCCTTGCAGGAGTTCAAGCCTGATGCGTTGATCAAGACGGAGAATGCTGTTGCTTTGGTCGATGCGACGTACACCCGTCACAAGAACGCCTTCACCTTTGTGCGCCCGGGAGGCTTGGAGGAGGTGCTCTTGGCGGACAATGAGAGCGAGCTGAACGACTGGCTGGCCCTGATCAACTATGCCGCTGCATTCCGAGCTGCAGGTGTGAGAATCAGAGGGATGGTGGGCGGAGCAGAGGAAGACTTGCGCCGGGCAGATATCAGGAGACTCGAGTCCACGCAATCCGCTCGATCCGTGCAAACAGCAGCATCAGATGCAGATGTGTCGTTGCAACGCGGGGCACTGAGTCCACAGCTCGAGCGACAAGTCATGGCGGCGAGGCGTCAAATTATGGTGCAGAAAGTCAATGAGACGGCGCAAGAGATCAACGAGACCAGCAAGGAGCTCGACAATATGCTGAGAAATGCGAGGCATTTACTTATCCTGGCGCCGATTGCTCCGCGGACAAGGGAGGGGATCATCCACGCTGCTGCACACGCCGATGCATCCATCAAGTGGACGCGAAGAGATATCTGGCGACTGAAGTGTCACAAAGATCTCCTAGCCTTGGATGTGCAGCAGGACGGTCTGTCGGCGAGCGAACTCGAAGTCCTATCGGAGCACCAGCAGATCACGGAGCCGAGCGAGCCCGTGAGGAAATCCAGACCAAGCGTCTTGAAGCGACTGACATCCAAGGCCACCGGGTCGAAGAGCCCGCCTCAAAGTCCCACCTCCGCAATGGAAGCCACTCTCGAGCGACCTACCACCATGAGTTCCCTCGACACTTACATCAGCCCCGACGTCTTCCGTGCTCCTCCCGAATCGACAGTTCAAGAGGGTTCAATGGGTGATTGGCGCATTCCTCCTGTACAGCTAGATGTTCTGCACGAGCACCACCGCGGATCTGTCACTTCGACCTTGCTCTCGGGCTCCTCCCACCGCAGGCCGAGCGTTTCCAACGCTTCGACAATGTCTAGCCTCCGCCCTGGCGAAGAAACGCTGGATCGGCGACCATCTAGTGTCGCCGACGATAGCACCACGGTTGAGAAACTCGCACGAACAGCGACACCCTCCTCGCCTGAGCACCAGATTATGAGTGCTCTGGACGGCCCGACAAACACCACTCCAGAGAACAAGCACAAATCCGGTAATGCTGGTGGAGTGCGTCGCGGCCTACAGAAGACCCTGCGAGACGGCACACACCATCAGCACGCCGGCACCACCCCCGGTAGCAGCAATAGCAAACACCACCACCACCGACGAGGACGAGAAAGCGACTCCACGATCAAATCCACCAGCCCTGCCGGCGCCGCCTCTGCAGGAGGCGATGCATCAGACGGCGCACACGCACAGCAAGAAGGCACCCCTGGGCTCAAGCGCGAAACGCGCCGCTTCATTTTGCACGGCAAGCAGGCTTCTGTCGTGCAATTCGGGAACGAGTGGGGCGATGAAGAGCGCGCGAAGATGCGGGGCGAGCTCTTCAGGCAGGGCAGCCAGATGGCTGCTGCGAATGCTGACGCTGGTAGCGGTGGGGGGCAGAAGAGGTATAGTGGGGGTTGGCGCACAGCGGCTGCTTTTGCGGCGCTGGATGAGGGCAAGGGTCCCGGGAGTGCGGTTACGGATTTGACGGGTGATGAGGAAGGGGAGGATGACGAGGAGGGGAGTGCGGTTGAGGAGGATGAGGAGGAGGCGCTCGCATCTCCCCTGGCATCGAAACCCGTAAAAAGGGAAACGGTTATTGGACCCCGTGAAGGTGCGGACTCACTGTCTCCTCGCAGCGCCACGGGGGTGAATGGCAGCAAGCACCATTCCGCCTTGTCGGAGGATGAGGACGAGGAGGAGGAGTACGACACCGCTTCGGAGAATGAGGAGAGTAGTACTCGAGGGAAGCGAGTCACGGTTATTGGACCGCGACACGTCAATGGCTCACACCACGAGGGTGATGATACTCTTGCTGGTGCGGAGAGGGAAGGACTTGAGAATGAGGATGAGGCTACGAGACTTGATGAAACGTGAGGAGAGGAGATATGCTCCTTTCGCTCCTGCTGCTTGATGTGTGACCCAGGCAGAATTGATAGATTCGATCACTTACTTGGAGGGCACCTGATGAGTGCACAGAATGCACCTCCCATGTCCACGTGTCGATATTCTCCAAGACGTCTCTCAAATGTATCGTTCGTCGTTTGACACAGCACGCGCAGTCAAGAAAATGGCTGCGGACGGAAGATTCGCAATAATTCGCTCATTCAAGTCTCTATAATAAATTCAACCACGTATTATCGGCTCGTCGTCTTTTCCGCCTCTTCCACTCCGGCACGCCTATTGAGCCCACCTCGAATTCATCTCCATTCCATTCGCCTTCAATCATCACCGTCCCAGGCGCCTCATCAGCCGTTGCCGGAGGCGGAGGCGGGACATCACTAGCAGCACTGCTCCTCTTCGGCTTGACCAATAGCAAGATGAACATGCCGACAACCAGCAAGATCAACAACAGGATAACCTTCCGCTTGGTGCTCTTCTTCTGGTATCCCGTAGCGACCTTCAGCTCCTTCTCCGCCTCCTTCACATACGTCGCCGTGCGCTCGACGTTGTAGTCTATGCGATCCAGCAGACTCCCCTGATCGATGACCATGGCATTCAGCTCCTGGAAGATATTCGACAGGTCGATGACGCCCTGCGCAATCTTTTCGATTTCGCGCTCTCGCTGCGCGATTTGCGTGTCGTGCACGCCGCCCAGGCGTTTGCGGACTTGTGCTGTTTGGAGTAGAGTGGATTGCGCGGAGGAGCGGTCGAGGAGCTCTTCTTGCATCGCGGGGTCGGTGTAGGGGTTTTGTACAACGCCGGAGACGGGTGTACCGGCGCGGTCGAAGGGACTGCTCATGCCGCCGAGCGAACGGAGCTTTTTAAGGTATGCGGTCTGCTTTTTGCGGAAAAGAGTGCTGACTTCGCCGACGCGGGCGGCGAGGGAGATTTTGAGATTGCGGGCCATGGTTTCGTCGGCATTGGTGAGGGATGGAGTAGAGGATTGCTGCGCTTGACGGACGAGGGTGTCGATGCGTTTGATCGAGCGTTGGCAGGCGGAGAAAGCGCGCGTGATCTCGGACGTGAGATTCTCGATTTCCCGCTCTTCCTTTGCCTTGACGCTTTCGTCGTCGAAGCCGGGCAGGACGTGCTTGGCGTGGAGGGAGTCGAGGGTCTTCATGTTACGGGCGACTTCGGAGAGAGCCTGGGTGATGTCGTCTTGGATGTCGAGCCAGCGCGGTGGCAGGCGGTCCATTTCGATGACTGCGTCGCCGTCCGCTTGGTCGAGATCGGACATGAGGCCGGCGCGCTCGATGTCGTCGCCGGCATTGTTGCCGAAGCGGCCGCCATTGGGGTATGAGCGCTTGGAGGAGGTGGCGGGGTGGTGGGTGTAGCTCTGGCGGTAGGAGATGAAGAGGTTCGTGCGATCCCGCCAGGCGCCAGGGCTCACGGCCGTCGACATGTTGTGCGCCTTGCCAGGGATGGCATGGTGTAGCGTACTACCGCATGCGCGCCTGCACTGGTAGGGCCTTCTCAAGAGCTGCGGACGGGACAGGAGAGGATGTAGGCGAATAGTAGAGTGGAAGGAAGTGCGCGGATGATGGCCACGTCGAGGGATGGAGTTGAGAGCAAGCTCATGTGACAGAACAGGTTGCTGCCTGGTCACGACTTCTGTCCCCGACGTGGCCAAGCGGATGTTTGGTGAGAGGCTTCAAGCCAACGTCAAGGGTCCTGCCAATTTCCTCTCCTCCCCACCAGGCTGCTGTCCTTTCCCATTCCCACTTCACCACGCTCCCACAGTATCGCATCCCACGACTCTCGTCTCCCCTACGACCCTCCTCCCTGCGACATACCTCCGTCCCGTCACTTCCTGTTGACCCTTCCTACCGCTGCGAAACCACAAAATGGTATGCCCCTCTTCCACCACAACCACCCCCACATCAGCATTGCGCGGGATACATCTGCCATACACGCGTGGACCCGCACCCCATCCAGCCAATTGCGCTCCTCGATGAACGTGGATGAACAGGGGAGACCATGCTGACTCTGTGGACAATCAGGCGGATTCATTGACGGAAGAACAAGTGTCCGAGTTCAAGGAGGCCTTCTCGCTCTTTGTATGTCGCCTCTTCTCTCTCCCTGGCCCCCCTCCCTCCTCTCCCACCATCACTAACGTCCCCTCCCCGCACAGGACAAGGACGGCGATGGACAAATCACCACCAAAGAGCTGGGCACCGTGATGCGCTCCCTGGGCCAGAACCCCTCGGAGGCGGAGCTGCAAGACATGATCAACGAGGTCGACGCGGACAACAACGGCACCATCGACTTCCCCGAGTTCCTCACCATGATGGCGCGCAAGATGAAAGACACCGACTCCGAGGAGGAGATCCGCGAGGCCTTCAAGGTCTTCGATCGCGACAACAACGGCTTCATCTCCGCCGCCGAGCTGCGACACGTCATGACGAGTATTGGCGAGAAGCTGACGGACGACGAGGTGGATGAGATGATTCGAGAGGCGGATCAGGATGGCGATGGGCGGATTGACTGTGCGTGTCTTACCGTCTCGCTGGTCCTGCGTTTCAATGGCTGGTATACTGACTTGCTTTGCAGATAACGAATTCGTCCAATTGATGATGCAAAAGTAGCCTCTGCGCTGCTTCTCTACATCAGCATGCCACCGCTCCGCCAGCTCATCGCCACCTCTGCTGCATGAATCCTTTGCGTTGGTGCACTGACACGAAGCTTCCTCTCCCACTCGATTCGCACCCCTTACGCATTCTGTTTACACAGACGGCCAATCGCGATGGTGCGTGGGACTACTGTTGGCGGGCATAGCTAGATGTATTCACTCCTCCCTCTCTTTTGTGCTTTTGGTGTGATCTTGCTCGCTTTTCAACGTAACAAGCGCAGCGCAAAAGGATTGTCGGGTGAGAGCAATACCTTATATATCGGGTACATCCTTGCCCTTCCCTCTTCTAGAGGACACGAACACGGTCTCCCTACACTCAGCTCTATCTTTTCCTTATCTCGTCTGCAACCTCCAAGCACTCCCGCGCCATCTCCAACTGCTCATCCGTCCGGCACAGCAACAAGCGATGCTCCGCCCCCGGATTCCCCACATCCACCACCGTGCCCTTGCCCGGGTTCTCATTGCCCTTCAGATCCGGCGAGAAGCCCAAAAACTTGATCTTGGCACTCACCGCCTCGCGCAACTGCCACCCCTTCTCCCCAATCCCGCCGGCAAACACCACCGCATTGACGTCTCCATTCAACTTGACAAAGTACGAGCCAATGTAGCCCACAATGCGATCGACAAACACGTCAAACGCGAGCTTGCACGCCGCGTCGCCCTCGAAGGCGCGCTTTGTAATCTCCCCGAAATCCGTCGTGCCCGTCATCGCTTTCCACCCGGACTCTTTGTTGAGGATCTGCTCCGCTTGCGTAATGTGCAGCTCCTTCGTGCTCCCCGGCGCCGGCTTGCCGGCCTCGTGCGTAAAGTGGAAGATCAGACTCGGGTCTACATCGCCGCTGCGTGTCGCGCCCGGTAGGCCCGCGAGCGGCGTCAAGCCCATCGACGTATCGACGCTCTTACCCCCCTTGATGCAGCAGATGCTCGCGCCAGAACCGAGATGTAATGCGATGAGGTTCGTCTCATTCTCCCACGAGCGCAAGTGCCAAACGCAGGCCTTGAGGATGAAGGCGTACGACAGGCCGTGGAAGCCGTACTTGCGCAGCTTGTTCTTCGCTGCGCGCTTGGGGTCGATGGCGTAGGTGTAGGCTTCGGGGGGGATGGTTTGGTGGTAGGCGGAGTCGAAGAAGGCGACGTTGGTCGTGTTGGGGCATTTGGCGTGCACTGCTTTGACGATTTCGAGGGCGCCGGCATTGTGCAGTGGTGCTAGGTCGGAGAGGGCTTCGAGGTGGTGGTAGGTGTCTTTGTCTATGCGGGTGGGTTTGGAGTAGTCGCCGCCGTGCACGACGCGGTGGCAGGCGAACTCGATGTCGTCGGGGGAGTTGAGTTCTGACAGGCCCTTGTCGTCGATGAGGTGTTTGAGGATGTATTCGTAGGCATCTTGCGAGTTTTTAATGTCCGATAGCTCTTGATCTTTTACATTCTCATCGCCTCGAGAGTAGGTGAGTTTAGCGGGCGGTGCAGTTAGACCGGAGATCTGGATCTCGGCGAGCTGTTTGGGCTCTTTGTCGGCGTAGGAGAAGACGGAGACTTTGACGCTCGACGAGCCGGCGTTGATGGAGAGGATAACTTTCGACATCTTGTGTTGAAGAGTCGGGGACAGCGCTCTTCAATTTGTCGAAGCAGGAGAAGCGGAATGAAGGGATGCAGTCGTTATTCGCGGATGTGTGTCGGCTTCACGGATCATTCTCAATGCGCTGGTCATTTTTGGGGAACTGTGACGTCGAGGTCGATCTGCTGACATAATCTTCAACATCACCTCAAAGATGCCTTGCCATGTAAGTTAGGTCCCTACCTCAAGGTAGATACTAGTAGCTACCTCTTCTGGTAAGATGGTCCTCACAAGTGCCTAAACCAATGCCTTCTTAGCTATGTTCACCTCCATCGAGACAAGGCCAGTCCCGCCATCTTCCACAGTCCACACTCCCGCCCGGCCGAAGCCGCGTGACATCTCGACTAGCTTCACCCATCGCACTTCGCTACAACATCCATCATCCACGTCTTTACGTGCTTGTGGAGAAGTTGAATCCTGTTTCGTAGTGGACAATAGCGCCATGTGTGATCCCATTCTGCAATGGAACAATCAGCAACCCGCATGAGCATGCCTCCAGACCGGCGGGATTTTCAACGCACCTGTGCGAGACTTTTGCTGCCATCTATATAGCCGTTGTTGTCAGGGCGCCGGAAGACCGTCCTTTCATACTTGAGTCCGGCGGCTTTACCCAGCTCCTCGACGGCCTCTCTGAAGTTCTCGTCGGGTTTCCGGAAGTACGTGCGTCTCTTTCCGTGTTTGCGATCGAAGTGCACTTGAATCCACGAACTGGGGTGATCACTCACTCGGCGCTGGAGCTCTACGATAGCCCTACTCTTCTTGAGGAGCAAGGCGTCCGTGGCCGCCGTCGTTTTCGCGCAGTCCGCGACCTTCTTCTCAAGTTGTTTATTCAGCTCCGCAATCTCTCCGTCCCGGGCGTTGATCTTCGCCAACAACTCCGAAACATTGGCTTGCGATTCTTGCCTAGCTTTGGCAGCGCCCTCGGCCATTGCTGAAAGTTTTGCCTGATGAAGTGCGTTTTCGGCTTTGGCGCGACCAGCGGTTGAAGATGCTGTGGTCTTCTCCTGCCCAGCCTTGAGCTCGGAGATCTCTTTCTCATGCTGTTTCTTTAGCGCAACGATCCAGTCGTTGTGCTTGGAGATCTCCTTTGCATGTTCATCTTTCAACGAGCTGACTTGGCTGCTGTGCTGAGAGAGCTGGTTCGCATGCTCCTCCTTCAGCAAGTTGATCTGGTTGTTGAGTTTGGTCTCGGTGGCTTGGATCTGCGCTTCGTACCCGGCAGCGAGGTTTTCGAGATAAGCCCTTTGCATGGCTTCTCGGGCGACTTCTTCCGCGGCCTTTTGCGCGGCCTCTTGTATCCCTGTGAAGAGCATGGAGGGCGGGGGCGGATTCTTCCGAGCCGATGTGTCCTTTGTGACACGATTGTTGTCGTTGGTCGCCATGATGAGGACTCCAGTCGGCTGTGATGAAGATGGTAGTGCTGAAGTTTGGGGTCTGGAGATGGACAAAGAGAAGTGAGGTCGTCCGACTAGCACGGAATGAAGTTGAGTGCAGCAGAGTGCAGTAGAGTGGAACAGTCCGTCGGGGTGAGGAAAAGCTCACAATCAGGTTGAAGAGAGCAGAGGATGGTAGGGGAATGCAATTTCTAGCTTCTTCGATTCAAGAAACTCGTAGCTCGGTGTCCGGGGCCGTTGATGATAGGAAAGTAGAGTGAAGATGGATCCTCGTGCTTTGAAGTAACAAAAGAGTGATTAGCTTGCCTGAATGGGATGAGTCTCACCGTCATGCTAAAAGACAACAGCTGATAGTGAGTGGAGGGGGCCTCGTAGTGTCGCCCGTTCACGTGCCAACTGGTTCACGTGTTTTGGAGATTGAACTTTAGTGTCGACCATGCAGAAGATCAGAGTAGGAATGAACTCGAAGCTATTCAGCCAATTCTGCAACATCAGCTTCTCGATCTCACCCCATCGCTCTAGAGCCTTGCGTCGAGCAGGCGCAGTTGGAAGCGGAGTCATAAGGTGCGAGGGCAGCTTCTCGGACTCGTTCGAACAGCGGAGGCACAGGACTCCAGTATATGATGAGCGTCACGGAATTCTCACAAAGGCCCGTTCGATGTTACATCAACGCTTGGGGGTTTCGGTATCTGAACTCGCCGGCGTGCTGGAGTCATGCAGATGAAGTGCAGTGGAGGGGATGAGGTCGAAGGCGGCCAACCAGCCACATGGTAGCCCCACCCCGGAAGAACGTGGGGCCACCATTGGTCAAGCAATACGAGGGGCAGCTGAAACCAATGGAATGACCTCAGCCTCTACTCCCTCCGTCGCCCACCTACCTTGTCCATACTGGTGTTATGTGACCCGACGACCGCATTCTTCCCTACAGGGACCTAGGGCATGAGTGGAACTGCTGGCCATGGCCTGGAGACAGGCGAGAAAGGCACAGATGGGCGGGAAGGCGAAGATGCTGCAAAAGAGACGGACACCAGCGACCATGCACCCGCCTCGCAGCATGCCCCAGCAGATGCAGCCCTGCACGCCCTCGACACCGCCGTAGCCCGCACGCACATCTCCGCCTCCTCCAGTCGACACCACTCGCCCGGCCTGCACATCAACACGCACATGGACACCTCCTCGCTGGGCACGGCGGTGCGACTGCAAGAGACGCCGACCATCTATGAAACGCCATTGGCGGAGAGGACGAGCAGTATTCAGTCGGGACTCACCTCGCCCGGCTCTCTGACGATGATTGGATCCGCCCTGCGAAGCGCCCGCTCCAACTCCAGCATCAACTCCATCGTCTCTCATGGCTCTGCCACCGCGTTAACCTCCCCTTACCTCGCAGCCATGTCGGATCTCACCCCGTTGCCTTCGCCTCAGCTAGGCAGCGACTCCTCCAAGCGTCATTCCGGCCGATTCTTCCTCGCCAGACCCGGCACTCCGCAATCCCGCGAAGGGTCAATGGATGAGCTGGGATTGGGGTTGGTGGCGGAGAAGATGTCCCCTCCCGTGTCCAGGAAGAGGAAGGGGTACAGCAGCTTGCTACACGATGCCATGACGATCAATCCCGTTGCTATGGGCGAGAATAGCAGGGTCGGCGACGAAAGCCATGGCAGGAATAGGAGTATATCAGACTTCACGCCCGAGCATCTGCAGAACCTACGGCAACGGCACGTCACATACGGTCCCGGTGCAGCGGCCGATATTGAATCGCAGGAGCATCATATGCATAGAGAAGAGTACCTGGCCACGAAAAGAGGTCTTACTGCTCCCATTACCGACGACAAGCAGCAACAGCTTCCCACCCCACCCGCCAGTAACTCCAGCGTGGGCGAGAGCGATGAAGCGGAGGATGAACAGCCGCTTCTGACCGACGGCTCCCGAGCCGAATATCTAGTTATCCGATGTGGAGTGCACAACAAGCGACGGAAATTCCGCGAGCTTCGACAGCTGGGACAAGGCACTTTCTCCAAAGTCATGCTGGCCACGTCCGAGAAGATCCCCGCACACCCAACACCCGAGATTGAAGAACACCTCGACAGTCACAAGCTCGTTGCCGTCAAAGTTGTCGAGCAAGGCCCAGCAGGCGGCGCCGACGAGCAACGCATCGAGATTGGACTGAAGCGCGAAGTCGAAATGCTGAAAAGCCTTTCCCATCCCTCGTTAATCCATCTCAAAGCCTGCGAGTACCAAGAGTCCCGCGCGCTCCTGGTCCTCACCTACTGTCCGGGCGGTGACCTCTTCGAATTTGCCAGTCAAAAGCGCGAGCTTCTCACTCCCCCTCTGATACAGCGCATCTTTGCCGAACTGGTGCACGCCGTTCGGTATCTGCACACCAATTGGATCGTACATCGCGACATCAAGCTGGAAAACGTACTTGTCAACTTGCCCCCTGCCGCTCTACAATCTCTGCAAGACCCCCGCACCCATTCGACACCTATCGTAACACTCACCGATCTCGGCCTCAGCAGGCGCATTCCCGAACCCCCGGAATCCCCTCTACTCACCACTCGCTGTGGGTCAGAGGACTACGCCGCCCCCGAAATCCTACTCGGCCAACCATACGACGGCCGCTCCACGGACGCATGGGCGCTCGGAGTCCTGCTGTACGCGCTGATGGAGGGGAGACTACCCTTTGACGCGCCACCGGGCAAGCCAGAGCGCAGCCGAAACACGCATCGAATCGCGCGGTGCGATTGGATCTGGTGTCGATTCGGGGACGATGATGGGGAGTGGGATGCCAAGAAGAGTGGAGGAGAATTCGAGGGCGCGAGAGCGTGTGTTGAGGGTTTGCTGAAGAAGGTCAGGATGGGGAGGAAGTCGGTGGAGGAGATTGGCAAGATGGATTGGGTGGAGGAGGGGATTCGAGTGGTGGGCGGCTTGAAGCCTCGGGTGGTGGATGAGGATGATGGGTTGTTTTGATGGGATCTTGATTCATAGACGCAAAAGTTGCATCTGAGCGACCTGTGAAGGTCAGGGAGAGGGCCCGATGCTGGAAGAGTGTATGTCAACCCTACCTTAGAACATCGTGCACGGACTGTATAACAGCGTTTGAGCACCTCGCCTGAAGAGCATCAAACTGCAACTAAACCTGATTCAAAACGCACAATAAGTTGAATAAATCCAAAGAATGTAAAATCAATTCGACTTGGAAGTGCCACTCACCTCAGCCATTGCGACGCAAAGACGATATGTCACCGGATCGCAGCAAAACCAGCCAGCCAACAACCTACCTCCACCTCGTTCAGAAATGCGACAAGTACGTCCCCAGGAACCAAACCTCATCATCCTGCTAACAACCCAGTCTCCCCTCCACACCCCCCACAAGCAACCCCTACTACGAACTGCATCTCCCGGCCGACTCTCGCCCGCACGGCTACCTCCTCCCCAGCACCGTCGCCGCAATCCCCTGGCCGCCCGCCTTCCACGTAGACCACGATTCGCGCCCCCGTAGAGTCACCGTTCTCGACTCCTCCGCCGGCACCGCCACGGCGCAAACCGTCAACGCCGCTTTCGCTGACGTCGTCACGAGGTGCATCGATGGCGACCTCTTCCACGTTCTGGATGGGAAGCACAGCGAGCCCTTCGCTGTCCTGGGCGCCAACTACCCCGTCTACATCGAGCGGTTCGCATCCAGTCTGTTCGGCATTACAGCGTGTGGGGCGTGTCTGGTGGCGTATGTAAAGGACGGCGATTCAGGCTTGAAAATCTGGATTGCCAAGCGCGCGGCTCATCTCTACAGCTACCCTGGCTGTCTGGACATTACCGTTGCGGGCGGGGTGAAGGCGGGCGTCAGTCCGCTGGAGACGGTAGTGCAGGAAGCGATGGAGGAGGCGTCGCTGGAGGAAGGGGTGATGAGAGCAGGCGTGCGGGCTTGCGGCGTGGTGACGTGCATGGGAATTACGGGCGACGACTGGGCGGGGGAGAAGGGGCTGGTGATGCCGGAGCTGCTGTATTTGTATGAGATGGAGGTGGGCGGGGATGTGGTGCCACGGCCGCACGATGAGGAGGTCGAGGGCTTTCGGTGTCTGCGGGTGGAGGAGGTGCGGGAGGCGTTGCTGAAGGGTGCGTTCAAGCCGGATGCGGCTTGTGTGTTGGTTGCGTTTTTCATTCGGCATGGCATCATCACGGCGGAGAATGAGCGGGACTATGTGGCCATTTTGGAGCATTTGCATCGCAAGCTGCCGTTTCCTGTCAAGCCCGAAAGCCACGCACGGTAGCCAGGCGATCACGAGGACAGGTCTCATCGCGTCTCCTCCTCGTCACGGTCCATAGCCTACAACCCGGCACGCTTCAGCTCTTCCTTCCGCCTCAGTTCGTAACCCATCACCTCCTACCCCGACCTCCGCCTCCGCCTCCGCCTCCTCTCCTTCCACCCCCCGGAAGCTCCATACCCCTCGGCCGCCCGAAATTCCCAATATCCGGCCCACCATCCACAAGCTTACCCCCATCCTCAAACGTATACCTCCGCACGTCGCCGCCGAAAGTGAAGCTCCCGTCCTTCCTGTCGTCCCAGTCCCGACTTGTGAGGCTCGCCAGCGCATCGAGGCGCTCCTCCACGACGACGGGGAGTTGAGGCTTGAAGTAGAGTTTGGGTTTGCTGGTGGTGTGAGAGAAGCGGTGATCGAGGATGTCGAAGGAGGCGGTGGAGGGAGCTGGGGTGGGTGTCGATTTGGTGAGGGAGGGAGCTGCGGCTTCGTGTGACGGTGGGGGTTTCGCGCCGCGGGGGCCGAGAGGCGCGTTGGGCATGCCCGCACCCGCTCCTGCTGCGCTTGCAGTACTGCCCGGTCGCGCCGGCGCGGTAGCAGCTGGTGTGGCGCTGCTGCCCTCCGTCAATCGCGCCTCGATGCCCTCTGTGCCCTCTTCGTAGACGACTTCCCATCGCTTCACCCCCCTTCGTCCGCCCTCTCGTTCCTCACGTAACTCCTCCTCAATCCACCCTTCCACCTTCTCCTCCGGCACAAAGTCCACCCAGAGAGGCTTGCGCGTGGGCTCGTCAGGCCAGATGTGGGAGTGCAGAGCCGAGCGGGTGCGCGCAGCCGCAGAGACAGAGGTGAAGAGAGCGAAAGCATGCGTGCGGATCTGGTCGATGTGGAGAGTCTCAACGACCGAGTCGGATGAGGATGTGTTGGGTGCGGTAGCCAACTGAACGAGGTGGGTTCGGAGCTGGGCAGCTGGCAGTGGGCGAACGAGGCCGCGAATGTATAGCGCGCGAGTGGCAGGGTGGATTGCAGGTTCCGTCGCAGTTTCGCCCTCACCTGTCTCCTCTGCGTGGGCTGGCTGAGTCGGTGCTTTGAGATCTGTTCTGTGCTCTGCGCCTGGTGATTGAGCTTGCTTCTCCTCGTCCACCTTCATCACATCGTCACTACTGCTGTATGGTAGGATCTTGTCGCCACTGTCAATCTCAGCACTCCTGTCGACCGCCACCGGCGCATCTTCCACCATCTTCTCTTCTGCATTCTTGTCCTCCTCTTGGTCCTCGGGCAGCTTGACAATCAGCGCAGCCTCTTCCTCGGCGGCCTTCAACTTCTTCTGCACGCTCTCTTCATTCGGGGCCGGAGTGCGGCTGCGTCTCTTGCGTTTGCGTATCTCCGACGATACGCTCTCGGTTGCGGGAGAGGAGGGTTGCGGTGTGGTGCGGGTTGAGGGTTCTTTGGAGAAGGGCTCGCTGCTTTGCAGGACTGGTAGGTCGGACAAAGGTGCCAGGGTGGAGGTCGAGGTGTCCAGAGGCAGTTCTGTCTGCACCGATTGCTCTTCGACCACATCCTCCATCGCTTCGGTGGGCTGCTCAGGCAGCACAATCTCCGGCGCACTCTCCACTGGCTGTGCCTGTTGTGCTTCCGGCAAATCTTCCTCTTGAGCCACCGCGTCCTCGCCTTTCACTTCTGCTGGCTGCTCTGCATTCTCTCCATCCTCTGCCGCCGCGCCTGCCTGCTCGCGATCGTTCTCCTCCAATGCCTCGACGATTTGTGCTTTACGCGACAGGCCTGTCGATGGAATGCCACGTACCTTTAGGATCTCCTTCAACTCGACCACCTTGAGCTTGTTGTAGTCTGTCGCCATCTTCGCGGTGTGCGCTGTTGATTGGTTGGCGAGGATGCGACGGCGCGTGGGGAGAAAAAGAGTTGGTAAGGATGTTGTGAAGTTGCAGGAAGTGAAACGCGCGCGACATCATTGCGGATTGATCTGCAGGGCAACGCACGGATCGCAGGTAGATCCGTGCGTCAGGTGTCAACCTCAGGCCGACCCGCAGCATGTGATGGAACTGGACTCGCGACAACTTCTACCGACTCGCGTTCCATTGGCAAAACTACCTGGCCATGTTGGCATCACCGTGAATCAGATGCTACTGACAATCTGACACCTCCATCTTCCTACTTGCATCGCGCCTCGCGCGCCATCCCATTCACCCTCCTTCCTCCTCCCTCTCCCTTTCTCCCTCAACCTCGTTGCCCATCATGTCTTCGAAGATGTGGGAGGTCGACCCCGAAACGCGCAGCAAACTCCTTGACATCTCCAAGACCAACGAGAACAACAAATGCGTTGACTGTGGGGCTCCCTCTCCTCAATGGGTAGGAATCCACCCCTCCTTCTCCCCATCCCGAGCACACAATTGACACCCCTCGTCCAGGCATCGCCCAAATTCGGCATCTTCTTCTGTCTAGCATGCAGTGGCATCCACCGCAGCCTGGGTGTGCACATCTCCTTCGTCCGCTCCGTCACAATGGACGCCTTCAAGAATATCGAGGTCCAGCGCATGTCGCTGGGCGGCAATAAGCCATGGAAAGACTTCTTCAACAACCACCCCAGCAACAAAGTCATGGGCAGGGATTTCGAGAGCTGCACAATTGCAGAGAGATACGATAGCGAGGCGGGAGAGGAGTGGAAGGAACGCTTGACCTGCAAGGTTGAAGGCACAGAATACGTCCCTGGCGCCAAGAAGCCCGCGAGGCCAGAGACGGGCATCACGCCGGCAGGGTCAGGGAGGAACACTCCAACACCCAGCAACGTACGATCACCACCGCCACAAAATCGAGCACCACCCGGCCAAAAAGCCAAGAATGAAGCCTACTTCGCCTCCAAGGGCGAAGAAAACGCCTCTCGCCCCGACGGTCTCCCGCCCTCACAGGGAGGGAAATACGGCGGCTTCGGCTCCGGGCCTCCTCCATCCTCATCCTCCGCGTCTGGTCTGGATGTTAATGGCATGCCGACCAGTGACGACTTCCAAAGGGATCCCATGGCCGCGCTGACCAAGGGTTTCGGCTGGCTAAGCAGCACCGTCACTAAGCAAGCCAGCACCGTCAACAAAGCCTACATCCAGCCGGGCATGAAGTCGCTCGCGGAGGGCGACTTCGCCGCTCAGGCACGCGCGACAGCCCTGCAAGCCGGCACATTGGTGCAGCAGGGCGCAAAGGGCGTGGGCGATCAGTTCAACAAGTTTGTCGACCCGGAGCTCAGCCAAGGCGGCGGCGGCGCTGCGTCTTCATCCACTGGCGGGCGAGCAGCGCCCGAGAAGAAGGACTTTTGGGATTCGTTTGGGCAGGATGCGGCGGGCCCGCCGAAGGAGAAGCGGGCTTTCTGGGATGATTTTGCGGCGGCGGGCGAGGCTGCTGGGCAAAGCAAGGCTGCCGCGAAGCCCACAAGTATTGGGACCAGTGCGATGAAGACGGGCGGAGGAAAGAAAGAGGAGGGCGAAGGATGGGGGGACTGGTAGGCGCTGGTTTTGCTCAAGGCCCGGGACTGTTGGATGCATAAGCGGGGGTCTGTTGAATGTCGGAAACAAGATAGGAGGTGAGCGCTGGTGTTTGGGGGTATCATTAGAGTGGTGCAGAGCGAACTGACCAAGTTGTCAGAGGCTGCGAGTATACTGACGGTACCGATAAAACAGAGAATATTCAGCACGACCGAAAAGAATATCGCTTTTATGGTCAGAACATCGCTACGTAACTTCATGTGCGATTATGCCACTCGTAATCGAGTCGGTATACTCCCGTCCCACCCTATCCTACACAGCAATAGCTTCACCGGAGACTCTCTGTCTCCTCCAGGTCAACATGGAAGTAGCGCTGTTTCCGCTCCAGTCCCCTTCGCCAGAGCACGGCACCAGAGCGAGCGTCCAGGCTGCACAAATATGCCGCGAGCTCCTAGGAGTCGCCGACGAGAACCGCCATGGCCATCAGAAGCATGGTCTCGCTGTCCGTCTTGCGCGTACACACCGCTTCGACTTTTTATCAGCATAAGCCCGGGATTGGGGAAGCCGCGCAGACTGTCAGGGCTGACCGCGAAAGTACGCAGCAATGTTTCGATCGAGCACTTTGAAGCTGAGCGGCTTCACGAAGAACTCGTTGGCGCCCGCCGAGGCGGTCTGCTCCTTGTCTTTCTCCGAGTCTTGGCCGGTGACTGCCGAAGGTACAACTGTTAGCTGGGAGAGAAATGATGACAACGACGAATACTAGGCGAGGCCAGGGCACCACACTTACCGATGAAAATCCTCGCCGGCGTCAACCCCTTTTCCTGCTCGAATTTCCGGATCTCTAGACATGCTTGCAGGCCGTTGCGATTCGGCATCTGCAGATCCAGCAGGATTAGTTCGACCGGATTCGTCGACGCCGCGGCCGCTTCGTATGCTGCGCACGCTTGCAGTCCGTCGGTGGCCAGGGTGTAGCTCATCCCGCGCTTGCCGCAGTACATGCGCAAAAGGCGGAGGTTGACGTCGTTGTCGTCGACGAGCAGACAGTGCGGTTTCCAGTCTGCGCTGTGGTCGATGCCGTTGGTGAGGATGGGGGTGTCTGTCTGCGATTTCGGGGTGAGGGCTCCGGGGATGGATATGGAGCGAGCGAGTGCATCCGAAGAAGCTTGTGACTTCTTGAAGGCTTTCCGAGCTGATAGCAGGGCTTGCTCCATGCGCTTGGTCGTAAAGGGGCCAGTGGCGAAGAGTATGTTGGGAAACTCGGCTTTCAAGTCCTGCAAGCGCTCGCCCACGGGAAGAAAACATATGCCTACGGTCCAGCCCTGCTGGGCCCGAAGCAGTGCTTTCCGGAGTTCCTGCGCATCACCGCGCCAACTCACCCATGCCACGGTGTTTGCGGGCTCCGAGATCACTCGACAGCTGTATTTTGCGAGACATGGCGCAATGTGTCGAAGAGAGAGAGACTCCAAAGACGGATTGACCACGTACAAGTCCAGCATTGGAAGGGGTGAAGCTGGCTGGACAGCAGCAAAGGTGAAGGCCGGATTTTGAATCTCTGCCCGGAAATGTGAACCCTTGCCCACGACGGAGGTAACGAGAGTCAGAGAGCCGTTGATCGACTCTGCCATTTTACGCGCGAGCGTCAGACCCAAGCCGACACCACGGGTGTGAGAATCGGCCTTCTCGTAGGCTTCGAATATCCTCTGGTGATCTGCGACCGGGACCCCGCATCCCGTATCCTCCACGTCGATCCGGAAATATGAATTGTCCTCCGAGGTTGAGATGGTAATGACCACTTCGCCGATCGAGGTAGCTTGCACGGCATTGAGCACGATGGATTGGACGCACTCCCTCAACAGAGTGTCATTCGTCGTCAGGCCTTTCATCTCCGGCGATAGACGGTTGTCGAAGACAATGCGCACCATGGAATCGCTGTCATCGGGCAGGACCGAGAGAGCATCGTCCATGATGAAGTTTTCAAGTTCTCGCAGGTCCACCTCGCGCAGCATTCCATCGCGATATCCTCGCTCCGTCCAACGATGGAGCTTGATCACATTGTTCAGCGTCGACATGAGCTCTTTGCCCGAGTTCCGAATCGTGGCGATCACTTCATCGGTATTGATGGCTTCTTTTCGCGATTCCATGGCAGGTGGAGGGCCCGTCGCCCTGCTAACGGCACTGGCCGCCAACTCCTCTGCGAGCAAGTCCACCGACCCAAGCACTCCATGAATTGGGGTGCGGAGTTGATGAGTGATGCTGCGAAGAAACTCCTCCTTAATCTTCAATGCTTCCCGGAGCGATGCCTTGTGCGAGGCGATATTGAGTGCGGAGGTACACTTTTCGATGAACGAGACATCAATATCATCAAAAACTCGTCGAATGTCCTTCGAGGCCACGAGAAAGTACTTTGTCCCGACATCCGCGCTGGACGCTCCAGAGATGGCCCGCACAAACTTATCAGTCGTCAGTGGCTGGTGGTTGCGAGAGAGAATGAGGGCGTCGAGTTCTTCGGCATTTTCCCACAGTCCGGCGTGGGTCTCAGACACCGGTAGTAATTGACCGTTCGATAGCGGAATGGACTCTTCACTGGTGGCGACCACTAGGACGTCCTGTTCGGGGTAGATCTGCTTGATGCCGCGCATGATGCACTCCTCGGCCGTGTCGAGCTCGCAGTCGGAGATGGCGGAATTCACCAGCTGATTCATGCGTTGCTGCTCCTTTTGCCGGTTCCAGCGACACTGATTGATGACCTCTCCCGATACCATGGTAGAGAATCGTTTCAAAATGTCCTGCTGCTCGGGTGATAGAGTCCGACCGGGAGTTCCAGATGCAACGCAAAGAGAGCCAAGCGCCACCTCTTCTCCGTTTTCAGTCTTACAGAGCAGCTGCGTCCCGCCATAGCTTCTCAAACCGCCGTGCACTACTTGGGGGGAGTTCTTGAAGCGCCAGTCATTCGCCATATCGGCCATCAGCAACATGGTCTACTCCATACGTTAGCCACGAAGTGCCGGTGTGCGGTTTGATGTTTCCACCTACCCCGGGAGGCTGCACGATTGTATGTGAACACGGACTCTCCATTCTCCGCACGGTGCCGGGCAGCATGCCAGCGGAGACGAGACGCTCGAAGACATCGTTGTCCAGCAGACCGCACAGAGCGATCTCCCACCCAAGAAAGTCCCTCACCAAATTGACCTTCTCTTGGATGCGATGCAGCAGTTCGGTGTCCTGCGCCATGCCTCGAGTGTAGTACCAAAATCTGTTCAGCCGGAGGCGCTCGTTGCGAGCGAGAGAGGGGGCAAGGTAGGAGGTAGGGAAGTCGGAGGGTTCGACAGGAATGTCGTAGGCGGGCGCGGAAGGGTCATGCTGCGCGCGGAAGCTCTGGAGGTGTACATCGGGGTTGTAGGCCAGCAGCGGTGCCATGAGGTCGCAGTGGCCGAAGACCGAGACCTCGGGATCTGCTTGAACGTGCAATGCACCGCCGGGGAGCTGTGGCATGGCGTCGGGGGCGAGCGCCATTGCGCCGGAGAGTGTGCGGACGGATGCTCTCGTCGATGTCGAGCCTCGCGTTCCTTTCGAGAATGATGCAGGTGTCAACGATGCAGAGGCGCTTCGAAGCAATGAGGGACTCTGCCGAGACCCGCTATGTGGCTGCAACCAGGGTGCAACAGGGTCCTTCCAGGCTACACATTTCTGTATCGCGAGGGGTCGGCTGGATGAGGTGGGTTCGCGAAGCACAGCTACGAAGCAGCAGACTCGAGATGGGAAGTGACTTTGATTGCCACTCACACGGTCGAGGTCTTGGATTCACGCGGCCTGTAGAATAATGAACGGGCCTGCACTTGTGCCAGGGCCCGGCAGCGGCCAGATTCGTCGACGTTCTAGGCCGTTTGGACCCCGGGACCACCGTCTTGCCGCCCTGAATTCGCCACCCACCAGACCCTTCTTTCGCGCTTGGACCGCGCGAGACGGCTCAACCTGCCACATGGCTGTCTCACGTGGGCATCGCCCCTCTAACTCTCGCACCAGCAGCACATCGGCATTACCAAGTCTCCTGCTTATACCGCCCAGCTCTCTCCATCGCATCGAGATACTGCTCAGCACCCTCCTTCGTTTTCAGCGCCTCTGGTGCGGACAAGACGTCCAGCAGAGCCTCCCGCACGCCCTTGGGCATATTTCCCGACGACCCACTGATGTAAATCTTCCCCTGCCGTTCCAAAATGGCGTCTTGCAGTAGCCGACTTTCCTCCCGCATCCGATCTTGAACGTAGCGCTTTGGCTCCTCTGGATCGCGGGAAAAAGCAGCCAAAACATGGAGACCTTCTGCGGCCTGCATGTGATTCCACTCATCTCGGAAAAAATAATCCGCGCTCGCCGCCCGGCAGCCGAAAATGAGTATGTCGCCAGCCAGTGGTCTGCCAGCTTCCTTTGCATTCGACTCTTGAGCCCAGAGGAGTCGTTGCCACACCATCGACCGCATCGGCGCCAGCCCAGTTCCCGGCCCAATCATGATTGCAGGCACTTCGAGCTCGCTGGGTTGCACGTCGAGATAGCCCTGCTGCAGCCCAACATTGATGCTCTGTCCGGCTCGCAAAGACGCAATATACCGTGTGCACACGCCATATCGCCGCCTCCATTTGATGATTGGGCTTGGCGGATCTGCGATGGCTACTAATAATTCCACCTTGGTTCTGCCATCCTCCGCACAACGAAGACGGCCGCCACTTGTGATACTGAATTGTCGCCCCTTCATGGCGGGGAATGCCGACAGAGCATATTGCCAAGGGACTTTGATTGTCGTAAAGTCCATCATGACTTCCAAGATGGTGCGTTTGGGCCGGGTTGTGTAATCCCACAGTTCATCAATCAAATCCGGATTTGCCAGCTCCAACAAGCGCTCCTTCTGATAGGCCTCGTCTTCCGTGCTTTCGCCAGCAAAGTGGGCAAGGGATGCAAAGAAGGATCGGCGGGGAATGGACATGATGTCTAGCACATTCTCCAGAAGCCACCTCAGCGATAAGTCGATTTGGGCCAAGTCGAGATGGCGCAGCGGCGAGGGCGCGGAAACAGCGACGGATGATGGATCGTTATTGGAGATTAGTTGCAATGGTTGATCTGCTGCATCTTGCCAGCCCATGAGCTGAATGAAGTCGTCCACGTCTTTCGGAAAGTTCTTGGGATAGACCACTGCAACCGCACCAGGCCCGTAGGTGTAAGCTTCGTCCAGCACTAGGTCCAGCAAACGGACATCCTGGAAGTGACGAGGATGAGTCACGCGATCGTTCGCGACAATGTGCGCGGTGTGGATGCCATTCATTGGTATCAAAGCACCCGATGGCGTCGCTTCTTCGTCCTCACTCTCGGCTACTCCTTCGTTACGAGCGGGTTCGGTCCGGGGGCCATTGCTAGTCTGTCCGATGGAAGCAGTGACAGCATCGGAGATGGCCAGCTTCCACTTCGGCTCAATGAACACATCGTCCGCAAGCGGCTGCAGGTCAGCGTCCAGCGGAAAAGCGTCCAATAGCTTCTGTCTCAATTGCACAATCCACTCGCGAAACCCAGCACTGTGACCCTCAGGATGTTGCTCGTTGCCTTCGCCGCGCTCACAGAATAAACGTGCGCCAAGTTGTTGAAGTCTGTTGCACAGCATACGATGGGCAACGTTGAACCGCGCGTACGAGCTATCCCCCAATCCAAAGGAGCAAAACTTCAGCTTGCGCAGAATTCCCACTTTCAAGGCGCCACTGAGCAGTGTCTTCCAGAAGATCCTGGCATTCTGTGGCATTTCTCCCTGGCCGGTGGTAGAAAGGGCAAAGATGACGACCGTGTATTTCAACAGGTCTTTGAGCTGCACTGAGTCCATGTCGAGCACGATCGTTTCAAAGCGAAGTCGTTCCGCCATACGACCGACCTCCTCGGCGACATCCTGGGCGTTGCCGGTCTCCGATCCATACACGATCAGCGCCGTCCTACGTTGTCTGTCGATAGTCTGATTAGTACCTGAAGAAGGGAAGGGATGCTTCTTCTCACACACTCATAGCCGTTCCTGCCATCACGGACAGCGTCGTGGCGAACCGGGTCTGCCCTTTCCATTGATAGCATACACTCGGTCGTACTTGGCTCTCACCATTTGTACGATTGGACGTCTGCGTCTGTAGAAGTAGGCATCACTGGAGTGGAGGTAGGCATCAGGCAGAAGATGTGCAAGGCAGAGTCAGGCACACTGCAACGAGTCAGAAGGCGCACACGACTTATGGGCAGGAGCGTGAGAGCCAGCCAATCGGAAGCTTTCCGCACCGCGCCAAGAAAGGGTCAAAAAGTCGTGAGTGCCGCGACTCGTGAATATTTACAAGCGACGGGGCAACTCCTTCATCTCTCTCCCTTTCATCATCAACCACTGACAACAACATCCACGATCACCGTCAAACCCTCTCACCAAGCACTTTGGCCACGTAGCTAGCCAGCACTCTCCGTGAGTTTCATGTCACTCCGTTCGCACGTGCTCAAACAGCGCTGACGCAGTTTGACCCAGCTCGACAACCTCCGTTTCCTCCACAGGGCTTCCTGGACACCCACAGTTCCTTCAACCCTCACACGAAGTACCTCCTCACCCAGAAGTACTCAAGTCATCACCGTCAACACCACAAGTCCACTTCGTGTCATCAAACCCCCCAAACTTCAGCCAACATGTCCGCCGTCGATTCAGCCACTGCCCAAATGGCCAACACCACCCTCTCCGAGCCCACCGGCACTGCCGAGGGCGCCAGCGTCGGCGCTGGCGGAGACCGCCCCATCAACGCTTCTCAGAATGAGGCCGTCATCGCCAGCGCCGCAGAGGGAAGGAGACTGTACATCGGAAACCTCGCCTATGCGACCACCGAGGGAGAGTTGAAGGAGTTCTTCAAGGACTACCTTGTGTACGTTTCTGCATATGCAACTGTGGAGTATTGGGACGGATGAGCTGATGAAATGGGTTGTACAGCGAAACCACCTCGATCCCCACAAATCCCCGCACCACTCGCCCCGTTGGCTATGCCTTCGTTGACGTGTCCACCCCCTCGGAGGCCGAGCGCGCTATCAACGAGCTCAACGGCAAGAGCATCATGGATCGCAAAGTCTCTGTCCAGCTCGCTCGCAAGCCTGAGCCTGCTGGTGCTGTCGGCGAAGGGGCCGATGGCGAAGATGGCCAACAGCGTCGTCGCACATCAACCCGTGGCCGCGGCCGTGGCCGTGGACGTGGAGGCCGCACCCGCTCCGGACGTGTAAGTTGAGAGCAAGGTGGCCTTTGGTAGAACTTCGCTGACATGTGTTGATGGAAAAGGATGTGAACGGCGAGGCTACCGACGGCCCCACCAACGTTCCTGGCCAGGTTGCCCCCCTCACCTCTACCACCAACGAGGCTCTCACCGCGCAGCCTGGCGAAGATGGCTCGCTCACCGTCGACCCCAGCAAGGCCGGCAAGTCCAGTGCTCCCAAGCCTCGTAAGCAACGCGGCCCCCCTGAGGATGGTGTTCCCAGCAAGATGAAGGTGATGGTTGCCAACCTGCCATACGACTTGGGCGAAGAGAAGGTTGGTCTTCCCACTCGTCACGAAACCATGCTTCCCCGCTAATGAATGTCCATCAGCTCCTCGAGATCTTTGCCGATTACTCGCCCACCTCTGCCAAGATCGCGCTTCGTCCCATCCCCAAGTTCATGGTGCGCAAGCTCCTGGCGCGCAATGAGCCCCGCAAGGGCCGCGGCTTCGGCTTCGTCACCCTCTCTAGTGAAGAGATGCAGCAAAAGGCGTGTGCCGAGATGAACGGCAAGGAGATTGAAGGCCGTGAGATCGCCGTTAAGGTCGCGATTGACTCCCCCGGCAAAGAAGATGAGGACCCCAATGCGCCGCTGGAGGGTCACGCCGAGGTCGATGCCCACCCATCCACCGCCGAAGGCTCTGCCAACGTCAACACCGCCACCGCTTGATCCGGAATTGTCCCTAGCAGTTGATGACGTGCCGCGACTCAACTACCCCTGCACTCGTTCTGGACCGTAGCTTAGCTGGCATGGGCTACTGTGCAGCAACTCACCCATTCACACCCGACATGAGCGACCTTGGCCGTGCAGACGGGGGCAACGGGGAGGAGTGGAGGGAAGAAGACAAGTAACACATCAGATGCGAATATCTAGCTATCCTCGATTAGCAATATGCCACTCTGCTACATGTGTATGAATGCGTCGATGACCATCCATCGTTTTTTTATCCGTAGTTGAGAGAGGATCGTCCGTGTGCCGTCGTCTGCTCTTCTGCCGCGGGTTGGTTTGTGGCCCTCGGCAAAGCCCGCCGAGCCGGAGTGCATTACGAAATCTCCATGTCCTACATCGGCTTAACGACTGCTGCTCTGAGCTTCCTCCAACCTTTCCCGTCCATTGCATCTTGTCTACTCCCTTCCCACCCCAAGCAGCAGCAGCACCGTTCAAGATGTCGAAGCTGAGGATATTAGTTCCCGTCAAGCGGGTGATTGACTACGCTGTACGTCCCCACCACCTCACCCCTCAGCCCCCATGCAAACCCGCCCGCTCACAAAAGCAAAACCCCTGCAGGTCAAGCCGCGAGTCAACAAAGCGCAGACGGCAGTGGAGAAGAACAACGTGAAGCACAGCATGAACCCCTTCGACGAGCTCAGCATCGAAGAGGCGGTGCGCCTGCGCGAAGCCAAGAAGCCCGTCGAAGACATCCTCGCCTTCTCCGCCGGCCCCGCCAAGTGCCAGGACACGCTGCGCACCGCCATGGCCATGGGCTGCGATCGCGCGCTGCACGTCGTCGAGGAGAAGCAGGAGCTGGAGCCGCTGGGCGTCGCGAAGCTGCTGCAGAAAGTGGTCGAGGATGAGAAGCGCAATCTCGTTATCTTGGGGAAGCAGAGCATTGACGACGACGCGAACCAGACGGGCCAGATGCTCGCGGGCCTGCTGAACTGGCCGCAGGCGACGCAGGCGAGCAAAGTGGAGATTGACGAGAGTGACAACGTGACGGTGACGCGCGAGGTGGACGGCGGCGTCGAGACGCTGAGGGCGAAGCTGCCCATGATCATCACCACGGATTTGCGCCTGAATGAGCCGCGGTACGCGAGCTTGCCGAACATCATGAAGGCGAAGAAGAAGCCGTTGGAGAAGAAGAGTTTGAAGGATTATGGGCTTGATGTGGAGAATCGGCTGAAGACCGTCAAGGTGCAGGAGCCGCCGCCGCGACAGGGCGGAGGCAAGGTGGAGGATGTGGATGGGATGATTGCCAAGTTGAAGGAGCTGGGCGCGTTATAAAGGCCGATGTTGGAGAGTATGGTGTACATAGGTAGGGATGTCGTCTATGAATCTGAATACATTTCACTGGGCTAGTGTGCGGCTTATCGCTGTCTTACCAGTCTGCAGATGACGACGAGAGAAAGTCTTTTACGTTGGACATCGAGCAAGCCTTACAGATTGAAATGGCCTATAACGATGAAAGTGGTAGGGAACTCTGGCAATCGCCAATCTCATTCACACTTAACCCTCTTCTGCTCAGGACGCGAGTAAGCTAGGTAAATCGAAGCCTGAAGCAATGCTAGCTGGCCATCACCGAGGAGATGCCGCTGTAGGGGTATAGAAAGCAACGCAAGACAACGCAAAGCAACGCAACGTCCATCCGACCTGTTCGCCAGAATCATTCATCCTCATTCGGTAGCAGGGCTCAGTCTTCGGTGAGATCCACAACCTCGACACCGGAGCCATGGCCATGACGGCTCCGCTTGCCAGCCCGGCGCTCTGCCGCTGTCATAGTCTCGTTGTCATCGTTCTCGTCGTCCCCATCTGCGATCATGACGGAGTGGGCTCGCTTCTCCTTCTTGATTTTGACGGCTTCTTGGAGCTGGGCTTCTTGGAGGCGAATTCGCTCTCGAGCTTCGGCGAGGGTGAGCGTGTTCGGGTCGCGCTCCATGAGCGGGATGTCTCGTGGGATGAGGCCTTCGATCTGGAGATCACCTGCAACGTACGGTCAGTGCCATCTCTCCCGGCCTCAGGGCGGCGGAAACGTACGGCGGGAACGATACTTGAACGTGTAGACCCCCACGGGCACTTCACCCCATGGATACGTTACGTTTACATAGAGGGGCGCGGCACATGGCACATGGTTGTTCAGTCTGCGCGTGATTAGTCTGCGAAAGACACGCCGCGATAGTTTTGCCAGGGGGGGAAAGCACTCACGTAATGCGACTGGAGACAGCACGCCCTTTCAGTGCCTTTTCGGGGACGTTTGATCCGAGGGCGGGCTCAAAGTTGCGATGCGCTGTGGCCGACTGGGGGCCAGATTGCAGACACCTTCTCAGCACTGCCTGAACTTTGCCCACATTCGCCAACTGGCGGATGAGGCTTGCATTGGCCGAGCCATCCGCTACGATGGAGTCAGTGCCAGACCCTTGCAGCACAGCAGATGGGAGACGCGAACTCACTGGTGTAGAGCGGGGCAAAGGCAAATTTCGCGTAGCGTTATTGCCCATCTGTGTAGAGAGTGGTCCCATCAACGCTCACCTTCCCCGGGTTCTCCGTCTTCGAGTCCTGATAGAGGGATCCAGCCACCCATTTCCCATCGAGATAGACCGTGAGCTCGTAGTCACACCGAACCCGCGAGGCCGCAACCTGCATTTCCACGGAGAAGTTGGCGTCCACCACACTCTCCACATATCTCACGACCTCTGTGCAACCATCTACTTCCTCGGCGGATTCCTCCTCGTTTTCATACTCCTTCAGATCTTGCCCATCGACATGGAGTGTGACGCTCACGTTCGGGCGCCAGGGGTGCTTCATCTTGAAGGAGTTGTGGGCGCAACTATTCTTGGTGTGGAAGATTGACGCAGCTGTCAAAGTTCAATTAGTGTGCGAGGTCGTATATGAAAGGAGGGTGAAGAGTTGGCAGGTATGTGCCGGCTTTGAGGAGACGCGTTGGTGAAGGGCCTCCGTGACCTCGCGCGTCTGAGATTTGTAAGTGAAACACCGCCACGTGACAGAACAGTCACGGGAGCCGTTGCGTCGCCCAGTCACTTCGCGCGGACAACAAGTGAAAACGGAAGAAGGACGATGTGCCGTAGAGAACGAGACATTTCCTTGAACTTGACTACTGGCGTCGTACCGCAATCAATCCTTGACAAACAGGCAAGGGAGTTGGTCAGAAGTCGCCACCCATGGGCGATAACGCGCACGGACAAGCCGACGCAGTTCTTCACGACGGAAACTAGATGGTGAAGAACAGTGAAGAAGTCAACAAGTGAAGTTCGATGTTCCCTGAGGTGAAGGTCAGACCGACGACCGAATGAACAAACAGTGGACCGTCTGCCAAGCCGTCAAGCGAGCTGTCTCCACACGTGACGATAGCGTGCTCGGCACATCTCATTTCCCCGGCTTTGTACCTTCCAGTTTATCTGATCTTCTTGATCTGATAAGCTCTTCACGCCCGATCATCATCATCCACTCCATCCCATCTCTTCGGCCGAGCGTTGGCCCCGGGCGTCATGACGGCGCCCGCGGCTACATATCGCTATACAACATTCGGATATGGCGATGAGAGCAAGAGACTTACCGCCGCTGCTAGCCACTCGAGCATGTCCTCGCTGCTAGAGCGAGTGCGCTCACGAACCGACAGCCCGGCGCGAGACATCGTCATGCGTCCCCTCGCCGATCAAATCTCGGTGCACGAGTCGGTTCATTCCGAGCAGAGTTGTGACACCGCACAGCATGGCGTCAAGCGGCTCGAGGCCATCTCCTCCACATGGACTCGCTCCGGTCTGGCCGTGGCATACATCGGGTGAGCCGCACACCGCCCATTTCCTCCTCCAACCCTCTACTAACACCTCCCAGCATAGCGTTACTGGCTTTTGCAACGTCGCTGGAAGTTCAAACGACGGGCAACCTTACCATCTTCGCCACCAGTGCCTTCTCCTCCCATTCGCTCGTGGCGACGGTGGGCGTGGTGCAAGCCGTCGTGCTTTCCGTCGCCAAACCACCCATGTCCAAGATTGCCGATGTTCTGGGCCGTTTCGAAGCATTCACCATCTCCATCATTCTCTACATCGCCGGCTACATTCAACAAGCTGCCTCCAACAGTGTCGGGGCCTATGCTGCCGCCCAAATCTTCTACGCCGCCGGTTCGACGGGCCTGCAGATCCTCATCCAGATCTTCGTCGCCGACACCAGTGACCTCCTCAACCGCGCCCTATGTTCTACCCTTCCCCAACTTCCGTTCCTGTTCACAGTCTGGATTGGTCCCGAGGTCGCCCAAACGGTCCTTCGCAACTTCACTTGGAGACTCGGATATGCCATATGGGTGCTCGTCCTTCCGGTCGCTTTCTTACCACTCGCCCTCGCCCTGGTAATCAACCAACGGAAAGCAGCAAGGCGAGGCCTCCTTCCGCCCTCTCAATTTGAAGGGAAGTCGGCTTGGGGTGTCGTCAAGACTATCTGGTACGAATTGGACCTTTTCGGCCTCCTCTTGATCTGTGCCGCATTCTCCCTCATACTGATACCCCTCACTTTGGCCGCCGAAAGTGGTTGGGACAACAGTAGCCTCATCACTATGCTGGCCGTCGGTGGAGTCTGTCTTATTGCCTTTCCCTTCTGGGAACGAAGCAAAACCCTAGCACCCCGAGCATTCTTCCCGCGCGATCTCTTCAAGCAGAGAACCGTTGTTGTTGGACTGGCTCTTGCCTTCTTCTACTTCAGTAAGTAGACCCTTGACGAGCGTCATATTATGGACAACGCTAATCGCTCACAGTGGCATTCTACCTCTCCATCTATCCCTACTTCCAATCCTACCTGCTCGTTGTGCACAACCTTCCCGTTGCCACGGCCGGGAAAATGGTGCAGACGTTCACCTTTTCCGCGACGGTCACATCTCTCGTCATCTCCTTCGCCATCAAACGCACCAAACATTATAAGTCTTTCGTCGTCCTCGGTTCCATCATCTACCTCATCGGTCTCGGTCTCATGATGGGCTACCGGACCGAAGGCTCCCCACTCGGGGTCATCCTCGCCACCCAGATCATCGTCGGCATAGGCGGCGGCATGCTCAACGTCCCTGCCCAACTTGGCGTGCAAGCCTCCGCCACCCACCAAGAAGTCGCCTCCGCCACCGCCGTCTTCCTCACCATCCTCGAAATCGGGGGTGCTATTGGCAACGCCATCTCCGGCGCCATCTGGACAAACAACGTGCCCCAAAAGCTGGCACTATACCTTCCCACCGAGACGAAATCCCAGGCCGGCGCAATCTACGCCAACATCACCCTCGCTGCCGACGGCTGGCCGATGGGCAGCACCACGCGCATGGCCATCAATCGTGCCTACCAAGAAACCATGACGCAGATCCTCTTCGTCGCGGTATGCGTCGCCGCGCCGTGTGTGGTCCTCAGCTTGTTCATGAAGAATTACAAACTCGACGAAATCGACCAGCACGTCAAAGGCTTGGTCATTGGTGGCACGCAGGATATCGCCGATCGCAGGGAGTCTGCGTCTGTTGCCGGCGGGTCGTCCAGGATACAGTCGGAGCATCTATTGGGTGGGAATGACGATGACGACGAAGATGATGATGAGCGGAGGAGCCTGATCTCGCGATCGAGGAAGCGTCCTTCGTAGGCATGCTTTTGCCTGCTTGAACAGCATTGCGTCACATGAGATGTATGAGACGACTTAACAGACGATACCTGGGCTGGCGTTTGGCATGGTCGATTGCACTGCATTGGGTATTGAGCGTTCGAGCGTGCGGGATGCATTTCAATGCGTGGACGGATGATTTGGATTAGGAGTCATACCTGATGAAGCATGTACAGAGGATTCGACTGTCTTCCCAACGTTTATCTCATCGCCCGCCGAGTGAAGGGTGAATATCAAGTTGCTCCGCACAAGCCACGCTATGCAGTGTCATCGACGCTGCTTGCCACAGGCTGGAGTCCTACATGTACTCTTTCCTCCCTCCTTCATCTCATCTCCCTCGCTCACATCCAGATACCCCTCTCCTCGAAGAAAACACCCTCTCACATCCCACCCCCACCAACCCTCCTCTCCAACCTCTGAATCTGCTCCTCAAAGCCCCCCACCATCTCCAGAAGCCTGCGATTCGTCTCGCGCAGCTCCGCAATCGTCTCGCTCTCTGCACTTTGCCCTGCTTCACTTCTCGTCCCGCTCTCTCCCTGCCCATCGTCCTCCTCGCCGTCGTCGTCCCTCTCACTTCCGTGCCCTTGCCCAGCACGATAAAAGTCAACGGCAGTAGCAGTCGCAATCCTCCTCCCACCCTCTTCAGCCCCAAACTCCGCAACATCAGCCTCAACCGAAGCAGAACGCGACCTCTCGCCCCTCGCCAACCCCTCAACAGCCGTAAGCCGTCCCTCCAACCTCTCGTTCGCGGCCCGCAGCTCGTCGCGCATGGCGTCCATTTCGGCGTGCCGCGTTTGAAGCTGCGACAAGATGGCGAGCATGTGGTCCAGCTTGGCTCTGTCGGTGTTTGCGCTTGTGCTTTTGTTGCTTGTCGGGGAGGAGGTTGGGCTGGGTTTGAGGGGGTCGGTGGTTGGGGATGTTGTTGGGCGCGGGAGGGAGGGGAGGGTGGTGAAGATGTTGGGCTGTGCGGGTGTTTTGGTGGTGATGCGGAGGCCGGTGTTGGAGGGGTTCTTGTCGTCGGTGGGGACTGCTGTTACTTCGCCGGGCGAGAATTTACTGCTCATGCGAGGCGGAGGGGTGTAGGTTGCAGCTTGCAGATGTAGGGGCGAGGGAGCAGCACTGGGATGGTTGAAAGATGTGGGCGAATCGAAAACGCGGCTCTCGACAGTGGTGGCATTGTCTTCCACGTGCCGCGCGAAGATGCTGGAATCCTGCTCCGCTGCTGAGCGCCGAGAGTTGAGGCTGTGGTCGCGCGAGTGAGTCTTGCCGTGTTGCGGTCGATGCGCTTCAAGACGCTGAGGCTGCTTGCCCAACCCAGCCGCCTTGTTCGGGGTGTTCATGCTGCCGACCGATGGATCCTTCGCCAGTCCTGGGTAGCAGATGGGAATCTCCCCGCCGCTCGACGAGCTACCTTTGGTATGCATTGACGTTCCGTTCGATGTCCTTTGCGCCATCTCCGACTTCCCCACCCGCTGCTGGCCCCCGACAAGCACGCTGGTCGGTCTCACACCCCAGTCCTCAGAGTAGATGCTAGGAGAGTACACATGCTCGAACTGCATGGTAGAACTACGCTCATTCTCGCGCGGCATACTGAACCCTTCCAACCCCAACCCATCAATCCGCGCCTTCATCTCCTCAAACGTGTCCGCCTCCGTCAGATTCGGCACGACGGAGGCGTGAAGGGAGTACACGCTCGGCTTCGTCACGAGCGTGGGCATCTCCTTTTTGTGCGCGTAGCCGCCGAACTTGGTGGGACTCCAGCGGCCGCTGACGCTGATGACGCCGGTCGATTCTCGGAACGGGGAGGTCTGGGTGCCGTGGAAGGGCATGCGGGAGGATTCGGCGCGGATTGCTGCGTCTCGGCGCGCCTTTTCGTCCGGCGGGGTGTTTTTTGCTGGGGGAGTTGGGGGTGGGTGGTGGTCGAAGTACTTTAGGCTTTGCGAGCGGGTGATGAGGCAGTAGTGAGGGTCCTTTGCCTTGCTGTCGCCGCCTTTGTCCGAGTTGGACTGCGAGACGATGCGTTTGTTCTGTGGGTGGAAACTGTAGTGCGTTGGGTCGGAGAAAGCGGTCGGCGGGGTGTTGATGTAAGTGCTGGCAGTGAAGGCGGACTTCACTGTGTCCGCTGATTTGGGGACGGGGTCATCGACAGCCGTTGCGCTGGCATTTTTGCGCGAGAAGAAATGCTTGCGCTTCGATGGCGACCGGGGAATACTGATCTTCGAAGGCGAGGAGCCCAGACTTGGCGGCGCGGTATGCGTAGCTCCCAGCACCTCTTGAGCCTTGTTCGGGATCCTGTTCTCCGCTTGCTCGTTGCCGGCGCAGAGATTGGGCGTAGAGGGAGAAGCGTGGCTGCGCATGTTTCCAGGGAGTTTCAGCCGACCAAGCAGCCCCTTTTTCGGCGTCTTGATGGACACGTCACTGCCGCTTTGCAGCTTAGATTTCGACGCGTTGGGCCGCTTTGCGAAATCGGTGCTGGCGAATTGAGGCGAAGAGGCGAAGACGGGCGTCCGGCTGTCTTTGCTACCAGACCGCTGGTGCAGCTTCTTCTCTTGACGCTCTTCGATGCGGCCGCGTATGGTTGGCTGCGCGAGGTCTGCATTCGAAGGGACAAGCTTGAGTGGCGGGAAGTCGTCGTCGGCATTGACAAACGATGACATGGTGGTGCAGGCAGAGTCTCGAGCGACAGACGATGGATTGACGTCGAACCCGACCCTCAAAGCAGGGTGGACGGCCCTCGTTACAGGGGAAGCATTGCGTCTTTGGACTTCTTGCTGGTAGAATGCGTTGCTCTCTAGACGGTGTCGGTTGCTTCGAGCGGCCTGTTGAGCGAAAGCGTTGGGTCCGGGAGATGCTTCAGGGATGTCTGCGAGCGTGAGTACATACTTCTTGTCGGGCGAGGGTGGCCTGGCAACAAAGGGCGCGTCTTCTTTCATCCGCATCTCCTCCATGCTGTTCGGCGATGTTTGGTTTGGTATGTGATAGCAAGCAAAGAGGGCACTGAGGAAGATGCTTGGGGGTGGAGGGGATTACAGCAACAACAAGGTGCCGTCACAATAGCAACGACTGCACATGCACTGGAAATGATGCCGTGCATTGGGTGTGTGCGCTTGTGTGCGGGCCGAGAGACATCTTCGTCATGCCAACAACAAACCTCGTTTGTGGCAACAAAAGGGGAAGGCACGGCGCTTCACGTGCTCTCGCGCGTTCACGTGTCCTCTGGGCTGTGTATGGCCGGGCCGCATCGCAGCGTGGACGAAGTGACAGTGGTGCAGGCTCGGAGAAAGCAAGTAATGTCACAGGTTAGCACCATTCATCTAGGAACAGCGGCTACAGAAGGAAAGGAGCACTTGCAAAGCATGCACGGAACCATCCCAGACAAGGCAGGACGCCCCAATAACGCCGTCTTCCAGACTCCCCCTTGCCCATGCTTGAATGTGTCACGACGGTGCTGAGAAAGCGACCGCTCCGAGCACAGCTCGACTAAAGCAATATGCACCCTCTGCCTTTCCGCTTGGGCTTCTTGACCTGCGGGGGTTCCAGCGCCGCCACGATAGCCTGGTAGGTTGTCAGCTTGACACATTCACAATCTCCATCTCGAGCAACGCCACTCACCTCGTCAAACACGTCCTTCAGCTTGAACTGCGTCAATGCAGAGCATTCCACATACTTCACCGCGCCCAGCTCCTTCGCCATCCTCTCACCATCCTCCTTCCTCACCGGCTGCATCTTCTGCTTCGCCAGCTTGTCCCGCACCTGCGCGTCGTCCCTCAGATCCGTCTGCGTGCCTACGATCAAACACGGCACGCCGGGGCAGTGGTGGTGCACTTCGGGGAACCACTTCTCCCGTACGTTCTCAAAGGAGGCTGGCGAGGTGACGGAGAAGCAGACGAGGAAGACGTCGGTCTGGGGGTAGGAGAGGGGGCGCAGACGGTCGTAGTCTTCCTGTCCGGCTGTGTCGAAGAGACCGAGGGTGTAGGGTTCGTCGCCGATCCTGGCCGGTTGGTTAGCCGCGCGTGTGCAGGGTGTCGGGGAGGAATGTTCGCATACATCACCGTCACTGCATAGTTGTCGAAGACCGTCGGCACGTACTCGGAGGGGAATTTGTTGGTTGTGTAGCTGATGAGGAGACACGTCTTGCCCACTGCACCGTCACCCACCACCACGCATCTGGAGACGGAGAGTGTTAGTGCGAGCAATTTGAGCGCCATGCCATATCTTCCCCTCTTCCTGCACGCCGACAGCAGTGCTGTCAAGCGCTGTCATCGCGTGAAAATCTCTTGCTCCCCCCTCACTCCAGACCCTCAATGCCCGTCACCGCCGCCGCCACCGCCGCCGCTCTACCAGGGGAGGGTTGAGGGGTGCAAAACGTACTTTATTGTCGCGACCACCATGATGTGCAGCAATTGCCTTCACACAGCTCCCCTTGATATCTTAGCTATACCTGATCGCACCGCTGTGCGCTTGCCGCCGATCGTGTGGTTGTTGACAGGTCCTTCGCCAAGATTTCGCGTGTCGGGGAAGGAATTCGACGTGAAACGGCGGTCGGAGGTGATGGCCGGAGGGTGAGGTAGAGGGTACCGAGTGCGCTGTTCGAGCCTGCAAGGTGTTGAGGGTCAGGCAGAGGTCTTGTTGGAGGGCCCGTGAATGGAAACTCACCTGGATATTGCGACTGACGTGCTCTCAATTTGCAAGCAGTGATGCTGGGCTTTGCAGTGGAAGATTGGAGTTGAGGGCGGATGGCGTCCCGTTTTGGTAAAGATCGGCGGGGACGTGAAAGCTTAATTGGCTGCGATTCCCGGCTTCATCCAATGTCACATCCACTGTCACCCTTGCGAAACATCACATCACATTTCCCCAGATATTGCTTCTACTATGGCTATGGCTTCTGTTTTACCATGCGCCGACGGAAGCAATCTCTGTGACTGCATTCGAAGGTGTATCGCTGTGCCGCCTCCTGTTTTGGAATCACTTTCCCCTCATCAGTCAGAACTCAATTCCGCAGGGTCAGGTATCAAATGGCAGGGATGGACGCGCACGATTTGGTTGACTTGCATCTTTCTATCAAGCTCGCTCTCCTCATTACGGCCGACTGCACCCTAAGCCAGGCGAATACACTAGGGGTCAGGCTACATGCCAGAAGAAGCGTTTCACCCCTCTGCTCGCTGACGGCCCGGCGCTTGTCGTAAACATCGAAATAATACTATGGCAAGCCCGAAAGCAAGTCCGAAGCTCGTCAAGGCTTATTATAAGGGAGATGGTACATCCGGTCTATGGACTACGTGCCATAAGAAGTGAGAAAAGATCATTTCTTCTGGCACGTAGCTGGGATGCTTTGTGTGCAGCCTCAATTGAGTCCGATATTGAAATCCTGTGCTACTTCTGTGACACCGCGATAACACATGGCAGAGACGGTACCGTCTATCCATGACTTGAGAGGTGGCCACGATCAAGTTGAACAATCTCGAAGGACAGCACGGAGCTGGTGGAGTTTCAAGAGGATATAGAGCTGCGTATGCTTGAGTGCGAGGGCTCGCAAAGCTACACTTAATGTGAAGGGCACAGACTGTTGCAGACCGCTATGTCCGTCGATACTGTTCTGGACGTCGCCATCGCAGAAGACGGTAATAGGTCGCTGCCCGAAGCAGCTCGCCACGCCTCACCTGAAGAGTGGAGCCGTCCTTTGACCCTAGTGTGCTTGGCACCTTCAGGCCCTCTTTCATGAAGAGCCACGAGCTCAGCTCGTTCTGCAATGCCCCAATGCCAGGACCGAGTGTCCCGTCGGCACCAATTGCGAATTGCAGTTGCGTTATGCTGCTTCATCTCCTACGAGTCTAGCGCCAGAATGGGGCTGGACGTCTGCAATGTGCCTGGCCATTTGGCATCATCTGCGGGTGAGAATGCACCAGCTGACAGCTATATGCACGCGGTTGCGACGATCAATAACGTCTTATCTAGCAAGACCCTGGGCGCCTCAAGAGCTCTCCCCTCGATTTATAAGTTGGCCTGCCTTTCTCGGTTTATGACTTTCCTTCCTCTTCTATTTTCTCCTTGGCTCTCACCATCGCCATGGCACAGAAACACGGCGGCGTGGTCGTTGACGAGGACGCGGCGCACGTGACCTCCGTCCTGGCGCAGCATCATGAACATGCGCTTGTCGATGACATAACCGACCTAGATGCTACCGCTCTCGCAGCCCTGGGATACAAACAGGAATTCAAGAGGTGAGCTGTTGCCATTCGCTGCTCCTAGTATAGCAGCGCTAAAATGCCTTCGCCGTCGACAGAGACTTTTCGGTATTGGAGTCCTTCTCCGTGGCCTTCTCGATCCTAGGGCTGCTGCCGTCCATTGCGTCAACACTGACATACTGTCTGGGATACGCCGGTACGGGCGGCTCAGTCTGGGGCTACCTTATCTCGGGGATCATGATCCAAGCCACAGCATTCAGCATGGCAGAGTTGTGTAGCTCGTAAACACCCGCTCCAGCTCTGCAACATAGTGGGCACTCTTTGCTGATGCTCTGTGGCCAGGATGCCCACCGCAGGAGGTTTGTACTACGCCGCGGCAGTCCTGGCCCCCGAGGGTTGGGGGCCTTTGTGTGCCTGGACCGTCGGTTGGTCCAACTTGTTTGGATTTGTATCTGGCCCATGCAGCGTCAACTACGCCTTGGCTTCGATGTTGGTGACAGCTGGTAGGCGCGAGGCAGATCCCGGCAGGTTCACTTCCAGACCAGGCTGACGTGTGTGTTCAGGTGAGATCGCGTATCCCAGCTATACGGCGCAGAACTGGCACATTTTCCTGATCCTGCTCGGAATCCTGGTGCTCCAGGGCATCATCGCAATGCAGCCGACAAAGGTCATCGGTCGTGTAAATGTCGTGGGTACAATCTGGAATCTGGCCATCATTGTCATCTTCGTCATCTGGTTTCCTGTGGGTGCCATCAACAACCCCAAGTTCAACGATAACGAGTATGTCTGGACGAAATTTCAGAACGGTACGCAGTGGCCGATTGGGTGGGCGACGATTATGGGCTTTCTCACCGCGATTTGGACCATGTCGGGTAAGCATGCGCTCTTCTCAAGACCTCTGTCCTGCGTTTCCGACGAGAGATATGACTTCTGACACCCGTAGGCTACGACGCTCCATTCCATCTCTCCGAAGAGTGCAAGAATGCCAACAAAGCCGGCCCGCGTGCTATTGTGATGACCTCGGGGTTGGGATTGACCTTGGGCTGGGCAATCATGCTCGTACGTGCTGACGCCACACCACGCGGCCATGGATTCGCGACGTGCTGACTCAACATGGACAGGTCATCGTGTATACGGTCAAGGACATTCCCAGCGTCGTTGGTGGCCAATACGGCCAGCCATTTGGCAGCCTCTGTCTTCAAGTGCTCGGGAGGAACGCAGGATTGGCCATGTTTTCCCTCAACATGATTGCCCAGTTCTTCGTTGGCCAAGGATGTACGATTGCAGCCAGCAGGATCATCTTTGCTTACTCGCGTGACGGAGCGATTGTAGGGAGCCGATATTGGAGTCGCGTGGACAAGCGCACGCAAACCCCGGTGTTCGCCACGTGGGGAGTGCTGGGGTTTGGCGCATTGTTAGGCCTGCTGATCTTCGCTGGGCCGGTCGCCATTGGTGCTGTGTTCAGCATTGGTGAGGATGACCTTTTGAACGTGGCTTGATCCTCTCGCTAACAACTGCCGTGCAGGCGCCATCGGCCAGTACACCTCCTTCACGATGCCCATATTCCTCAAGCTCTTCTTTAGTCACGGCAGATTCAAGCCAGGCCCGTGGAATCTTGGCAAGCTATCTCGCCCGATCAACGCGGTGGCGGTCGCGTGGTGGTTGTTGATTGTACCGGCGCTTTGTTTCCCTTCGGTGAAGGGCAAGGCACTCACTTTGGATTACATGAACTGGACGTGTTTGATTTACGGCGGGAGCATGTTCCTCGTGCTCTGCTACTACGCCATCGACGCGAGGAAGTGGTTCCGCGGTCCGAGGATCAATATCGATCATATCCACGAAGGACAGGAGCCGCGGCTTGACTCGCGCGGCAGTGAGGAGATTGTCGAGGCGAAGAAGGAGTGATGGCTTTCGGGGGCGCCGTCTTCGTAAGCAGACTCTGAGATTGTCCGCGGGCGAGACTCGACTGGGTCGCAGATGGCTTCTGATCTTGGGACACATAGATGGGCGGATTACACGCTCTCCGCGCTTTGATCGCACATCAGGACATATGGTTTAAGCAAACGCCAACCTTGGCATCAAAAGCTTGGGCTGAGACGATTCCCTATACATATCTAGCCACAGTCGATCCTGCCTTGCGCTGCTAAGGACAATTATCCGTACTCGGTACCTGCCGAAGTGCCGGTTCACTGACAAAAAGAGCGGGTCTTTGCAGTCCCTGCATTCATCGCATGCCGGAGTTCGGTCCACTCGAGAGGGGTTGGGGTCCGGAGCGAGGTCGATTTTGTACTTTGCTCCAGATATACGAAGAAGCGAGGGGACCAGCGTGATTCACCATGGCGATGGCGTCGCTGCCGTCTCCATTGCATACGCTGCTGACTCGCTGACGAGGGGTGATTTCCACCACGCGCATCAGTGGCTGGCGCCAGCACCAAGCTGCGCCATCAGCCTGTGGTCGCAAGGCAGATGAGAGGATGGATGTCAACAACCCAATGTGTCTCATCAGTCACTGCCAACGATCATGTCCCCAAGCCTGGTGTCTCCCCAGTCCTGGCTGCACCGGATCATCGGCAGAGCAGCACACAAGCTTCTTACAACGCTCGGGGCCAGCCAGACAAACCCCTCCTGTCACCGCGTAGGCGCGTCCCGAACCGAGTGCAGCAGTGCGTGCATGCAGTAGGCCGCCCCTGTGGCCTGCGTAGCTTCCATACCACGCGCCAGCCGAAACGGTTTGTGGGCGAGGATACAGCGCTGGGGCAGCCCAAAGGGGACTAGCCTCGTCGCGCTACCACATTTGCACTTCACGCGGCCCACGTAATCCCCTCCGCATCCCCCCTCCACCCTCGTAAAACCGTCGTCCGCAGCGGTGGGTGGTGAAACCAGTTTAAGCCTTGGGGCTGCTTGGTACCGAGATGAGCGACGCTGCCTTGCAACACCGCCGCCAGCATGCCCGCAGAGTTCGTCCGGCAGCGGCGGCGGGCAGCGGGTTTAACATCCGACGCAGGGCCAGCATCTCCTCTTCTGCGCAACTTCATCCTTGTCGTCTTCGTTGCTCTCGCCGTCCTGTCTTCGTCGTCGTCGAGTCTCCCTCTTGCTATGGACCCCGCATAAAGCAGCATCACTGAGCCATGCTGTGCGCCTTCTGGATTTGCTATATTGCGCTGCTCGGCCTAGCAGCTGCAAGCCCGTTACTCGGTCGCCGCGCCGGATCGTCGCCGGCGGACAAGGCCGCGGGATTCGCGAAGAGAACAGCACGGCTGGCCTCGACGTACACCACCAAAAACTGGGCGGTATGTCGGATTCGTGAACCTGGCCCGCTTGTACCGCGATGCTGACTTGTTCGTTCCACCAGGGTGCCGTGGTATCTGGAGACAATATCTCTCAGGTCCAGGCGACGTACAGGATCCCCCATGTATCATTACCAACAGACGCAGACCCCAACCAATACTACTACGGCAGTGCGTGGATTGGCATAGGAGGCAGTGGAAGCTGCGGCCAGGGTAGGACGATTCTCATGCTACGCTCATTCCCCATCAACTAACGTCTCCTTCCTCGCAGGCCTGTGGCAAGCCGGGACTTACTGGACTTACGTCCCTGGCTCGGGTTTCGTGACGACCCTGTTCTACGAATGGTTACCCGGGTCCGTGGAAGTGCCAAATCTCATCGTCAAGCCCGGCGACACCATTACCGTTGTGTTACGCGCAACCAGCACCACAAGCGGAAGCTACACCATCATCAACCGCACGACGGGCGAAAAAGTCTCTCAGTCGCTGTCCCGCCAGCCGGAGATCTGCCTCAACAGCGCCGAGTGGATTGTCGAGGATAATGACCTCGACGTCCATCCCTTTCCCGACTATGGCACCATCACCTTCGATGCCGCCACGTACATAATGAATGGCCAGACGAACTACCCCTCTGGCTCGACGAGTGACGCGCTGGACAGCAACGGCGACCAGTGGGCAGACTGCTCGACCGCAGCGCAGACGGTGAAATGCACATGGGCTGAGGCAGACGATGCCGGCGGGTATTAAGCAGAACGCAGAGGGATGGTTACGACCGCCCAGGCACTGCCCTGATTGACCGCATCACGACGATATGATTTAGATTCAAAACATCCCCACAGCGGATCCGTCTCTCTTCCATACCCTTCCATCCTTCATCACGAACTCCACCTTCCTCACCGCCTGGAAGTCACGTCTCACGTTCCCATCTAATGCCACCAAATCCGCTGCCCAGCCCTCCCCAAGCCAACCAAACCTCCTGCCGCACCAGTCCCCTCCACAGGCCATCCACCCGTGCAATGTCGCCGCCGTCAGAACTTCTTCGAGCGGGACGCCAGCCTTCACCATCAATTCCATCTCGCGCGCATTCTCGCCGTGCGGGAAGGGGCCAGTATCCCCACCACAAGCCAAACGAATCCCATGCTCAAAAGCCTTCTTCACCTGCGCCAGCACAGGCTTCACGTCAATGAACAACTCCGCGACCGCCAAGGTGGGAACGAAGATCGTGCCGTGCTCAAGCATGGCCTCCATCGCCCCGCTGCCCTCCATGTCCTCGAACCCATGCTCTACCGTTGTACATCCTGCTTTGGCAGCCATCGCCACTCCCTCCGCCGTCGCCGCATGCGCCGCAACCGGCGCGCGAGCAACTTTCGCTTCGGCAACAATCGCATCCATTTCCTCTTGATTGAACAGCAGTAGACTCGGATTCCGCTCGTCTTGCGGCTGCTCGGGCGGAAATGCTACATCCGGACACCCAGGCCACGTACTCGCGGGAAAGCGCAGCGCGCGTTTCCGATAGTCCGCATAAAACTTAATCACATCCGCTCCAGCGCCCAAACGTCTTCGCACAGCAGCTCTACACTCCACCGGCCCATCACACACATCCGCGATCCGAGGCGCCCTCGCTCCCCCAATCTCATTCTCCAACCGCACCTCGTACCCGCCCGACGAAGCCAGCGCTTCCGTAACGCAGAAGATCCGCGGCCCCGGAATGATGCCGCGGTTGATGGCGTTGCGGAGATGCACGTCGGCGTCCTGCGCGGATTCGGTGCCGAGGTCGCGGTACGTGGTGAAGCCGGCGAGGAGCGCGGAGCGGGCGTGGTTGGTTGCGCGGATGACGCGCTCGACGAGGCTTTCGTCGCGCATTTGGTTGAGGGCGGGGGTGTCGGCGTACGCGTGCAGGAAGATGTGGGTATGTGCGTCTACGAAGCCCGGGAGCACGCATTTGCCTCTGAGGTCGATGTCTGGGGCGGCGATGGAGGCCGGGAGCGGTTGGGTGCGGATGTAGACTTTTGTTATTAGGCCGGTTTTGGGGTTGATGGTAATGGATGTGTCTTTGAGGAATTTCTTTTCCTTTGAGTCGAAGAGGCAGTCGGTGTGGATGGTGAAGACATGCTTGCTGTCGTTTGAAAGCTGATCGCTCGAGGCGTCGTTGTATCTTCTCATTGCGAGGATAGAGCGGGGTTACAATGGAGTCGAGACGTATAATTGCGAGGCTGCGAAAGTATGTGTTATAAGTTACCTGCAAGATTCAGAACGGGGCGGATTTGAGGTATAATTTGTCTGATTTGAAGAAGAACGTAGAGGAGGAGTAGAGTGGGCAAGTGACCGAGTGGAGTGCAAACTTTCGTAGGAGCCTCAGGTTGCCGGCGAGCTTCTCGCACCTGCCTATTCGGGACTGCCGCGTATGAACAGCCCTGCTGCGCGCGCTGGTGGTTTCCAACATTTTGCTGCGCAGCATCAGCTCCTCGGCTCCCAATATTGTGACATCGAGTCAAGCCAGTCTCTTCTGCCTGATTTCTCAGTCGTGCCGGCGTTGGAGCCGCGTAAGGACCATCCCAGGCTCAGCATCAGCGGCTGTCGCCTAAGCATGTTGAACCCGTGTCGTTGAACGGATCCCTTGGAGGCGACTCGGTCTGTAACCAACAGAGTGCATTTTGACGGTCTCATCATCGTGCCTCACCGCCGCCAATGTTGAGTGTTCTCCGAAAGTCGTTGACTAGCTGCCCGTCAGCATCAAGGAAGGCCCAACGACTGCACCCGATTGTACAAACCATAACCACTCGTGACATGGCAATCGTTAGTCTCGCTCTTCTGCTGCGCCTCGGGTAGCCATGATCGAATCTTTTCCATCCGATTGTGGCTACTGGGATGAGTACTGAGGAACTGCGGCGGAGATCCTTGCTCGGCTTGCTCCATGCGCGTCCACAAACCCACGGCAGCGGACGGGTCGTAGCAGCTCTCCGCCATCATCAACAACCCGATGTAATCCGCCTCTTCTTCCTGTCTTCTGGAATGCGGGAGGGATAGTGCAAGATTGCCGACGGTGTCAATGAGGCGATAGTCGATGCCGCCCAAGACAGAAATTGCCAAACTGACTGGCGCGAGAATGTACATTTCACTCAAACGCTCCGCCATGTGGTGAGCGACATTGTGCGCAATCTCGTGCCCGAGCACGGCTGCCAAACCATCGTCGCCTTGGCAGATGTCGAGAATGCCACGAAAGACAAACACCTTCCCTCCTGGAATGACAAAGGCGTTCTTCATGTCGTCGTCAATAACATGGACCTCCCACTTTTCGTTTTCCAGACCTGAGTGCGGCACGAGACGATCCAGCACGCGCTGCACCATCTGGTGCTCCTTCGTGTAGTGGGGAAGGATGCTCTTGCCAAACTGGGACAGTGTCTGTTCGTACTGTGCCTGGCCTGCCTGCTCTTCATACTGTGGGGAGATGATGTTGAATCGCCTGCGTCCGGAGACGGGGACACGCTCGAGATTGTAGATGTAGTAGCCGCCGCAGACACCTCCGATTCCGCCGACTTCGTAGTAGAAGGTGGGACGTGCTGCCCATCTGCGAAGTAGACTACCGGCGGCACGGCTGCCACCGAAGCGTCGGTAGTTATACGAGGCGTAGGTGCGCTGCTGTGCCAGACGAAAGGTGGATCGCCATTGGGAAGGAGAAGGGTGAATATTCCGGCTGAGTGGTCCGCGCGATGTCTGGAACGAGGTGAACTGGGTTGGACGTGACGCGGGGGCGAAGGTTCGGGCGGCAGTTGTGAAGGCTGCTCGCATGACACGCGTTGCGAACATGCCGGTGGAGCTGCGCGCGAAGCCCACAGGGTTCATCGAGGTAGCATGTTGTCCTGTTCCTATCGACGGTAAGGTGGCCGACACGAGTCCGAAGCTGTATGTGGCTAGAACGACCTGCTCTCGTGTTAGCGTTGCGGGATGACTAAGATGACTAACGATTTACGACATTCCCGAGTCATGTTGAAGTGAACATCTACGGCTCACGCGGCGCCGGCACGATATCATATGCCTTACACCAGTCAAATTGACGTGGCCTAGCCCTCATCGTGCTATCCACATGCTGCTCACACGCGGCTGTGCGCGACCCCGACACAGCTAATGCGCTCAAACGGACAAGGAGCCGCCATCGGTTGAATGCTTACATGTTCATTACCAAAGCTACACGTCCAACCCCAGGGACTTCAAGGGCGACTGGTCCGTGATTGGCTTGAGGAGTGCGCTCGAGCTCGCATTATGTCAAGGATGAATCATCCCGCGTCAACGTCCGTCAATGAGGGCACATTACGCAGGCATCCATCGCGCCCTAGGATTCGCCACCCGCGCAATCCGATTTGCTTGCGGACTGACACCGACATGTCAGCCGAACGAGTGGCCCACCGTTCGATGAGCTGCATACATGCAGCCGTGGAGTTAAACGGAAGGGCATACAGTAAGTGATTTCGCGGGAGAATGCTCTTAACGGATCACATTTCCAGCGACAGGCTGAGCGATGTTTTCTGGTGCATCAGCAACAGCAGCCTGAGCGAACATGACGGCGAATCCCGAGAAATCCCCACCACTCGAGGGGGCAGCAGAGATGCCCGCAGAAGGAGAGCATCAAACAGCCCCACCGAGGGTTTCCAGACGATGGCAAAGGTCGTGGTTCCGTCTTGGCCCTCTGTCTGGACTCTTCAGTATCACACTCGCCGCTGCCGCCCTGGTAGCTTCGCTGGGCATCCTAGCTGGCTCAGACGGAGAATCAGTGGAGAGCTGGCACATTCCTCCGTCCACCTACCTCGCCATTTTCACGGCCATTGCCAATCTGTGCGTGCGATATGCCGCTACGCAGGGTGTTATCATCTCCTGGTGGAGAAGGGCGTCGGCCGGCACCACGCTTGCCGACCTCCACTCTTCCTGGCGCATAGGAAACATGATCCGCGGTCAGATTGCTCGCCTTTCAGTGCGGTAACTCGGCCCGGGAGTACACAATGCTAACTTGCTAAACAGGAGCAGTTGCTGCTGGTCCGCGCATGGGCCTGCTGGGGCTCGCTTGTATTGCCTCTACTCTGGTCTTCATTGATGGGCCCCTGCTCCAACGTGCGTCGACTGTCAATACCGTTGATAACCCAGGCCACGTATCTCTACAAATTTCGATGGCGCCCAGAATTCCTCACGGCTTCTCTGGAATCTGGTCCACGCCGGCGATATTCAGTACACCTGGCGCCCGTGCTGCAGTGGCCTTCAACAGTACCGTACCGACAGGGGACGGCGGTCACGCTTCGAACTACATCCTGTCGGCCGCCATCGATACTCTAGACCGGTTTTCAAGCGCATGGTGGACCGATAGCCCCCTGGTTGGAGCGGTCCGTGGCTGTCCTGGCACATGTACGGCCACGATTCAAGGACCAGCGCTATTTGCCACCGCCTGCAAGACACATGAGGTGGTTGTCAACGCGCGGATGCCTTATAATTACACAGCTGTGTACGATGATGACATTGGTGCCCCACTGGAGGTAGAAGGCCTCATCATTGCCCCAACTCTCATCTTCGAGCAAGGGTTTGAGAAGATCAACGTCGTCAACGGACACGGCACATTCGACGAAAATTGCCATGGACAGCTCTCATATACAGCCTGCACATACACCTCATCGATCGGACAATATGACGTTGAGATCGAGGCCGACGAGATCATCATGACGACTTTGCACCCCCCAACATTGGTCAGTTTTGCGAACAACACTGCAATAAACTCCACGTTTTTGGAAGATCTCAATGGCTATCCTTCAACGCTCGGGGGCATAGCCGAGCTCGGCAGTGAAAATTGGCAGTCGTACGCGGCGCTCTACACTCTCAACGACTCGCAGCCTGTGAGCATCGTCGTGGGGACCTTAGGCCCAACCGAGTTCGCTGTCCCAGGCGGCAATCCCGCTTGCCCCAGTTATCTTAACCCCCGGAGTGCAGTCGAGGCGAGTATGAACAAACTAATGCTGTACATCGGAGCGGGGGTGGCGAGTGAGAGGAAAAGTGACCAAGCCACTCAAGTGGACGCTGGTGATTCGACGGAGAGCACGGTAGTTGGAAAACTGCAAGGGCAGATCAGCGTTTACTCCACCAATTACTGGTACTTTTTCGGCGCTGCACTGGTTGACGTGGTGTGTCTCGCGGTACTGCTGCCAATGTATTGGGCCTGGTGGAGGATCGGGAGGCCAGTGTCCTTCTCTCCTCTGGAACTCGCGAAGGTGAGGAAGCCCAGAGATGGATGAGATGAACGGAACCTGTGCATTGTGCTGATTTGCTTCTGATCTAGGCCTTCAAGTCGCCCCTGCTCGCGGACCTGCACTCCAATTCCAGCGGCAGGGAGCTGGCTGCACAGGCGGGCACAAGTGGCGTCCGGTACGGCGTTGTCACTACAGCCAACGGCACCGAACTTGGCTTTGGAGACACTGATGCTATTTTGCCGCCTCCAAAGGATGGTATATCCGTCGACCTCTGAGTGGTGTTGAGTCTGCCTGGCGCTTGCGATGGTTCGGATCCTGCGGAGGTGGAGTGGTTGATTCGTTGTGTAGATTGATCTAGTCCTAGTCACGAGTGTGCGACGAATGAGTGCCGTACTTGTTAGAATCATGCCCGAGATCATTGCATAGATTGCCTTTCTTCATTCGGCCCTTGCGGCATCGACAAGAAGTGAGGTCTGGAGCTGGAGCAACTCCACGCGTGATGACGTTGCCCAACAAGCGACCAACCACATGCCAATGCCAACGCGAGCTTCTGTTGAGAACATGCATTGCCCCCGACTTCCCGAGAGCTCTTTGCGCTCGCAATCTCTGCTTCACAGGCTCATTAGCTTCATCATCTCCTATGCCAGACTGCATTCACTCTTGATAGACGTGTTTCGTATGCCTGCAATGCTCGAGAACTAACGCCGTTCCTGCAACGACGACACTAGCCGCAATGGCCTCGCGCACTGCGCCGAATCGCCATGGACCCGAGAGCATTGAAATCAATGGTGAAGCTCAACCACTGGCCAAAGAAGCCCAAGAGCGCTCCAAGTCGCACGGCAGAGTGGCGGCGCCGCAGTACAAGCACACCTTCGCCGTCCACTCGGCCGCGCGAACGTCGTGCTTGAGCCACGATGCAACCGTCGTCCCGTCGTTCCTCGGCTTCCGCAACCTCATGGGCCTCGTCCTCGTCGTGTCCAATCTCCGTCTCATGATTGAAAATTTCAAGAAATACGGCATCCTCGTCACTCTCTCCGGCTCCAACATCCGCCCCGGCGATTGGAGATGGGCCTTCTTCCTCTACCTCTTGACTCCCTGTCATCTCTTTATTGCGTACATCATCGAGATCCTCGCTGCGCGTGCAGCAAAAGACGTCCTTGGAGCAGCGAAGCGCTCGGGGGATGCCCACCCAGACGACCACCAGGCCAAGCAGAAGCGCGAGGCCGTTTTCGCCACCTGGAAAGTCATCGCCAACGCCCACGCCGTCAATGCCACCTTCATGCTGGTTGTCGCCACCTGGGTCGTGTACTACAAGATCCACAATCCCGGCATCGGCACCTTCAGCGAATTCCACGCGGTCATCGTCTGGCTCAAGGTCTGCTCCTACGCCCTGACCAACCGCGATCTCCGAAGAGCCATGCTGGATGACAACACCACACCCGCCGCCGCACTTCCCGACCTCTACAAAACCTGCCCCTACCCCACCAACATCACGCTCAAAAACCTCAGCTACTTCTGGTTCGCCCCGACGCTCGTCTACCAACCCATCTACCCCATGAACTCCACCCGCCGCTGGGACTTCATCCTCAAGCGCATGGGCGAGTTCTTCCTCCTCTGCGTGCTCATCTGGATCGCCACCGCGCAATACGCCGTCCCCCTACTAAACAACAGCCTCGAAGACATCTCGCAGCTGAATCTCATCAACATGATCGAGCGCGTGCTGAAGCTCAGCACCATCAGCCTCGTCTGCTGGCTCGCCGGCTTCTTCGCCATCTTCCAGTCCTTCCTCAACGGCCTCGCGGAGCTCATGTACTTCGCCGACCGCGAGTTCTACACCGACTGGTGGAACGTGAGCACCGTGCGCGTCTACTGGACCAGCTGGAACCGGCCGGTGACGAACTTCATGAAGCGCCACGTGTACGCGCCGATGGTGAGCCGCGGCGTGCCCTCGACCGTCGCGCAGATCCTCACCTTCCTCTTCTCCGGCTTCCTGCACGAGCTGCTCGTCGGCGTCCCCACGCACAACCTGCTCTTCGTCGCCTTTTTCGGCATGCTGCTGCAGCTGCCCCTCATCTTCCTCACCGACCCCTTTGCAAAGATGAAAGGCCACAACGCGAAGCTGGTCGGCAATCTGATCTTTTGGTTCTTCTTTTGCGTCTTTGGGCAGCCGATTGCCGCCATGGCGTACTTTTTCGCGTGGCAGGCGAAGTATGGCGTCGAGTCGAGGCCGACTTGGCCCTTGGTTATGGGCAACGATACAAAGACATGAATCAAGGCCGATGAGGAATGTATGAATAACGTAATGATAGAGCAGGAGACACGACTAGGAGGGGGGAAAGTAACAGCGTTCGTATAGACAGACATCTTCTACACCGTCCTTATTACAGAACTTTTTTTCATCGGCTCGGCCAGTTCACGTCGCGGCGTGCTGATCACCTCTCTCTCTCTCTCTCGCCTCGCCTCCCTCGCCCTCCATTCGTCAAGACATTATAATTACAGCAAAGATCGCTCATCAACATTAAGTACAGCCACATAAGAAAAAGTCAATCACGTAGCAAGAACCCTCTTCGGCTTCCCCAGCGGAATACCAAAGAAGCTCTTCCTCTTCGGCCCTGCGGCCGCAGCTGCTGCTTTAGGCTCGCGTTTCCGCACAATAGGAGCAGGGGCGGCGTTGTCATCTTCCTCCACTACCCGGCTCATGCGGTTAATGTTGCTGTCGCTTTGGCCGGCGGGCGGATGAGCGGCAGAAAGCTGATTCCGAAGACTCTCGTCCGCGACGGCCGTGGCGCCTGTCACAGTGTCGGGAGGCGTGTGGGCTGCGCGCTTGTTAGTGAAAAGTAATGATGGGTATGATGGGGACACCACTCACCAACACTACCCAGGGGACTCTTTGCGAAAGTCTGGTGATGAGTAGAAAGTCTGCCCGCCGTGTTCACCGTCACCTGCGACGAGCGCCGGGATCTCGACACCAGCTTTCCCCCGGACCCGCTGGCCATCACGGGCATCGTCTCTGCTCGCGCGGGAGATGTACCGGGTAAGCGCAGCGAAGACTGCGATGCCATTTTCGCCCCGGACATGTCTAGGATGACGGATTTGTGCGCCTGCTTTCCCGAGGAACTCTGGTTCGGATCAGGCACGGTGTCCAGGAGAGATTCCATCGTCGGACCGAGCACGGCCTTTGGGGCACCGTTGGCGAGGTTGGAGAGGGAACGAGTGCGCTGCTCCGCGCCTCCCGCCGTGGACGCGGCGACAGACCTGCGCTTCGTCTCCGCGTCAAAGTAACGCGAGGACCATGTCGAGCCACGCCTGTCTTCCAGGCTTGCAGATGGTGCTTGCGAAGATGCCGTCATCGTCGAGCGTCGCCCTTCGGCAATGCGCTTGATTTCCGTCAAATTGGTCGCGCTCCTCGATCTGCTGTTTTCCCCTGCAGGTTCACCGAACGGCGGGATGAAAATATCGCTCTGGTCCATGAGCGGGGCTGCTTGGCTGTCTGCCGAAGCGTCGAGTTCGAAATACACCGTATTGCCATTCGAGTCGGAGTTGTTCAATGGTCGCCCCGGCACGCTGTTGGCACGCTGCGACAAGCGAGGCTGCCTGGAGAAGGTGCTGGCGATTTCTCGTCTTTCCTCGGAGATCCCCACCGGTTCCATCATCATCGTTCCGGGGGAGAGCGGACTCATAACCAGTTCATTGGCAAAGTTCGCCCGTGGCTTATCATCATCCGTAGCCGCTCGCGGCTGCGTGATCGCCACGGCCGTTCCAACTACCCGTCCCGAGTCATCGACGATCTCGCCGCGGGCATTCACTCTGCGTCGCACGCAATGTGCAATCTCACCCGAAGCCAGCTCGCCGATGACTTCGCCTTCTTCGTCAAGAATCTGCCCTCTACTATTCACTTTGAACCCTTCGAGCGAGGAGGATGAAGGCAGCGCTGCAGCCTGGCTGATGCCGGCCAGGTACGGAAATTCTTCCTGTGGCTCGACAAGGTTCGGCGCATCACCTGAGCCAGATTTGGCTAAGGGATTCGACCACTCGATGGGAATGGCCTGCTTCCCAGAGTCGGTAGAGGAGCGGGCAGCCTGACTTGTGAGAGCCGGGGCATGCGGCTCCTCGAGAGAGGTCATTGTTGTTTCTCGTGGAGTGACGTAGGTGGCATTGGAGGAGTACGACGAGCGTGCATTGTCTGCATGCTGGTCCACAGCAAGTGCAGTGTGGCCAATAGCAGCAGCGGTGGCAGTGGCGGCGGCAGCCATGGCGAGGGTGTGACCATCGTAGGATAGGCCGCTGCGCGGAATCGGCATCTCCTGATCTCTCGTTCGTTGTGCAAGGGAGATTGCAGTGGCATCCCGCTGCTCTATCCGCCTGGGTTGAGACTGCGGCGAGCCCGAATTCGTCAGCAGCTCGAGTTTCGCGGGTCGGTGCGGCGATTCACGCGGTCGGCTCATGTTCGGCGTAGGCTTCGCTGCGAACTCTTCCTCTCGCCTCGCCGAATCGGGTCGTCTGCCCGATGCGCCCCGCGGTGACTGCCTCGGAGAGACTTGTGACGGGATGTAGCCCCCTCGTTCCTCACTCGGTCTTCGCCTTGACACCACGGGCACGACGGGGTCGCCTCCCCGGAAGGAGCCACTGGCAGAGCCGGGATCCAACCTGGATACGTATGGGGTCGTGTCGGTGACCTGGGAATCGCGCTTGTTCGGGGTGGATGGGGCAGTGCGAGCCTTCATCGGAATGCTGTTGCTCGTGAGGGATTGGGTGTGGGGAGGGAGTGGCGCATCGTCTCCCCTCGGGAGAGAAGCATTAATTCTGCGATGACGGCGGAGGAGTTCGGGATCGTTGAGCGGGTGCACGGAGCGGGAGTCCATGGTGGAAGCGTGGCCGACCGAGGCGTAGCCCGAGTCCTGGGAGACATGGGGTTTGGGGTGGTGAAGCAAGTCACGCGGGGGCATGCGCATCTTTTGGGTGTCGGGATCGGCTCTTCGCGAGTAGGCGGTGGAGACATTGGTGCTGCTCTTGGTGAGTCTGTTGGGGGAGGACAAGGGCGAGACGTCTCGGGTGAAGTCTTGACGCGGGATGACAGGGCTGGAGGAGGCGCTCTGGATGGAGTAGTCGGGGGTCTCGCTATTCATGCGCTTTCGACTGGCGGCCTGGATGGCCATGCGTTGCACAATGGGGTCGAGCGGGGGCTCGTAGGCGGCCGGGACGGCTTTCGCATTGGCCTTGGGGTCCTTCGGATAAGCGTGGCCATTGCTCTTTCCGCTCGCCGCCTGCGGCTGCGCGGCCTTGCTCTTGCGGGAGAAGATGGACATGCTGTGTCATGGATGTCTCAGAGGGGGGAGAGAGAGGCGCTGCGGGCGCGGCACGGTAGGAGGTTGTGCACGCGCTTGTGCACCATCGGACGAGCGAGGGGAGAGGAGGAGGGGATGGAGATGGAAGGTTAGGGAAGGCTGAAGGGCGTAGCGGCAGGATGTAGGCGGGAGGCTATGTAAGAGAGGGTGGGAGAGTGGCAGCTGAGTGAGAGACGGGCGAGTCGTCTGAGGCAGCGGGCGGGAAGCAGTGGAGGAAATGGATTGGGTTAGTTTGGCGATTGGGTGGGTGCGCCTGGCCGAAACGAGCGTGGCGGCATGGGGATGTGCAAAGCTTGCGCCCGTCTAGCGCATCGATCGCCCATCTTCTCTCCTCGCACTCACGATGCTTGCGAGCCGGAAGCATTATCAGCCCGTGGACGGATGGGTAGAGGTACCTGAAGGCTTCTCGAGCAGCTGGTGAGTGGCCGAGAAGCACGCATGGCTTCTACTGCATCCGCGCCCGGAGACTTGACGAAGCGCAGGCGGACCAAAATAGATATCGAGGTTCGTGTCCGGGAAAGTCTAAACTTGCAGATGAAGCAATGATTCCGCGGAAGACATGATTCCTAACGTACATCGAAGATCTACAATACTAGAGTGTTCATCAGCCATGGACTTCCGCGAGTGGGGGTAGACGACTTGCAAGCATTGACAACCTCAGCAGTCACCACTACCGTTACGTGGATCTCGCCGTTGACGTCTAATTGCGAGCATGCATGATGCCATCTGCACACGTGCAGGCTGCAGGGGTAACATGATGAAGATTGGCAGATCGGGCAACTCTGGACAGTGGCATCGAATCATGATCATCGTCATGATCATCATTCATTCCATCAATCAAACGACACCGCTTACACAGGTATCAGCGTGCTCATTCGCTTGGTCTATCAGAAGCACCAGATTTCGAGCACACGCATCTCCCATTCTCCTGATTCATCCGGAACAAGCACCGCCCGCGGTCCAGACGATTCATCAATCAATCAACACGTCCTCATATGACCCCTTCCGAACCCCACGTATTGTCCTGTTCATCCACCAGGAAAGAAGTCCTCCAATGTCTTACCGTCGCAGAGCAGAGAAATCCTCGGGCCGACGAATGATCGTCCATTCTCGACTACGTTGTAGGAATCGCGCATTGCGGGGAAAGGGTCGTGTTGGATCCGACTTCGGTGGCAAGTTGCATTGTATTTCCCCATCACTCTCTCATCCTACCCTTTCCCTCAATCTTCACATTACCATCAAACAAACCATCTACACCTCTCCAAAGGAACCTCATCCCAATCTACCCCCAAAATTCGCGCATCTGCATCGCCCACAATGGCCCCAATGGCGACCACCGAGCCTTCCAAGGCACACAGCAAGACCACCTTCACCTCCAGCACCCTGGCCAAGGAAAGCAACGAAAACAAGGCCTCGGGCGCCATGGGACGGACCAAGGACGGCCGTCCGCTAAAGATTCGCACCTACCCCAAGTTCGACAGCCTGGAAGAGGAGCGCCTGTATCGCAAGCAGCATCTCGCCGCCGCCTACCGCGTCTTCGCCGACCGCGGCTTCGACGAGGGTGTCGCCGGCCACATCTCCGTGCGCGACCCCATCCTCACCGACCACTTCTGGCTCAACCCACTGTCGAAGCACTTCAATCAGATCTGCGTGTCCGATCTCATCCTCGTGGACGAAGATGGCAACGTCGTCATCGGCGACGAACCCATCAACGGAGCCGCCTTCGCCATCCACAGTGAGATTCACAAGGCTCGACCCGACGCCAACGCCGCCTGTCATGCGCACAGTGTGCACGGCAAGGCCTTTTCAGCCTTTGGCCGAGAACTGGACATGGTGAGTCTGGCTCCTCTTCCCTACCCGTGCGTGCTTCGACTTACAAATGCCGCAGATGACGCAAGATAGTCTCCGATTCTACAAATCTCACTCCGTAAGTGGCAGGGACAGCAAAGAAGCAGGCGTGAAGCTCCAATCCCACTGACTTTGCGTGCCTAGGTCTACCCGCAGTTTGGCGGCGTTGTGTTTGATCCCGAGGAGGGCCGGAGGATTGCGCAGCATTTGGGAGACGGCAAGGCCATCATCCTGCAAAACCACGGCCTGCTGACGGTCGGCGAGACGGTCGATGAGGCGGCATTCTGGTTCATCTCGATGGACAGGACATGGTGCGTCATCATTAACGGACGGGGTGAGGGATGCTGCTAACCACGTCTGCAACAGTCACGCGCAACTCCTCGCCGATGCGGCGGAGAACGGCAGCGGGCACAAGAAGACCGTCATCCCCGATGCTGAGGCCGAGTTTTCTTATCAACAAGTCGGCACCCCCGCGAAGGGATGGTTGCATTTCCAACCGTGAGTTCAACGCACCTTTGTCGAAGGCGCGGAACAGGACGTGGCTGATCGTTCCTTCCCAAATTACAGACACTACGACGATATCCTCGCACGCTCGAATGGTTCCTTCTTGAAGTGAGTAGGTCTACATATAACTGTGTGCATAGACAGCATGTGGTGGAGATGGATGAGCCGTGAGGATGGCGCATCGTTAGCACACTCAGCGCAATGCCATTTGTTTGCTGCAATCCAAGTGTATATGTCGTGGCACCCTGTCGCATAACGGCATTCAAGGCTTTCTATGCGCTCGTCGCTCGTCGTCGAAGCATATATCATGAGAGCGTGCTTCGTTCGGGCTCGCCGAAGATAGGCTGCTTGGCTGAGGAGATGACGTACCGAGTGATCTGAGCGACGAGTCGGGAGGACTCCATGGGTGAGAGGCGTGAGATCGACGTATTTGCGCGACGTGGAGTGGACAGAGGTTCATGCGCTCTCGGGTACTACTCCACATGCATGAACCAAGTTGAAGTCATCGAGCTCATCGTTATTCCTTCAAGTTGCTCCTTCCCGTATTGTGTCGTTGCACGTGAAGAGAGACGAGGAAGGAACGGAACAGTTAGCCTTCCGGCGCCCGCGAAAAAGCCTGGCGTCTCCCGCTCCGCAACGAGCGGACACGCGACCGGCGGCGCTTGCCTTGCACCCACGCCACCCTTTCAATTCCACTCCACCCACTCCCTCCACGCCCTCCGCCTTGCATCCCCTCTCCCACACTCCGATTGCGTCACTTAGCCTTTGCGGCCAGCGTCAAACACCCGCGACACCACACCCGCGCAAACGACCGCGCCTCCAATCACCCCGACCCGCCCACTCATCCTCCGAACCAACCCTCCGCATCCCCCCCCCATCGCCGCCGCGCGCGCAACACCATCCCCGTGCGACCACCTTCCACGCCAAGCGCCGCCCCATCGCCGGAGCGCACCCCCATACCTAATATCGCCACACGCCTAGCCACCACCGACTTCTCCTCTCCGATAGCGCGCTCACCAATCCCATGCGATGCGCTGACGCGGCTTGGAGCAGTGCGCGCCGTCACCTCTCCCCTCCTCCCCCCACCGCGGCTTCCGCGAGAGGCGCCTAGGTGACGAGGATGCCGCCCGCTGCTCATGCCGCCTCCCACTCCGCCTCTGCCTCTGCCACCGCCACCGCCACGGCCACCGCGGCACCCTCGAGCAATCCCGATCGCAAACGCGTCAAGGTCTATGAGCTCAAGGATAATGACTGGTTCGACCGCGGCACCGGCTTCTGCACCGGCCAGATGCTCACCCCTCCCCCCTCCGCCCCCGACACCCCCGATGCGCGCATCGTGGTGGTCAGCGAGGACGATGCCAACCGCACCCTCCTCGAGACGCGCATCTTCAAGGACGAGAGCTACCAGAAACAGCAGGACACGCTGATTGTGTGGACGGAGCAGAATGGAGTGGACATGGCGCTGAGCTTTCAAGAGGCCGAGGCGTGCGCGAGCATATGGGAATTTGTCCACGAGATTCAGCAGAAGTTGACCCACTTGTCGGGCCCGGAAGATGGACTGTCAGACGACCTGCTCGACCCCATGCACTCCATCACCCTTCCCGACCCCCAACTTGGTCAGCTGGACGAGCTGGAGGCGGCGATTCGAAGCGCATCCACCTCTCCAGCCTCACGCGATTCGCTGGCAAAGTTTGTTATGCATCCCGACCAGAATTTCATCCTCCGCCTGGCCCCCTTGGTCACCCGCGCGGAGGAGTTGGAGTCAACGCCGGACCTGCACCGCCTATGCACCATCATGAAGCACCTGATTCTGCTCAATGACACCGCTATCATCGAGTTCATTGTGACAGACCAGGCCATCATGGGGGTCGTAGGCGCTCTAGAGTGTAAGTCTTGACATGCGGTCGTTGCTGAGCCTGGGTCAGACAAAGCTAACATCTTGTAGACGACCCGGACTTTCCATCCCATCGCGCAAATCACCGGCAATGGCTGGCTGATGCCTCGAAATTCAAAGAAGTCGTGCCAATCCAGGACGCCGAGGTGCGAAAGAAAATCCACTGGACATATCGCCTCCTCTACCTCAAAGACGTCGTCCTCGCCCGAATCCTAGACGACCCGACCTTCTCCGTCCTCAACAGCCTGATCTTCTATCATCAAGTGGACATTGTCAACCATCTGCAGAGCAATCAGCAATTCTTGAAAGACTTGTTCGACATCTTTGCGCCGTCGATCGAAGACAGGGCAGAGAAGAAGAAGGAGGGCGTGCTGTTTATCCAGAACTGCTGTGCCGTGAGCAAGACCATTCAAGCACAGACCCGAGCGCAACTCTACCAGAACTTCATCCAGCATGGGCTCTTTGCCGTCATCACATTTGCCCTGAATCACTCCGATGCGGCGGTCCGAGTGGCTGGGACGGACATTCTCGTGGCGTTGATCGACCACGACCCGCACATGGTGCGCGCGCATATCCACGCTGCACAGGAAAAGAGGGCAGCGCCTCTCATGGAAATGTTGATAGAGCTTCTGCTCATCGAGAGCGACCTGGGAGTCAAGAGCCAGATGGCCGAGGCGATCAAGAGCCTGCTAGACCCCAACATGAACCAGTTCGGAATCGATATGATGAACCGCGGCGTTGTCGGAGTGAACGCGGAGCTCATGGCAAGACAAAAAGGAGCTGGCCCGGGGCAGCACCCCGGCGCTTCGCAAATCACCACCTTCATCGACAACTTCTACGAAACCTCTGCCAAACGACTCTTCGCCCCCCTCAAAGCACTCCAAGACCGCGCGAGCATGACCAATCTCAACGTTCAGGAAACCTCACTCTACACCCACCTCGTCGAGCTTCTGTGCGTCTTCGTGCACAAGCACAGCTTCAAGAGCAAGCTGTTTATACTTTCGGAGAATCTGCACTCTCGCGTGGCGCAACTCCTCAGCTGCCCGCAGAAGTACATGAAACTGACGGCGCTCAAATGGTTCCGCACCTGCATCGCGCTGCAAGATGAATTCCACAATCGCCAGATGATCCAAAACGCTCTGTTCGAGCCCATCCTCGTCATGCTGGAAGAGACTGGCGGAAGAGACAGTCTCGTCAACTCGGCATGTCTGGAATTCTTCGATTACATCAAGCGAGAGAGCGTGAAACAACTCATCGTGCACCTCGTGGACAACTACCGCGAAAGAATGATGCGCATCGCCTACGTGGACATCTTCCAGGAGCTGGTGCTAAAGTACGAGCAGCTGGTCAACGGCTTCCCCATTCTCAAGGGGCAAGACGACAGCTTCGACACGCAGGAGGGCTCCACGCCGCAGAGAATGCTGATTAATGGTCGCCAGGCTTTCGCGGGTCTCAAAGACATGGACGGAGACGAGGAAGCGTATTTCGACACGGAAGACGACGTGGACGAGGACGACGACGGCGATGCTGCGCTGCCGATGCTCAGCGGGGGTGGCAGGCAAGGTATTCTTGTGAACGGCGCCTCGCCTCTGCGGCCTTTGGTCAGTTACGACGCGGACGACGAGGACGAAAACGAGGTAGCAGACGTCGAAGGTATGGACATTCTGGCCTCCAGCCCCGAGCCACACTTCCGGGAAAAGAAGTCCAGCAGCAGCAGCGACGATCCCGCCTCCGCAGACCCGATGGACGAAGATGTCGCGACCACCGTGGCGTCGGGCGGAGCCGACGACGATGAACCCCGAGGCCGCAGCCGAACTGCCGCCGCGCTCGAAGCGCAAACCTCCCCGCCCGATTCCATTCCTATGAAGCGCCGACGAGCCGAGGAGGACGAAGACGAGCTAGGCAAGATGATGGGCGGCATTAAGCGCCGTACTTCGTCGGCCAGCACGCGGAGTCAGCACTCCCTGCCCGACAGTCCGTTGAGCGGTGGTGGTAGTGGCATGAATCTGCGTAGTAGCAGCAGCAGCAACAACAATAACAACAACCACTCCCGAGACGAGCACGCGCGAGAGAACGGCGGACATGCACAGCAGCAGCAGCAGGCCTCTCCAACCCACGGACATGGCAACTCGCACATGCTCAGGCGCAAAGGCAGTCTGAAAGTAAAGAACGAGTCCGCGGGCAAATTCGCCATCAAGCCGATATCGCTTGCTTCCGCGGCGGCGACGAAAGGACAAACCCATAATGCAGCGGGCAAGCACCGAGGTGAAGATCAGACGGGCGATGCTGAAGAGGTGCGCGAGGGGGGAGATGAAGACCCTGGAGGCGGGGCTGGAGGTTAGGTGAGCGAGCATGGCTAAGGTGATTGTTTTTTGGTCATTGGCCGGACTGGACTGAGCGAGCGTGCTTGTCCTGCGTGGCGATGGCGAAGACGAGCTCGTGTGGTTTTTACGATGGCGAGCGGTGAGATAGCATAGGTACAGTGTCAGTATCGATACCATGGCATCGCATCATGCATCCATCAATACTGAACATGAGAATGTACTATTTTCCCTTTGAAAATTCTGTCGGAATAGGCTGATTGAAGATCTACTCTGCTCAAACCGTAGATATAACCTGCGCTTCGGCTGTCTTCGTTTTCCAATCAACCTTTAGGACTGTTGGATTCTCTAGTAATAGACGTGTCGTGTCAATGAGCGACCGTCCAATCTCTCTCTCTCTCCCTCCCTTCAATGGGGATTCATCGGCCTTGCGCCTCTTATTGTACGCAACGGCGTCGGCGACCATCCTATCATTTCGACCAAGAAACGATATCCAGCCCGGCATCGTCCCTCCTTCGATGATGCCAGATACTCGGACACTTTTGGCCGTTCTTTTGGCCGTGTAGACAGACGTACGAAGCATCGGAGCTGGCGTGAAGGTATGCAGCGACCCAGCTCAATCCTATCGAGCCTTGGTGAACCGTCCATGCCGCTGCTCCTCCTTCAGAGAATCCGATTGGCTGGGCAAAGGTCCTCGTCGCCTTATACCAGCAGCACTATTATCAGTAGCGAAACCGGGGAAGCCATTCGGCGGTGGCGGGAAGCCGGGCGGTGGTTGGAAGCCCGGTGGGAGAGGAGGCAAAGTCATTCCCGGGGGTAGTGGGGGGAGGCCGGGAGGTGCGCCAGGTAGTTGGGGTAGTTGGAGCTGCCCGCTGGCCATTTGCATGATTTTGCTGAGGTCCATGCCGTTGGGTGGGGGTGGCGGGAAGGCCATGCCGGGCATGGGGAACGGAGGGTTGGCGCCGGGGAAGTTGAAGAGATCGAGCGGCTGGGCGCCACCGGTGCTTGTGCCGTCTGGGAAAGGAGGTCTGCCTGCGAGACCTGGAAGGCCGGGCAACAACGCCTGCTTGCCCGGCATTTGCTGGTCGACGAGTGCGTCGAATTCGTCCTCGGCTTGCGCTTCTTCCTCTTCTCGCAGTCTCTGCGCTTCTGCTTTGCGCCAGGTCCCTTGTGCTTCTGCTGCGTTCTGGCCGATGTGCCATCGGTCATTGATGTATGTGGTGTCGCCTGGGCGCGGCCGGGTCCAGAATCGAGTGACTTTGTCGTTCGAGCCGGTCGCGAGGATATGGCCGAGTGGATGCCAGTCCATGCTCCAGATGGAGTATTCGTGGGCAAAGGGGGTTTTGTGTGCGGGATAGAGGGACTGAGCGGGCGCGTCGGAGGGATTCTGCGCATCGTAGGGCGGAAGCGTTGCTGCGGTGCCTTGCGGGGGGTTTTGTTCGTCTAGCAAATAGTGGCACATGGCTCCATCGCCGCCGCCTGTCGTCAGAAGTGATGAGTGGATGGGATGCCAGACAATCGAGCTGATCTCCTTCTCATGCCCTTTGAGCAGGAACACATCACGCATCATGCGAATGTCGAAGACACGGGCGGTCGAGTCTCGAGCGCAAGATGCAAGTAGGACGCCATTGGTCGGCTCAAACTTGGTCATGGCTACCGTATTCTTGTGCCCGTGTAGTGTGGTTAGACATCTCCCAGTGCGAGGATCCCACAGCTTGACCTGGTGGTCCTTTGAGCCGGAGACAAGCAGGCCCTTGGACGGATGCCAGTCCACGCACTTGACATCCCATGAGTGACCAGCAAGGACTGACTGCTCGGCACTAGTCGCGAAATCGAAGATTTTAAGGGTCGTATCGTCAGATGCGGTGACGAACTTGGCATCTGTGGGGGAGAAGGCAATGTCGCGCACGGGATCCTCATGCGCCTGGATGGACTTGACATTGTTGAAGTTGGTCTGCCAGTACTTCACCACGCCTTCCTGATCGGCGGAGAGCAGCCAGTCGTCGTTGTGTGCGTAGATTACCGCTCGAACGGCGGAGTCGTGGGCCTGCATGATGGTCTCGAAGTTGAAGCCCGTGCCGTTCCAGAGAGTGAATTCGCCGCTGGTAGAGGCGGTAAGCAATCGCCGGCCGTCGGGGGTCCATTTGACGACATTCACAGGATGCCTGACTTTGTTGAGGGAGGAGTGCAGATGGCGGGCGGGGATGGAGTCTGCAGGTCTGCCCTTTCGCGCGGCCGGGGGTAGCATGTCGGTGACATAGCTGGCCATGGGGCGTTCCGTTTCAAAGTGACGCGATTCGTGTGCCTTGGACCTCCGAGCATGTAGCCAGTGGACGTAGGTGGTGCCGATGTCTGTAGCGTTGCGTCGGTTCGGCCGGCCTCTGCTCCGGCCAGAGTCGGCGCCGCCATGCTCGCCAGCATTTTCCATGGCGCCTGTGTTGTGTGGTGTTGGATGATGGTAAGCCCGAGTCAGATCAGTCGGCCCATGCTGGACTGTGTTATTGTGTGTCGAGCAATCCGCGGTGTGCAAAGGCCAGACGGTGTCCTGGCAACCTGGATGGGTGGCACGCCATGAAGTGAAGCGCGTGAAGTCGATGTTCAGACGGCAGGCTTATGTAATCCACCGCATGGACCACTGCTCAAGCTCTCGAGGTACTTACATGGCTGCCAGCTTCAACCATCGAAATACACCTTATCTTGACAACCCACGGAATGTGATTCACTGATGCAAACGAGATGCACCTACATTCGTGTTTGATTTGACTGTCACCTGAAACCAACTCCGTCCCGTGCTACTCTAATCTTTTCCTTCCAGTAAACACGGCCGCTTGACTGACATAGTGCCAGCCGGCCTCCACCTCGGCCGACGATTTCTTAGCCCACTCGTCAATGCCGCCCGGCGCAATCTTTGTAACCAGCTCATCCTTCCCTGGGACCATCCCGAGTACGAGGTGAATACTCATGGCAGCCCATCCCTTTCTTAGCGTGCCCCCATCATCCATTCGGTCAACGACAAACCCGTCGCAGGCGACCTGCTGCAAATTCCCGTACTGCGGGTCGGCCATGAGGTCGTCGAGCTTCACGTAGCCTTGACTGAGGGCAAGCGGAATGTCGCCGGGCATGAGGGCTTGGGTGAAGTTGGACATGTGTTTGTGTTGCGGCAGTGGCCGCCATGCAGGCGGTTGCGAAGCCAGAGAGGCTTGCGCTGCGCCGAAGGGAGCGACGGGACGCATTGGACGTCGCACGGCCCGCGCTCGATCGTCTTCCATCCACTGTAGCCAGCCGCCCGGCTTCAAGAGGGTGGTTATATTGCGGAGCACTGGGCCCCAGTCGTCGGTGCTCATCGCGGCCTGAAGCAAACGCACGTGAACGACGTCAAAGTATCCGATCCAACGTGCGTCAAAGGGCTTCTTGACGTCGGCAAGGTGTAGAGTGACATTCGCAGGCAAAGCTGGCGGTGCGGGGAACATAGTGTCGGAGATGTCGAAGCCGTGGCATTCTACAGTGGGCTTTGCAGCGGCGACTTCACGGAGCCAGATGGCGGTGCCAGTGGCGAGGTCGGCAATGCGAGCCCCGGCGGGCAGGGGAGGGAGATCGGGGTGGAGGTAGTAGCCCTGGCAGGCGAGGATGTAGCCGTGTTGGAGCTCGAGACGTTCCGCCTCGCTGGTCCCGCGGGGGATGAAGTATGGGTCGGCGGAGTCAGTCATGATGGGCAGAGACAGGGCGGTGGATGGAAGGGTTGTTTGGGGCAAAGAGGAGGACTTAGAGAAGGACGATGAGAGGATTCGGGGACGAGGGTTGCTTGTCCTTATAGCTCGCAACGTTAACACAAAGGATTATTCATGGGCCCCGCCATACCGAATGGTTGCATGATCTGCGTAATACAAGCTAGGTTTGTAAGTATCACCTCAGCGCCGCGGGCAACGGCCAGGATGGCTAGGTCGAGTGACATGAACGCGGAACAGAGGCGGGCAACCAGGCAGAGGGCAGATGGAGAGCACGTTGATGGAAGAAATAGGCAGTGGAGTGTGGGAACGTGGAGGAGTGGTGTGGAACCTGGAGTGAGGAGGCTACCTTATGGAGGAGAGGCATGCCGCGCCAAAGTCGTGGGACGGGTTTACCTAAGCACGCCGAATTTCGACCTGCCCCACGTGAACGAAATGGCAATTACACTTCCTCTTCCTCGCCCATCCACCATCTCCCGCCAGTACCAACGACCACTTACTGGAGGCTGGCAACCGGGGTCAATGATAGCCAGTGGTCGTGGGAGACTCCAACAGTACACGGACCATCATGGCCGCCTCCATGAAAACGCTGTCTGCCCTGCTCCAGCGCAGCGACATCGAGGACCACCAACAAGTCCTCCAAGCTAGCGATGCCGCCCTCAAAGAAAACAAAGCCGATCTCAACACCCAGCACATTAAAGCAATTGCTTTGTTGAAGCTCGACCGCTACGAAGATGCCGTCAAGGTGCTCGAAGCGGGCGCGGGGAATTTGAAAGACGAGGCTCGGTTGGAATATGCCTATGCATTGTACAAGTCGGGAAACGCGGCGAAGGCGGCAGAAGTGGCTCAGCAGGGCGCTGATAGAGGATGCAAACATGTCGAAGCCCAGTCACGCTACAGAGCGGAGGACTTCCAGCGAGCGTTCGACCTATACGCCGAGCTGGCGTCGGATCTGCGGGAAGATGCCGACCTGGATCTACGCATCAACTCGGCCGCCGTGGATGCCCAGCGGACGTGGGACGGATCTGACGACCTGGCGGTAACGAGGAAAGCGGGTCGGCAGGACTTGGACGTTTTCGAGACGGCATACAACGCTGCTTGTGGAAGTATCGCCCGAGGCGAGCTGTTGCAGGCAGAGGTGTTGTTGAAGAGAGCGCACAATCTCTGCAACGCCCTGGAGGACATGACGGACGACGAGAAGGAAGCGGAAATGCTGCCTATTATCGTTCAACAAGCCTATGTCTTGGCCAAGCTGGGGAGATTCGAAGAAGCCGAACGGCTTTCACAGAGCATCGATGTCAAAAGCATTCCCGACTCAAGCACTCAGCGAATTGCACGCGTCAACAGAGCGGCGTCGCGGCCGAGTTCGTCGAATCCCTTTGAGACGCAACGTCTTATCTCGGGGAACGTCAACCCTTCAGCCACAGACCGTCCTTTTGAATTTCAAGCATCCATCCTGCATCAGAATCGGTACGCTGTGGATTCGCAATCCGTCAAATTTGACGGAGCAGTGGAATCGACAAACGCATCGATTGCCAAGCAACCTGCTCCTACTCTCGACCCACACACCAACAGCCTTGCAGTGGTCAACGCGGCGGCGCGGGCAAGGAACACCACCGGCAAAGAAGCGCTCAAGCACATTCTGCCGCATCTTCAGAAACGACCGAACGATGTCGGATTGATTCTTACCATCGTCCAATTGTACATCCTCACAGGCAATTCCAGCTCGGCCATCACTCTGCTCGAAGGCTTCCTCAGCCGTGTGGAGCAGGCTGGCACCACCGCTGATCTCGACGTACTCTTTGCGCCGGGTTTAGTCGGCGCCATGGTCGGCCTGTACCATAGGGAGCACCGCAAGAGCCATATACAGCACGAGTTTGCCAAAGCAGCGACACATTGGAGGCGAAAGTCGAAAACGTACTCGGCCGGCGTCACGAATCTGCTTAAAGCTGCTGGAAGCGTTCTACTGGAATCAGAGGATCCGGAACATGGCAAGCTAGCAGCCGACATCTTCACCGCCCTACATGACCAGGATCCCGCCGATCGCTATACGACCGCCGGCCTCTTGGCTGCAGCTCCAACCACCTCCTCATCATCCCAAACTTCATCTCTGACACCCATCTCCACCTTGACCGCAGGCATCGACGTCGCCGCGCTCGAAAACCACGGCATCGCCACCCCATCGACCGGCGCACAAGTGGCCGCACGTAAGCGACCCGCTCCCGACACTTCCAAGACCGCCAAAGCTGCCAAGAAGATCCGCAAATCCCGTCTCCCGAAAGACTACGATCCGAAGAAGACGCCGGATCCAGAGCGATGGTTGCCGCTCCGTGATCGCAGTTCCTACCGGCCCCCGAAGGGCGGGAAGAAGGGCAAGGCGCGGTTGAATGCTTTGAGTCAGGGTGCTGCGCCTAGTGGGGATGGGAGCGATGCGAGTCGACCTGGTACGCCGGGGGGAGAGGTGGTGAAGGCGAAGCAGACGGGTGGAGGGGGCGGGAAGAAGAAGAAGGCTAAAGGCCGGTGATGAGCTACAGATTCTTGCATGTATCGCTGTGCATGTATGTACAGGCCGATTTGTTGTGGAAGCATATTTCGGCCTAATGCCGAGTGCGTGGGTCATCATGTCACACGTGTCTCTGTACAACGTCTACACATCATCCAACACGGGTATCAATGGCCAGAGTAGATTACCAAGCAGTGATGTCTTCCACCTCCGCCTCCCCAAATGTACTCGCCTTCACCTCCTTGCCTGCCGCGTCCGCATCCTCCGCCTTCGGCGGCCAATTCACAGGCTCCCGCGCCATAATATCGCCCAGCTCCCTGTCCAAGAACTCCAAAATAAACCCATTGACCTGTCGAAACTCCAACAAAAACGCATCATGCCCGTCGGCAGATTCGATGACCTTCAACTCGCTATTCGGAATGCCGGCCGCGAGCTCCTGCTGCTCGGCGAACGTGAAGAGGCCATCGGACTTGATGCCCAGAATGAGGGTGGGCTGTTCGATGAGCGCCAGCGCGGCGCTCACGTCTTCCTGGCTCGGGTAGCCGGAGGTGTCGGTGCGGTTGCGCGTCACGTCGTGCGTGTCGAGCTTGCGCGTGATGGCGATGTAGCAGTTTGCGTCGAAGCGCTTGATGAACTTGTCGCCCTGGTAGCGCAGGTAGGATTGCGCGGAGTAGTAGGTGGTGATTTTGCGTTTGGGCTGTTGCTGTTGCTGTTGGGCGGTGGTGTCGACGGGGAGGTCTTTGGCGCCGTTGAATTGCGGGTCGCGGACTGTGGTGATGGCGCCGTCGATGGAGGAGCGGCCGAAGCGCGGGGAGCCGGCGTTTTTGTGGCCTTCGTTGTGGATGGCGAAGTGTGCGTTTTCGGGCGTGTGTGGGCGCGCGGGGGCGTTGATGGTTTGCTTTTTGGATAGGTCGGGGATGTTGCGGCCGAACTTCGTCTCGAAAGAGTCGCGGCTGCGGTAGGTGAGCATGGCTTGCATGCGTGCTGCTCCGAGTCCGGTGGCCGGGGGGTCGTCGTAGGCGTAATATCCATCTTCGTATTTGGGATCGCTGTAGATAGCCTGGCGCTGCGCTTCCCCCCAGCTGATGCCCCATGCGCTGTATCTTGCTGAGCATGCGATGGGAATGACGGTCCGGACGTAGTCTTTGCCAAAATACGCAAATTCCAGCACCAACATCCCGCCCATCGAGCCGCCGATGACAGTAGCCACCTGTCGCACCCCCAAGTCGTCAAGGATCAGCTTGGTAATCCGCACATCGTCTCGACAGGTTGTCAACGGAAACTCCGGGCCGTACTGCTCATTTTCCGGATTCCCGTCCCTCGCGGTGACGGGACTGACGCTCCCATACGGACTGCCCGGACTGTTGACGCATACGACGTAGAAGCGCGACATGTCGAATGCCTTTCGCGGGCTCTTGTCGTCTCCCGGGCCGCCCAGCAGCGGACCCCACCAATCATTCACATCTGCGCTGCCAGTCAGGGCGTGGAAGATGACCATGGCATTGTCGCGTTGCGGCGACAGGGTGCCATATGTCTTGTATGCGACGGGGAAGTCCTGCAGCACGACGCCGGACTCGAGCTCGAAGGAGGGGACGATGGCGATTTCTTGGTCGGGGATTAGCTGCGCGAAGGGGTTCTCGGGCTGTTCTTTCGGAGAGATTCTCCCTGTGAGGTGTTAGAGATGGGCGCGTTGCATTTGGGGATGTGAGGAGGCTCACGGTACTTGTGGCCGTTGCCATTGGCCTGCCGTAAGGGAGGCTCGACGCTTTCTCCTGACATGGCGCCAAATGCACCGCACGATCAGGCGTGCAGAAGGACTGGATGCTGGAAGATGTGTAGTCTCAAGATTACTCACAATGGGAGCTGTCACTCTCACGGACGAGCTCGGGGGAAGTTCGGAGACCTCGGCATGTCCAGAGTATGGGTGTCGGGCGACTTCCACGTGCAATGCCGACCTCGACCTCATACATATACCCGACATCTCAACCACATCAGACCTGCCCGCCCCCGCAATATGTGAACCCGAAGACTTCTTGCGATCGATAAGCCCTCGGCACCCAGACACTCACATCCAATTCAGCCGTGATTTCGTCCCACGACAACGCACGTCCGCTCCCTTACACTCCACCTCGATAGCGAACCGGAGTTCCGAATACAAATAGAAACACCGCAGACAATGCCAGTCCCGCAAGAGAAATACCTGTCGCCCATCTGGCGCGATGGGCTGTACAAGGACAAAGTATTATTCTGCACCGGCGGCGCAGGCACCATCTGCTCCATGCAAGTGCGAGCCTTCGTGGCTCTCGGGGGGAATGCGTGCATCGTAGGACGCAACGTAGAAAAGACAGAGAGCGCAGCAAAAGACATAGCAACCGTGCGGACTGGCGCAAAAGTCATCGGCCTGGGCAACGTGGACGTCAAGGACCCCGCCATATTGAAGGCTGCCGCGGACAAATGCGCCAAAGAGCTGGGCGGAATCGACTTCGCCATCGCCGGCGCAGCGGGCAACTTCCTCGCTCCCATGTCGCAGCTCAGCAGCAACGCCTTCAAAACCGTCATGGACATCGATGCACTGGGCTCGTTCAATACCGCCAAAGCCGTCCTGCCGTACTTGATTGAGAGCGCGAAGAAGAACAAGAACTCCGGCAAGAGCAACCCCACCGGCACCGGCGGCAGGATCCTCTTCATCAGCGCCAGCATGCACTTCCGCGGCCAGCCGCTGCAGGCGCACGTCATGGCCGCCAAAGCTGCCGTCGATCAAATCTCCAATGCCATCAGCATAGAGTATGGGCCGTATGGCATTACGTCCAACGTGCTGACTCCCGGACCGATTGCCGAGACGGAGGGGATGGAGCGCTTGGCTCGGGCGGGAGATCGCGATGGCGCTGCGCAGGGGTATTTGAGGCGCATTCCGTTGGGGAGGATGGGGGAGACGAAGGAGATTGCCGATGCGATGGTGTACTTGTTCTCTGAAGCTGCTAGTTATGTGAATGGGACCACGCTCGTGGTTGATGGGGGCCAGTGGAGGACCAACAGCTCTGGAGACGAAGGCTTCTCGAAGTATCCCGATTTCATTCTGAGCGGGGAAGAGGTCACGGGCGTGAAGAGTGGGCGGCGAAGTAAATTGTGAGTGGTTTATAGATTAACGAGGACGTTTACGTTGATTCGCTTCCCATATTTACATTCCACGGGAGTCTCTACCATTTCCATTGTTGCCTGAGGATATCATAACTACGAATTATTGTAAGAAAGTCGCACGCCAGCAACCTACATCAATGATAATAGCAATACTTCTTGAAGCAAGCATTGCACGTGCTGGAAGGCTTCGCCCCGGACTTGGTGTTGATGCCACAAGCCAGACACTCCGGCCAGCCCGCCGTGCCATTCTGCAGCGCAATCTGCACCCCGTTCGCAATCATCCCGTCCGTCTGCGCCTCGGTGTACTCGAGCATGGCCGTGGAAGTGCCGGAGGGATAGATGTAAGGCACGTTGGGAAGGTAGATGATGAACACCGTGTCCGTCTCGTTGCAGCCAAAGAAGGTGGCGCGTTCGTTGAGCCCCTCGCTGACGAACGTGTTGACGGGCGGGATGTATGGCATCTTCTTCAGCCCGAATTGTTGCGCGTTGAGGTAGGTTTGGTAGATTTCGGTGCCGTTGGGCAGGTTGCCGTCCGTGTCGGCGCTGTTGTCGTTGACGATCAAAACGTCGACGTCGCGTGCGGGCTGGATGAAGGGCCAGATCGGGTTGTTCTGGCCGGCCTCGCCGCCGTCGGACAGCGTCAGCTGCGTCAGGTTGCTGACCAGGGAGGACGACTTGTAGTTGTAGAAGGGGTTCTCGTAGAGGGCGAACAAGTCGTCCTCTGATGGAGTCTCGACGGCTGCAACGAGCGTTTCAAACGCCTCCAGGATGTTGTCGCTGCCCGTGGGCGGGGTGAAGCACACTCCACCCAGCGCAATGTTGAAGACATCGGAGCTCGTGCCGAAGACGTAGCCAATGTTGTCGTAGTTTGCGACGCAAGAGCTCTGGCTGACCGGCTTTCCGTTCGAGAGTTTCGATCCCATGTAGCTCGTCACGGCAAACGCGTCGACGCCTTGGTCCCACGAGCCGTATTCGTAGGGATGGAATTCGAAGATCGGGCCGGTGATGGAAGGAGCGCACTGGCCCTCGGCTGGGAAATCAATGGTGGTGGTCATGATGGGGTAGGGGACGTTGTGCTCGGTGAAGTTGCTCAGGCCTGTCAAGCCGGAGAGCGTGTCTCGGACGCCGCCATCGGAGCCGTAGAGGAGTTGGTAGGACAGCAGGCGACCGTACGGATCCACAATGGTCACATTGTAGCCCGCAGCGGCCTTGGCGGCAATGTCGGCGGCGACGGCAGCGTAGATGGTGTCGTCGGAAGTGGAGAGCAGATTTGCGGGGACCAGGAGGGAGTTTTGGAACGCCGGGCCCCAGAGATTGTCGCGCAGAGAAGTGATGGTAGGCCAGTTGTTGGCTGCGAGCGAGCTGAGGAACCACGCACCTCCGGACAGACCGCCTTGGTAGGTTAGGGACTGGTAGATGCCCGCCACGCCGGAAGAGGACTCGCGGTTGTCGAATGCCTCGACCACACCGGCGGTCGTCAGAAGGGAGCGATAGCCGCCTCCGCTGGAAGTGAAGCCGATAACGGGGAGCTTGGTGCTGCTGCTGCTGCTTCCGTGATGACCCCACTTGCGGATGTAGGAAGTAGTCGAGCCAGCGGCTTTGGCGTGGCGGGCAGAGACATAGCTGGCCTCCTGCGAACTAATGCCACTGGCAGGCCGAACGAGAGGCGTGCTAGGGCATGATGTTGACACGGGAGCGTATGGCGTAAGGCCGACCTTGGGGCTCTTTGCTTGAGCCTGAGTCGGAGCCGCGTCGGCCAACGCGCTGAAAGCGAGGGGAAGAAGGGAAAGAGTAGGAAGCAGCATGTTGAAATGAGTGACGGCAGAAGCAGTAGGGTGGTGCGAATGGAGTGAAGAAGGCTGGGAAAGGCGAGGTGGTGCTCGATGCAGGACGCGCCGAGGCTTTTATGCTCTACCTCATGTCCCTACCCTCACATAAGTTATTACTTGCCTATCCAGCACCCCACGTGGTGTGCAGGTATTTGCGATCGGGTCTGCAGCGAGGCCCAGCCGTTGGCGCACGCTCTCCGCACTCGCCCTCGGCGCCTTTCCGACCCAAGAAAACGGATGAAAAGGAGATGAAGTACCCCGAAGTGGAGTTCAAGCATTGGTCAAGCTTTCGGCAAGATGAGCCTAGATTGAGGAAGAGTGCATCGCATCGACATGCATCTAGATTTCTTGAGTCGAGGATGATGGATGTCGGAGAGGGGTTACCTGAGATGTCATGTATGACTGATCTGATTCGGCTGGTGTGACGATGTCGGTAGTCGAGTCATGAGCGGAATGTGTGCAACTGGCACAGTCATGCCGCACCGCACGCCACAGCTGGCGGCTGAGTAGAGTGTCAAGTGGCGCGTCGTGAATTTCTAATCGGTCAACGCGTCTCTCACGCTCGTACACAATTAAATCGCCAGATGACATGCGTGCAGCATGGATGATGGCGGAGGACATGGAATCTCTGAGAATGAACTCACTTGCGCGGTAAGCTCGCTTCACCGGGGCATTTGCGACGCACCTGTAGCTGTGATCTGATCCACATGCAGATCTGTACCGAGATCCTTTACCAACCGTTGACTCTCCTCGACTGCCTTCACACCTTTTGTGGGTCGTGCTTGAAAGAGTGGTTCAAATGGCAGGCCACTGCCGCCTCGCAGAGTGGGAGGAATGCGAGCAACCCATACACCTGCCCATCGTGCCGCGAGTCCGTCAGACGTACCAAGGCGGATTGGCGATTAAACACATTGCTTGAAGGCTTCCTCAAGGCGCATCCGGAGCGCGCAAAGGGGGAGCAGGAGGCCGGTGAGCTTGGAGAGCATTACAGGCCTGGCGAGAATGTGCTGCCTCCAGTACATTTCGCGGCAGAAGATGAGGACAGCGAAGATGAACGCCTGCTGGCGGAGACGAGGGAGCTCAGTATGCAGCATGGCGAACCTCGATCGAGGCAGAGGACAGCACGCACTTCTCACGAGCGGCGGCGGGACCAGCGATCCGCACGACGCGATCATCACCATCTGACGGAAGCGAGACTGCGAGAGCATGATGCGAGCCATCCACATATCGAGCACCAGCCTTCTCTTCGCAGTTTGCTGAGTGCTTCAGAGTCAGATCGCCAAAATGTGCAAGCAGAGATTCTCGAGTCAATCTTCTCGGAAGGCTTGCTCGACGGCATCGACTTAGACAACCTCACCATTGCACAGGAAGAAGAATTGACCGAACGGATCGCCGAGACGTACAGGCGAAGACAGCGTGACAGGGAGCGATCAGGCAATCGGCAAGCCCGTCCATCCGAGACCAGACCTGCGCAAGTATCGCCTCCGCGCCAAAGTCAGCCATCTGCCCATAGAGACACCTCCGATGCCGTGCCAGAACCCTTACATCCTCGCCCCCGGCCACCAATCTCCCGGCCTCATCTTTTCGAGCAGACCCTTCAAGAGCCCCCAAGAACGCAAAGACGATCTCGCAGCTCAAACAGCCATCGAGACCGAAACACTGCGTCTTCTGGGGATGGGGCGTCAGCGCCAGCATCCCGCTCAGTAACTGACTTGTCACAGCAGCCCAGTCCTGCGAATGCTCAACGCGAGCGCCGTCACAGGCTGCAGCCGGCCAGGACCATTACCGATCCTTCGAATGCTGGCACTCAGGCTGCTCAGAATCATGCTGTCCGCAACACCTCTAGCACGCACAGGGATGCAGCTGGATCTGGAGCTGAAGCCCCATCACAGTCAGGAGACAGCGCTCGGCGAGTGGTCAGCACCACAAGTGAAGACTCTGTTCCAATCATTGACCCAAGGGCACCATCCAATCTGGCACCACAACCTACTATTCGGCCGGCCATTTCGAACGCCGCCTTCGCACCAGAGACTGTGGAAAATGGGCGACATCCCCAAGTTGCGCCTTCTGTCAGATGTAGTCGATGTGACCGCGCAGAGATCCAGCATGAGCTACACTACAACTGTCGTCGATGCTTGGAGGGAAACTTCAATTTATGCTTGCAGTGCTACCGCGAGGGCAAAGGGTGTAACCACTGGTTCGGGTTTGGCTTCCGTGCCTACGAGAGATGGTCTCACATCTCACATTCCGAGGGCCGGCCGACTAGCCTCGACCCGCCACATGTCCTCGCAGCTCGCAAATACGTCAAACCTAGCGCCGAAACCCGTGAAGCAGCGCCTCCAGCAGAGCCGGCGCTGGAAGAAGGTGCCTTCTGTGAATCATGCCAGGCATTTACAGACGACTGCTACTGGTATTGCAACATCTGCCTCGAAGGCGCCTGGGGCTTCTGCGACAAGTGCGTCAAGCGCGGCCAGCACTGCACGCACCCGCTCGCCGCCGTCGCGCACATCAACACCCTCCAAGGCGGGCACTGCGATCCTTCGCGCCTGGCCTTCGTCGGCATGCCGCATCTGAGACAAGACACGTACGTCAACTTGCCCTTCACCACCAGCTGTGATGTTTGCCATCGCTCGATTCCGCCTGCTAGCGCGAGGTTCCATTGCTACCAGTGCAATGATGGCGATTACGACATTTGCAATGAATGCTACTGGGGCTTGGTCTCTCAGGACACAGTCAGTCAAGCGAACGGGCCGAGTGGGTGGAGGAAGTGTCCGAAGGGCCACCGTATGGTCGTCGTCGGCTTCGAGGAGACGTCGAATGGTGCACACCTTCGTACCATCGTGCGCGATCTAGTTGGCGGCTGGCGTTGGAAAGAAGATGGAGGGTCCCAGCCCCCATCCAACCGGGTACCACCAGACGGAGGGGCCGGGCTGAAGTGTTTGGCTCTCTACAACTATTTCCCCAAGAAGGGCGTAGCCGACGAGCTCGCCTTTCCGAAGAACGCAGAGATCCGCGAGGTCGAGGACAAGAATGGCGACTGGTATGTCGGGACGTATGCCGGGAGAGTGAAACTCTTCCCCTCCAACCACGTGCGCATTCTGTGATGCCCTCGCCGAGATGGATGAAGAAATGCCGATTACGAGGAATGAGCCAATCGTTTTGTGTATATACAAGGTCTTCAATGCTGACATTATGTTCTAAGCTCCGCGAAAATGTAAGGGAATATGACCACACACGCTTTCCAGAACACGCCGACGCTCCCGACCAGCCGAAGGGGTAATGCCAGTAGACTCGCACTGGTGATGTAGATCCACATCGCGTATAGCGCCACTGCGAAGAAGTGATAGAACAAGACGAACGGCCGCCGGATGATGCCGCCTAGTAAACCCACAGGCCCATCGATGCAGTTGCCTCCGAGCTTGAAATACTGGAAGCACCCCTTTTGCAGCGCTTTCAATTGCTCGTCGTCGGCTGCGAACAGCGAGTAGAGTGCCTGCGCGAGGATGTTGATGACTGAGGTCAGTCCTTTGCGCTGCCAGTGGAAGGTGCGCATTTGCTTGAGCACGAGGGGAGTGTTGTCTAGCAGGGGGACGCGTTGCGGGCTGAGGAGTTCGGAGAATAGGACCACGTCGTTCAGAGCGACTGTCATGCCTCCGCCGGTGAGGGGATGTCGCATGTTCATGGCGTCGCCGAGCAAGATAAGGCCTGGGGATTTGTTGGTGGTGGCTGGGAGCCATGAGTTGGGCATCGACTTTAGGCGATCGCGGTCAATGGCTGCTTCGAAGGCTGGCTTCACTTTGGCTGGTAAGGTTGGTAATACCACGTTGCGCAGGTGACCTTTCAGGCCCCCGTTCTTAACCGATGCCGAGGGGAGGTTTTCGGGCACGTCAATCAGGGCGCGAGTTTCATGGGTGCCAATCTGGTAGAGCAAGACCGGCGCTCCGTCTCCGAGCACCACATGGCCGTGGCATGGCATCGGTAGCTCCACGTCAATCAGCTCCAGCGCCCAGAACTTCGACTTGGAGACCGGCGCATCATTTCTGAATTCGTTTCGAAACTTGCTGGCATAGCCATCGGCAACGATCGTCAGGTTGCCGAAGAAGGAGTCGCGTTCGCCATTCACCGTCGCCTCGACGCCCAGGATCTGTCCGTTCCACCCACTTCGTACCAGTTCTGTTGCTGTAGCCTCCACCACCGTCACATTCTCTTGCTGTATGGCCTTTTCGCGGAGTTTGCGAATGAAGCGGCCGTGGTGAAAGGAGCGGCCTTGTGGTCGCTTGCGCTTCGTCCCTCTCATCTCGTCCGTGTTCACGTCCGTCACCTCCTCTTCCCCTCGTGCATTCTCGGGGTACTGAATCGCCACCTCTTCTCCATAGTATATCACGTCGTAGCCATACACTTTGATAGCGTCGATGCCCTCGAGGCAATCTCTCAGCCCAAGCTTCTCGAGCGCCTGCACGCCTCCAGGCTGCAGCAGCTCTCCAACGATTCGATCCGGCACTTTGAGGCTTTGGTCGGCCTCCCGGAGCCACCTCTCCAACAAGATGACGCTCCGGCCTTGACACCCCAAAGCGTATGCTATTGCGCAGCCCAAGATGCCCGCTCCGACGACCACCACATCGGCCTCATGATACCGCTCCCGTTCCTCTGCGCGTTGCTGTTGATTGTTCATAGCTGCTGTATGCTCGAAGACGCTTGAGGACGGTTTCTTTGTCGGTTGGAAAAGGCGTCGCGAGGATGTAGCATGGCGGAGCATGCGCCTCCCGCTTGAGAGAATCTCGGCGCTTCTCTCCAAAGTCGTTGACATCAGATTCCATTCTCGGACCATTTATTTGGTTAGAGTTCAGGGTCAACGCGCTATGACTAAGCAGCCTCGGCGCGGAGAGGCACCTCACGCGACCCGCGAAGACGACAATCACCCGATTGCAAGTCCCGGAATGCTCCCAAAGCGTCCCCTGAACGGTCGAATAAGGCGAGACAATGTCATATGACAGATGACAAGAGATTGCAGGACATATCACTGCATGCGCGCTCCCCCGGCCGGCATAGACTCGAGTGCAACAACATCCTTGACAGACCCGAGTGTCACAGTCATGCTATCAATTCTACTGGCTCGCATAGCGGGGTTCGAATGAGCTGTCACCGCGGCGGCCTGCATGCATTACACAAGCCCAACATGGCATTTGGACTTGTTCATGCTGGCCTCCATCTTTCACCATGTAGTGTAGCGCCTCCGATGCAGCTGATGCAGGTAGGAAGCCTTTCTGATCGACAGAGCAAAGGCGCAGGCGCTTGAGTATCTACCTTTGATACTGGCTGGATTGTTCCGAATACTTGAACTCCGCCGGGGTGCATTGGCAGATCGCACCATTGACCTGCTGCTCCACCCGATGCTGTCCCCGCGTGCGAGGCCCCTTTGCCCGGGAATCGGTACGGTTTAGGCGTTTGCCAGAGTACACGGTGCGCCAGTTCCTGGTAGCCCTACGCAATAGCTTGCGGGTCTCGTAGCTCTCGTTGTTGGAAAAGCAATGAAAAACGGTTTCGATTCACCCGAGCAATATCGCAGACCGACCCCGCATTCATTGTCACCCTTCAACCGTGGTATCCGGCGAAATGTCTGCTTCACAGACTGCGTGCGCCCCAGTCCTCAACAGAACCGACATGTCCTCGAGGGAGCCCAGATTCGGCCAAGCTTTGTTGTGCGATGCCCATCACCGGAATCTCAATCCCTCGCTTTCACACAACATGACCAAGTATCCCTGCCGAACTACAGGACCACGTGTTGCCAACGCTCGCCGTCCTGCGGGAGGTAGATTGCATACGCACGATCCGACATGGGCCTCCCAGCTATAAGTATACCTACGGTCGGATACTTCATGGTATACGACGTGAGCATCGGCACTCCACAGCTTTTCGATAAGCGTAATCGCGTCGTGGGGCTCACAAAATGGTTCGTCCATCAGGTTGCCACGGCGGCACCGCATGACGAGGACTTCAAAGTCGTCAGTCCATGTCACACGAATCCCTTCAAAGTTCGCTTGTGCAAGAAACACAGAATCCCGCGCTTCTCGTGTTCCAGCGGTAGGGGTTTTCAAGTGACTTTGCTCGAGCACTCGACCAACTTGCTTCTACTCCTCGAACGTCTGCGCAAAACATCGAGCTGGATAACATTTGCGGCCTTTGCTAAGCCGCCGCGGCAGATGAAGTCTCCTCCACACTACTTCAGCCATTTTCAGAACTCATGTCAGAGACACATCCGACAACGCGAGAAGAAGCGCCAGTGAACAGCCATGCATCCAATACTGCGGCGGCTCCGCTGCTGGTCGACTCGCAAACAGCTGTGTCTGTCGTGGAGTCATCAACAACTCGGGTCACAATCAGCAGTCTACTAAACGCAGAGGCTGCTTCGCCACCACGCCGACCCGAACAGCGGGTTTTCACAGCAAACAATCGGGCTTCAGTGCTCGAATCACACGTCACCCAGCTCCGCCCTGCTCAATGGAGCCTGCGAGATGCTTTCAACGACCTTCACGACTTACGGCGCTTCCCACTGGAGCACGGGCTCTCTGCGCCAATCACTCCTCTATATAGCACTCGACCTGACCAGCGAAGACACACACAGCCATCCCGACCATACCTGCCGAGACACTCGCTAGCACATGACTATATATCTAGCGGTCTTGCTGCGCCTGTGGTGGCTCAGGCCTCAGGTTCCACGTCGTTGATGATCACCAGGCCAGCTTTGGTGAACGCATGGTCGCCTGTGGCTTACGACCTGGTCATACGACAGCAGCCGCTGGCAGCAAGAGCATGCGGTTTCGGCGAGCGTGATCGACGAGTCATCGACCCCCCACCGATCCTGCAGCTGACAATCACCGATTGTGCTACGAAAGCTCCACGCGCAGATCAAGAGGCCATCTTCGCCGTGACTTGCAAGCTGGCCAAAGCCGGTGAAGACGTCGGAGAAGCAGGCATGCCGCTCGCTGATATCGCTCCCGGCCCATCGCAGCTTCCGCTCACACACTACCTGATGGGCACCACAGCCGCCTCCCCCTTCCAAGGCAAAGACGAGCACCTCGTCCCGGGCACATTCTTCGTCTTCGCAGATCTCAGCTGTCGGTACCCGGGAAAGTACAAGATTCAGTTCCGACTGCTCAGAATCGATCCCCGGAAACTGACCCTGACGTCCGACTCTTCGCATCCCGTCGTCGCGTCTGTGGAGACCGATGTCTTCACGGTGTATGCTCCGAAAGACTTTCCCGGCATGCGAGCCTCGACTGCGCTCCTGAAAGCTTTGCACGATCAGGGGCTATACGTGAGTTTGAAGAAGGGGACGGAGGCGCGGAAGAGGAAGCGGAGGGCATCGCAACGCGGAGGAGCGGTGGGGCTGTCTGATGGCAGCGAAGTTGATGCCGCCGAATTTCTGGACGCAGACCCGACCGAGCTCACCGAGTCAAGGATGATAGCGCCAGGGAGAGGGAAGAGACGGCGACGAGAGTCGTGATGCGCTGATCGCCTTTTGCAGCATTCTCGGATCAAGAAAGCCTCGCTGTAATGCATTTCTTGATGGGCGGCTTCTCGATGAGGACAAGCATAATGTGGAAGAAAACGGATACATGTCAATACTTTTGATATCTGGTGACTGTTTCTGTACGTTCGCCTGCTCGAGCAGAGGCAATGTTTTCGTCTGAACGACCATCACGAGTGTTCCTTGTGCTCTCCAAGACTGTCCTCCAGGTCTTCGTACAAGGGCACGCCCCAACTGGCCGCGGGGTTGTTGAAGCGGAAATGCTCCTTGCCCAACTTATGGATCTTCTTCAGATCCTCCTCCTCCAAGATGCACTGCAGCGAATACAGATTCTCGGTGATGTATTCCTTGTGGCTGGACTTGGGAATGACGCTGGTGCCACGTGTGAGTCCCCACATGATGGCAACCTGCGCAGGGGTGCAGTCGCGGTCTTTGGCGATTTCTTTGATCACACTGTTGTTCAGCAGAGGCGTTGGCGCATCGTCGCCGGGGCCATAGACGGGGTTGGTGCCAGCGAATGGCGAGTAAGCCGTGACGTGGATATTGTGGTCCTGATGCCACTTGACAAAGTCGGCTTGCTGGAGGTAGGGATGGAGCTCCATCTGATGGACCTGCGGCGGGTGCGACTTGCTGTGCTTGAGCACTTCCTTGATCTCATGCGGGCTGAAGTTCGCCACGCCGATGTGGTGCGTCTTGCCCTTGTCGACCAGGTCTTCCATTGCCTCCCAGGTGTCGAGGTAGTCGATGTAATTGAGGCCGATGGCGTTCTGGGCCACGGACCAGTGCATGAGGTAGAGATTGAGGTAGCCGACGCCGAGCTTCTCGATTGAGGCGTCAATGGCGGCTTCTACCTTCTTGGGGTCGTGTCTAGAGGGGGTTTATGTTAGACGGAGGGTTTTTGCTGCTAGAGGGTAAGACGCCTTACTGGTCATTCCACAGCTTGCTCGTAATCCACAAGTCGTCTCTCGACAAGCCCGTCTTGGCCAAGCCATCTCGAATACCTTCCCCGACTTCTCTCTCATTCCCGTAAGCGGCGGCACAGTCAATGTGTCGATAGCCGGTTTGAATCGCCCAGGACACGGCCTCTGAAGTGTTGTCCGTCAACCTCCACGTGCCGAAGCCTAGGAGGGAGATTGCCTCTTGAACCAACGGCCGTACTGGCTGGATGTTGTCTTCTTTGATGGCAACTTGATGCTGTTGAGCCAACGCGAAGGCTGCCAATGGCAGCAATGACAATACTGATCTCATTTTGTATTCTGTTGTGATGGAGTGAGCGTGATGAAGGAGGGAGCGGGCAGAAAGAGGGCAACGACGTCAACCGGGCTGCAGTCCCTGTGATGCAATCGATCTGCACAGCACCGTCCTACTCTGGCGCATTCGCATTGGTCAACCTGGCAGTTTCACAGTTTCACCTGCTTCAATACTCTTCAAAATCTCATGCACACATCTCTCCATCTCTGACTGTGGGCACCACTGAATACACGGCTGCACACGATTATTGTACTCTTGTGACGCCGTCAGTGTCCCAAATGACATCGACTCAAGTCGACGGCTGCATGTGGGGGAGCAGCTCCCTTAGTCATCAAGCAGAGCATCCAAATTCGGTCTAGTACGCTCGGCTTTGTCGCGTCGCGCCTCGTGAAGCCTGGACTCGTGAAATTTCGATGTCACGCCGGCGTTCCTCTCGTTCCCCTCCTCATACGACAAAGGGGCCACCGCAAGGTGTTGAGACGACAAAATGAAATACGTACTCGTGTCTGGAGGTATCTCAACCAACCAAGAACCCAAGACTGCATCCCGCACAACCGCTGACCTCTTCCGGCAGGTGTCATATCCGGCGTGGGAAAGGGCATTATCGGTGAGTGCGGTGACTGGTCGAGATCAATGGCCAACCGACGGCTGATGTCGCGAGCGTGGTTCAGCCTCCTCCGCCGGACTTCTTCTCAAGACCATGGGGCTTAAAGTGTCGAGTATCAAAATCGATCCGTACATCAACATCGATGCTGGCCTTATGCGGCCGACGGAGCACGGCGAAGTCTACGTGTTGGATGATGGGGGCGAGGTAGACCTGGACCTCGGAAACTACGAGCGCTACCTCAATATTACGCTTTGCCGCGACAACAATATCACCACTGGTAAAATCTACCAGCGCGTCATCCAGAAAGAGCGACGCGGGGATTACAAGGGCAAGACCGTGCAAGTCGTGCCGCATGTCACTGGAGAGATCGAGGAGTGGATCCAACGAGTGGCCAAAATCCCGGTGGATGAGACGGGCGAAGAGCCGGACGTGTGTGTGATTGAGCTGGGTGGCACGATTGGCGATATCGAGGGCATGCCGTTCGTGGAGGCCCTATGTGAGCTGCGGCGGCATTGCGAAAGAGACGACTTCTTGCAGATTCACGTGTCGTACATTCCAATCGTGCAGGGAGAGCAAAAGACGAAGCCCACCCAGATGGCCATCAAGGCTGTGAGGAGCGCCGGTCTCATCCCCGACCTGATCGCATGCCGATGCGAGAAGGAGCTGGAGAACAGCAGCATTGAGAAGATTGCCCGCTTCTGCCAGGTGTACAACAAAAACGTGCTCAATGTGCGAGACATGCCATCCACATACCAGGTTCCCATGCTACTGGAAGAGCAAGGCCTTGTCACCCTCATGACCAGCATTCTCGGCCTCGACCGACTGACCATTGCGAAACCTCTCCACGACAACGGTGCCGTCTTGTGGGACAAGTGGAAAGACCTCGCTCTGGGAATGCAGCACGTGTATGAAGAAGTCGAGATTGTGATGGTGGGGAAATACTTCCAACAGCCAGATGCATATCTGTCCGTTGTCCGCTCTCTCGAACACGCCTCGATGCGATGCAAGCGAAAGCTTCGGATCAAAGAGATTGATGCCGAATCATTGGAGCCCGCCACGATTGGGAAGGATCCTTCAGCATACTACAAGGCATGGCATGATCTGTCCACGGCCAAAGGAGTCCTTGTCCCGGGCGGGTTTGGCAACAGCGGGATTGAAGGCATGATCCTGGCAGCGAAGTGGGCGCGAGAGCAAAAGGTACCATATCTCGGCATCTGCCTAGGCATGCAGGTCGCCGTCATCGAATTCGCACGATCGATCTGCGAAATCCCATTGCCGCAGGCCAATTCGTACGAGTTCGATGGTACGGACGAGGATCGCGTGGTCATTGCCATGCCCGAACACAACCCGGGTGATCTGGGAGGGACGATGCGATTGGGGCTTCGTCCCACATTCTGGCAGCCCGACAGCGAGTGGTCGAAGCTTCGGGCGCTGTACGGGCTGGAGAATACCAACGTCAACGAACGCCACCGACACCGTTACGAAGTGAATCCCAACTACGTCGAGCGATTACGGGCGCAGGGTCTGACATTCATCGGCAAAGACGAGACGGGCATTCGGATGGAGGTGATGGAGCTCCGCGAGCACCCGTGGTTCGTGGGCGTGCAGTTCCATCCCGAGTACGTGAGTCGCGTTTTGCACCCCAGCAAGCCGTACCTAGGATTCATCGCGGCGGTCTCCGGCCAATTGAACGAGGTCACCGCTGGGGAGAATGGGGCGAGTGGGAAGGCGGTGTACCAAGCGTTGGGCGGGCACAAGGTGAACGGCTTGGTGAATGGGGACACGAATGGCAAGGCGGCGTTCTAGATCGATCAATGCTTGTATA